AACTCCTAGCCTAAGGGTAACTAAGTATCGTATGAGTGGCCAAAGCGCACCCCATTAAAAAAAAGGTCCAAATTTCTAATCCCTATAACTACCTCTTCTTTTAATCGTACGATCTTCAAATTAAAACCGGGTATAAAGCGATCGCTAGTTTAGAACTTTTGAAGTTTTAAGGATTATCCGACCGATATTTTCAACTAGGATGCACTCAAGAAGTCCAACTGGTATGCACTCACTAGCGCCATTTTTCTCCCATAGTAAAGCGGAAACCCTAACTGGTATGCAATGCATCCCACCAACCCCCATGGGATAGCCTCATCCAGCTCGCCGGCTTGTACGACGGTCTCGTCGCTGGCCTGGGACGCGGTAAAACACTGTTCGAGCTGGTTCACTAACCCTTGGACTACGGTAGGGTGCGGCGGAGGCTCCATAGGCTCGTACGACGGGCCGGGCCGGCGCACGTGGATATAGTGGGAACCAAACTTCGTGGTAAAGAACCGCTGGTAGCATACCGCTTGGGTAGCGTCGTGAATCGCGACCTAGGTAAGGTTATGAAGCCGGGACTGCTAGTGGCCTTGATAGTAACTATACGGCGACTAATAATACTTTGTACGCCAATGCTTTCGAATACTCTCTTTACTACGGTAAATATAGTTATAGCCTTAGACTCGGGTATATAAGATACTATCGGTATATATCGCGAGGCCTTCGATAGGCTAGTCGACCCACTTAGGAAAGTATAACTGATTAATATTCTCCTTAACCTTGTCCCACTCCCTAATAGCCACTTATACCTACCGGGTATTAGCGAGAGTCGTACGATAAGGCGTATAGGTTAGATAAAAGATAACCTAGGTCGGACGGACGGCGTACTGACACTAGCGATATATAATTACTGAATACTTAGGGATTCGGAGAAATAACTCTGTAGCGGTAGGGGGAGCTATTATATAATAAGGTTTCGCGGATCCTTAATATAGATATCGCTATAAGGTTTATACGAATAAGAGCGATTTGTCTATTAATAAAAGGGAAAAAGGTAAGTAGGAATTCGCTAAGGGGTACCTAGCTAAGTAAGACCTAGGATTTTAGCTTATATAATTTTATTTTTATATTAACGACCCGTATAAGATATTTTAATTATATATTAAATATATAATAAAAGAATTAAAACCCCTAAGACTTCTAAATATTAAGACTATACTAATAAATATTAATATTCTAATAATAATTCTAGTAGTTTTATTTACTTATAAAGAAAGTGAAGTAAAAATTTATATAGTATTATAACTATTTCTCTTACTAGCCAAAAAGGCTATCTGTATTCCCTAGTCACTAATATTATATAATCCTTAGGCCTTATCCTTATATATCTAGTATATACCCTAAGGAAGTTAGCGTAGCGCGTTCTTACGACCGCGGTCCTTATCTAAGGTTAGATCTACTACAGAGATCTCTTCGATATCGCTGTCCATACGCGGACGCTAATAACCCTAATAGGATAGCCATAGGGCCGCCCGGACGACTCTCCGGTCGTCCGATAGGGTAATAGATTCTGGCGCAGGCAAAGGATAAGGCGGGTTACGTGGCTATAGCTATATAGTATTATAGGGCTCTCTATTACGTACAGAGCACCGAGATACGTGATCACGCCACTTACAGTTACTATAAGAGCCACTAAACTAACCCGAGAGACGGATATACTATAGAAAGGGTTTATACCGGTCTACGTAGGTATCGCAGGGCTAAACAAATTAATTACCACGGGACTAGATTAGTAGCGTATTAATATATAAGGGTCGCTAGGAGACGATTTGCTGCCTATTAATATTACCTTATATATACTAAATAGGGCGTCCGCGTTCCCGAAGGATCGTAAGCTACGCCGGAGTTATATATATCCGGGTAAGCTTATCACCACCCACTAGTAGTTATAGCTACCCCTAGTCACCGCTTAGTCGTTCTATATACTAAATAAGAGACTAAATACCTTTAGCGTATATACGAGGGAGGCAAGGGTATCCGTCTTCGTCGGTATAAGGGAAGGGCTAGCTAGTAGACATCGTATATTAGCTATTAATCGCTAAGAGTGCGGAGATTAAGTTATAACTTACCTCCTCCACTCCCTAGGACTAAAGTTCGGGATACCTTCGCCGCGCGGGGAGCCTAAGGCTCCCGATCTCCGCTATATAATAGTTAGTATTAAGGATATTATCTAAGGATTAGAAGGATACGTACGACGAACCACAATTACCACTACCACTACTACTACCACCACGATCACTACCACTACGGCTACCGCGGCCTTAACTACAGCGAGAGACAGAAGAGGAACTAGAACAGAATTAGTTTAACTTTATATAATTATTAGGGTTCGTATAAGGAGCGTATCTTAACGTAATTATACGTTAAGGGAAGAGAGAATAAGGGGGGGGGGCCTCTATAGGGCGAGGTAATCAGGGATTTTAGGAAAAAAAAGTGCAAATAAAAATAGTAATTATCAGAGTACAAAAGTAGTCGGGGAAGAGAGATATAAAGGAAGGTAAGTTCGAAGATTTTATATTTAGGATTGTACATTAATCCGAAGTACGTCTATTGTCCCAGTCTATTAAGTATATTATGCGTTTGTATTAAGGTGTTTGCCTGAGCCACATTATCCAAGACCAATTGTCTAAGACCATTAAGCACATTGTGCGTTTGTATTGAGGTGACTGCCTGAGCCGCATTATATAAGACTATTAAGCATATTGTGCGTTTGTATTGAGGTGACTGCCTGAGCCCTATTGTCTAACACCAATTATCCAAGACTATTAACCACATTGAGGTGACTACCTGAGCCACATTATCTAAGACCAATTGTCCAAGACTATTAAGCATATTGAGGTGACTGCCTGAGCCCTATTGTCCATGACTATTGAGCACATTATGCGTTTGTATTAAGGTATTTGCCTAAGCCATATTATCCAAGACTATTAAGCACATTGTGCGTTTGTATTGAGGTGACTGCCTGAGCCCCATTATCCATGACTATTGAGCACATTGTGCGTTTGTATTGAGGTGACTGCCTGAGCCCCATTGTCTAAGACCATTGACCACATTCAGGTGACTGCCTGAGCCTCATTATCCAACACCAATTGTCCAAGACTATTGACCACATTCAGGTGACTGCCTGAGCCTCATTGTCCAACACCAATTGTCCAAGACCATTGACCATATTCAGGTGACTGCCTGAGCCTCATTGTCTAACACTAATTGTCCAAGACCATTGACCACATTCAGGTGACTGCCTGAGCCTCATTGTCCAACACCAATTGTCCAAGACCTATTGTCTAAGACCATTGAGCACATTGTGCGTTTGTATTGAGGTGACTGCCTGAGCCTCATTGTCCAAGACCATTGACCACATTGAGGTGACTGCCTCAGTCCCATTGTACGAGACCATTGAGCCCATTGTCGATAACAATGAGATAACTGCCTCCGTCCCATTATACGACAGTAATGAGGTGACTGCCTCCGTCCTATTGTACGAGTCTATTAAGCCTATTGTCGACTGCAATAAGGTGACTGCCTCCATCCTATTATCTGAGTCTATAGAGCCTATTATCGACTGCAATAAGGTGACTTCCCCGTTCTATTATCTATTATTCTTATTAGTATACTAAGTATAACTACTAGAAGGCCTTCTTTAAGAAAGTAGTAGGGTTTTAGGGTTATAGAAAGCTTATGTAAACTCCTAGCCTAAGGGTGACTAAGTATCGTACGAGTGGCCAAAGCGCACCCTATTAAAAAAAAGGTCCAAATTTCTAATCCCTGTAACTACCTCTTCTTTTAATCGTACGATCTTCAAATTAAAACCGGGTATAAAGCGATCGCTAGTTTAGAACTTTTGAAGTTTTGAGGATTATCCGACCGATATTTTCAACTGGGATGCACTCAAGAAGTCCAACTGGTATGCACTCACTAGCGCCATTTTTCTCCCATAGTAAAGCGGAAACCCTAACTGGTATGCAATGCATCCCACCAACCCCCATGGGATAGATACCTATGGACGGTGATTCGCGCAGCCGGAAAACCCGGGCCTCGGATTGGCGGAAGCGTACGAAGCTTTGGTATTAATTTAGAGATAATTTAGAGATTATTTAGAGATTAAGCGAACTAGCGAATAGCACTAGATAAGGCGGGCTAGAAGAGGGAGTCGGACGTAGGCATAGAAAACATATAACTCGCACCTTCTGTATTTAATTCTCTAGCGGCCACTAGCAACTCTGACATATCGCCGTACGGGGATCAAACAGAGTCTAATGGAACTCTCTCTCTCTCTCTCTCTCTATATTTCCTGTGCTGTTTAGGGGGCGGCGGGCTTGCCGGGAAATACGATACTGATTCACCACGTGTTCCTGACCCGTGAAAATGAATGGCTCCCCGCATAGATCGCGACCTACGCCAAACTTGCTTGCGAGTGCAAAACCCACCTTATGGCTCACTTGATTTTGCCTTTTTCATTACCTGCGACGTGAAATGGTCTATCCACCACGTGGGTTGATATGCCAAACTTCATTGGGTACCGGGGAAATATCGGGGTTGAGCGATCTAGCATCGACGAGTGCCTTGAAACCATTATTCATTGAATTCTGATATTACTGCTGTCTTTGATAGATCTACCGGCATTCCTAGTGGAGATCAAATTGTCCGAGCACTTCTCGAAATGGAAGGTCTTTCCATTATTGCCCGTCACAACGGCACGTCTTGATGTCTTATTAGCCACAGTGACAGCGAAGCTTTTTGCTTGTGGCATCCAGGGCCCACTTCCCACGGCAAGAATCAGGATTCAGGAACCAGGGACGCGACTGACTTTGCGGTATCATGGATGGTGTTGGAAGCCTGTTCAAGTTACATTCGGTCTCTCAATCGCCTGACCCTTAACTCGCCATATAAAGGGCGAGCAGCCAAGATACCAGCAGAATGTTTCGCAAACCGCTTTGTGTATTGTCCTGATATCCGAAATGTCTTTTATTTCTCAGATAGCCCTGACCTTGGGCCTGACCCTGGGTGCTGCTGCCGCCCCAGACTCCATCGTTGCGCCCAAGGGTGCTGAGACCCTTACCGTGGGCCTTCTTGGCGGTAAGTTCTCCCTTTCTTCTTTTCCAGACATAAAGCCACAAGGATACTAATGAATCCCAGACTACGGCTGGACTGGTTGGCAGCCTCTTCCTCTGGACTTCTGCAACACTGCCTTGTCGAAGCTCGAGGCCGACGGCGTGGAGATTCCCCGCCAGCTTCAAAATGACTGCGACCCCGGTGACCGTCAGGCCATCTCAAACGCCACTATTGAAGAGAGTAAGTCATCCATCATCCGTGTCCCTCTAAAACTTGGAAAAGGGCGAAAACGTGGAAAGAAAGCGCACATACGCTAACGTATATTACAGCCCGCACGGCTCACTACATCGAGAAGGTCTGTCTCAAAAAGGACTGCTCGGCCTTTGTCTCTGTTGGCGATAACTTCTACGATAGCGGGGTCGACTTCACTTCAGAGGGTATTCAGCGCTTTTATGAGGGCTGGGCTGACATGTACGTCGGCGAGGCCTTCGACAACAAGACCTGGTACCAAGCTCTCGGTAACCACGATGTCGTCGCTGGCCGTGCCGGCGTTGATTTCCAAACCCGCATTGCTCCCTTAATCGATGATCGTTGGTACTTTGGACATGACCATCTGCCCTACTACACCTACGACTTGACCGGCTCCAATTGGACTGCGACCTTTGTGGTTGTGGACTCTGATTGCTTTATTGAGAAGTACCAGGAAAGCACTTCCGTCTACAACACAGACTATGTGATCGCCTGCCACAAAGACACCCAGACGCAGGTGGAGTTCTTGCGTGAGTCTTTCGCCAAGTCCGAAGCTACCTGGAAAATCCTGCAGATCCACCATGGTTACATCTCCTCCTCGACCAACTACACTGAGCTAGCTCCCCTAATGGAAATTGTTCGCGAGAACAATGCCGTCGTTGTCAACGGTCATGACCACTGCATGGCTCACTACCAGTTCGAAGGCACTGACTATGTTCTCACTGGCGGCGCAGGCTATGCCGAGGCCGGCGACTGCAACTACGGTGTTCCCTCGGCCCGTACGCCAAGTGGCTCGGTGCCGACGCCAATCAGGCCGCTAACGGCTTTGTGACTCTTGACATTAACTACAACGCCTTGCAATTTGAGTACTACGCCCGTGACATGCGCCTTAAGGGTGCTGATTATTACCCTGTCAAAGACGACATGGAGCCCTCATATAGCTTCACTGTTACCAAGCACGCAACCAAGGCTTAGGGGCTGCGTTCGAAATGGAGCCCCATGAACGACCGTCTCGAGTAGTGAGCTACTTTTTTAACCAATAAATATTTGTACGTCTGATTCTTCATTATTGCTTCAGACCATCTTTGGCGGGAAAAAGATGGCTTGGCGTCAAAGTGGCTTGAATCACCGTGTGCGCCGATTCAATGTAGCTGAATGAACTGCAAATTTGTTTTGCAAGACTCCACAATGTTGAAATTTTCGAGATTAGACATTTAGTGTGATAGCTCCCGAGTCAAGGATTGATGTATCGTAGGTTTAGTCCCACCGAATTAAGTACAGTTCTTCGACAGGGTCTCTATGATACACAAATCGTCTCTGCCATGCCAAGACTATGTGCAACCAACGAGGTACGCCAGTGGGGAGATGGGACGAGAAGTTTCTTAGCCCCCGAGGAAAATGTCAAAGTCTATTCATCGTCTAGGCCTACGGTCCTCGGCACATGTGTTGTCTGTCCCCTTCCACAGTCGGATCCCACCTACAGGGTGACCAAGAAATAAAGGTTACTTCTGTTCACCGCCTTTCCCATTTCCTCACATACCGTCCACCTATGTTCCTAGCAATACGTGACGAGTTCAGCTCTCCCCCTTTTCTACCATAGCTACGCGGTATTGAGGGAATTAAAGAGGCTGGATACGTTGATTAATATTATAGAACTGGAAGAATCGAAGTGGAGAAGTAACCTTTCTTCCTTGGTCGCCCTGTATGTCCTACCTGTTATATCATATCATCATCTTTAATAGCTTGTTCGCGTATCCATGCTTTTCGATCGCTTCCCTATTTTTGGCCTTGAGATGGAAAGCGGGTGAAATAGGCGGTCACCTAGTGGCAAAGTGGTGGGGACAAACCTTTTGTAGGAGTACTGAAAAAAGAATTTTCATATCCGGAATATGTCTGCCTGGCCCTCTCAATATGTACAGGAGTCTCTGTAGATCGTGATGGCGTTGAATCATTCCCCTCCGATATGATTGGTGGTCGGCACTGGCATGTCCACGAGCCCCCGTCTACACAAGAGCAACTGTCTTCAAACTCTACGCGCAAAGCCTGATCAGCGGGACCAATTAGCAGCGACCAGTGTCATTTTTCCTCTTTATTGACTCAGTGCAATTATGCTAATAGTCTTAAAATATAGGAAGAGCTGTAACCTACCGATTATGACGTCCACGTGAAGAAGGGGAATTTCTCGCCGTATGATGCATTCTATATTCAATCGCCATTTTCACGAGATTAAAGCATCCCTATAGTAGCAGTCTTCATTGCGAGACACATTTATCTCTGATTGTAGATCGAAAGCAACACGGCTAGGAGCTTTGACGAATTAGCGCTGTGTTACCTTAGATCTGATGAAGTTTTCTCGAAGAGGATGACTGATATCGTGGCTGCGTTCTCTGGAAAGAAGGCGGTAGGTGTAGCATGTCAAGCTAGTTCTCTTTTCCTGAGTAGCCATTTTGGCGGATTCATCGAGCAAGCTCATTATGTGTTCTTCCTAATAAGTCACTAGCCACCCTTCGTTGACGCAAATTCGACTAGAAATTAGACTGACCCATGTGAGGCCCGACGGTTGAGCTGTGGATGTATCCTGGAGCCTGCATTCATACAATTTTTTATCTCACCCACGTATGATTGAATGGTTTCGTCGCAATCCTCTCCAAGCAACGACCGAGTTTGCTCAGTGCGTCGTTCAACAGAACGTTCCAGTTTACAATATGTACGTGTGGACTGACAGAGCCCAGATCCCCGAGGTCTTCAAATTCTATTTCAAGGGCTCTAGAAACCCCACTTCACCAACCCAGCGTGCCAACAGTGCTAATATAATCAATCTCAGAAGGGGCAAGAAAATCCATAATGCGTTGCGGTCCTGTCACGAAAGACAGATGAAGCTTTGTAGAAGGTCCATGAAAAATTTCAAGATTAACAGACATAGCCAAAATGTTACCGCTCTCGCCTGTCTACTTTACAAAATCGACCTCGCGGGAAACTGCGGGAATGGCGTCACTTGGAAGAGATGGCTGACTTATGCCCACGTAATATTCCGAGGGAAGGTGAGCGCGAGACCATCAAAAAATTCGGAGTACTGTCTCGAAGAGCTGATTGAAAGGTTGGAAGAAATGCCCTGGTCTCAACCAAGAGTCAGGGCCGTAAAGGTAGAGAAAAATCACTGTAAGTCTACGTCTGAAGCCATTGAATGAATGTGATGATTCTTCCAGACTTGCAAGCTTTTTGGCCATCTGTCAAACGAATGCTCCGAAACTGCCTGGTTTTGGGAAATTGTTCAACCGAGACAGGTTAGCCAGTTTCCAGAAGGTTCGAATGATGTTGCCTAGGGGCCAAGTTCGATATCGGTGAGCCAGCAATGGAGCCCACGTGTGAGGATCACTAAGATGCGGCCAGTCTGATTTCCGCAATGACTATGTTGAATGTTTTCAATGCTCTGATACTGCTTTGAAAGTATTTCAGAATCAAGTTATAGCTTGATTTGAGCTTGGCTTAAGCTTGGCATTTGGTGTCTGTCCCGGTATGTCCATAGCGAGTTAGTAGGTACTCCTCTTAGTGCCTCACGTCCGGCTTATTGACAAGAGGACCCTTTCCCGTCGAAAAATAATTCTAGCGCCTTGGCGAGGATATCCAAGGAATAGGTAAATCCACACGTGTCACTATAAGCCAATGCAAGATTGGGATCAAACTCGTGGTATCGCCATCGACCACAACATGATAAATTGAGAGTAACTTAAATGGGTCACCCATGAGAGAAAGATGTCGTTCGGGTGATCGACGCTTTGAGTCAACCGGTTAGGTCCAGCATTAGCTCCAGCATGAGAGCATCCGATCCCTCAGACCGTCTACACAGGTACCAATGTTAACCAAATCTGCTGTCGAGACCGGGCACGTGGATCAAGCATCTGCGTATGCTTCGTTAAGTTCAAGGAAGGCTGAATCATATAAACCTGGGCCCCAGCAGCTCGCACGATATACCATCAATTATCTCGGATTCCATTCAGTCTTATTCTGCAAGCCAGGACCCACAAGATGCGTTTTTCCACCAAGGCTGCTGTGATGGCCCTCGTGCCCTTAGTCTCTGCTCAGTATAATCTACCGGATGACAAGGTTCCTTACCAGGGTGGTAATACGTTCAAGACGAACGATTCTGAGCTTGCAAGCTACACTTTCACCTACAAGGCTCCCTTCGAGGCTGAGCAGTATGGCGGATACTACACCTGGGCAGTCAACAATAACACCGTTGCCGGCTCCAACTTTACTGGTCCTCATATGGAACCCGGCTACAACTACTTGCCTGATGGGTCTCTGACAAGCTATTCTTATTTTATCATCAATGAGGGCAATCCCAAGCCAATCAAAGAATCAAAGCTTTTCAATGAGCGCCTTTCGGCGCGCATCCATCCGCGCGATTTCTGCGCCAATGGCAACATCAACGAGGGCAAGGTCAAAAAGATCCTTCACGTTATCTTCGAGAATGAGGTTTTCAGCTGGACCATGGCGTCTCCCTACTGGCAAATGCTTGCCACCAAGGGCAAGTCTTTGACCAACTTCCACGCCATCATCCACCCGTCGTTGCCCAACTATGCTGCTGTTGTGGCCGGCGACTTCGTCGGCTTGGCAAACGAGCACTTCTACAACGTGAACACCACCACCATCTATGATCTTCTCGATGTCGCAAATGTTTCCTATGCCTCTTACAACGAGTGGTACAACCCTACCGAGACTCATCGTGGCCCGAACGATTGCAACAACTACATTTTCAACGGCCCCTACGATAACACTAACCCCAACTGGTCTTCCCAACTTTACCGCCGCCTGGATGTACCAGCTCTACTTTTCAACACCTATACCTCCAGTTACGAGCGTTGTGCTCAGCTGTTCGATGCCAACGTCACGTTCGCTAAGCATGTGAATGCCCATACTTTGCCCGAGTACTCATACTACATTCCTGACATGCTCCACACTGCCCATGACCCTGAGTCGAATAGCGTCTACATAGACCAGCCAACTTGCAGTGCCCTTTGGTCCAAGTCGTGGCTCGACCTGTACCTGCCTGAGCTTGAAGCCCAGGGCACTCTTGTGATTGCTACTTTCGACGAGGCCACCTGGCAGACCGATGATGACACCAGCCCCAACAACCATAATCACATTGTCACCATGCTGTTTGGCGCTGGTGTTACCCCCAGTACCAAGGACGATACCTATATTACTACTTACGGTCTTCTTCGCGGTGCTATTCAGAATTTCGGTCTGGGATCTCTCGACCGTAACGACACCAACCCTACTAACGGCAATCTGTACGATCTGATCTACTGAGAATGCTTTTCCTGATTGATTCTCATTGAAAGCCGTCTGATCAGAAATTCCTCGCGCGTTTCTTTTGCGTATATACCACGTTGAGTGAATGGAGAGTATGCAAAATAGATATCGATTTATCGATTATATCATTCCTTCTAGTTCTTTGACAATTTCATCTACGAAACGAGCGTCACTGCAGCGTCTCAATTCACCCGCCACCAGTTAGCATTTTTGGTAGCCTATGTGACGCATGACTATCTTGAGGCCTGAGGGGGAACGGGATTAGGAAGGAGCCGTGGGTCTAACCTAATATAGGATAGAAGTGGTTTTATTTCGTAGATACTCGTTTCCCTCTTTCTCTCTTCTTCTTCTTCTCTAGTTCAGTTGCCCTGTTAATGATACACGAATTCTTCTTCGTCTTGGTCGGTAATAGCCCAGAGAGCTTGCTTCTCCTATAAGCAACAAGTCATCACCTCTATTTAAGCTTTCGCAAGATAATCAGACTTTCAGGTCCTCAACGAGCCGCAAATTAACAGCCAATCCATTAGGTCGTGACACTTATTCTGCGCGAAGAATTCGACCAGCAGAATTTTGGGGCTAGGCCCCTGCTTGCCTTCTTTCAATCTTCATACTATGTAGCAGAAATCAATATTGGATCTTAATGCAAGGTCCAAAGTAACTTTGAGGTTAAAATGAATTGGAATTTTGTCCGCGAGATGTAACAAGCGCGTTAATGTGACGTTCAAAAGTTGGTTCCATCCCAGGATTTCATGTCCGGCGAGTGAAGATTCACTGGCTCTTTCGGCAGAAATTGGTAGTTTATATTTCCTTAATCTTGACTGGCCTATATTCAGCTCTGTTAACCTAAGCTTAGGACCCCTCTAGCGTCCAGATAAGCTTACGGAGGGGAAGAGTCGATCTTGGTGTGCTAGATTACTTGGTCCCGTAGAAATCTATATATTGTTCAATAGTGAATCGTAACCCAGATGATTATATAACTGCCTTGTACGCAGTGACCTCGGGCTTTGATGTTGGACTACGATATATCCGGGAGGCGGCATAATGGTCGGTGAACGGCCGAGGTTGTTTCATGGTCTTCTGTACCCGCCGTAAAGGTTCCATGAGACGATGTCTTGCTCTTAGATACTAAAAATCGAAAGTCGACTTTGGGAATTCGAAGCAAATAAGAGGGATTTTGACATGAATCTTCCCTTTGCCAACCTGGCTATATACCGTAGAGGTGTATGTAGCAGTGTTATAGGACTGAGTAAAATGCAAATCTGGAATAATAAAGGCCTCAAAGCATAATCCTAGTTCACTTTTTCCACACTATTTCACAACGATCTATCCGAAATTTGAGCCAATATTCGCGATTGGGACAAGGTTCTTACAACTTCACTGAGAAACGAAAGCTGTAATCAGTGGCCATAATGCCTCCACCCACCCCAGGGTAATGACTAATTGACTAATAGCTTCTAGGCAGCTCAAGCACTTTCTCACTGACGTAGTTTAAAATCATCTCACGACTGACTGGGGCTATCCGCGGCACAAGGCATTCGCGGAAATATCGCTCCACGTCGTACTCCATTGCATAGCCCATTCCGCCGTGAGCCAAGACGGCTCGTTCGCAAGCCGTAAACGCTGCCTCGGCAGCCAGGTATTTGGCACTGTTGCAGGCCACCCCAATGGAATGAAATGGAAGTGATCCATCATTTGTATCGTAGAGTCGTGCAGCGTGATAGGTGGCCAGTTTGGCCGCTTCCAATTTCATATATGCATCGGCCAGGGGATGGGATACACCTTGGTTCTGTCCGATGGGCCGGCCAAACACCACACGATCTTTGGCGTACTGGGATGCCTTCTCTAGTGCGGCATACCCGAGACCTAGGGCCTCGCCTGCTAACAAGCAGCGCTCGGCGTTCATGCCGTGCAAAATTATTTTGAAGCCCTGGTTCTCCTCTCCAACTAATGCGTCGGCTGGTATTGAATAATTGTCAAAGAACACTTCATTGGCGTCCACAGCCCTTCCACCCATCTTCTTAATCTTGCGCATGTCCAAGCCAGGGTTATCGCGGTTGAGATCGATGCAAAACATGGAGAGACCTTCAGATGACTTTGTCACTTCCTCCAGAGGAGTAGTTCGAGCTAGCAAGATCATTTTCGAAGCAACCTGTGCGCAAGTGATCCAGATCTTCTGACCCGTGACGGAATATCCATCCGCAGTTCTAGTGGCAAAAGTCTTGAGTTTTAGGGTATCAAGTCCCGTGTTAGGCTCAGTGACACCGAAACAAGTTCGACAGGTTCCATTTATGATGCTAGGGATCGTCTTCTCCAGTTGGCTTTTTGTGCCGAATCTAGCCAGTGGTTGAGTCGCGTAGACATTGGCATGAATGGCCTGGGCACCAGCCATGCCAGCGCCGGATTGCGTGATAGTCTGCATCATCATTGTGGCTTCAGAAACACCTGAAAGTAGTTAGATTTGTCCAGAAAGGCTCTCTTCAGAAGTACGATACCTAGTCCTGCTCCCCCAAGAGACTCAGGCAAAGCGATACCAAGCCAGCCGTCTTTAGCCAAAGCTGCGTGAAATTCCTTAGGGTCTTTCTCTTGCTGGTCGCACTCCTGCCAGTACGTGTTGGGGAATTTAGAACAGATATGAGAGATCGCTTCTTTGACAGTGAGCTGTTCTTCGGTGAACCCAGTCATCTCCATGAGTCCCCGGCATGCCGAGGTCGAGAATGCAGCACGCGCGGGAGGTACACGACTGGGTGCGCGCTTCATTCTGAGTGATGATTTCCATTGCACACGAAAGAGACTTTGCACTTGAGTCCGAGACATAATTGAATCTGCGACTCCTTTGACCCGTCGAGTTGTGTTTTAAGTGTATCTCAGCACATTTCCCCACACGTTCATGTAACCGACATGTAACCGATTTGCCGATTTCCCCACTGAGTTCGCCCGCTCACCACCAGAGGGTGTTCACTGAGCATGATTAAGAAGTAGCATTTAAAGGTACTCACTGCCGCTGGCACTGTGTTCAATTACTATTTAGCTAAATTTTTGGCTTTGGGCACGATGAGATTGATACTTTCAACCGCCCGCGCGATAGGCTCGTCTGGTTCACGACCCGTCTCAACGGGCGTACCAATTCCGGCCTTCCGATTCTACTCCAGTGAAAGCTCAGGCCATCGCCCTCCACCTCTCGCCGGTGTGACTGTTGTCAGTCTCAGAACAGGCTATCGCCGCACCATTCTGCACACGGCAACTGGCCGATCTTGGAGCTCGTGTCATTAAAATTGAGCGGCCAGGAGCTGGGGACTTTGCGCGCCAGTATGACACACGCGTCAAAGGAATAGCGTCACACTTCATGTGGACCAATCGATCTAAGGAGAGTTTAGCATTGAATCTCAAAGAAAAACAGGACCTTGTGGTCTTGATGAAGCTCCTTGAACGCGCCGACGTACTCGTTCAGAATTTGGCTCCGGGTGCAGCTGCGCGACTTGGCCTAACGTACGAAGCATTGAAGGAACTTCACCCTTCCTTGATTGTGTGTGACATCTCTGGATATGGTCAGGATGGTCCCTATCGCAACAAGAAAGCATATGACCTTCTCATCCAAAGCGAAGCCGGGATGCTCTCCGTTACTGGCTCTGGCAAGCAGCCTGCGAAAGTAGGTATTTCTATTGCTGATATCTCTGCTGGAATGTACGCGTACACAAATATTCTGTCGGCACTAATACAGCGTGACAAGGATGGCCAAGGCTGTCAAATCGACATCTCGATGTTAGAGAGCATGGTCGAGTGGATGGGCTTCCCCATGTACTACGCCTTCGACGATGCCCCTGGCCCAGTACCTGCGGGCGCATCCCACGCATCCATTTATCCATATGGTCCTTTCGAGACTGGCGATGGTCTGTCGGTCATGCTCGGAATCCAAAATGAAAGGGAATGGGTCAACTTCTGCCGCGACGTTCTGTTTCAGCCTGAGCTAGCCGCGGACTCTCGTTTCTCAAGCAACTCTCTACGCACGCAAAATCGAGACGATTTAAAAGCCATCATTTGCCTTGCTTTTTCTGAATTGACTGCCGAAGAGACTATTGCAAGACTTGACAAGGCTGCGATTGCAAATGCGAATGTTAACGACATGCACGGGGTCTGGAAACATGCCCAGCTAAAGGCTCGCGACCGTTGGTCAGAAGTGCAAACTCCAGCAGGGGTCATCCGGACTCTGTTACCGCCTGGCGCGACCAAGAGTGCCGATCAGGGTGGATATGGGGCCCAGATGGGATCGGTTCCGAGAGTCGGGGAACACAACCGGGCGATTTTGGCAGAGTTAGGCTTTTCCAAATAGTTGAGGCGATTTTTGTAATTATTTGAGAGATATAGAGCAGCGGTTTTCGGCCCAATATAGAAATGTAGTTGACACAAAGTCACTTAATAAACGGGGTATCATCTATTTTCGCTTCAGAGCTATAGAAAACGGTATAACAAATCTAAGTTTTGAGAACTCAGGTAGTCCGGGTTTGTCAAAGATCCAGCAAGCCCTAAAAGGTCATCTCCCTCCACGTTGAAGAGCTCATACCAGTCCATACTGGCGGATGCGTCATCTGTTGCATTCAACGACGAGTTTATGTGAGCCATGGGCAAGTGGACTTCATTTCCAGGTAGAGCAAGAGAGTTCTCAGTGTCGTTTGAGGGAGCACTGCATCCTGGAGAATCGGACGAGTGTGATCTCTGGGCTAAACGCCCTGGTGGTCTGGAGAATGGCATCCCGACGTCGGCGAGCCGAAGATTCCGAGCAATGTTATCGTCGAGGCAGCGAAAGAACAGATCCAAAACCCAGTTCTCTAAGTCCCAGGACTTCTGAAGCTCTTTAAGTCCAAGTAGACACAATTTTGCCCGATGTTCTGCAAGTTTACGGGCTGTGTTGGCCACCCGCGCAAAGTGAATAGTGTGGATGCACAATGCGGAGAATGTGTGCGTGATACTACTTCCATATTAACAAGACTACTCATAGCGGATGCTGTAAAGCTTACAGATGTACCGGCCCATGTTGCACCAAATTTTCAGAGAGCATGTCCTCGAGAATCCGCGTGCTCCTTATGGCTGCGTCTAAAGCGATGTTGCCCTCAGTACTCGTTGCCTCGTTTGGTTGTTGTAAAAAGATGGGTCGATATAGCAGAATATAGAGATTGCTATATTGGTTAGCCGGGATCGATATTCAAAAGAAGAAACAGGTCAGGTGGTGCTATACTTATAAGCCATATGGAGCATGCCAACAAGGAACATCACTTTCTGACTCGTAGACGCTTGAAGCTGCATCTCTGCTGGAAGCTGAGACTCCCACTCTGACAAACGTTTGTGTAGTAACGGGCGCGATGGGTTTTCCAGTTTTGAATGGCCAGGTAGATACTGGCTAGTGACAACCTCGCGTACTTTGTGCTATTAGCCAGTGAACAACATCAATCGTCCGGGAACATACATAGCTTGGCAAGTTGGACCATCCCGATCACGTATGTAATGTGGGCCGCGGGCGGTTTCTGAAAAGTCTGAGAGGTTGTGACAGAACTTTCGTCTTCAAAATCCGCAACGTGAAGCCCTTCAACTTCACAATCCTCATCACGAATACGAGATGGTAAACCTAGTGCAGCGGAAGTTTGCTGGTCACGAACCTGTTGCTACATTAGCGACGGTGAACACGAACATCCTTTCGAGTGATTTGGTCACATATAGCGCCCACCAAATCCGTTTCCAAATCTTTTGGTCATGCTCACTCAAGAAAGGCAACTTGGACCTGAGTTGTCAGCCGATTGATATAGTTCGCAAGCAAATGCCTACATCACATGCATGCCCTTTTTCTGGGCCAAGTCAATAGCTGCTCCAAGCCAAAAGCGAACGTCTCGCTCCTCTGTAGGTCCTCCGCGCCAGAAGCTTAGTAGGAATAGTGACTGTAGCTTGATTATCGTGTCGGTCTCCCATCCGACATCAAAAATTTCTTTTGCACGCCAATAAAAGGTACCCTTTGCATGGTAGCGATCCTTGTACCCTGTCGCGCCTAAATCAGTATCCGAGCACATGCTCACTCCAATGAAGAGGATTGCTTGGAGGAGTAGAGGCGAAATTTTGTTTTCATGGTAGTCACCCTGGACCTGTGAGCGATCAAGAATTGGGAAGCACGGGTGGAACCATTCAAAATATGCACGGAGGAGTATGTCACAGATCGCGGGTGATGGAAATATCAGAGCACTCTCGCGAATGAGACGATCTTGGAGGGAGTTCCGGTGTTTGATAAGAGAATTAACATGAGGTTCTGTAGAGCCGCCAAGCTCCGAGATAGAATAGTGCAGTCGTCCCTTCTGTATCCCACATGCATATCCTTTGTCCGGTAATCGCCGTCCCTCATCAACAACACATGTCAAGGGACTTGATTCACCGAGGAATACAGTCTTATGGATGGTACTTTCCCCCGTCTCCGTGCGATTTGAAAGGTCATAATGCAATGTTTGATCATGAGTAGAGCCCTGCTGAGGAAGCAGAGTAGCCGATGCGCTTTGCGAGGCCTCACTCGATCCTAGTGAGGCTTTTTTCTTCCGGCGAGGGTATCTACCGAGAGAGATTGGCATACAGTCGAGACAAGAAGCCGAGGAACGCTTACTTTCCCCGCCGTGATACTCCCAGTTCACAAGCAAGGTTCCAAGACACACAGTTGCGACAGGGCTGCATATCGAGCACATTGCAACGCACGCGACGCGCGTTGCACGCTAAACAAGCCTTTTTCGCGCGCGTGCGCGGTCTTTCCGACTCTATGTTGGTCGCCATTTTCGATAAGATAGGCTGTTTCGTGTGCAAATTCGAGTTGCGGAAGAAGGCACAGCAGGATAATTGCGTCCGGCTTTGCTCGGTTATACTGTTCCACTCATTTGCCGCTCATGTGGGGCGTCTCGGCATCTTCGGTTGTATGTTTCCTGGCGGCACATGCAAGTAATCGAGGTCAATTTATTTCGCCGAGCCTGATGATGCCGTCTCGGCTTCATACTGATTATCAAGTATTTTGAATGATCTCAAGTGTCTACTTCGTCGATGCAAATTGAACTCACGTCTGATCGCGAATTGGAGAATAAAAACATTTTTATACTCGCCATTCCTTATCCATTCTCCTCTAGCGACCAAATTCAGAGGCTAAATAAGCCTTCCTCATATTAAAGTACTTTGCACAAGGCCACTTCAGCCTCTTGTCTCTACTTCTCGCTGTACCAGCTCCGTGGATTTAGTCTTTCGCCTCCCCCTTTCTTTTCGCACCGCTCACCAAAAGTTTCAGGAAGACCTGTTTTTTCTGAGCGCCAACCCACCTTGTTGTACACCCCTCCTTATCTATTTTCCATCCAGCCAAGATGCCTCGGCCCAGCTTCACAACCAGATTTTGAACGTGCCTGGATTGGTGCCGGACGAGATGTCGCTTCGCTTCCGTTTAAGACCTAGTTGGAAGAGTCGTCTCCGATTCATTTTAATCTCTTATCTCGCCTAACCCCGAACTTAATTAGGTCCCTATAGTCGGTAAGAGCTATTACATTTAACCCTAATTTAGATTTCTACCTTTTCTACTATTTAATAGCGCTCTATAGGAAATATAAAAAATTTTACCTATACTATTTACTCAGATCGTAGAGTAATCGTTATGTAGGGTTATATCCCTCGATATAAACAAAAAGCGACAAAGAAGTTAGTATAGTATAAGATTCCTATTTCTATTTACTGAAATTAGATAGAGAAAAAGATTTATAGACTAAATAAATCTAATTAAGAAACTAAGTAGACTTCTTTTATCTGAGACTAAGGAAATATAATTTAATTAAATAAGGAATAGTAGCTATAGTAACTATAATAATATATTCTATGAGTCTATCTAAATAAGATTAATAAAGATAAAATAATAATATTTTTAAATTATCAAAAGTGATTAATAGATAATTTATTTGGAGTATTTTTTTTAGGATATTCTTTTAATATGCCTTAGTAGATACTAAAAAAGCTATTAGTATCTATTTATCTTCTTAATACTATCGAGATTTGACTCCTTTTAAGTTTAATATATTTCTATAGCTATAAAATAGCTAAGCTTTAAAGGAATAGCTCTCCTATACTCTAACTCAGTTAGACCTGGCACTCACCCGCCCCGCGGGTCCAAGATCAGGAACCTCCACCCGCACCTCCGAGGGTCAGGGTCTAACCTCACCGACCCTGACCCTAACCCTGACCCTCCGAGGGTCCCTTGAGGGTCACCCGCGGAGGGTCCGACTTACCCGCATAAGCCACGCTTTACCTATTTAGGACACGCTTTACTCTTTTAGATGCGCTGACTAAGCGAATTGACACCTAAAATGTTAGTTTTCTGCCTAAAAAGTGACTTTTTTGCTAAATTTAGTCACGTGTGGGGAACATAGAGATACCCGACCCTCAGGGTCTAGAAGTCGGACCCTCCACCCGCCAAGATGAGGTGCGGGTGGAGGGTCTGGAGGGTCACCCGCGGGTGAGGGCCAGGTCTAAACTCAGTAAATAAAGCTTCCTTTACAGAAGTAGACTCTTTTACTAAGTACTTTCTCTTAGCTCTTCCTGTCCCCTAACTCAATTTTCGCTATTTTACCCCCGGTATCTAACTCTTAGATCTAGCGAATTTATAAATAAGCCACTTACAAAACGTTATTCTGATAGTCTGTCTCCAGGCTTTCACAGTAATGATCAGCCGACAGCCTAATCGAGCATCAATTTCCAAGCTGAGTTTCAACACAAGTCTTGTTACCTGGGAAAGATCTACATTCACCGTTCAGACTGAGGCCATCATTTGCACCGTCATAATTTTCTGAGTAGAAGCTGCCAAGGCCACAAGAAGCCTCGATGTCCCCACAATACCTATATATAGATCAGCACCTTCGAATAATGTGATCAGCTATTGCATCTTTTTGAGTGATAAGAGAAAAAAGCGATGGTGCACTCACGATCCGAAGCTAGGATGAGTGCACGTCAGGTCTCCCCGAGACGTGCCACGCGTGCCGTTGGGTGGCAACACTCGTATCGCAGGCTAGAACAATGTTGGTACCAAATGAATTTCAGGTTTCTATGGTTATTGGCTATTTCGTATTCGACATTATATCAACCTTTAGTTAAAACGACACATATTTGCTGTATCAAAAAATCGCTTGACTCATGTTAGCGTCCAGACGAGAGGCTCAGACTCGACAGATAGTCGCCCATGAATTTCGGAAATTGGAAGCGCCAGCTGTCTGCAGGCTTGGGACATTGGAACTGACAACGCGACTTGTATATCCTATGCAAATACGTGCGTGATTCCTACGCTTATCTGTCCACATATATCTGCGAGCACGTCCCTGAATGATCTATGTATACAACCATTGCTCGGGACTGATTTCTCCAACTACAATACCGCAATGCGGAGCGCGTACATGTACGCAATCTGCGAAACGCCTGGGGCTGTATGTGAAGCAGGAACGGTCTCTCAAGGCCTCCAGTGACCAGGTCGTTGATTTATTAATCCAGAGGTGAAATCCGATTACCCATGGTGCCACTCGGCTAGTTGCAAGCGAAGCTCATTCTTGCCATTGAAGCAGGTTATATGGAAAATCTTCGACATATTCGACAGTACAAATGATCAACCTCTTAGTTTCAAAAGAATTGTAGAGGTGCACGGCAAAACGTCGGCTGATCTGGGGAACACCCCTGAACATAGAGGATGGTAGCGCCATCGGCTGTTGGGACCACTGTTTCGGGTATGAGCTTATCCGGGGGCTCGGCATGTAACCAAAACGGGAACTTTGACTCGGAGTTAATCAGATAAGCGCATCTGATAAAATTCCCCGAGAAACCCTTGCCGTCCATTTATAAAGGCCATGTATCCTCCCGTGAGGCTGCTGCTGGCCATTCTTGTCTCTATCCAATTTGAAATGGCTACCAATTTGATTCGAAACGTTGTCGTTATCGGCGGTTCATTCGTCGGACGAGTGAGTAGTCAACTCTTCTTCAAAACAACCAAACACTAACCGGCTTTAAAGACAACCGCCCAGGAGCTCGCCAAAGTGATCCCTTCCACACATAGAGTAAGTTCATAGCCGATAAAAATGACCGTACTCGCAGAGTCCAGGCTTATCTGTCCTTAAGGTCCTTCTCATCGAAGGCCACAGCCATTTCCATCACTTATTTACATTCGTAAGTGAAAAACTTGTAGCAAACGTGTGAAATGAAGAAAAGCTGACACTTGATTCAAACAGCCTCGGTTTGCAATCGTTGCAGGCCAAGAGCACAAGGCCTTTATACCCTACAATGGTATTTTCTCTGGCCTCCCAAACTCGGCCTCCCATAGCGTGGTCCCGGCTCGTGTTTTGTCGGTTCAGCCGCAGCACGTAGAGCTCGATCGGGAATGGCAGGGGTCACGACAAATTCCATTTGAATTTGCGGTGCTTGCGACTGGAACACGGTTATCCAAGCCAGCTGCAATGGAGTACGATGACAAGCCATCGTCGGTTGATTATTTGCAGAAGCACCAAGCGGACGTGAAGAGATCCCAGTCGATTTTGATTGTAGGAGGAGGTGCCGTTGGTGTACAAATGGCGACAGATTTGAAAGAGCACTATCCGCATAAGGAGGTTAAGGTAGTGCAGTCACGTCCTCGGCTGATGCCAAACTTCCACTCTGATTTGCATGAACTCATCCAGCGCCGATTCAATGAACTCGGCATCAAGCTCATCACTGGATCCAGGGTGACCATTCCAGATGAGGGATTTCCTCAAAATGGCGCACCTTTCGAGGTGCAGCTTACGAACGGCACCACTGAGTCTACCGAGCTTGTTATTCTGGCGACGGGACAAACACCAAATAACCATTTGGTCTCCGACCTGAAACCTTCAAATATCTCAGGCCCATCTGTTATCAATCCTGAAAACGGATTTATTCGGATTCGACCCACGATGCAGTTCCTGGATGAAAATTATTCGAACTTGTTCGCCGTAGGCGATATCGCCGACACGGGTGCACAGAAAGCTGCGCGGCCGGGCTCGGCCCAAGCAGCCGTAGTTGCCAAGAACATCCAAGCATTGATCGCAGGACGAGAACCAGAAGAGATTTACGTGAAAGGACCGGGGGCTATTCACCTAACCTTGGGCATGGTATGTTTGATTTCTCGGCCCGTTAGTCTCAAGCAGAACTAACACAACTATTGACTCAGAAATACAACGTTATATTCCGCAACCCGAATACCGCTGAGGGCCAAACAGCACCCTGGATTAATGAAAAGCACGAGTGAGTCTTTCTCCGATTTCGCCGATTGGTCCACGACTGACATAGTACACAGTGGCCAAGAGGACATGAATGTGGAAGCCATGTGGCAAAGACTCGGCGTCTCAGTGGATAACCCACGTCAATATCACCTCTGAGAAGTTCACCAGTGCGATGAAGCTGAGCTTTGTATCAATATGAGGTTCCAAAGGATATGAAATGATAGAATTTCCTCTCCCACTTTTGTACAACTTACTTCTGTGCGTACGATGAGGTCTGTGAAAAGTCATCCGAGTCGCATAAGAAATTATCGCGAGAGATTGTGTGACACTTAGATCACTCAGAAAGCAATTCTCACCCTAAGGGGACTCGCTGCAAGCTGAAGTCTTGGCAAGCGAGAGCAACAGAGCTAGCCTCGACATCTACCTTTCCTAGAAAGTTCTTTATTGGAGAAGTAATTGCGTAATCGAATGAGACCATCATTCCCACGAGCTCAGTCATCCCGAAGGTCTTGACTATGAGGATCTCTTGACACCTCTGTAGGCTCATTGGTGTGCTTCTCACTACAGTATGAGCGAGGGATGCAGCAGTGTATATGCAAGTACGAAACCGCGCTCCAAGGATGGGGGGTTCCAATAATGGATACATCGCAGTAGATGCAGAGTCCCGTATCATGATCGGCGCTTCGTCTATCAGTCTCTGCTAGTGCAGGCGATGAAAAATATGTTCATTTTGTCTTCGGTCGAGACATTTCCAGTCCCTCTGTAATCACGTGCGACTATACCAACCTCGATGAAGTTGGGTAGTCGGCTTGAGGACTGCAATTCATTTCAAAAACAAAAATTATTTTGGCACGCAATGTTGCGTGGTCCACATAATGTGTTCGAGCACTACTGCCCTCATTATTGGCAAAATGAAATGGATCATTTGAGACATTCCCTGTTCACATCCATCAACGGGAGGACGCTTGTATCAGATTGTAGATGTCAGAGAGAGGATGACTGAAGATGGAGATGTGTAAGAGTGATGAATTAATGCTATAGGAGAAGTAGGCTAAGTAGGCTACAAACACCCCCCACGACCATAGCATGGTGCATGCGTGTGGGAGATATCCGTATAAAGAATGATAATCCCTCGACCCTGTTGAAGCCATTCCCGGGGGTGTGTGTGTGCGCCGTCAAAACGTATCTGTGTAGCTTGATTAGGGCTGTGTAGATAGAGGTCTGTGTAGGCAAGGGCTACCGTCGGTTGATAAGGAATAGACGCGGTATGTGGTTATATGTGGCGAATGTATAGCGGAATGCATGCTATGGGCGCGTAGTGGTCGTATCCTGATATTGTCGGTTGGTATGATTTAATAATAATTAGGCTGACCTAAGGAAGAGACTAGCAGGATCGTCTAGGTCGACGGTGTTCGTCTTAGGACGCTAATCTTAGTCTTGGTTCTTTAGGTTAAGGAAGCATTAATCTGTTATGTGTTTGACCTCGCGGTCGTAAAACTTACATAAGAAAAGCTTAGCCTTTGCCTTTGCCTTTACCTTATTTAAGGTAGGCATAGAATAAGGCATAGGCGTGTCGAAGTCGAAGAGACGGCGTAATTTAGAGACAATAAAGTCGGCGTAGGTGTTCTCGATAATGTTTTTGGTAGACGCCGCGGTCGTACGATTAATCTTAAGAGTATTTAGCTAGATCTAGGCCTTTAGTTAGCTCCTAACTACCTTAAGAAATTAGTAAAAGATATAGGTAGTCAAGAGACGTAGAGAATTCTCCTAAAGCTCTATAAGGGTAAGGCGCTACGTATTAACGAAGCCTTAAGGATCCTAGCCTCTATAAATAGTACGGACCTACCGATAATACTTTATAAAGCCTATATAGTAGCTTATAGTAGCGAAGGTATATTTATGCGTTTAGTAGGCTATAAAAGCGTTAGTAGATTAACTAATATATAAATAAAGCGTTAGATGGATTATAGCGTGAAGTAGTGGCAGAAGATATCGCGAGATAGAGTCCCACTTATTATAGGAAGTGGTTTCGGCTATAGAAGGAGCCTAAGGGTCGGCGAAGGTAGGGTATATATATTTACCGGTAAGGAGCTTATTAAACTATATATCGCGAGCGTTAAGAGACTAGCGAAGGCTAATAGCCCACGAAGTGTAGTTATTCTCGCGTACAAGGGTAGAAACGAGGTCGGTGAGCTTAGGCTCGGTGAAGCCGGTGGTTTTGGTCGACATAATGATAGAGTCGACATAATGATAAAAAGGCAAAGCCTTGATGGAAGGGCAAAGCCTTAATGAAAGGGCAAAGCCTTAATGAAACGGGTAGGGATGACTACCCTGCCCCCCACAAGAGGACGGCGGTGACGATGATCACGGCGATGATGATCACGGCGATGATGATCACGGCGATAATGATGATCAGGGGGCGCCAGCGATGGTCAGATCACTGGCGCCAGGCAAAGGGGCTCATAACCTATCAGAGAGAGGATGACTGAAGATGGAGATGTGTAAGAGTGATGAATTAATGCTATGGGAGAAGTAGGCTAAGTAGGCTACAAACAGTAGAAAAGGTAATAACCATGGACAAGCTTGGTCAAACATTCATTGTCAGAAGGGTGATGACCAGGTGATGAAATGTGGAAGTGATATGTATGGGAAAGTGGGCTATCTAAGCTACAAGTGATTATGATCTTCCCCTTCATCGAGGTACGGTCCCACTCAACAGCTCTGCGTAATTACCCTTGTAAACACTTCCATCCATGGTTTTTGTGTTTCGCCTGATAAGATACTGTGAAGGCCGTTTCTGAGACGAGGAAGAATGAGGAAGAGAGAGAGAGAGAGAGAGTTCCATTAGACTCTATTTTATCCCCGTACGGCGATATGTCAGAGTTGCCAGTGGCCGCTAGAGAAGTAGAAGTAGATACAAGAAGTTGCGAGTTATATATTTCTGGTCCCCATTCGACTCCCTCTTCCGTCCCACTTTGCCTAATATCATTCGCCAGTTCGCCAGTTATTGTTATTGTTGCCAAATAATAATATTATTCGCTAGTTTATAAGTTATTATGCTAAATAGAATCCTTTTTACCCATTCCCGTAGTATTCGTACGGCTTCCCTCTTACCCGTACGCTTCTTATTTCCTCTTATACTCATAACTCTCCTATATCCGTTTCCTCCTCTATAATGCGCTAGCGTAGGTGTTTATTACCTATATTTAGGTTAGGGAGTAAGCCTATTTCCCTAGATAGTATCTAACGATAAGGGAACGGGGGTAGTAAAATAGTTATTTAGCGTCGCTACCGAATACCTCCCGCTCTTATCGCTAGTATTTTAAAGAGCTTTCTCGCTATTATAGTAGCAGAGCTAGCTCCGCACGGAGCTTATACTACTTTGGCTACTCCGGCTGCCTTCGCTATTATCGCTATTATCGCTATACTCGCTACCGGTGCCGTCCGCGCTTAATTCGCTTATTCTTAAGGTAGCTTCCCTCCTTTGAAGTCCTACCTTAGGGGGAGATAAAGGGGACCGGTCACTGCTTAGTGTCCCTTCCTTCTTTAGTGGGAACGCTGCCAGAGGGTAAAGGTAGGGAAGTCGGCCTATTTCTAATAGAAACCGGGCGGTCTTCCCTACCTACTTAATATCGGATAACGCGGTTGCTAGATCCAGAGGGAATACATCGTCTTGCCAGATATCGTATCGTATATCGGTGTATCGGTCGCACTATATAATTAGATAGTAGACTGTCTCTGGGGCTTCCCCGTATGGACACTGGTCTGTGTCGGATCGATTAATCGAATGGAGGAAGTGGTTCAGGCCAATCTTGCCGGTTCAGGCTTGAAAGAGTGCAGCCGACTCCGCCGCATTGAGGTGGCTGTATCGTTTCATCGCCATTCAGAATGAGGCAGAAGCAGATCCAAGTGCACAGCGAGTCAATTCTCGAATGGTGCCTTTGTTTGTAGAGAATTTAACTCAAGCCTTTCAACTGATGCTTATCTCCGCGGAACGCATGGTGTAGGTGCATGAATTGGGGTGGTTGGGCGGAAAGCCGAAATTTTCATCCGCCATGGCTTCTTATCTTAAAAGTGGACCGACGAAATCATTATTAGTTCTGCACGAAACTTGAAATTTATAAGAGGAGGGGTATCCCCTCATTTAACGAAGAAATGGACGTATGCCACCGGCAAAGTGAACGAGAAGACCTGATCACTCTTCAACAGCCATGCCCATGTACGAGGAGGAGCTTGCTCAACGAGGGGAAAAATCTCAAGTAGGTCAGACAGTCACCGTTCCGACAGAATTTGAAGGGGAAATCGCGGAATTATATCGACCCACAATGTTCCAGAGTAATATCACCATTTTGAGCTGTGTAAGTCGGTACTAGAAATACACTATGAAGAATGTCATGCTGACAACACGCGCTCAGTACATCGCAAACTTTAGTGATGGTTTCCAAAACACTCTTGCAAATCCGACAAATGTCATCTTCAAAGTGTTACTTGGGCCACACGTTTACTCATCAGATATGAAAACACGTACCAGTAACTCGTTGATCATTGGAGCCATTCTAGGAGTGGTCGTTCTTGGCTACAATTCAGACATGGTTTCGCGAAGAGGGGGGCTGCTTTCCACCTCCTCCCTCGTAGCAATTGGTACATTGATGGCCACACTTGCTTTACAAGTTCATCCAGCGCAGAACATGTTATGGTACTTTTGTGGTGGTACGAGGCATCGCTGGATTTGGAGTGGGAGGCGAGTATCCTCCGAGTGCTGCTGTAGGTCTCGAGGAATCCGATGGAGTGAGTCTCAACTTTCTCCTAACTATAAGACCAGATTCTAATTGGAAAAGATCCTAAGAAATTACCGCGGGCCACTTTTCGTTTCTTTCACCACATTGATGGCGACCCTTGCTGGCCACATCTTACAAATTATCTATCTCATCAGTCTCGTGGCCAGCGATAACAACCTCACAGTTGCGTTTCACACCATGTATTCAATTGCGACAATTCTTCCTGTCATAATTATGGTCCTGCGTGTCTTTATGGTTGACTCATCGCTGTTTCATCACTCTAATCTGGTGAATCAACGCCGATCTCCACGGCTTTTTTGGCTCCTTGCGCGACGGTATTGGTGGCGCATATGCACGACATCTGTCGCATTTTTTCTATATGACTTCATTAATTTTCCGAATAGCATCATGTCTGGCGTCATCATTTCTTCGCTTGTCGAGAACAACGACATCCGCAAGACGGCAGTTTGGCAGATTGTGCTCGCTGTTCTGCCTGTGCCCGCTGTCATGTTGGGCGCTTGGCTCACGAACTCAATCGGAAGACGATACACTGGAATACTCGGCTTTGTCGGTTATATGATTCTTGGTTTTATCATCGGCGGAACTTACACCGAGCTTTCTCGGCATATAGCTGCTTTTGTCGTGCTTTATGAACTGCTTCAAGCATTTGGACACATGGGCCCTGGGGCTACAATCGGGCTCATCTCATCTGAAGTGTTCCCTACTGCAATGAGGGGCATGGGCTACGGAATTGCGACAGCTTTCGGAAGGACTGGGGCAGCAGTTGGCACGGAATGTTTTACTCACTTGCAAGATCAGGCTGGGAAGAGCTCAACGTTCTACTTGGCCGGTGGAGTGGCGGTTCTTGGAATATTTGTGTACTATCTCCTCCCGGAGAGCAGCGAAATTGATCTCGAAAAGGAAGACAGATCGTTGGAGGATTTCCTGGCCGAGAAAGGATACAAGATAGGTGGTAAGTAAATAAAGCCAAGTGGTAATAAAATATGGACGCAGGAGTTGGATCAGTTCGAACGAGCGAGTTTAATTGGCTTCATTTCAGTTTTCATCCTCAGTCACCAACACTTCATTAGCCAGAGAGATCTTGTTGCTTAGGTGAAAGCCTATAGTGTGCCGTCTGCCCACGGTCGCATCGAACCAATTCTTATAAAATCCTTTTTATTTTGAGCGTTGGCGGCCTAGACTAGATTGGCTCGATTTGAACAAATACTTAGAGCTGTATTTGTCTGAGTGATACGGAAAAACCTTGAAGCAACTCATTCTTACAATTTGACCATTTGTTGATTCAGTCCGAGGTAATTAGCTGCCGAAACAAAACGAAATGACGCGCTTGACAACAGTCCTATGCACCCTCTCACCATTTCGCGTTTGGTTTTTCAGAGCTTGTGTGCACGTGTTGAAGGGTAGTCAGAAGGACCCGTGAGATAAGTTCTCAGCGCTTCAATAGAGGGCGTGAAGAAGTATTCGCCACCTTTGTGAACAACCCAGCTGTCGAGCTCCATGCGAGCCTCAGTGGGCTCGTTACCATCAGGAAGGCCAATCGAGCGAGGCGGGTGGTGGGGAAGTCGCTGTCCAACAATCGCGTCTATACCTGGCCCATTCCCTCCCACGAACATATCCTTGCGGTCAGGGAAGTGGTGGTTACTTGCCCAGCCTAATCAAATAGAAGTGTTAGCTGCGCGGCTTTGAGGTGGAGGAATCTGACGACTCTTACGTGTAGTCAAGAAATTGAAACCGTTGCGAATGTCACTTTGATAGCAAACGAAGAGCAGTCCTCGCTCGAGAGCAGGGTCCGATTTTTGGCAGGATTTCTCACTTGGCGTAACTTCTCCTCCGTAAGAGATTCCTCGACGAATAATAACCGCATGATCATCCTCGAGATCTCCGCGAGGTCGCATCTTGCGAATGTGAGCCGCGAACGGACATTTGTCGTGCTTGTTGACAGGACGGTAATCAAAGTTGTTTGATTTGTGAAGGTCCTCATTGCTGTCATGATGAGGAGACTCATCGACGGGCGTTCCTGGTAGACTGATCAGAATCGATTTCTGGACAGTGGGAAGGTGGTGAATCAGATCTGAAACTCACCATTTTTCCATCTACCCATGAGGTAAGCCGCAAGTTTCTCCTTAGGATTGGGAGAATCTTTGGCAAATGGAGCTTTGTGGACATTTTCTTCCGTGAATCTGTTCACAATATGTTTAGCAACCATGCTTTCCGAGAGCGGGACTTGATGAAGCATGCCAACTTACTTGTCGAATTCTGGGACAAGCTGTTGAAGATCGCGGAAGACAAGGAAGCTACCATCCAGCGCCCACTCCGGTTGGTTCATCTCATCTCCCTCGTGACCGCAAAAGATCATTCTAAAGTGTGCAGTCAGTGATCAGTGTACTAGTCGACAACCCAGATAAATTTCATAACACATACCCTGATTTGACTGCCTTTGGTTCTATGCCTTGAGGTTCCGGGTCTAAGCCTTCTATTTGGGGCTGACTGAGTCCATCTTCAAACCCAAAGCTAAGAAAAGATGTTAGCATTCAGTAGTTCCACTTCTTGAGGGTGGTTATTGCTTACTGCTCTTTCCCCTTAACGGGTCTTGTCTGGCCTTGCCGGACAAAAAAAAGTCAATCGCGGGGTCTTGAATAATGGTGTAATTGCCAGGGTCACTGCCTGGATCTTTCAAAAAATGTTCCTTCACGCATTTCACCTTCTCAGCCAGATTGTGCTCGAGACTGGATGTCACCATTATGACTCCGTCAATCAAACGTTCTTTGTCATCGCCAAATGGTTTGTAAGCCTCGCGAAGGTCTCGGGGGTCATCCCAGCCCTCGCCCACCAAGTCGTCGTACATGCCTTTCCCAAACAATCCACCGCGGAGCTGATTCTTCCTGAAGATGGCGGACAGCTTTTTATCCTGTTTAATCCTCGCCTCATCAAAAGTAAATTTCCCCAGCTACATAGATATAGCGTTAGCGATTTCTGGAATTTCTGTGCTAGGCGTGTCGTCGGGCTCTTTTGTTACCGCTGCTAAGCCTGTCGAAGCAAAAGATATGTTGACACCCGGTAAGGACTGAAGTTCAGCTGGCCGCTTCTGGCTTCGAGCTAGTTCCTTCTCTTTCGCAATCGTTTCCTTCATCTCACAAGCTGCTTGGGCAGTTGTAATCTGAGGAATAAAGGACTGGAGCCGCGACTTGAATTCGTCGGGCTTGTTGATGCGAAAGAAGAGAAAGGATTGGAATCTCTTGGGCAATCCAGGCCTGTGAGTGCAAATGTATTAGAAATCATAAGGTAAAATAGCTGGGACTTGGAACTGGAGTCACACCAAATGTCGCCCTGGATGTTTGCCTTTCTAATTACCGAAGCCATGGTTCACGCTGATACTCTTCGAATGGCTGCTGCTTCAGAGATCACAATGGGTTCGATGATGGAAGACACAAGATAAAAGATTTACAAGTTGGGGTGATGGAGAATTTAAGAAAGGTTTGAGTGTACCTGTGATGAAGCTTCCAAAGCTGTGAGGCATGGATCGGAGGCCAAAACTTCGGATTATGTGACAACCCCACCTACGCGCATCCTCATTGTGGAGCCACGGGAGACCGCCACTTACAGAGGATATTCGATGAGTTCCATCTGGCGAGTGGTAATTGGAATTTTACATCATCCGTTTGTGGGATCGAAAAAAGACTGAGCTGAAAAGCTACAGTACTGTACAACCTTGCAAGAAAATAGAGACATGCAGGTGACTCCACCAACTAGGCAACCGACGAAGTGATCGGCGGTCGGCGTAAAAGTCTCGGCGTCCAGACGAAATACAAGGCGCCGAAAATTTCTAATCTCACTGTTTCTAGAGGTTTTTCTCAGGAGTGGATCCCTAGGATCGACAATACCCTGCACATACAGTACAGTAGAAGATCTGTTACAGAGTATAGTATACCCACTCTTGAAAGTTAGCGTGACGATTGATTCAGCTGAGGATCATGCAGCAGCCGTTCTTTGCCCTTTGGGTTGGACATCGCTGTGGAGGCGGCACGCAGGAAGTTAGGCATGCTTGGGAATAAGCTCGCCGATTTTCATCTTTCATTATGTGGTATAAGATGTCAAGCTTATCTCAATCACCTCATGAGGCTATTGAATGGCACATGTTTTAACACTAGGGAACCCGAATCAGCACAAAGCCTGGAGCGATCTGCAAGGAGAGAACAATTCTTAACTAACCGGTATGACGACATTCAGGAGTTATGGAGAGCTTGGAACCTGGCGGCTCCACATTCAGCTGAAAATTCAGATTGCAATGATGTGACACAGATAATCACCAATTCGCTTGCAGGGAACTATCCACACCTTGCTCAGCGTTAGGTTTAGCGGGCCGGCTCGGGCGGACAGTGGGTCTCCGCGACCCCACAAGCTGAAGGCGGTTCATCTCAATCGAACGATGATCGACTTGCCGCTAGCTACATGATACGCCAATCAAAGATTGGAAGTTTCGCTAGACTAGTGTCAATGGAGAGATGTGCCAGGTCCTCGCCACTCTAGAACTGGTGATGGACACTGCTCGCCATAGCCCCAATATGCACCTGCAGGAGCAAATTCAACGAGGCTGCGGCGGGGCTGAAGCTCACCAAGAATGATGCCGATCATTGGTATTTGCTCTGGATGCGAGACTCATGTCGCGTAAGACTTGAACGCCACCTGTACGCATCTGTGGAGAACCTACAGCCGTGAGTTGAGATGATGTTCGACCCTACCAATCATGAAGTGTCCCCTTTTTTGGAACTTCCAATGTGACGAGTTGACATACGCTATACTACCCATTGGCTTGATTTTGATTCCGTTGCTATCGACGATCATTTCTCTCCCTGACTTCGAGGAGGGGCGGGGACGTCAAGGACGCATGCTCTGCTCTTAAATGTGATCATGCCCTCTTCTATCTGCCGACAGAGGGAAGCAGGCCTCTTGAATTACTTTTCTCTTGTTCTGTCTCCTTCAAACCCTAGTCACAATGAAGGTACAGTGGGCTAAATTGCTCGTCGGTGCCTCCATTGGGGCAACGAACGCCATGAGCCCCTTCATGGATGAAGCTATGAGATCCGACCGGGTTTCTGGTTACGGGAAATATGATAATCCCTCATGGGAGCCTTCCTTCAACGATGAGTCGCCTCCTCGCCAAGGCATTCGAGTTCCACGCACCGAATGGGAATTGCAGTGCAGTACTTCCAGTGGCAAGTACGAATGCAACAATGTCATAGATGGCACTGATGCCACGTCCTGGTACAGTGCCGTTGCTCCTGGCCCGCACAATATCACAATCAACATGAAAAACACGTACACCGTCAGTGCTCTTGTGGTTTTACCACCACTCGATGCTACGCAGGATCAGTTGATCACTCAACACGAGGTGTACGTCAGCAACGATGGAGAGAATTGGAAGGGCCCGGTCGCATACGGAATGTGGCCAGACTCCAACAGACAGCGCATGTCTGCCATTGAGCCAATATCTGCGCGATTTGTGAGGCTGGTTGCCGATGCTCGTGAGAAAGGGCTCTCATCGGTCGGAATCTCCGAGCTCAACATATATGCCACCCTATACAACATTCCTCAGGATCCTAAGCGGGGAGTCTGGGGCCCTACACTTGACTTCCCTATTGTGCCTGTCTCCGGTGCCCAGGAGGCCTCTGGCAACATTGTTCTTTGGTCGTCTTGGACCTCCGACCAATTCCACTCCACACCTGGAGGCAAGACCGCTATGACCCGATGGAACCCATTGAATAATACCGTGTCCAAACGCATTGTGACCAATACCCAGCATGATATGTTCTGCCCCGGTATATCAATCGACGGGACCGGTATGATGGTTGTCACAGGTGGCAACGACGCTTCTGAGACGAGTCTCTACAATTCGACTGCTGATGTATGGGTCAAAGGACCCCCAATGAACATTCGACGCGGATACCAGGCATCTACCACAATGTCTGATGGTCGTGTATTCGTGATTGGCGGCTCCTGGTCGGGAGGTTCCAATGTTCGTAAAGACGGCGAAGTCTGGGATCCATACACTCAGACCTGGACATTACTCCCGGGTGCCGTTGTCAAACCCATGATGACTAACGACATGGAAGGTGCCTGGAGAGCAGACAACCACGGATGGCTTTTTGGCTGGAAGAACGAGACAATTTTCCAAGCTGGTCCCAGTAGGGCCATGAACTGGTATTATACCGAAGGCAAAGGTGACTTCAAGGCCGCGGGAAACCGTTTAGATGATGAAGATTCCATGTCAGGCAATGCAGTGATGTTTGACGCTATCGAGGGCAAGATTCTCACGGTTGGAGGCTCTCCCGATTACGATAAGTCCTGGGCCACCAGCAACGCGCACATCATCACAATTGGCGAGCCTGGTCAGAGGCCGACCGTGAGGCCTGCAGGAGAGAATGGAATGATGCATTCCGAGCGCGTCTTCCATACAACCGTTGTCCTCCCAGACGGCAAAGTATTCATCGCGGGTGGTCAGACCTTCGGTGTCGCTTTCAACGAAGAGAATGTGCAGTTCATTCCCGAAATCTACGATCCTGAAACCGACACCTTTGTCGAGCTCCAACAGAACAACTTTGTTCGAGTCTACCATACCATCTCTATCTTGCTCCCTGATGGTCGGGTGTTGAACGGTGGTGGTGGCCTTTGCGGAAACTGCTCTGCCAACCACTACGATGCGCAGATCTTTACGCCACCATATCTTTTGACTGAGACTGGAGAGCCTCGGACCCGTCCAGCAATCTTGTCTGGTGTTCCAGAAAATACCATGGTTGGCGGCGTGTTCATGTTCCAGACTGACGGCCCGATCATGAGTGCCTCCTTGGTTCGTATTTGCACCACCACCCACACTGTGAACACCGACCAGAGACGGATTCCTCTACGTCCAATCCCTCTTCCTCGCAGAAAGTTGTGTTATGGAATCAGACTTCCGAAAGAGCCAGGTATTCTCATTCCGGGTTACTGGATGCTATTTGTCATGGATCAGGATGGTGTGCCTAGCATTGCCAAGACTATCATGATCACACTGGACAACAAGAAGACCCTTGACGTGCCTCAAGGCTTACTCGATGAGTTTCATGCGGCTGAGCAGAAAAATTGCGGCAAAGAAGCAACGGAATCTTTCTGGCCATCCTGGAGACCAACATTGGTTCTGCAGATTTTGGGTCGACGCTAATTGCGAGTCTCATACATATTGTCCCAAAGCCTAACAAAACGGGTCATCATGAAAGACTAATGTGAAAGCAAAGGCTATTTCTGCATGTGAAAGCAGCCTTCACTGTTCCTTATCCATACACCACTCGGAATACTTTCGCCGATGGCACTTTAAGCTTTCCAGTAGACTTCCGTTCCTTATTCATGTATCCACCTGGGGGTTCTATATCAAGTCAAATATCACTAGGTTTCATTCTCCTTCCTGTCTCCTCGGGATATAGAGCCAAGGGGCCATAGCGATGACAAAGGGCTATGGTAGTCAGTGACAAATAGGTGTCTTGACTGGTAATTTGGTTCTTCCGTCGGAGGTGTTTACTCCGGCATGATCGTCAAAGATTGGCCTGGCGACCGGGCGAAGAAGACTAGCATTGTGCCGGCGCAGCTTATTCGTTTTTTTTTATTAACCGGGAATTCCATATTGTAGCATCTTTCATATCTTCGTCCCTGCTTAATCACCAGAAGGTGCTATGGTCGGACGAAACTTTTTTTTATGCTCATCTCGGCCATACTTTTCTTGTTCATTTTCCTGGAGAAGGAGGCTTCATCAAACTTTGAAGGTTTTCTGATAGCATTGAGTCAAGCATGTTACCTCAGTGAATATTCATGTAAAATCTTTGGGAGTGAATAGTAGATCAGCTCCCGAATGAAAAGATCAAGGAGTAGCTCGAGATAGCAAGATCTTTTGCTTGATATGGTAGTGAAAATCTGAGAACCAATCATTTTCCTTGTTAACCGCCTTCCAATTCGATCCAAACGAGAATTCTAGATGGAAAGTTCATTTTTGATTTACTTCAGCATGCGTGAAAGACTCTATAGATGGAACCACAAATTTAAGATAGACCGGAAAGTAGCTCAGAGATGATAAGAGGTTGTTTTTCCCCACATCTAGATTGTTTCTCTCGGTGAATTGATTATAAGATCATTTTTGCTGGATTATTCACTCTTGTGCTATAACGTATTCCACCACCTTCCCACCCGCACCACCTTCCCGCCCATCTAACCAAATTTCGCGTCTCCGCGTATCCCCAACCACTTTGATCACCTATAATGCCACTAATTCGTTCTAAAACTAAGTAAGAATCTCTCCACTAAGAGGGTAGGATCGAGCTTATAATATAAGCTATTCAGAAAAAATTAATTCTATCTATTAGGGCTACTACGCAGGTATATAATATATCGCGTTTCACGCTACGCGACCGCCTTATTAGCCACTTATTTCGGTTAACTAGATACGTAATATACTATAAAATAACCTAAATAGAAGAGGATATACTTACCTAGTGGATCCTCTCTACAGATACTCACGGTGTAGCCCTTAAGCACTCTATAGTAGAAGATATAGCTAACTTATTATTCATAGCCTAGGGTATTAATATAATTAGCCTAAATTAGGTTACGCGATATATTAACCGAATATTAGCTATTTAATTACACTTCTCGCGTCGGTATAACTATTAATATACGGAATAAGAAGATCCCCGGATTATATATATATATAGTTTTGCCTATTAAAAGAGACTATTTCGCGCTATAGTATTATACCTAATAATATCTATAACTTTAATAAAATAGGCTTTATAATAGGCCTTATTTCTACCGTAAAGGTAGTAACTAAAGCTAAATACTATAGCTATAGATTTATTCTATAGCTAGGTAATCGCGAATAAGTATAATTAAAATAGTTAATATTATAGGCTAGTCTTTATCGCTAATAATTATATTTAAAGGTAAGGATTTTATAGAATCTTAGTTCTATACTGATATCCTTAGTGACTAATATATTAAGGTTAGCGATAATAAGTAGACTACTAATATAATTAGTCTTTGATAGCTTAAAAAGCTATTTATTCCTTTAATAAATAGCTAGCGATATAGGCAGTATAGGCTATTAATCCTTGATAGTTATAGTAGCCACCTAACGCCCGAATTTAATTAACCATTGTTGGGATATAAGGGGAAAGCTACCACGAAGCAGATCGTGGCCCCTTAAGTCCGTGGGATCAACCTTAGTCCGGCTGGTCAGTCGGTGCCAGACAAAGGTGGAAGGTCAAAGGTCGTAGGATAGACTATAAGCAGATATAGCCTAAACGAAGGCAGAACCACAGTCCTGAGGATCAATGGAAGAAGGTAGAGATGACTTTTAGAAAGTAGAACTGACTTAATTCTTTCTGCTAGAAAAGAAGGACATATTTATAGGCTAGAATAGCCTAGAAATGATGTCTAGAATGTCATACAAATACTAGGCAGCAACATAATAAAGGTGGCAAAGAAGGGAACCGAAGAAAAGCCAAAAGAATGATGTCAAGGATCGATGGTTTCAGCCACCCCGAAAGCTTCCCCGCAGGATCAGGTTATGCATACCCAAAGGTGGACCATTTTATCCTTAAGGGAAAGTGGTCCACCTATCCTTTAAGGGGACCGAGGGTCGAAGTCTGTTCACCGAGGTCCAAAGACCATGGTCAAAGTCCGCGGGCAAGATATGCCCGAAGGCACCCCCGAAGGAACGGACCATTCATGCCTGAAGGCGGACCATTTACCTCTGAAGGAAAATGGTCCCGCCTATCGTTCGGGGAGGGTCGCGGACCAGAATCAGAAGTGGTCAAAATATCATTTTGATAGAAGGAAAAATCTGGTCACATGATTAATATCATTTTGATAGAAGGCCCCAAATTGGTCACGTGATCAATGCAATGCTGATCTTATATGTTGAATATAAGAATAGATCTTTCTATGTAGCATTGGTCTATATTCCAATAATTAAAAATAAAGGTTTACCCTATAGTGTAATAAGTGAGTCTCGGACCTAATTTATACTTAATTTAAGAGGGTTTCCAGATAACTTAGACTTAGTAAGAATTAGTCTTACTTCTTATAATACCACACTCTAGTCCAGATATCCTTCCTTACCTGACCGACAGGCTTCTACCCTGAACACGTAGATTCTTTACACTATATATAAAGAACGATATTATACCTCTTTATATGCCTGCGTATAGCTTATATCTATTATAGCTACTAGATATTAGCTATTTTGCTATTCTAAAGCGATTATATAGTCGCTTAGTCGACTAATAAATACGTCTAGGAATTAACCTTATTAATAAGCTTAATTTTCTTACAGTATACCCACGCGCGCGCTAGGATACCTTCTAGGTTAGAACTATTACGAATACCTTTAAAGCGACTAATATTATATTATTAGATCTAATATTAGTGTTATCGAAGCTTAATATTCTAATTCGGTTACCTACACTAAATATAGAATAACCTACTAGTAAATTAAGTAATTATTGCCCTAAGACTTAAGGAATATTACCTAGCGATTAAAGTATATTAAATTGGCTAAGAAGCTATTAAAATATCGATCAGAAAGCCTACTAATACCTACTAAAGATATTATTAATTAAGTATATAAAGTATACAAAACGGTAATATAAAATATACTTCTATTAGAGAAGGAAGTCAGAGATCTACGCGCTACGAATAAGAAGCAAGTACAGAAAAGATCTCTATCCAAACAGCAGATAGAACGCACTAAAGGTATAGCTATTTCTGAAGCCTATAAGTAAGGCATTAGTCTATTAAGCAATATAGAAGATAACGGGGTGGTCTCTATAATGCCTACTTGGAAGGCTTTAACCACCGATAGTCAGACTAACAGACGTTAATATACATATAGCGTATACAGAAGGCCTGGCCATAGGGCTAATTTTTGTACGGAGAAGGTTTAAATTGAATATAAAGGCGTTGTGGTTATTTAATTGCTTCATGAATATAGAAGTAGGTGGGTGGTGTGGGCGGGAAGGTGGTGGAATACGTTAGACTATTCTTTCAAAAGAGCCTAGTCCGAAGATGGAAGCTTTAAATTTGGACGCAAGCTCACCAGGCGAAACTTTCTGCATGTAGGTACACGCCCTCAGCACCTGTCCCTTTGCTTGATCCACGTTGTTCACTAACAGTGGCCACCGTGTTTCGAACGTTGCTCACTAGTCCCGAAGGTCCGCACACCGCGACACCAGTTTCGCCCTGCGCATGATCCAGTAAATCCCAGAGAAGAACTTTCAGCGCGGGCCGGCCGGATGATATCGTGCAGTAGGCGAGTGGTAATTGTGTGCCAGTATCTGCTTGACCCTGTCGAATCCGAATGGATTCAATATCTGCATCCTCACTCAAAGCTGCCTTGGGTACTTCCGGTGTCCAGATCACAACAGCAACACGGGCCTTCAACATTCTGGCACTTGCACCCTGCTTTCTTTGTTGATTTTTCCCCTGAGTCAACTTCACATGTCACAAACAATCGCACTTCTATTTCAACTCCATGCTCGACGAGTAAATTGGTTGCCTGTCGTAATTCGTTCGAGATCCACTCTATGCACGAGAGGGTCCTTATGACCCAAGCGAATACCACCTTGCGGACTGGCAACTTATGATTTGCCGACCGTGCCGCAATATCGAGAAGAATTGGTAGCGTGAATGTAACACCGGTAGATCCTGCGATGAGAAAGACGGTGTCAAAAGCCGCAAAGTCGGAATGCGATCCCCCATATGGACCACTAAGAAGGGAAACAAATTCCTCTTCTTTGATTTCCTGAGTGTTTTGCCCAATGGCCCCTTCTTTGTCTCTGACCGCTGATGAGAGATCCGTAGAGGACGATTTAGCGGATTGAAGCAATCGCTGAGTGAAGCCCCTATGTGCTCGCAAGATGAAGACCAATTTGTTTTCGTGAGACGAGGAAATGGAGAGAATTGTTGCGGGATGGGATTGACCCAGACCCAAGCTGGGAAGAGATAAGAAGACATGCTGCCCGGGCTCCATTGTGTAATTCGTGAAGAGGTGACTTGAATTTTCGTGACATCCCCTGGAAAACTTTGGAGTACGGATTTCGCGGGACTCATGTTATTGAAGACATAAACCAAGCCCCGACAAGCCGGTCAAAAACAAATACACCGACTCCAATCCAGGCATAGATCCTAAAAGGGGAGAATGGTTAGAGCTCTTCATAAGCTGTCACTGGACGATGAGTGAATGATTTCATACCTTGAGCTGAGGGCGGTTGAAGGCAAGTGGAAAAAGATAGCAACGACAAGTCCAATGAAAGTGATGATATGTTGAATCAAGAATACCTCGTAGCGCCAATTTCGAATCGGGGCTGTTGCGGAAAAGACGAGCCAAAGCAAGATCATCCAAGTAGAAAAGCCTTCACGATTTTAGTACACCGATCACTTTGGAAGATGATTTGACATACCAGTGGGGATACAGCTATCAGTGTCAATCTCAAGATTCATGACCCCATACTTATTCCAGCCATAGGCTTGAACACCACCGTGGATGGTAGCAGTGAGCAGCATGACCCTTGCGACCCAACGGTGCAGGATTTGTAGTCGTTCGTACGAAACCCCGACTGCATACCCAATCAAATTCCTTTTGCCAGCCAGGAGCAGGAGGAGTGGGAACTGGGCTATCGTGAGCCAACCTGCCCGGAGACCTTGTGCCTGCCAATATTGTGCACCGGGATAGTCCCAATCAAAGAACTGAAGTCCCATGATGTACCCAAAATATATCAAAATTAACATGATTGATCCGACTGTTGGTATCCGCAGCCAGGATCTAGCGGGAGCAATCTGATGGTATGCAATCTCTCGAACTACAGCAGTACAGCCAGCGAGGAATGAAGTGACTATGTTTGAAGGACTTGTCGGCCGGGGACGATTTGCGGCGGCCGCTCGTAATCTGAGCTAAGGATCAGTCTCTGGACGATGATCCAGACCATATGATGTGTGACTGACCGTAACTTCAGCAGGCCCCATTGAGTCCAGTTGATAATACCTGCCAGCACGATGACAATCACGATTCCGTACCAAAATGCCCTCGCGATAGCATAATCGGTCTGTTGCAACGTGGAGTCATCGAGAAGCGCAGCTAGGAAGTCAGCGGCCACAGTGGAATTTGACATATCAAGCCCGGCGTCCGTGAGGCCGGGGCCTCCAGACATGCTGCTATCCATATCCATTTTGACGATCTTATGCCAGCCCGGGAGTGCAAGTGCTAGGACTAGGAAGACTCAACAGGATTAGAATCACTTCCCGGGAATTCACGTCCGTTCGTGTTCATTTATTAATGATGGCTTGATTGTACGTATGGGATAACTGCCCCACTTCCTTCTTCCGACCCGCCCCGTCGTAGAAAAAACGACGCTTCGAGAAAGCTTGGTTCTGTCAAGCCTTTATCCATACCGCTTCCGGCTTAGCGCTGAGCACATTTGCGAGGATATTCGCTTCCACGCGCCCAACTCGGGAACTTCCAATCTTTCATCGGGCGGATTCCACGTGTTCTGACATCAAGTATCTTCTACTGGAGTGTAGTTTGAATTTATTAATTGTCTCTCATCAGCCACAAGAAATTACGCGACGGCGGAAGAAATTTTTTTTCATTTCTCAGATGCAGTGATCACGCAACCCCTCATTGTTCTTCATACATCTTGCTGCTGTTCCTTCCGCCTTATTGTTCCATTCACAAAGATATTCAGATATTATCGAACATCTTCTGTCAGGATTCCTCATAACATTGGCCGATCTCATTCACCCACTATGCACATGTCCACAACTACAACCGCCTCCAACATGGCGATGACGTCCTCCGCCTCAATGTCCACGATGAACATGGCCTTCAATACCGACAATCTTTCTACGATGCTGTTTTCGAGTGCATGGATGCCGACTAGCACCGGTGATTACGTAGGCACGTGGTTCTTTTTGTTTTTTCTCGCTGTCATATGGCGAGCCATAAGCGCGAAGGTTGCCAGTCTAGACGCTTTCTGGGCCTCGAAAAACGCAGGGTACCCTATTTTCATCAACGGAGGTCAGGAAAAGCCGTCAAGGGAGAAATTGATTCAAACATGGAGACTATCTGTCAATCTTCCGCGGGCGGCATTGCGAATGCTTAATCAAGGGATTTCATATCTATTGTAAGTACGGTCGATACGCTCGGAATGACGGTCAGCAGTTTCAAAGTACTGATTCATCTTCACAAAGAATGATTGCGGTGATGACAATGAACGTTGGATTCTTCTTCGCGGTTCTTGTTGGATATTTCGTTGGAGAGCTTGTCTTTGGTCGGGTCGGCGGGGCCAATGGAGGAAGCTAATACCCGCATATTGCTTCTAATTATTGTATTGTCTCCCAACATCCAGTTTTCATCGTCACTACTGTCATTAGATATGCATTTTCAAGTCACTACCTTCTCACAAAACTTCAGGCAACCGACTCTTCGTCGATTGTTCGCTCTTCGTCGGTCAATAAGCACCTGCTTGTAAGGTACATTTGCGGGCTTCTCAAACTTGAAAATCCTTGCAAGGGAGTGAACTACACTTCTGAGGTTTACTTGAGGCCTAAATGATGTGGAGAGTATTCAACGAAGTTAATTCCTGCTGCTCCAAAAACGGATTCTCATCGATGCAAAGTAGCTTTGATATGCTCAGCTGTCAAGTTGATGTATTGCTTTGCTTGCCACAGGTCTAGAAGCAGGGTTAGTGGCATCCATGTCGCTAGTAGCTCTGAGTACCCACATTCATCCATATGCATGAAGGGGTGTGGGACGCCGGCAAACCGCTTCTGAATCACCTCGTTCCCACCTTCTATCAACTTCCGAGCATAGGCCTCACCCTCATCCCGCAGAGGGTCACAACCTGCCGTGTAAATGACTGTTTTGGCCAGATTGGTAAATTCTGGGGCCTGCAGCGCATTGGCATACCACTTCACGGCAGCCATTTGGGCATCCTTTGTCGGACTGTCGGCAGCGATACTCTGCCACTTAAGATTATCAAACCACTTCAGACGGGCCCAATTCAGAGTTGGTGCATGTTCCATGGCTTGCATGGATGGCCATGGTGCCTCGGATGCGGACTTGTACCTTGAAATGTCATCAATCGTGGGGGTTCCCACGGCCACCAGCCGAAGAGGGATTTTGGCATCACGGGCAAGATGAGCGCACACCAGGGCGATGTTACCTCCTGCCGAAACACCTCCTAGCGACATTCGTGTTGGGTCGATTTTGAATTGTTCAGCGCCCTTGGCGTGGATATGTTGCAAGGCTGCGAACGAGTCCTGAATACCGATTGGGAATGCGTACTCCGGTACTAGTCGATAGTCCACGTCAATCACACAGACGTTGGCCGTGACACAAATTTGTTTGCAAATGTGTGCTTCAGTGTCAAGATCTCCTAGGCCCCAACCTGCCCTCCCTTGTCAATTGGTGTCGGCTTCAGGTGCAACTCATACCTCCACCGTCGAAGTCCACATGTACGGGCCAGGGTCCGGGTGTATCTGGTTCATAAATGCGGACGGCAATCGAATCACCATTGTGGCCGGAGACTTTGCTGTCATAGATTCGCCCACAGTCGGGGGCGGGCCCTGTGCCGTACGAGTACAGGACAGAGTATTTCGATCTCAGGACGGATAAATCAATTGGGCCTGCTGGGGTGTTTGCGACGTGCTCATTGTAGAGACGAACGAACACGGGGTCCAAATGAGGGAGAACTGAGGGGTGAATGGGGTTGAGGGCTTCATGCGACATGGCGATGATATGTTCACGGAAGATGTTCGACTTTGGTTTATATTCCACGTCTTCTGTCGCCGGACGCGACGAAGCTCCCCCCACTGCCATCTTAGCCCCGCGGCCGTCGCATTGGCGCCAAACAAGATAACCGACGGTCGGAAACGTCAAGACGAGGCTGTAAAGCGACGGATAAGCCCCGCACTTTATCTATGCGACGGCTGATAAGCATTGAGCGATTACTCCAGACACAAAAAGCGCGATCTGGCGACAATATGATCCTCGTCACCGCAATGAAGCCTGTATTGATTGTTGGCGCTGGCATCGTCGGCCTCACACTTGGCCAAGCACTCAAGGAGAAGAACATTCCCTTCGAGATCTACGAACGCGATGCAACTCCCGACGCGCGTGGCCAGGGATGGGCCATTACCCTGCATTGGGCACTCGAATATATGAAGAAAATGCTCCCCGAAAAGACGCTGACTCGGATCCGAGATATTCAGGTGGACCCGGATATCGCGCGTCACGATAGCGGCAACTTTCTCTTCATCAACCTCCAGACCGGAGAGCCAAAGTTCAAGATTCCCCCCAATGTTCGATGGCGGGTGAATCGCGAGAAGATGCGACGAGCCTTGCTGCATGGAATCGAGGATCATGTTCATTGGGACCGACGTGTCGTTGGCTTAAACCTGCAGACCGTGAATCAAGTCCAACTGGTGTTTGCAGATCACACGACGGTGACCGGGCGCATCGTGGTTGGTATCGAGGGAAGTCGATCCGTGGTGCGACAAATACTTCGGCCAGATGTGTTCAGCAACATCCCCCTTTCCATAAACTTCACCGGCGTCGCAGTCGACTTGACGCCACAGCAAGTCAAGCCTCTGCGTGACATGGATCCCTTGTTATTCCAAGGGTGTCATCCACCCACTGGAGCCTATTTCTGGTTCTCAATGCTGGAAACACCTTCCGTCAATGGAACGGCTGGCACTGAGGCCGAGCGGTATCGTGCTCAGATTTGTATGTCGTGGCCTGTCAAAGGTCCCGAAGATGCAGTCGCGACGACAGACGAAGCTCGCTTAGCGAACATGAAGCGGCGCGCTCAAGGATTTGCGCAATTCTTGCAAGAGGCCGTAGATAGAATCCCTAACGGGACCCCAGTTACAGAGATCACATTGGCAGACTGGGAGTGTCTCTCATGGAATAACCACGGCGGGCGAATCACTTTGGCCGGTGATGCTGCACATGCAATGACAATGTGTAAGTGATATCAACATCTTGAGAAACTTGCAAGGGTAATATTGACTTCAGGCCTTTCATCTTAGATCGAGGAGAAGCAGCAAATCACGGCTTGCTTGATGCATATCACTTGACGGTGGCACTCGTGAGGATTTACACCAGCGCTGCGTCACAAGGATCAACCATCGATGAGTATGAGACCGAAATGAGAGATCGGACAAGCCGTGCAGTAAGATTGAGTCGTCAGGCATGTTACGATGCACATGACTGGACAAAATTAGATGAGACGTCTGCTATCTTGACAAAACGGGCCATTGCCGGCAAGTAAGACGGACTTCGATGCATGAAACAATCATCTTCCAGATCTTGGAAACCCATCCTTCGTGTTCAAGTCTGCTGGATAGTGTCTAGAGCTGAATGACCTTGGCGCTGATTGCCCGCTGGTGGTTCTTGAAGATGATCCTACAATTCGAATGTAGCACAAAGGGAGTGACAGATGGTGCTAAATAACAGTTTAAATGCAAGGAGAGATTGATACCAACCCTCGTACTAGCATATGGGAGCAACTTTGACTTGACAGAAAAGTAGAATGTTGCAAGGGTAATTCCACAACAAAAGAAACCTACAAGAGAAGCATGCCCAGACCAGAGAAAAGAGCCAAAGCCGAGTAGGCGGCAATCTCAATGGAGCCAAAGCTCACGCTAGAGTGGATAGTCTTAGGACCAGCACCGGTAGACGCAGTCGAAGTGCTAGAGGAGGAGCTGGAGCCGGCAGTAGCAGTAGCCTCGGTGGTGACAGTGCCGGTACCGGCAGTACCAGCCTCCTTGATCTGAGCGGAGCAGGTACCGGTGGCCTTGGTGGTGGCTTTAGTGCTCGCGGAACCGCCAAAAGTGCAGGCACTCTCCGCTTTGTCCTGCTCGTTGTAGTACTTGTTCAAGGCAAACGCGAGCTGGTCCTTGACAGGACACATGCTGTAAGCACCGTACACTCCCGTAGTGCCGTTGGCATCCACGCCACCGCAGTCAGTGTAGCCGCAAACAGTACCCAAAAGCGTTCCGAGCTTGGTATCGCTCAGGCTGGACTTTGGGACACAGGCGGATGCATCATAGATGCAGCCGCACAGGTCAAGGTCCGGAGTTGGGGGCAAGGGGGAGGCCTTCGCTCTCCAGTCGGAGCCAACCGTGGGGCAGCTCTGCAGAGCGGTGTTGGTCGGTGTGTAAGAAGCCTTGTTAGTACCGGTGGGATTCGCGGTGGCGATGTGCTCGGAGTAAGAAGTGAAATCCGTCATCTTGCTGACACTGGTGCTGTCAACGACTGAGACGAGTCCTATAGAATGTCAATTAGTACGTAAAAAGACGGATGCTAGAGTCCATGAGTGTATCTAAAAGCATACCGTAGTTGTTGGTCTCCTGGAAATACATGTAGACAATACCGCCCGACCAGACTTCAGCCATAGTGTCGCCGTAGAGGGCAGTGACCTCAGTAAACTGGCGTGGAGTAACGTCATTGCAGCCGTATTCAGCGAAGAAAACGGGAACAGTGTAGTTGCGGAACTCCTCGGTGCGAGCCTTGTATCCTGATTCCTCATAGGTGGAGTTACCACACCAGGAGTAGATGTTGTAGCCCCAGAAGTCCACGGACAGCTCATCGGTGTCGCAGTCGAAGTAGTTACCAAGATCCTCCCGAATAGCCGAGACGTCAGCGGTAGCGTATCCAACACCCATAGATCGGTAGCCCTTTTCTTTAATGTACTTCTTCATGTCACGGACGGCAGCTTTGACAAAGGCGCTACCATCTGTCATAGAAACGGAGTTCGCGACCTCGTTGCCGGCGAAGAAACCGATAGTATTGTTGTACTGAGACAGCTCGTCGATCACACTGGTGTAGCGAGAGTAGAGGGCAGTCTGCCATTCAGGATCGTTGCGGTCAATGGACTCCGACGGGGAGGACAGATCGGAAATGACATATATGCCGGCCTCTGCCAGAAGCTTCATACACTCGGAGTGATCAGCAGTGGCATCGATGGAGTAGGTACGAATCACGTTGGTGCGCAACTCCGCCATAATAGGGACATCTCGCTTGCAAGCTGCGGCATCTGCCAGCGGATCCTTGTAGCCAGTGCTGGAGGTAGTATCCTCTGTGTAAACATTAGTGCCGAAGATTTTGGCGTCAGGGCCAGGACGCGTGCGGTAAACATACGCTGATAGGCAACACCGCGAAGATAACTATTCAACGGTCAGAATCTTTTGATTAAAATGACAAGAGACAGAGCAACATACAATTGAGTGTTGTTGCTGGAGTAGAAGAATTTAGAGCCCTAGAGGACTAATCAGTTTCACTGAGCATCTACTCAAATGGGCAGAGTCTCCTCTACCTTGATAACAATCGGGTCCAGATCCGCAACGGCGGCTCCGACCAGGGTTGCCAGAGAGAGCAGAGAAAGTTTCATGGCGATATGAGACCGTGCGGATCTCACAGATACCGCGTATATAGGTGAAGCGAATGAGAACGGAGAAGGTCTACTAGTCAGTGGTGAAATGACGAAAGGTGTTGAAAGTGAATGCTGAAATGAGTGAACAGCAGTGCCAGGATAGAAAAAAGGAATCCAGTATCAGGGAAAGAAACCAAGAGTGACCTTGCCCCCCTCATGGCCATTAATAGTCACAAACGCCAGTCTGATCAACATGATTTGCCCTTTGGCCCCTGACCAGCATTAGGGGACGCGTACAACCGACCCAACTGGTATCTGGTGGATCTTGTGGTCTAAGAGCTGGGTGCCGAATTTAGACATTAGGTAGACTACTCCTAGTGTCCGGGTATCAACTTTTCCTGGCCGGGGATGATGGACCGCGTCAACCCCATTAGGGCTGGTTCGTAAACGTATCGGTTCACTAGCTCCGAGCGACTGATAATAGCCAATCATCAAGCTCCACTGGAGAAGAGTATCTTGACTTCTGCAGACTAGCATCTTTTAGTGTGCCACTAAAGTTATTTGGGCGTCGTTCACTGTGACTACGGCCGGTGCAATAGTTGTCCAACCGTCCAAATATTGCATAGGAAATAAAAAATAAAGTTGGTCTGCCAATCAATTTGACAAATGCCCTAATGACTAATGCTGTTTATATTCAGAGATAGCGGGCTGGATAAGATTCCTTGAGTATGTTCGATGGAGAAATGAAAATGTTGACGGGCTGACGCAGTGGAGTGGGGCCTTTTTCTTGGGATGGCGTCGGCAGTGCGTGTCCTTTTTTTCGCTATGCCGCGGACTCATTTTTTGCTTTCTAGGCAGCTTGACTAGGTCTAATTCTGTCTTTAGACCTTGATCGGAAGCCGCTAGTCGTCACCCGGAGCTATCCTGCTGTGATGGGCAGCGATAAGGATGTTTGTGGGTCACCCCCGTTCGCTCGGAAATGATTACTCTGCGGAGTGAAGCAAATTTTCTGCGTGCCGTACCCCTGGCGAAAAGCCCGGCTGCTCTATGCCTTGCGAGAGGCCAATGAATCACGGATAGTACCTCTCCTCCTCAATGTTCTGCACAGGTACATGACGCCTTGGCTGGGTGAGTGCTTCAATTAGCGAGCGTATGATCGCGATTTCTTCGAATGCACCAAGTTTAAGATCGAGTAGATTAAGCACTTGATCGATAAGAATGCCAAGACAAGTCGATCCGGGGCATGCCGCCCGATGGGTATTAGCACCCGTTTCTCGTACAAATGTGTGGCCAATTTTTGTCAAAGGTCTAATTAGTTGATCACAAAGGCGATTGACTGACAGCATACGACCCCTGTGAATGGCTAAAGAATGCATCTATCCGTTCCCAATCCGGCGTGTGAAAGAATTCCGAATATCCTCAGGCTCCAATTGAACTTACATTTGGTCTCGTAGTTACTTTGCCGGCTCGACCCGACCTTACTTCCCACATCGTTCATTCCTCTTCCTCTTTACTAATCTCATACCGTGTCTCTGTGACTGCATCCAGCCACGGCCTATCCATACTTCTACGAGATGGCCTAGACAGGCGAGGTCCATAGACACGTAAGCCCCATGGGCTCCAGGGGCTGCATTTGAGTTGAGGAAGGTGAAGTATCTGCATCCGGACTTATTGACAGTATTCTGGTATAGTCACAGCATGTGAAGCATGTGAAGTAATGGTACATCTTGAGCATCAAAAGAAAAAGATAGAAACGCCATAATTCCCCTGTATATCATTCCAGCGTGATTATTTCGCGCAACTTGTGCCCTCACATCCGATTTTGCTTCCGTTCGGCGTCGATAGCGGCTTGGAAAGATCGGATGGTATCAAGGGGTCGCTCAAGACGGGCCCGTGTGGGATTTGAAAGATCGGGGTCACCTAGACAGCAAACCGTTAGGAACGGGATCACGAGCACAGGCGGTCATGGTTCACATACTAATGATCTGACCGCTGCGGTCTTTATGTTGAATACTTCGAAGAGAAAAGACGTTGCGGTCTGCCACAGGATTCATACTGGGTTGAGCCTCGTGGAGGGCCAAATTGGGGTCGGCCTTGGTTCGCAATATCTTGGGGCTCTCTTGCGAGTGCATTGAGCCAGTGCGCTCACTGGAAGAACGGGAGCCAGCCATTATGGGTGGGTTGATGGAGCTCAGGGACGAAATTTGAGGATAGAGATGTCAATTGGGCTCTCGGCAATGCGCTTTGCAAAAGTTTGTATCGTGTTGAGGTAGATGAGATGTGGGGATAGTAACTAATAAGGGTCCCTTCGGCTTATATGTGTGCAGAACATCCAGGCACCGAAGTTGGCTGTCAATCACTTAGCCGTTCCTGGCTAAGAATAGATCGCCCGTTCCGATTGGAAATTCAGAATCACGCAACTTGTGGCAACTCTGAATGATGGTCTCGGATGATCGTGATCGGCGCTGGCGGGGTCAACAGCGCCCGCCTCCAATTCCGTATGACGTTGCACAGCTCAGACGTGCAGAATGCTTAGCATGCATCTCGCCCAATGAGCACTCGAAATTCGGCTAGCCACGCAAGCACTGGTGGCTGAAGGGGCCGTGGGCCTGTTTTTCCCCTGCAAGGTACCCGGTACGAGGGCCTAGGTACCGTGCGGTCAGGTACATCCGAGGTAGGAGAGCCCGAGGTATCATGAGAATCGCGATCAACCAGGTGCCCGCGGATGGCATAGTCCCTTCGTAATCTACTGGGTTAGGGTAACTATGGAACCTGTCAAATGCAGGTATATTCTGGGTCGACCGATTTCCTCTTGCGGCCAAGACAATCGCTTTGGTGAATGTAACAGAACGGCTCCGAACATTCCCTGCCCATGTTCCTGGCGCTCGACGACAATCTTGAACTGTGGGACCAATAAAATCGGGTGATCTGGAGATTGATACCTCGCATAGGCATTTCTGACAGCAGTGACAATCAAGTCATCGGAATGCTCTGCCACTGCATGATTGTGAAGGGATCTCTTTACTTTCAATACCTGGCCAATACGATAAATACGTCGCAGTTGGTCGCGCACGGACTGTATTTGAGTCCACGCGCGGTAATTAGGCAGCACTGTTTGGAAGAATCGAGATTTGTGGAAATAAATGTACGCACAAAGGTGTTTTTACAAGTGAGAATCTCTGTCTACATGCATCATTATTGTTTTCATTCGATGTCAGAGCTGTCTAATTGCAGACTGTGACTGAACATCGCCCTGGCCGAAAACGGAAATGGTTGCATTGTCGATCACCGCATCAGGATTCTCCTCAGCATTCTGGAAATCGAACATTCTTGGCTCTTCTCTGCAAAGGGTGGCGAGTCTCAGATATTTCAGATTTACATATTATGATACATCCATGGGTATTTCGTCATCCCCCACATCCTTTCCCCTGTTTCGACATAGCGCCTTGACCCCTAATCCAGATTTCTGGCGTTGATCAACCTAAAGCGGAAAGCAAATCGTTGGCACCTTTGGAGTCACGTCAAATCATCTGACGACAAGTCCAATCCGGTGATCCTTCTTTATGCGAAGTCAACATCCTACCGCTCTTCCTCTCTTTCTCTCGTCGCCGTGCTCATATTGGTCACGATTGATGACCGGAACTCCGGCAGCGGTATGTGCTTTGTTAATTAGAGTTCGACAGAAACTAATTGTCAATCCCCGATTGTTGACCGAGACGGAGTCACTTTCCAAAAATCTATCATGGGATCACGATTCCACCAGCTACCGGGGTTGTCACGGAGATAATCACATGTCGTACCTTCTGTGCGAGCCTATGGCTTCCCTCCGGTCTCTCTCTTCACGCCTCGCCGCGCCCGTTCGTGCTCACTGAGTAAGACTGAGGATAGCCCTGAGCACACTGACCGGCCATTGTAGACACCGCAAGGGCGTAGGTGGTTTGTAATTATGTCGGCGACTCACATATGACTCCCAGATATGATTACTTGGCACCCTTGGCGTGTCTGGCGCTGGTCCTACTCAGGACGATTTATCAAATCACTATCTATGTGAGTGATCTTTCGCTTCTTCTTTGAATTTAGGGCGCGGCTATGGACTTTTACCCAGTCACACCGATCGGATGACCTCGGTGTACCATTGGGACGTCACTAATGTATACCTCGGCTGTGTGTTTCCAGAAACAGCGTAATCGCAAATGAGCACCTCTTATTATTCACACACATTAGTCAATGGATGGAATGGAGAACAAAGATGGTAGTACGAGCACATCAAAGCTTATTTTTTGAAAGGCTTATAAGTCGGACAAAACTGGGATCTAGCGCCTTTCAAGAGTAATTTGGGATGGGTTGAGCCGGAACTTCTCAAGCATACCGGTGCACCCGGTTCAAGGTGCGGATTTGTAAATATGTAACAAGGACAGTCATATCATGCGATCAATTTTGTATCTTCCTCGTGTTCATTGTCGAGATTACTTTTGGTTTTTTTTGTTTATATTCTGTCGCACTTCATCACGTGAAACAGCCTCGCCACCAAGTTCGCGTGCTCAAGCTAAGTTGCAAGTATCGACAAAGAACTGATCTCACAGTACTCTACAGTGCCGACTGTTATTGCCTTCCATATCGGGAAATGGAGAGGTTCAATTTCAAACCCTAGTCCTATGATACGCTAAACCTTATATAGCTAATCCCATGTTTTAGAAATCTATTCTAAGTTTGCGTAGTAACAAGGGTAGAAGTATATTCACGTACTTTTATATACCCAAATATGACCCTTGTTATATATCCCAAATGACCTCAACCACCTTAACATCGTTCAGCCTTACTTCTCCCAACCTAGCAACCGCAGTCACTCAAACCACTTACAAAATGGCAATCATTTCCTGGCAACGTAAGATATTTATTCATAGGATATGTAGCAAAAACAGGCTCACTACATCGCAAGTGGCGAAGGTAGCGCGGTGCAGTGAGCGTTCTTCACCTCGCCGAGAAGCCTAGCCTCTACGTCGAAGAGATGGCTATCTTCCTATGGGATAATCTCAATATATTACTATTGTTATCTAGCATTAAACGCGCTCTTTCGCGGGCTAGCTGGACAAAAGACAAAGCACAGCAGAAAGTCAAAGAACAGAACTTCAACCACGAGGTTTCTACCAGCATAAGCTATCTGAGTTTCCGTCATATCATCTTATGTTTGTTGATGAATCCGGATATAAGTAAAGGCGAACTGGCTAGTCACCACTTGGCGTGACACCAGCCTAAGTGTCGAAGTTTCATCGCGGCCAACGCTTCCACATACTGCTTGTATATGCTCAAGACGTTATCATTCCGTCTTGTATTTTCATAGGCTCAACGGATGCCACGTTCTACGAATTATATGTTGAAATGGGGACGGCTCGATGGCTGGCTGACAATGCAGACGGGACAACGCACACGCACACGCACACAACACTCCCTGGTCGGCGTAGTGATCGGTCGGAATGAGGCCGTACGGATGATCTGTCGAGGCCGTACGGACCATGCCTAATAATGCATCATGATACAGGAAATGTGGTGACAACCGGAATTTAATTGGATAGGCGCTTAGTCTATCTCCAACTCTGTCTTGAAGATGCATCATTCGCTTCAAGCATTGGTTCTGCCTGAGGCCACAGATATTCCATTATATCACCGGTTCTCACGCTACATTATGTAATATTGACGATAGTCATGTCATCTGGGTTCTACTGGACCCCGCCTTGTCCAGCCTCAACCATGGTTTCCGTCCCAACCTTACTGCAGTGGATGAACCTTCTGAAGCAACCATGCTATGGCATTCTATATGTCTATGGGTGTGAGCCTCGCCGTTGAAGATGCGTTTCTCTAGCAACAGTCCTCAATCTTGCATGTCCTGATGCGGGAACGGTGCCAGAAGCACTGGGCTTAAAGATGCACTGACCGTGTTAAGCTAGGGACGGCAAATCAAACACAAACACTTCTTCAGTACCTCTCAGTTGCCCTGCCAGTGATACCGACTCAGGGGACTACTCCTGGCCCAAACACGACAAACCCTCAATGCGCTGTGCATGATATAACAGAAGTCGTCTCATGGCTGGAGTTTAGTTATTCCAATTTCATTCAACGCTACGGGCATGTCCTAAATAATCAAACGAATGCGGCCTGATCCTTTTATGTCTCCGCCTGCGCCACTCAAAGACATATGGATCAGTTCAAGGTCGAGGAAGAGGCTGGCAGGGCACCAAGTTATCTTTGTCGCGCGTTTAAGAAGACGATAGGGGTCGCGATTGGGGTATATATGAGGAAATTTGACAAGATTACAAGGACAATCGAAAGCGAGAGCTCTATCCTCCCTAACATGGATATAAATTGTTTGGAGTTGGGCACCGCACATCCAATCACGGCAGAAATAACCAAAAGCCCAAGTGGTGAAATGGCAGAAAAGAATCTGGTAGTCTCTAATGAAGCTTTGGACTTGGATCATGATTCGGATCAGTGGCTCACGATAGGAGATCTTAATCTGGAATATTTCTGGGGTAAACTCACATCCAATGATGACTTCATAAATGACGACTTATTGAATAGTAGCATTTGCGAACGTGCTGTTAGAGGCGGTTGATCGATTCAATGCGCAGCGAAGTCGAGTTATTGGCAGCTAGGACTCGTAGGTATTCTCTACTATAGTTACTGTTCAATGTCAGAATACTTTGATATCTTGATATCATATCAGTCTTCTTCCCTTTTATGATGATGATTGTGAATACATAGGCAAGAGGCATCTGTGGGCCATCCGAACGCCCGGCTATGCCAAATTTCAATTTTCACTCAAAAGATGTTCGCCCGTTAGACTAGACAAGAGCTTCCAGAAAAGCCTGTATAGTTCCCCACGTCTATCAGCATGGCCATCCCACTAGCCTGGTGCCACAAAACGTGGCAATGGAACATCCACACGCCCAGATTGTCAGCCCGGAATCTCAAAATCGCGTATGCCCGGCTAGGAATATAGACATTGTCTCGTAACATTGCAAGTGACAGGTTCAAGCCATCGGTATCAGGATAGACGTTTGGGTCGGAGCCAGGCGGGGATGAGTCGGAGAAGGGGTTGTAGGAGCCCCAGCCAATTGGGTCCTTGTACACTGTAAGGACGTAGAAATGGTGGCCATGCTGGTATTCAGCAAGCTGATTAGTATGCTTTTAAAGTAAAAGGGGGATATATACCCACGAAATGGAAGGGATGACCGGTGTCATCCAAGTTATTTACAACCAAATCGACCCATGTGGGCTCGAATCGTTGATCGCGGTCGCCAACGACCAACGAAAGCTGTTTGTTATCCCACTGTTCTCTTGGTAGCCCATTCAGAGGAATTGGGGGATCTTGCTGCGGTGCCCAAGAAGTGTGGTTGAAATAACCATACGGCACGTTGTGGTTGATGGAGAACTTCTGTGTCTTAACATAAACAATATCGGTAGTATCTGCATGATATGGGAGCGAGGACAGGATGTTGGCAGGCGAGGGGATACTTTGTATATCGAGCTTTGAAATTTGCTTTTCTTCAAGTGTAGTTGATAGCGCTTCTGGGGCGTAGTCAGAGTTGATGAGGAATGTTTGATTGGGCGCGAGTGCTGGGTTTGGATATTTCATGCATCTAATTTTGTAAGCGTTGTTACCATAGAGTGAAAGAGATAACAGCTTACTCTGGATCCATCTCAATAGTCAATGCGGACGGTCTTCCTTCGCTCGACAAACGCATGAGAAGATCCATGCGCTGACCTGGATATAGGATACCAATTGAACTGGCCGCCGGTCTCTCCACAATCTTTATACTATCCACCTCGATAACTGAAAGGGATTCTGTGGGTGAGGTGACGGTAAATCCCACGAGAGATCTAATCGGTTAATTCACAATGCCCATATTCTAGGCTCTCCTGAAATGCTTACCCTGTGTTGACCACACGAAGGCGAAATACGGTGGGGACATCCGTATGAAGATATGTCAAGTTGGAGTGTTGCTCGACACAATCGACTGGTCGAGCAGGGACTGCCATGGAGCAATTATAGCTCCCGACTCCATTGATCAATAGGGAGTCAGGAACCGGCTACAGCGTGTCAGTTAATCCTCGGACCTTTGGGGATTGAGAGCGGACATACATCATTGCCAAAAGACCCTGCGCGCATGTACCATGACATGACTTCAGCGGCCGGTCGATGATACCAATCTCCAATCAAAAGTAAGAAATCTTTGCTGTATAGAGCTGGATCTGCGAGCAAGCCACGAACTGTCGGCCGGGATGCTGGTTCGTGGACAATCAGCCCTCCGTACAGCCCATCTGCTCTTGCGAGTCCTGAGTGAGCATGGTACCAAAAGGTGCCATGCTGATGGTCGGGGATCGTGATGTTGTAGACATATGATGTGCCCGGCGGAATACCACACTGTGTTACCCCAGCGACCCCATCCATTTGATCTGCATAACATGTCAGTTTAAGAAAAGACGCAGTGCTCAGAAAATGCATGAATACTATCAATGTGTAATCCGTGCCAGTGGATTGAAAGAGATTCTTGGATGTTGTTCGTGATATTGAAGATCAAAGTGTCCCCCGGACGAGCCTCAATAGTTGGTCCCGGGAATAGACCTGCTAACAATTAACGCGGCGTCCAAAACTTGTTCGCTTGGGGATAAGTCGAATTACCATTGATCAGATGCACCCTCTTGAGTACCCCATCTGGTCTGATGTCTTCCGAACTCAGGGTCCAGTCTAGGTGCTGAGTTTCAGGGTCTCGATAGGCATGTCCCTTCGCATGGAGCTCGACTCCTCGGGAGTGGTTTCCGCGGAAGCGGGATTAGTCTCGTCGTAAACACTGGAAATCTTTACTGGGTTTATTGTCTTGAGTAGATCTGGTGTGCTCCACTGAGACCAAAACACGAACAAGACGAACAGGCATGTAATTACTGGACATAGCGCGATGCTGTATGATTTGATGGACTGAGCGAACCATCTATGCTGGCGGAATTTAGGCTCACTCGGCCCATGCCCGGACGTGCGTTTTCTTCCGCGACTTAAGGGCTGCTCCATCTTGAGCAGTCAAGTGGCGGACATAGAGAAAGCCTTCGAGCAAGAGTGATTTGTCACTTTGACTTGATTAAATGCACCTAGCTGCAATTCGGCTGAGGGTGAGGTCCTTGTTGCGAAAGTGGGGTAAGTCAAAAGAAGCGTTGTTACTTACCCTATGTCCTGCTCCCCAGATCAGGAACTTGACCTGAGAGCCTGATTCAATATGATCAGCTTCGGAAGATACGTCGGTGCCGCTCCGTGAAATCTGATCGGAGGCCGATCGCCCTGCCAATGAATCTAGATAGTTCCCGCACGTTGAGACGGGTTCTCCACTCAAATCATGCAGCGCGGCTGCAGCCAACACGCGTAACAAGTGTGAATTTTTTGTACTTTCAGTTAAGAAAGATCGGCAGTCCCTCAAATGTGTCCCTGTCTTTCTCTCGGATGGTCCCCACGTGCGCCCGTGGAGAGGGTGGCCGAAATTAACCCCTTGTTAGCCTCCCCCCCTTTCCTAGAGGTGGGAAACACCATCGTGAGGAACATCGGACGCCTCCCATTAGCCCGTGAGAATCGGGTTTCGTCCCGGTTACATCGAAAATATACTACCGAGAGTGCCATCTACTCTAAGGGTCGGACAGATCGGAACTATGTGGTAGCCGATGCAGTAAGAGACGCGCATATAACTATCGACGCCCAGGGACCTGGCATGAGATCAGAGCCTGTGAAGAAACCTTGCAGACTCCCCCGCCAATATGAATGCACTATTGGGCTCTGCCCTGCTAATGCTCCTTGCGGGCAGACCGGCGCTTGCTGGCTCGTTGAAAGATATCGAGCATGTGATCATCTTCATGCAAGAAAACCGATCATGGAACAATGTTTGTCAACTTCTACGGCATAGAAGGGGAGGATGCTGATGAGAAAACAGTATTTTGGAACCATGGCTGGTGTCCGTGGCTTTAACGACCCGAACGTGCAGGTGAACTCGGATGGTTTGGATGTTTACCATCAGTAAGGACCATCTTGTTGGCAGACTCTTCGAAAAGTTTCGCAACTGACTTGTACATAGGATTGTGGATTCTTCAATGTCTACCAAGGCAAAGACCCTTCTGCCCTGGTATCTGGGTTATCAGGGTGGATCTACGGTTGATGCTATGCAGTGCATGACCGCAGGTTCAAACGGCTATGAGGATAATCAGGCCGCGATCAACAATGATCTCAACAACATGTGGGCCCGCAACAATACCCCTTGGAGTTGGGGATATCTTAAGAGAAGCGATATTCCAGTTCACTTCGGTATTGCCGAGGGCTGGACTGCCGGAGATATGTACCAGGTCAGAGAACATCAGACGTGACTGACTGAAACAACATGCTTATCTGCTTTACGCAGGAATCACAAGTCACCTCGACTAATCCCAACCGTGTCACTTTGGTCAGTGGCTCCATCAATGTCCCAGGCGGGCCCCAGAACCCTGATCAGGGAGGTCCCTACTTGGACAACAATGAGACTCCTGGCTGTGAGGACAACGACATCAGTTGCTATCCGCTGAAGTGGAAGACTATCTATGATATCTATGAAGCCGCTGGTGTCTCGTGGCAAGTGTGGCAAGACTCGGATAACTTCGATGACAACCCGCTGGCCTGGTTCGAGCAATTCCAGAACGCGTCATCCGACTCCCCTCTTGCCAAAAAGGGCCTGTCTTACCTCGGCCTTGACAGCTTCTACGAATCTGCTGCCAACGGAACTTTGCCGGAGGTCAGCTTCATCGTCGGCCCCGCCGAACTATCCGAGCATCCTCCTTATATGCCCAAGGATGGCGCGTGGCTCCAAAAGAAGGTCGTCGATGCGGTTACCAGCAGCCCCAAATATAACTCTACCTTGTTGATGATCAGTTACGATGAGTCTGGTGGTTGGGGAGACCACGTTGTTCCCTTCCACTCGCCTGAAGGTACCGCCGGTGAATGGATGGAAGACCCCTATGGTCACTTTGGTGACATCTACTCGGGTCCTGGTGTTCGTGTTCCTTTCTACATGGTCTCTCCTTGGACTCGTGGTGGTCGTGTGTTTACTGAGCGCGCGGATCATAACTCCCAGATCCTCTTCATGGAGCAGTGGCTGGAGGCCCGTGGATACAAGAACGTGCAAACACCCGAGATGGTCCAGTGGCGTCGTGAACACATGTCCAACCTTGTCAATGCCCTGGATCTGGATAACCCCGATCTTAGTTTGCCCGCAATCCCCGAGGCTGAAACTCCAGATATGGCTCTTGGCAAGTACACCGGCACATCGAATTGTGAGGCCAAGTACCCGAGCCCTCGTCCGACCGTGCCTTATGGAAACCAGAGCAACAAGAACAACACTTTATTCTTCGAGGAGGGATACAAGGAGGTCATCGGGTATCTGACTGAAGGCCGGTACTTGACCTTCGAGAGCTCCGGAAAGGCTCTCATCAACTCCGGGAACGGAAAAGTGAGCAGCACCTCCGCTACTGCGGATCACAGCGACAAGCACCAGCGCTGGGTGGTCCACTACACGGCAGATGAGGAGAGCCAAATCTTCCAGGTATCTAGTGCTCTGGACGGCAAGTTCATTGGCATCAACGGCTCTCTGGTCACCAGTCAAAGCAAGGCTGCGAACATCAAGATCACCTTCCTTGGTAACAGCAAGGGTTATTCTCTACAGTACGAGAATGGATCTGCCGTTGGAAGCCTCAAGAGTGGTTGCAAGATCTGGAGTGTGTCTTATCATTAAGCTCGGATCAGAGCAGGTTGAGCCAGTGAAATTCTCTTCTCCGCTTACTTTAGTGAGGTTAGCCGTCAACTCGTCATATGGGAGGAAATAGAGATGAATGCTTATGACTTAAATGAGACTGGATATTCCCAGAAACGTGATTTGAATTTCTACATTCTATTGACTTTTTCCATCGCGTAAAGCTGCCGTGCCAATGGAATAATGGACTCCTCCAGAGTTCTGACTTTCAACCCCAAAACTTGTTTTGCTTTTGAAGAGTCACAAGAATAGTGCGTATCGGCAATACGGCTTCCGGGACTACCCACGGGAACCCTGCTCACGGGAAGCCTTTCAGAAACTACATCAGCTATCTCCTGTGTGTCATAAGATGATTGTGTAAGCAAGAATCTTTCATGGTCATCGGTGGAGAATTCCAGGGACTTGAGACAGGCTGTAGCTAAGTCCTCAACATCGATCCAAACTACCACAGTCGATTAGTGCTGGATTCGGCTTTATGCGAAATAAGAGTAAATTTACCAGGAGCTTTTGTAGGAGGAAGTTCACCATGATGTCCTGCATTCAGCACGTCCCAGACAATCTGATTGCTGGCATTGAGCTCCGCGAGTGATGATATGGGATGTATCATCTTTCCGAAAACCAACCCGGGACATAGTGTGATTAAATGATACTGGACCGAGTGCTCATGAACATAATCCCAGGCAGCACGCTCGGCTACCACCTTTGATGCACGATACGCGATGGGCTGGACTCGGTTAGCCCTGTTTCAAGATCGTATTGAGTGAACTCACAACAGCCGATGCATTCACACCGTCTTCATATGTCAATGGGCACCAGTCCACCTCGGAATAGATACGACCAGGTTGAAGTCCCAGACTAGCATCATACACGCTCGCAAAGCTGGACATGACAACCACGCGTCGAATGGATGGGACCTGTTCAGCCGTTTGACGAATAACCTGCGTGCCCTTGAATCATCAACTTCTTTTCAAACTCTCCAGGCTTCGCATTGTAATTGAAAGCAGAAGCCAAGTGCAAGACAGCCTGGCATTCTTGCAAAGCGGGCAACAGAGCCTCGAGATCGGTCGGGTCGGGCACCACCGAAAATTCAAGACACGAGAGATGTTTTACGCCTGCCGCATCAAGTGATTCGAGCGTCGCTTCTGCCTTTTCTGCTGAGCGAACTGTGGCTCTGACGCGATAATCGGACTGCAAGAGGGTTGCGATGCAATGGGCGGCGATGAACCCATTCCCGCCGGTTATGAGAACGAGGGATTTGGGGTCAATCGGTGGCATTTTCATGATGAGAATTGAATCTTCGTTGGTGATCTTTTCCCATGGGAGGTGGTTTGCATTTGTAACCGTTAGGATCGGAGGGAAGCGTCGGGCATAAATCCGTCGCCGTCGGATAGATACCTGTCAATGTCAACTGAGAATGTATCCACATACCAAATGAGCATGCGCTAGTTGAGAGATTTAGCCTAAAGTATCTAGTTCAAACACCCGAAACGGCTGAGACAGAGTCTGAGTGACTCTCTGTGTCTGTTCCTCTGTCTGTCCCTCTGTCTGTCTCTCTCTCCACGCACACATACATATTTGAGACGAAACAGGTCACTGAAATTTACCGGAGGCTAGATTAAGTGACATCTGGGTTTTGTCGAGATAAAAAAATCATTCAAACACTTGAGACATATGATTAGGCTGTTGATCGACTCAACTTCGTTCGAATTGTATCGACTTTAGACTCCAGGTGGTAAAAATGAAAACATACATAATACCACAATGAACTACCCAGTATTCGTTCGGACCCTCACAATGGCGTGTCACCGGGCGAAAATCGAAAAACATACACGATTCAAATTTCAGTAAACATAACGGAAGCTTTCATCATCATGGATGTCCTGTAAATTCCATTTGTCGGCCTGTCGCGCCACCACAGAGCTGCGGGCCGGAGCCCCAAGTCGATCAGCCTAGAAATTACGAACTCCGTACAAAAGGCGCAGACCAGTGGAGACCAATATTGCTGCAGCATTCACCGCTACCAAGGTTATTTTCGCAGGAATGTATCTAGATCCGAGTTAGCCTTGGTCTTCCTAAATTTCACTCATTGACCTGACCGTGGGGCATCTTTGGCTTGAAACGTCTGTGATCCGATGATATTGGCAATATTAAACGCCATAGAGACGATGGCTGCCCCAGAAACCTTCGTTGTGTATCCTTTAAAGTCGGCGCCAGTCCAGGCGTAAATCAAAGCGAGAGGAGCAACCGTCTATTGGTGTTAGTAACCTTGGCCGAAGAATATGAAGTTTAAACTCACGGTATTGACTAGGTAGATCCCGGCCAGACAGCCCCCTTTGTTGGAGACAGGAAGAAATGACATGAGACAGGATCCCAACAGCGTAGGAATCAACAGAATATCAATGGCCAACCAGCGTGAAAACCCTTTGGAAATCGCATATGTAGAGATCATAGTGGAGGCGATACTGACCACCCCGGACGGCATGTTCAGCAAAGCGCTCTCTTTAGAGTTGTAACCGAAGCCCTTGATAAGAATTGATGAGAATGTTGTGATCACACCACTGGGAATTGTGATCAGAATGGTCAGAAGCACTAGCATCCACGTCTGAAGATCGGCGAATACTTCAAGGACAGATGGCCAGCGGAAGACCTTTTCACCAACCCCGGCTTGGTCCTGGTGGAGTCGCTGGAAGATACGCTGCTTCTCGTCCTCGGTCAAGAACTTGGCCTTGGTGGGTGTTTCAGGTAACACAAAGAGGACCAGTAGTGAAACCAAGATGTTGACCGCACCGATGACGACGAACATGATCCGCCATCCACCAAATGACAAGCTTGCCGTGGCATGCTGAGCGGCAAAGGAGATAAAGCCGCCAACAATCTGTCCAACGCCAAGACCACAGTACCAAAATCCGTATCGTGGAGTCGACTCTGCGCGAGTATACCACATACTGGTATACAGAGTGAGAGAGGGTGCTACCTCCGATCAGTAAAAGCAACCAGAAGAGATTGTGTCCAATAGCATACCAATAACCGCTTCCATCAATCCAAGCAGAATACGGAGTGTGAGGATGCCGGCGAAATTCTTGGTCGCTGAAGAGCAACAGAGGATAATACCCCAGCAAAAGACGTTGGCTCCGAGAACTTTTGCAACTGGAAAGCGCTGGAGAAGAGCCCCTTGAGGTATCTCGGCGATGGCATAAGCGATGAAGAAAGCTGTCGCCAGCCATGAAAAGTCGTTGCCTGTCATTCCCGAATCGTCCTGAATATGCCCATGACATTTGCATACTGATATCTTTAGCCGTAATTCCCCAATTTCGACTGCAAAGACTCACGTTGATTGCAATTTTGTCAATCATTTGCAAGAAATAAGTCAAAACATGATTGGCAAGATTTGCCAGTCGATCTTGCGTAAGAGCCTTTTGTCATCCATCGCCAGGGTCCCCAAGGCCAGGTCCTCAGGATCAACTTTCTCTGCAAAGCCAGTCTTTTTCTCCATCACTGCTAGAGTTCAGGAAAGTTCAGAGATGGGGAGGAATATCACGGATGCGCCCTTGCATAGTGAATAGAGGCCTTTATGAGTCGGGTCGCGTGTATTGGTATCAGTCAAAGTCAGGTAGCGAACAGGTCTTGTTGCCTAGCTTGTTTTTCTTGGATAATGATTGGTCTGGACTCGACTAGTGAGGGGGCAAATCGTGAGGAAAGATCGGCAGCGGAGAAGAAACATATGCAGCCGTCGCATAGATAACGGATGCGCCGTCGCCTATCGCTACGAGGCTTGGGAAGGCCCCATCCGAAGGACCTTTGGTAAATAGCTTCATCGCATTCACGTATAAGTACCGAATGAGGAAGAAGAAAGCTAATCTTAACATGCAAGTTTCCAATTCTTCAGTACATTGACTATGCCTTCACGTACCGACTCGCCGCTTCAAGTTGCCATCATCGGCGCCGGCCTTGGTGGGCTAGCTGCTGCTATCGCCCTTCGTCGCCAGGGCCATACCGTCACGGTTTACGAGCGATATGATTTTGCCGGGGAAGTCGGTGCATCACTCAGTGCTGCTTCTAATGGATCGCGGTTTCTCGAGGAATGGGGGGTGGACATGAAAGCAGCAAAGCCTGTATGTCAAAGCATCACCTTTAAACACGATCGGTACTTTTCTAATTAGGATGCAGGTCATCTTGAAGCAGCTTATTATGCATAACTGGTCTGATGGGAGGGTGCAAAGCACATATCCGTTGGGCGACTACAAATCCAAATTTGGCACAGTATGAAAGTCGACTGAGATTCACATTTCAAGTCTGACGGTCGCAGGATTATAACAATTTCCATCGCATTGATATTCACAAAGAACTGATCAAATCCGCCTTTGAGACCCCCGGAGAAGGCCCTCAGTGCGAGCTCAAGGTCAACCACAAAGCGGTCGAAGTAAATGCGGAAGAAGGGACCATTCGATTCGAGAACGGGGTTCAAGTAACTGTCGACATGATTGTCGCTGCCGATGGGATCCGAGTAAGATCCCCTCAAAATGAGCCATAAGTCCCTCGCTGACCATGATCAGTCTCTCACACGGAACCTGATCGGAATCACTCCTGAGTTTGAATTGTCGACATCATGCTGCTACCGATGCATCATTGGGGCGGACAAGCTCCGGGAACTTGGCCTGGAAGATTACATCTCCAATGAGGCGATCGAGTACTGGGGCGGCTTTGGGATCAACAAGATCGTCATGTCACCCTGTAGCAACGGTGAAGTCGTGAGCTGCTACTGCTTCTACCTCGCATCGGTCAACAATCTTCGGGAAGATGGATGGAACATCAGTGCCACACCGCAACAGCTAGTGGAAACATTTCCCGACCTCGATCCCAGAATGAAAACGCTGATGTTGAACGCGGAAGATATCAAGATGTGGCGATGTATGTTGAAGCCGTCCAGGATGATTGCACCGAGCTAATCGTGTTGATAGTATATCGACACCAGCCATATCCATACTGGGTCAACGGCAAAGTCTGCCTACTCGGAGATGCCGGTACGTGGATTCTATACACCCTGCCTGTTTATGATTGTGACTGCTAACAGATATAGCACACCCCATGATGCCCGATCAATCTCAAGGATCATGCATGGCATTCGAAGACGCCGGAGCCCTCGGAATCGTGTTCCACAAGAATTTCAGAAATGATTATGGTATGTCCGAAGGTTTGAAGTTGTATGAAAAACTGCGAAAGACGCGTGCGACACGCGTGCAGGAGGCGAGTTTCCGGGCGCGCGAGAACCTCAGCGAGCGGATTGGATGGAGTTCTTCAACTGACCGACCGGGCAAATTGACAATTGAAGAGGTTTGTGGATATAAAATGAAGCATCATTTTGCAAAGCTGTTGAAGGGCGAGTAGTCGGCAACGATCAAGTACTGAGAGTAGTATGTAAATATCTTTGACACTAGATAATCAAGTTCAATTCAGTTGATGGCCAAGGTCGGAGACCAAGACTTAATATGATTAGGATCTCTAAATGGAAAGCTATGTGGCAGTTGTATTTCGGAGTAAATCTGTCCATAGAAAAAGATAGAAGGATATTGTAAAAACTTCCCGCGGACTGATTCCATTGTGAACCTTTGTCGGGTTTCAAAGCCTGACGAGAGTATAGAACAGAGCACCGATGAGATCCTGGTCGTGTTCTCAATTCTGCTTTGTGGTTTCTGCAAGTCTATCCAAAGAGACAATATTGGGACCTCGGTGAGAGAAGGCGATTTGAAATGGATGTGTTGTCACTGCAGTACTGGCAAGCTACTTGGACGTTTCTACTCTGAATGATATATAAAGTCTGCGTTGGATTGCTAATCCACCTTGGATCGAAAACCTTATCTTGTGGTTTTCTCTCTGTCTCATTCAAAGATAGAGCAATCCGAATCGTACATGTTTCATTGACCTAAATGAACACTACCCCTGGGAATTGATTGTATCGTACAGAAGCCCAATTGAAGTCACCTTCTGTTTCACTCCACACCGTTTCCAGCAGCTGTCTCGCGTACTGGATATGACTGAAGCCCAGAGTATTTTCCATGACCATCAGTCGCTCCTTTACCATCATGCGGCGCTCCATACTTATACTACTGGATCCTGCAATCACAAGCGGGAAAAGAAGACATCCTTCTACCCGACTCGCGTATGGGATCTCCTGCACGGAATTGAGGATTGTCATGATAGCGCATTCGACGAATTCATGTTGTGGGTCATAACCCTCCACTACCTGATGCAAGCGCAGTCGAATGGCCCACTCAAACGCGGAGGTAGCGCGCTCAGTATCAGGCTCTTGATCTGCACTCTGATCGTAGTCTGCCCTCCACTCGTCAATTCGATTCTTTAAATGTGTTGCAGCCGCCCGGAAGCCTATCTCCGACAATTCATCTACCCGCTTACTCCGATGGTTTGCTAACAACTTCACCATCCCTAAGAGGTCAAATAGCGCCGGGGAGATGCCGTATATTGCATCCGTAGACTGGAGATGACACTCGTCACGGTATCCGAAGTCGCCGCCAGCGGCAACAGCGTTACTAGGAACGGGTTGCGATTGGCATCGTGAGAACGAGACAGGGCTCGCGCCACAATGTGAATATAGTGATTGAACAGCGACCGGTCCTCATCACTCCGGAGATAGGGATTTGCAGACAGTGGCGACCGATGAATTACAAGAGCCGTATTCCATTTGGGCATCGGATGTGGAAAGAGGGATGCGATGAACTCCTCATCGTCCAAAGCGGTTGAGTCGAATGCCTGTGCATCGCCGTCGGAAGCGTCTATTGTCTCGGCAGCGGGTGAGCTCGGCAGATGAAAAGCTGGGGAAGAAGAAGCGGGGTCTGAGTGTTCTGGATTATCAATACTGACAGGCCACTCGCAAGTCGTATTCAACCGACGGCAATCGCTGCATTTTGGGTGGTTCTCATCGCATTTCTTCTTCCTGTCCGAATCAACACTGTCATACTGACCCCATAGTGGTAGACGTACCTCGCTTTGCACGACAGACACCGGCCTGAAGAGCGCGATGCCCTCGGCCGACGGATGGCGACCGAATTTGGTTTATCGCGCGGACTGCACGAACTGCGCGGTATGCACGAATGACCGAGACCTGCAAGACGTCAATTTTGCAACTAAATCAATCGATATATGTTCATACGTTTGCATCGTGAACACGGTGAGTTGCCGTCGCATCGTTGTTTCTGTATTGATTAGCTGGGATAGGACAGTGGAGTTGATACTAACGATGCGCGAACAGCGAGCACACACTCGCCGGGGGAGCTCATCCTGTGCAGATAGCAGTGCAGTAGCGCAATGGCAAGAGAGAGAGGCAGAAGCGACGGGACTCTTTCCATTTCCCCTCTCGGACAATTCCGATCCGACGGTGATAAGGAAGATAAAGTAGACCAGGCTCTAATCCCAAGTTGGTTAGTGGTCGGCAGTCAAGTGCGGGGTGTACTAGACTATGTTAAAAGAATATTCAGCTTCGGGACCAAGGTAGACTTTGAAGTATTGTAATAAATGTAATCTAGGAGTATCTATCATCTATCAAGGAGTATCTCGGGTCATACGCTATGTCTCCTCGGGTTTGGAGTTTACATCGTACGGTTGGGATACTAAGGTCCTCAATTGCTGCAAGGTCCTTATGCCACTTGGCTGAGTTTCTAGTTGCATTTCTACCTCTTCTTCTTGCTCACCTTTTCATCCAATTCCATTCTCCCGATGCAAAAGTGGTATTCTGCAGCCCCCCCACCTACCTCGCCTCTCAATGAATTTCATCACTGCAACTTCTCGTTTCTTGTTACGAGATCCGTGCCGGAATCTTTGAAGGTGTGGCCATTTCCGGAATCATCGGTCGGCACGTTGGAGGAGAAACACCAACCTGCATAAGGAAATGGTGTGATGAGTGATGAGGTAAAGCCGAGAGACGAGTTTAAAGGCGGTGAGGTATGAAGTAGCGTTGAAAGTGAATTCTGTATTTCTAACAATGTGTTCTAGGTATCCCTGATACTTTCCGCTAAAATTCAAACGTCATTCGTTCACTTGATGGTCTACTCGTTCACCAGGACGTAGCGGAACCGGGCAGAGCCAGCGTCCATATCCTGGATAGCCTGGTTGGCCTCCTTCATGGGACGCTCCTGGATCCAAGGGTGGACCTTCTTGTCAGCAGCGAGCTGCAACATCTCACGGATCTCGGAGGGGCTACCGATGAGGGAACCACCGAGCTTGATACCCTTCACAATCAGAGCGAAGGCGGGGATCTCTAGAGCACCATCCTCGGGCGCACCGAGCTGGACGAGAGTTCCACGGAACTTGAGAAGCTGGCTGTATTGGACAATGGGCATCTTGGACGAAGAAACAGTGGAGATGATGAGATCCAAAGACTGAGCGTGCTTGGTAGCCCAGTCCTCCTCCTCACTGGTCGCGATGTATTCGTCAGCTCCAAGTTTCAGCGCATCTTCCTTCTTGTCACTCTTGCGAGAGATGGCGACGACGCGGTCAGCACCAAGTGCCTTGGCGAAGAGAATACCGAAGTGACCAAGACCACCGACACCGATGATACCAACAGACTTGCCGGGTCCACAGCCGTGCTGCTTCAGGGGTGAGTAGGTGGTGATACCACCGCAGAGCATAGGAGCAGCTTCGGCGGAGGGAATGGCATCGGGGATCTTGACGACAAAGGCAGAGGGAGACCGGTTGTATAGTGAATATCCACCATATGACTTGCCACCGTTGGCATAAGTACCGTTATATGTGCCAACCATGCGGTTGCAGTGCTGCTGGAGGTCGCGAGCACAGGCATCACAGTCACCATCCTTGTTCAAGCAGGCACCGCTCTGCGCACCAACACCGACGCGGTCTCCGACCTTGATACCGCCAACAGCCTTGGAGCCAACGCGCACGGCAGTACCGACAATCTCGTGTCCGACGCAGCAGGGGTAATCAGTGGGACCCTACAATAACCAGTCATTAACAATATTGACGCGTGCAGCAAGTTCAATTGCAAAAACATACCCATCCACTGCGCAAAGTGTGCATGTCAGACCCACAGATACCGCAGTGAGTGACCTTGATGTCGATGTCGGTCTCCTCCCACGGCTTGGGCTCGAATTCCTGCCAGACCATCTTGCCCTCGGCGGCCTCGGGGCCGAGGCCCATCCAGCCCTCGAATTTGTAAGATTGGGTTGCTGACATTGTGACTTTTTCTTTGATCAATTGAGTGTGAATTGATTCGTATTCTACTGTCCTTCGAGGGGTCTCGCCTTGCTCTTTATACACTATTCTATAATATTATGATCCTGCTCGACTGGGTCCGGGAAAAATCTCGCAACTTTCTGTTTTTATCACTGAAACAGCTTGCTCAGCCAGACCAGGTCCACTTGATCCACCGTGCGGGAGTGTCATCACGGTCTTAACGTGTGTTTATTTCCGTTCTCGGAGAAAAGCCAGTCTCGGGTGGCGTGGATGACATCTGGATCAAGGGGGAAGATGAACTAAGCGGCCGTTCTGAGTGGCAGATAACCCAATCATGCTGATCCTTTCTCATGTGGCTTCCATGCATCGAGCTTTTTTTTAAAGTTCTGACCGCCGTCCTGGGATCCGGTTTAAAGCCCAGGGCGGAAAATGCCGATCGCCGGATCCGCGTTTTCTATTTTTTCCGACTACCCGGATATCTATTTACGGCGTCTTTTTCTCGGGTCGGTTCGCTCGGGTGGTCAATTGTCCCGATCCCGTGAAGCTTCGACGACTCTTGTCTTGTGGCGGTCAGCCAAGTGGGTTGACTATCGCCGCCAGGGGTTTGGTAATTGGTCATGGTCATAAATCATGTTGGTATGCTAGGGCGAAGAAGCTTCAAATGACCCAATCCAGCCCACCTACCGTGCCCAGCGCCGCGGTTGATTACAAGCACAAGTACAGCGTGGCATTTTGTGATGGAGTGACATCATGTCACCTTGCCAGTCCCTCGCTTCTTACCCTGCCTCAAGTGGTTTGTCCGCCTTCATTATCACCAGCCCGAGAACTAACATAGCAAATCTGTACTGTTCTCCTGGACATCGACAATTATGACATCACGTATCCCTAGCTCAAAATCCGCAGGCCAAATTTCGAGTATTCGTGCAACCCCTTGAACGGCTTCTGGGCTTGCTGCTCGATGCAGCTCCCCCCATTCCCCAATTCTTTCGCGAGGGAGTTAAGCGATTCTTGGCGTGTTTATAGCTTCTTTATGATTAGGAAAGGTTCACTGACATAGCATGTTTGACATAGTATGTGAAGGATCATTGGGAACTATGACTAAACAAAATTCGTCCCTTTCGGCTTTATTCTCGAGAGGGTTCTTTTCTCCACAAATAGTGAACCCCTCAAGGTCTGCCTAGAATCATGCACTGAATGTCGTACGTACCGATTTAGAACGTCTTTCAAATCATTTGGGTCTTCAGAATTTGTTTTAAGCGTACATAATGCACGTTTCTCGGTATAAGTTGAGGTTGAGTTGCCTGCTGCAGAAATCCCAATGAGCTCAAAGGATCGACATTTTAGTCGATTAGACCCCCACAAGACTAAATTAGCACAATTCTGCTGCAGTTTATATTCCTTGGCGCCGTTTTGCGAAGGCCCCTCAAAGCTTGGCACATCAGGTCGAAGATCAATAGAGACCCACGTCTGCAGCTAGATGCTTTTTCCTACCGACAGAGGGAAAATTTGGGTTGACCTTTAAACTGTCATTGTTTGCAATGAGTAACTATACGGAAACTTGAGACCATATGATATTCGACATTCAGACAAGGTTTTTCGTATTGAGGACTCACCTGATAAGTAGTACAAGAATTTCATGTCAGGTGAATGTTTACACCTGAGGCCGATATTGTTGCCTGAGGGAAATCTCATCAGGGTGCCTGGTGCACCCACAGACTGTACATGAACCAGTGGACTAGCGACTCATGGCCTGTGCACCTACCTTGATATTACATGTAGCTACGGGGGATTTACAAGCTAAGAGCCCGGTCTCTCACGTATTCACAAATTCCCTTCATGATGTTCAGCCTCAGGAACCCACTGCGTATTTTCAGTTTGTAATTGCGATCACAGCTCAAAGATAAAAATGAGTGATCCAGTAACTCCGACTTGACAGCACAGTATAGGTCTGGAGATGAGGTGGCAGCGATAATGTCCTCCGCTGTTCGCTTGTACCAAGGTTACAGACTGGGACATGCGAAGTCAAGAATAAGTCCCGCAGGAAATGTTCGGGCAGAGACCAGAGAAAATTAGGATACCATATTGTCGAAATTATAGAAATGAGAAGAATACTGAGTGAAAGGCAATCCCATGGGTTTCTCTAGCTCAGTTATTCCTTGTCGTGGTATCTCGGCAAATCCAGCCGGTGGAGAACTGGATGATGCAATTGGGGGCTTTGATGGCGATCCGCCGTCACGCAACTTCACACATTCAAGTTCACAGTCATCTATTGCTAGGGATGGGACTCTCGATACCTCAGTCTTCATTGTCATCTAGCCACATCGTGTATGTGACAATTCTTTTTCTGTAAAAAAATATAGTATTGCGATGAAGAAGAAACAAGATCCCTCATGTTTTCATGTGAACGGCTATGCTTCTCATCTCGCGTGGGGTGGACCCCGCCCATGGCGTGCTTTGCGATCGCGATGAGAACCCGCCAACCGCGGATTATTGGCGTAAAAACGGGCAGCAATCAAAAAAATTAGCGGATATGCCGGGATGCAATACCTCGCCAGACTAACCCACTCAAAAGCCAAAGCCATCGGAGAATCAATAAGAGGGCCCAGTCCACTTCGAATGAAGTCGGGGCCCTTTTTCGCATTGCTCTTTTTTTTAATTTTCCCCTTAGCATCTTCTGAGGTTTGAAATGGTCTCAATAATCAAATACAGCGCCGGCAATGCGCCTGGTGACGATGCGCCCGGTAACGATGCACCCGAGAGCGATGTTTTGAAGAATCAGTCCACAGTCAACGTACACACGCCTCACGATGAAGAAAGCCCGTTATTATCGCGACCGGATTCAACAGAGACAATAGCCAAGGATTTGAAAGGCGTAGGAACAATAGTCGCGGTGCTTCTTCTCGGTAAGATGCCAACTCGGGAAGAATGCATGATTCCTCTTTGATTAACGATGCATAGGCGAATTCATTTCCAACGCCGATGCGACTCTGGTCTTGGCAGCTGCTGGTCACATTTCGTCCCAATTCAATCGACTACGCGATGCGAGCTGGCTTTCCACCGGATACACAATTGGCCTTTGCGCCGCACAACCCATGGTGGGTATCAATTGTGGGAGATCGCAGGGGATTGACACTAAAAAATTTAGTACGGCAAATTGAGCGATATTTACGGTCGGAAACCACTTCTGCTGGTATCATACTTTCTTTTCGCTCTCGGTTGCATCATCAGGTACAATCCAAGTGCATTCTCAGTATCAAGGCAGGATTTTTGACGCTCTATAGTGGCATTGGACATGATATGTGGGTGGTTATCCTTGGACGCGCCATCTGTGGAATGGGTGGTGGTGGTATTATGACTATCAGCTCGATCATTATTACCGGTGAGAACTGAACTGACATCGAATCAATGTTCAAAATATGCTGACTATTGTCAGATATTGTTCCCCGACGCGAAGTGGCCACTTGGAGAGCCTATGTCAATGTTGCGATGACGCTCGGCCGCAGCCTCGGTGGCCCTTTGGGAGGATGGCTCAGCGATACTATCGGATGGCGGTGGTAAGTCAGTTGAAAACATTTCGAATCCAATGTCTAATTATCTTTAGGCTTTTCTTGCTCCAGGCTCCCTTTGTTGCTCTTGCCGCTTTACTTGTAATCGTCAAACTCCCGGTAACTCAGTCCTTGTCTTTTGATATCGCTGCAGACGGCAACGGATCCCGCCTTAAGCGAATTGACTTCCTAGGAACGGCTCTGCTCGGCTCTTCGATTATAGCCATAACGGCATTGTTAGATCAGGGCGGGAAGTCATTCCCCTGGCGCTCATGGCTCACAGCATTCACAGCTGGGGGCGGCTTATTACTTCTCCTGGCGTTCGTGCTGGTTGAGGCCTACGTCGCCAACGACCCCATTTTTCCTCTCCGAATTCTACGTCGACCAAATGTGGCTACGAGCTATCTCATTTCAGTGCTGCAAATCACCGCGCAGCTGGGAATGATGTTTTCGATCCCTCTGTACTTCCAAGTCACTCAACGTGCATCAACCACGGAATCCGGATTTCACCTCATCCCAGCGGTCATTGGTAATACGTTGGGTGGTCTTCTCGCCGGTGGATTCATCAGACGTACCGGTCATTTTAAAGTCCTTCTCGTCCTGGCTGGGCTGATTGCTTCGGTGACATATACTCTGCTCTATTTGCGATGGAATGGAAACACTGGATTCTGGGAATCCCTGTATATCATTCCGGGCGGACTGGGAACTGGAATTGCGTCAGCTTCTTCATTCATTGCAATGACGTCTATGCTACCACCCCAAGAGATTGCTATGGCGACATCTGCATACATGCTTCTGATCAGCTTTGCCATGACAGCAGGCGTCACGACTTCCAATGCCGTTCTCGGAGCAGAGTTCCAGCGTCAGCTTCGACAGAATCTGCACGGACCTGGATCCAAGAAGGTGAGTTCTTGAATATCTTGTCATTCGACATTCAACTAATGTTGATAGGTGATCCAACGTGCAATGGCGGACACCGGATACATTGCTCATCTCACAGGCCACATTCGTGAGATTGTGGTCGATTGCTACCTCTTGGGTCTGAAGCACACCTATTGTAAGTCACACACTCGCTTTTTTGAACTCGATTCTGATACCTGGCAGTGATTTCACTTGGCTGCTCTCTCACCGCTGCATTCTTGGGCCTTTTCATTCGTCACCACCAGATCTAGAAGGGTGACAATAGCAAATCAAGTTTAAGCTCTATTGAAAATGTCCTATTACAATTTCTACCCACTGGTTCAGTAATAATTAGAATTGTGCTATATGTGCTTCTGATAGTGATTCTCGATGTTGAGTTCTTGAATTCGATTTATGACACCTTCGGTAAACACTGGCCATAGCAACATACTTCGAAGACTTAGACACGTCGTTTCAATTTGAAGACCATACCCTGCTATCTACGTAGAAGATCCTATACAGACAAGAGCTAGCTGTGCTGTAACATGAGATGACCGAAAAGGTCAGTCATAGCACTCACTCAATCTGACACTACCTCCAAGTGTCATTCTCTGTAACGGCCGTCGTGCTGCAGGCAGCCGGCACAGTATAAGAGCGGTTCGGGTCACTTTCCCACTCAATAGTCCCGTCACTCTCAACCCGGATGTACTTGTACTGGAAGGTAGTTCCGGCTGGGAGGTTGACTGTGACAAACCAGAGATTATTAGAACTGGTGTAGTCGCTGGCACTCAGGGCAATCGCTTTGCTGGTGTCCCAGTCACCAAGGGCATCGATAGACCCGGCTAACTTGATGTTCTCTCCATACGTGGTAGTGGCGATAAGGTCAAACGTTACTGCCACGGCTGTCGGGGTAGTGCAAGATGTGCTCGTGCTGGTGGTCGTGGTCGTGGCAGTGCCTGATCCACTGGTCAATGTAGTCGGCCAGGCTGTGTTAGTCGCAGTGCTGTATGTGCCAGTGGCCGAGGTAGAAACACACGTCGCGGGAACGCTACTAGCAGATGTCTCTCCCCAGGCAGCTGGAACGACCGAGTTGCGGCGCATGTTGGCTGTCAAGAGAGCAGCATATGACCAGGTCAGATCACGCGCCGACAGCGGTGATCCATTGGTCTTGGAGAATTGCTCGGACAAGGAGCCGTTGGTCATGGCGTACTCTTCCTACACCAACGTTAGAACATCCGGGCAATGTCTTTTTTTTTTTTGTTCTTGCAATCATTCACTTACCACGAGGCTCATGTATCCATCAGCATATGTCTTGACCGCGCTCACAATAGTTGAGTATGTTGCGCTCGACGAAGAGTAGGTGCCAGTGGCGGCGGAGCTGTACATGTCTTTGAAGAAGGGTAGGGAGACACTGTTGATAGTAAGAGAACCAATCTTGTTCCACTGGTAGAGAGCATCATAAAGAAGCTCGGCTGCCGCCATGGTACACAGATACCAGGGGTTGCCATTGTAGTATGAGTCTTCTGGATAGCGACCGACTGATACCGCTGTCCCTTCAGCGATACCCGAGTTCAGAGTATAGATGGAGCGGAAAGAATCAGTCACCACTTTGTGATTGGCCAAGGCTCGAGCTGAACAAGGCTGGAAAGTTGTGTCATCACAACCGGCCTCCGGGTCAAAGGTATGAATGCTACCAAGGAGCGTATTGGCATCCTTGCCTGTGCGGCTACTTCCAAAGTTGGCCAGTGTGTAGGATCCGGTCCAGAAGGACTGCAGGAAGCACAAAACCTGGGGAGCCTGGGAGTCGCAGTAAGAGCAAGAGGAGCCAACCTGGGAGGCGAACTTGCTGCCTTCTACAAGAGCACGATGTTGCACTGCAATTGTGAAAAAGGACGAGCCGCTGATTTCTTCCCAGAGATCTATTGATCTCGTCAGTTCAAAGTTTCATTGGCAGAGACATAGGATCCTACCAAAGCCAGTGTTGTTCCAGTACTGCGCCACGTAGGACAGATCGTTTCGAACAATCGGCCAGACAATGTTCGTTGCTTGGGTGGTGTATCCATTGTTCTGCATGAACGGATCGTGTCAATCCTGTCGCAACGCGACAAATGGGGAAGGGAAAAACGTACAAGCAACCACTGTCCGAATGCAACCAGAGCAGTGGCTCGAAGCGCAGGGCCATCACGCTGAGGACGTCCCCAAGCGCCGGTGAAGGCGGTCTCATCAACGTTGAACTTGGGTTCACCCAGGCCGCCACTAGAAAGAGAGCCTGACGGGTTGGAGACGGTCTGAAGATAGGCCTGAGCGCTGATATATTCTTCGATGAGATCCAGCAACCCAGTGTCGCCGTTCTTGAACAGATCGATCAGAACCTTCAAGGTCAGAGCTGAGTCGCGAGTCCAAGTATAGTAGTCTATCTCTGTTAGTCCGAGTTGTACATGAGATGGATCTACCCTTACAGTCCGGGTTGTCCAGGCTGGGACTGGCAATCACAATGCCTGGCTTCGCACTAGCAGCATACGCGCCACTTGCCCCAATGTTATCGAGGATCCCCTGTCGCGCAACCGTTGTCTCTGATGCCAACCAAGTATCCAAGCTACCGGTGGCTCGCGCTTCCAACTGAGGTGTAGCCAGTACGGCCTGGCCGAGAGTCCACGCCCAGAGCGCAGTCCAGATGGGAGCCATGATGATGATTAGAAAAGTGATGCCTGTTCCTGCCCTGGGCTTCCCGTGCCTTTTTATCTCCCAATTATAATGTCGAGTCATGCTTCGGTTGGGCTGTAAATTTTGTGTTGCAGGGGTTCAGGATGCGGGGAAGAAAAGGCGAGTGCATCCAAGCGGAGATCCACGGGGGTCCGGCGTGAACATAGTGGATTAGTTCGCTCTAATGCTTTGAGGCGTGCATACGCTTGCGGCTTTCGCATCTAGGGCTGTGGATCGACATCGTCATGCATCTTCATGTAATTCCTATGTGTCCCCCATGTATCTCCGATGTGACTGGTCTCAACACACATCATTCTGACGAACGCGACTCACCGCCTTAGGATGATACACGCGATGCGGAATCCTATTCATCGTGTGAGAACTAGAAAGATGAGGCGGGTGAAAGCGCGTCCAGCCCCCCCGCAGATTCTCCGCCCCTGTCATCTCATCTCATCTCGCACGCTCCCGATCGCCAATCATCGCCCCCCCTCGCAGCCCCGTCTCTGGCATCTCCGGCCTCGCCTACGAAGGAGGCGTTTTGGCAAATGTGCCTTGCATGTGAGCCTGACTGGCCTGCAACGCCAATGCGGAGCCGTGCAGAACTTCATCGTGGGGCCCACGGAGGATCTACTGCTTAGAGACTGGCGCTGCTCACTAGCGTCACTCCTGAAGGTACTCTAATAACCGACCTGGTCAATTTATCCTGCTTTTGTGAGGAAATCGACAGATTGATACGCCGGTTAGGCTTTACCACAAATTGCGACATTTTCATGGCCTGATGTAGTGCTTGTCGAGGGTGTGAAACAGCTAGCGCATTCATGCCAATTGACCCTATTCATTGGCTCTTGGCTCCGATGGTTTTCCGTTCAGACGATGACGACGCAGACAACTGAAAATAGTCAAAGCCCTGCGAGGCAGCAATAATTCTTGCGGGGCAATCGAGTATAAACGACGCGACGATTTTGTCAAAAAAATTATACTGGCAACTATCAAGGGGAGATTGGTACTACATCCTTGGCCATGAGACTACTTCTCTCTGTGGCTCTGTGCTTTGCACAGGTTGTTGCGGGCCTCACACCCGCTGAATGGCGCAGCCAGTCTATCTATTTTCTTCTCACGGACCGTTTTGGTCGTAACGACAATTCCACCACCGCAGCGTGCGATGTTAGTGATCGAGTAAGCGCGCTGAAATTCCTTGCTAGGAAAATAAGCTGACATGGCTAGGTCTACTGTGGGGGAAGTTGGAAGGGAATCATCAATCATGTACGCTCACACTCAGCGTAAACGACCCATGCTAATATCGATAGCTGGATTATATCCAAGGAATGGGATTCACTGCAATCTGGATCACACCAGTGACTGAGCAACTGTCACAAGACACTGGAGATGGAGAGGCTTACCACGGATACTGGCAGCAGAAGATGTAAGCAGTCCGAGGGTGCCCGGACTGAGGCTGAGCTGTTTGAATTAGATACGATATGAACACCAACTATGGCGCCGCTAATGACCTCCTTGCGCTGTCAAAGGCACTGCATAATCGTGGAATGTATCTTATGGTAGATGTTGTGGCCAACCATATGGTAAGTACCCAGCCTCGCAGCGGTGACAATGGCTCACTCAGACCGCAGGGATATGATGGAGCAGGCAACACGGTTGACTACAGTGTTTTTGACCCCTTCGACTCGTCCTCCTATTTCCACTCATACTGTCTCATCAGTAACTACGATAATCAAACCAATGTAGAGGATTGTTGGCTCGGTGACACTACAGTATCTCTCCCAGATCTCAACACCGAGTTGTCATCTGTTCAAAAACTCTGGTATGGATGGATTTCGAATTTAGTCTCGAACTATTCCAGTGAGTTTTTCCATCTAGTCAACTAGGATGCTGCTGACAATCTCCCAGTCGACGGGCTGCGCATCGACACCGTGAAGCATGTCCAACAGTCTTTCTGGCCCGGTTACAATCATGCTGCAGGTGTATACTGTGTGGGAGAGGTCTTGAGTGGGGACCCGGCATATACCTGCCCATATCAGAACTATCTCGATGGTGTTCTGAATTACCCAATGTAAGCAGTCCCCTATCGGTCTTCGCGCATGACTAACATGGTTTCAGTTATTACCAACTGCTCTACGCGTTTGAGTCTCCCAGTGGGAGCATCAGCGGCCTGTATAATATGATCAACTCGGTAGCTGCAGACTGTGCCGACCCAACTCTGCTTGGAAACTTCATCGAAAACCATGACAATCCACGATTTGCATCGTATGTATACATCTTCTGCCGCTACTATGCCATGCTGATGGCTTAGTTATACGAGTGACTACTCTCAAGCAAAGAATGTCATATCCTTTGTGTTCTTGTCCGATGGGATTCCAATCGTATATGCGGGACAAGAGCAGCACTATAGTGGAGGCAACGACCCCAACAACCGCGAAGCCACCTGGCTATCAGGCTATTCGACCACAGCTGAGCTCTATGAGTTTATCGCTACTACAAACAAGATCCGCAGTCTTGCGATCTCTTCAGATTCCTCCTATATCACGTCAAAGGTAAGTCTCACGATAATTAGAATATGAAGATCGTGAATGAATGTGTTCACAGAATGATCCTTTCTACTCGGACAGTCATACACTGGCTATGAAAAAGGGCTCAAGTGGTTCGCAAGTCATCACAATCCTTTCAAACTATGGCTCCTCGGGTAGCTCCTATACTCTGACTCTGAGTGGAAGCGGATACTCTTCAGGGACGCAACTCATGGAACTGTATACTTGCACTTCTGTGACGGTTGACTCGAGCGGCAACCTTGCAGTTCCCATGGCTTCAGGCCTGCCTCGAGTTTATATGCTAGCGTCTTCTGCCAGCGGCAATGGTCCTTGTGCAACCGGATCAACGACTACTGCTACATCCACATCCACAACGGCCACAACAAAAACAGCCACTTCAGTCAGTTCATCGACGCATTCATCGACTTCAACCAAGACTTGCACACAAGCCACTGCCCTGCCAGTCCTCTTCAAAGAGATTGTGACCACCGTTTATGGAGAAAGTATCTACTTATCTGGCTCAATCAGTCAATTAGGGGATTGGAATACCGCCGATGCTGTCGCTCTCTCTGCAGACGAGTACACATCTTCCAATCATCTGTGGTATGTCGAGGTGACACTCCCAGTCGGCACCTCCTTTGAATACAAGTTTATCGAAAAGGCCGGGTCCTCGGTGACTTGGGAGAGTGACCCGAATCGGTCATACACAGTGCCAACAGGCTGTTCGGGAACTACTGCAACTGTAACTGCAACATGGAGATAGGGTCACACTATGAACTAAATTGACATGATCATTCACTCGTGCGAATTGTTCTCTCCTCGATTTATTGACAGATAGATAAGTAGTATAGACATATCGGACGCTCGTATCCGGTCTCGTCCGCCACTAAACATACAACGCTTTGGGGTTCTCCAAGATGAAATCAGCAACAGATTGACGGAAATCATCGGCCAGCAATGCCCCGTGATCACTGAAGAAGTGCATTAGACTGTGATTGCCACTCCACTGCGGCCATTCCATGTATTTTCCTCGAGAATTGGGATCCTGGTCGTAAACAAATGATAGGTAGTAGGAATGGAAGGATCGGGACGCGTAGTTGGGCAAGATTCCGTAAAAGACTTGTATCACGTCGGACCCGTGGAAAGTGCCAAGGATGGGAGTCCCGTAGTCATATGACGAAAGATATGACCAAAAGGGAATATGAGGCTTTGCTTTTCTGGCGAGCGTCAGGAACGCACGTCGGGTTATTGTAAAAGGAAATGTCGCCCAGAATCGCTGCAATACGTTTATACTGGGGGTACCAATTGTTGAATCCACCCGTGCGGAAGGGCGAGCCGTAGACTGAGGTATCAGGGTATTTTGATACAAGCTCTTCAAGTTGGGCCCGCGTAGCATCGTAGAAGAGGAAATCTTGCAAGTAATTCACGACGTCCTCTGTGGTTGTGATGTTGACTTGCGACAAAGAAAAGATGGTGCCTTCATCTTCCTGGTCACCGATAATGAAGGGCACCTCGGCATATTTGCCCTCTTCGACTAGTATTTCTGGGGAGTCTGTCAAGGCTTTGCCATCTGGCCGAGGCATATATGGCAAGAAAAACGGGTCGGGGAAGGAGGTAGCTGCGTTCAAGAAGCTCGTATAATCTAAATCGCGTAGACATGCCAGGGCATCGTCGGCATCATCACAACCAGCAGTTTTCACCACATGGTCGAAGACTGCCTGACCCTTGGGGCAGTCCACCGGGTCGGCAGGGGTGATACTGCCCGAGTTCATGATGCCGCCGCGGAAAAGTGGCGATCCTTTATAGGTATGATTGCCATCATACAGGGCCAACTGATTGAAGACGGAAATGGCACCGGCTGATTCACCCCAGATAGTCACTTTGGATGGATCACCTCCGAAGGCTTCAATGTTATCTGCAACCCACTCCAGAGCTAGTCGTTGGTCAAGTAGACCCAGGTTGGCAGAACCGTCATTCAGAATCTCTGCACCAGGCAGGAAACCAAAGGCACCAAGGCGATAGTTCATGGCCACGAAGACGACCGGCATTTGGAGGTTGATCGAGGCAGTGACCATGCTTGTACCGTCGTACATGGCGGTGGAACCCGTCTGGAAGGCTCCGCCATAGATCCAGACCAGCACAGGCAGTTTCGCGCCAGGTTTCGTCCCCGCTGGACGACGGATATCCAGAGTCAGACAATCCTCTCCCACATTGGCAATGGTCTGAAAGATTGGGATATGGGATATTTGTGCGAGTACCGACTCGGGAAAATTGCTAGTGTCGGCATTCAAACGGAATTGCGGGCATGATCTGGCCTTGAAAGTTGCCTCTATAGCACCTAGGGGACTCGCAATTGGCCTCGGAGGCTTCAGGCGAAGAGATCCTGTTGGAGGCTGTGCGAAGGGGATGCCATTAAACATATCGACCTTACCCAACCCCGACGAGCCAAGTATGGTCGCCTGGGGGTGAGAAATCGTGACTGTTGGGGCATCACCTCTCTTAGCTGGTGCAGCTAGGACAATAGGTAATAGAAGCAATAAGAATATGAACAGCATGTTGACTTGCTGCCACAAAATGAGCTGCAGAAACTCAACGTTCCTTGCCACTGATCACAAAAGGGGGGGGGGGGGCCTTATAAACCATCCCTTCGTCTCCAGCCGCCTTGGAGATTGAGACATTCACAGCCTTCCATCATGCTCTCTTCTGGAATGAATTGAATGTAGGGTATCTCCAACGAAGACTTTTCACTGGGCCATCGCGCTCATCTTCAAAAAAGGATCCCCACAGAAGCGCCGAGACCCTCGGGAACCCGCTTGAACGGTCTCTGACATTCGCCGATCTGAAGGGTCATTCGGGATAAAGTATGGCAAACCTGCAATTCAACACAGGAAACTCCGCCCTCTCTTAACACTTGCAAAGGAGTTTCTGGTAGAATAGAACCTCTGTCATTTGGAGCTATTCGATGTCCGTCTATGTGCATCGCCAACGAGCGCATCACACACTAGCTGAGAAGGGTCCCAACCTGCTTGACTGACCTGCAGAAATCAAGGGAGAGTATCTTAGCGCGTATTTTGGAATGCACAATGACAGGGGTCGACAAATTGTGCAGCATTTCAGCGATCATCTTTACCAATTTGGGATGCGGTGGTGGAGTGGTTGAGCGCACGGGCTGAACACAAATTGCATACGATCTGGTGCTTTCTGGTCGTCCCACTTGATTGATCTAAGGCCTCCTTCGCTAGATGACGACATTCAACTTTGGGTGTCATCGTACATGAAAAAAAGAAAATACGATCCAGTGACAGCCTATTCATAGGCTAGTGAAAAGTGAACAAAAATCAATAGTTGAAAATGAGGAGGATGTGAGGTATCTAATGTTTTGTTGTAGAGTGAGTAATTAATTCAAGCTATGGACTATTCAGCTCTGAATGTGACTATGCAGCTTATAACCATGCCTGAGTTAGCTGAACGCAGCTCTATGGCCACCTAGAAGAGAGTTATGCTTAGCTGAGCCTACATGAAGACCTTAAAGGCGATTAATCATAGTAGATTATTTTCTCATATGTGACTTTCAAAGCCTTATCCTATGTGTTGCTCCTGTCTATCCAAAACAAAATAACGCCAACCAAGCCCTGGAAATGCAAAACGGAATGAAAAAAAAAAAGGAGGCACCTATGTCCGCTTATTTCTCAGTCTGCCAGCCCTCCCATCGTTGGAAATCGCCCGTGTCCAAATCGAATAGGTCCAACATGCGCCCCACGCTCTGATCAACCAGCTCATCGACAGATGCAGCCCTGATATAGTACGCCGGCACAGGGGGAAAAATAATCGCACCGGCCCTAGAAACCTCCAACATATTGCGCAAATGAATATCACTCAATGGTGTTTCCCTAGCCACGAGCACAAGTCTCCTTCTCTCCTTCAACATCACATCCGCAGTGCGAGAAATCAAGTCGTCACAGAATCCACTGTGAATAGCAGCGAGCGTCTTCATACTGCAAGGAACAACGATCATGCCATCGGCCTTGAAGGAACCACTTGAGATCGGCGCAGCCATATCACTGATATTATGGACGTGGTCTGCGAGCGCCTTGACGTTGGCCGGGTGGTAGTCGGTTTCGTATTTGATGGTTGCTTCGGCCCATTTGCTCATGACTAGGTGAGTTTCCACATTGAGACGACGGAGGGCGATGAGACATTTGATTCCCAAGACTGCGCCGGTTGCGCCGGTCATGGCGACCACGATGCGTCGCCGGCGGGGTAGGGCGACATGTTCAATATTGGAAGGCATTGTTTCTTCGATTGGGCTGCCGCCAGGGGTATGACGGCTGGATGATGGAGTGTGAGTTCCAGAAAGAATGGACAGCATTGGTAAAATTGTTCAGATATTGTGTGAACTTGCTCTTGAATGGTGTTCCGTGGTTTGGTTTGTGTACCGTGGTATGCCGTGGAACTTGTGAAGCTTTGACGAAGACCTTCAACCGACAGGCCAGCCTCGTTTTATATAAGACCTAACAAGATGCCGGATATCCAGTCTTAGCAGATTCTTAACTTTGGTATGATCTCAAGTTCCGAAAAATAAGAAAAAGACTGATGTCGGCCCGATTTCGAAACCCGGGTGGAACTGTCCGAGTCCCCGAAGCCGAGCCTCCGAGACGCGGCCGATCTTCCTTTGCCATACTTTTGCCGTGCCGGCGCCACGGTGGAGTTCTTTTGTCATTGATCGACGCGACAAGAAAGGGGTGAATTATTTTTGCACTAAAACTGTGAACCGGCACTTGCTGAAAATCTACGGCTGTTCATTCAGGCTGGATGGGGTATCTAGTCTTCGTATCCACTTTGTTCACAGGAACCCGTTTTCCTGCGAATAATCAAACATGGGAACTATGATATGTTAGTTCGAAGCGGCCGCGGCAACAACTGCTTAGGGAGAACTCACCGTTCATGATTGAGTCCAAATATGTGACAGGTGAAAAGTCGAATGGATTTGGCACATCCATGAGCCCGTCTGGTCTTTCCAGACATCAGCAACTGTCTTCATCATCAATGAGCTCATGAGACTTACCCGGATCCGAATTGGGGCACCACATTCTGAGTCATTCCCGCCCAGTTGGATGCCTCGGCAGCACCCGCCTCTTCCTCCCGTTCCAGTGCGCTTCGTAAAGTCACCAGAGCTCGGATGTGACGCGCTGACAGCCACTGGCCATCACCTTCATTCATGGAAACTCCATCATCAGAGGTTCTTGAATCTGTTGATGAGAACACGTCAATGACTCTCTGTTGAAGACTGCGACATTCGGGGTCGTTGCGAGTCTCTTCCCAGATACAAAGCAGTAAAGTCGAGCTTAGCACAGTATGTACCATTGACCAGCTCCGCAATGGAACAATACTGAGAGCTTGAAAATCAAGAAAAGCCTTTGCTGCATCCATCAAACCTCCCTTGGCGCGAGCTCGAAGAAAATCAGCGTGGGGAACGAGGGCCTCTGACGTGGCCTGCTTCATTGCCGGTCGGCAAAGGACCGACACACAGAAAGAAGTATGCATTCTGAGAGCTAGATGCTCGAGATTCTGTTGGAGTGTTGTGCAATTTGCTCGTGATCGAAGGTAAGGCAGGCCGCGTTGTTGAGCATCGTCGAGCCGCTGCAGCCCTTCCAATGCTCGATCACTCTCAACGACCCCAAGATCATCCGGTCGCATAATGTCCAGGCCAAGAAGACAGATAGAGTGCATGACTTCCGTGTAGGACAGATCTTGTCTCTCATAGAAGGATTTGGGCAGAGACCACCCCGTGATGGAAACAATAGGTGGTCGGTCATAGCAAAGACATAGTAAACTGTCTTGCCAGACCACCGTCGACCTATTAAACAGGTGTCAGCGCCAAGGATACTAGTAAAGAGAATCTCTGGCAGGGAAAAGGGGAAGAATTCATACCAAAGAGTCCTCGCCTTGTTCCTCACATTCTCAGGCCAATGAATGGTACTTCTTTCAGTGTGCAGCCCCATAGTCTGAGCTAATCGAACAGTCGTCCCAAGCAAGGCCCAGGCGGCATCAGACTGACCCATGTTCTGCAGCGTATTTCCCAGAATTAGTAGCGCTTGAACAATATCAAGTGATGGCCGAAATAGGAAGTTGGCCAAGCGAAGAGCATGGAACGATCGACGAGCTGAATCTTGTTAGACAAGCTTGACAAGTCCTGCAGGTAAACATACCAAAATCTATTGATAGTTCGAGTCGTTGTGGATATTCAAGATCGGAATAATGTGCCCCTGCTGCTAATGTAGCTAGTAGAAGGCTCACGTGGCCAATGGACTTGTCGGTTGCCCAACGATCGGTGATTCTCTTCGGGTCGCGCAGTTGGCCCGTCGCGTGGGCATTGAGATATGTGCAAAGGTCAGTCTCAAAGCGGTCTATCTCGGCGAGAATCGGATTAAATGGATAAGCTGTGACTTTATAGTAGTGGAAAAACCTAATCCCTCAGCTAGAGTTTCCATATTGCTTATGGGTAACGTACTTTAAGACCTCTGATCTCTGGGGCAACACAGTCAACAGTGACTTCCATCTTTCAAGGGGAGTTTTGGAGTCCATGAATGGGTAATGTTTAAAAGTATTTTGCAGGCCAAGAACAGACCCAACCTCGCGTGCCACCGAGTCATTGGTATCTGATGCTCGCAAACGCAAAATTGAGACAACCGAATTGTCTCCTGAATACACATAATTCTTCGAACTATCCTCCGATCGTGACTGGTCCTGCTCATTATTTGGTTCTGCACATGGCAATATTGGAGAAGCTGAGCGTGTTGCAATACTCTGGCGAGAGACTGATCTGCGCCTCTGTGAAAGGCCGTAAGTGCAGATTTCGGGATGCTTTCGCTTCAGACAAGTACGGCAAGGTTGCGTTCCGTCGCATTTTACCTTCCGTTTCTTGCAAGGGTAGCATGCATGAGCTTCTCGTTCTCGGCTTTTGAGGCGTAGAACTCGGTCTGCTTCGGCTTGACTGACGGCGCTCATGTTGCCGAGTCAGCGGGATTGGACTCTACTGGCCAGAAACTAGTTGTCGATCAGACTAACACCCAATTCGATGGGGGTAATCGGCATTCAGAACCAGCATTCGGCCATTGTAAATGATAATGTTGATGCCAACAGAGCGGGACTCGCCATCGCCTCTTACCGCATACGGTCAGGTGATGCGGCGTCTTTTGTGCACGGACCACCCAATACAATAACGCGCGATTCGGGAGAATGAGATTATTACAGAGACTAACGCAGGATTTGGTTGAATTGAAAATCGCCTGACTTTCAATCATAGCGATTGTTTATGATCTTCTTGTGTTTTTTAGCGACAAATAAAATTGAGCAAGGGAGAGGGAACAACATATAAGACGGGACTCAGGAATAGCAGATGTTGAGTTGCTTTATTTATAATGTGGCAAATGCAAAAATTCTACAGAATGTACTACTACTCAGCAAAACGGGCAACTACACGATCTTAAATACCTCAAAGTGATTCACTCCCCTCGAAATCCCATCTTTGTCCAGTTGTCCAAAACCTTCTTCTTAAGATCCTCAGGGTATGAGTTCTTGAAATCAGCCGCCACCCAATCCCGACCGGTAGTATACTCAGTGGGCATAAGAGCATCCGAGACAACCTTTCCACCCTTCACCGGTGATCCATTTCCATGCGCCATGTACGGAACAAGCGGGAAGCCACGTACATCCTCGAAAAATGTCTCATCCATATTAGGACGGCAGCGAGTCGAGAAAGCCCACATCACATCCTTGCCGTTATAAACGTCGATGTCATCACCGCACAGCACCAGACGGTGGATAGTATAGCCGGGCTTGCAGTTGAAGACAAGGTCTCCGACCTTCTTCGAAAATTCCTTGGAGTTGGTCTTCATCTCGCGCAGCTTCGCAGTATCGATCTTTAGAGCGACCCAGGTAACTTGTGACTCGAATGGGGAAAAGGCATCGGTGATGGGAAGGCCGGCATTCCGGCAGACTTTGCCAATCTCAGCAGCTGCAAGGGCACCAATCAATGTGTGCTGAGGCGAATTAGTAGGCAAACATTTTGAGAAGGGGGGGGAAGGAACAGGGAGGTGGACATACAGTCTCGTCGGTCAAGCGACCACAGGAGGACATGGGGAGAATTGGGTTGTTGCGGTAGGTGATGCGATTGACCTTGTACTTGGGCCAAGAGTGGGTATCTCCAGGAAGACGTAGCCGTGCATTTCACCAAAGGGACCTTCGGGACCAGTCTCAGTGATAGAGAGGGTACCTTCAAAGACAATTTCGGAAGTCGCAGGCACGTAGAGGTTGTTGGTGTCACACTTGACCAAGTCCAGGGCGGAGCCAGTCATGGCACCGATATATCCGGCCTCAGTGACACCGTCAGGAAGGGGCATGCTAGAGGCCATGATAGCGGCGGGAGGAACACCAAACGCCAGGGCCCAAGGCACATCCTTGCCTTCCTTTTTCCACATCTGATGAATCTGCCAGATGTGCTGGGGCTCGATAACCAGACCCGTGAGGTGCTTCTCATCGGAAACCATGGCACGGGCAATAGACCAATTGGTCCAGGATCCATCGGGAGACTGAACAATGTGCATTCCGTAGGTTTGGATGTACTTTCCACCGTCGGCCTGGTGGATTTGAGGAGCAGGAAGCTTGGTCAGATCGATCTGGCTTTCTTCGAGGACATTCTCCTTGCAAGGACCCGTTGACACAATGTTGGGTGCGATGGGGGGCATAGTGCTGGCCGAGAGCATCTTGTCCAGAATCTCCTTCATGGAGGCCGTCGGAGGCAAAGCGAGGTGGCGGGCAAGACGACCATAGCGGTCTTTGGGGGAGTTTCTGAGAGATGCAGGAGCACCCAGAATGCGGAAGAGACCATTCTGGGCACCGATCACGTTGTTGAAGAGCGGAGCCTTGTCATCTGTTTCGCAGACAAGACGTGTAATGGCAGCCGCCTCGAGGTTGGGGTCGACTGGGGTATCGATCTCAACCAGATCATTGTCGGCCTTTAGGGCCTCGACAAATGATCGGAAGCAGAGGTGAGGCTCGGTGTTGACCATGATGGTGTTTTCAGGTTGCAAATGTTGTAAGGTGTGTTAAAGTGGAGTAGAGGTTGTGAACAGCGTGACCCTACAAGTGATCCACGGAGCTTATATATCGATGCGAGGATTTTCGGCACGGCAGTCTCGGATCATCCCGTTCACCATATGGATTATATTCTGTCTCTGAGCGATGGATCCAAGACCAGGATCTCGGGATGCCGCACACTTCGGATGCCACCGAGGTACCGAATCCGACATCCGAGCCCCGAGACGCCGAGATTCCAGAACCTACGTGAACTCGAACTAGTGAATTCCACTAATAGTCCCCTAACCCGGAGCGGTGTGGGTATGCTATGGGACTATCATGTCAAGAATTTATGATTCATGAGCTCGGGCTCGAACGTCGGATTCTTAGGGGGCTCAGACGGATATCAATACTGACCGACTAGGTCGGTATTGAAGGGTCACTACAAAGAGTCGGCACTTTGACCGGCAGCAGTGGGTAGAAATAAAAGAGGGGTCAATATCCCCCTCCTCAGACAAGTTTCAAAGCTCATAGCTCATAGCCGAATTCTCAAGTCTCAAATCCCCAATCTCATACTCAGAAGCAGATACACCATGTTCTATCAGCCCGGCGTGACGGAGCATAATCTTCCGCATGACCCATTCAAGGTAAGGCATACCCAAAATGAAGATCGAACAGTACAAACTGACAAAACAGGCATGCGTGATTCCGCGTCCGATCGGATGGATCTCCACCCAGAATAAAGAGGGTCAAGCCAATTTAGCACCCTACTCTCAATTCAATAATTTGACCTTCGACCCACCTTATGTGATGTTCTCCTCGAACCAGACTGTCGAGGGCACACGCAAGGACACGGTCATCAATGCGGAGCAGACAGGTCGGTTCGTCTGGAATCTGGCAACATGGGATCTCCGTGAGGCCGTCAACATTTCGGCGGAGCAAGTGCCCTATGGAGTTGACGAGTTCGAGCGCGCCAAGGTGACCAAGGAACCGGCCACTTTGATGGATGTACCGATGGTTCAGGAGTCTCCAGTGAAATTTGAGTGTGAATACCACTCCACCGTGCGACTACCAGGTAATCCTCCAATGGGCACTGTGGACGTGGTGATTGGCCGTGTGGTCGCCGTGCATATCAAGGACGAGGTTCTGACCGATGGAATTCTGGATATCAAGAAGACGAAGCCGATTGCCCGCTGTGGATATTATCAGTACACAGTGGTGACTGAGACATTTGACATGGTGATTCCCGGCATGTCGGACGATGTCCTATATGGGTTAGAAGGGAGTGCGAAGCGCAATCGCGAGGCCGGCTCGCGATTGCCGTGATCCACCGTGATGCCAAGATAGACCTCAGTCTTAGAAGAAGAAATAAATTAGCCGCTTGGATCATGCGTTTTATAAATACCCGAGGTTGAGCGGTTTAATATCTCCAATCAATAGGATGTTGTAAGGGGCTGAAATCTGCCTCTAGACACGACTAGCGAGCTATTATCAGACGATATTAGTGTTCGAGACCCTGCATAGGGAGGCCATGCGATAGAATCTACGGTACTGCCTTCGAATAAAAGAAGACTGATATCGCGACGAATCATAACTCTGCCCGCTTCGTTTATTTTGAATGACTTCCACTAAATGGTCGAGCCAAGCAGTGAGGTTGCACTGTCAAGTGCCAGCCAAGCAGCCCAAGCCAAGTACCTCCCGCCAAGAAGACTCAGCTCGGACCGCCAAGCCCAGCGCAACACAGCATTCAGAGGAAGATAATTGGAAGCTATGGCTTGGCAGCGGGTTTCCATCTTGGTCGCCTACTTCCTATCAAGTATTTCCGCTCTGTCCAATATTGGCCTTATCTCGCGTGATACCGGATCCACACTAGGAAATCCGTCGGACCCCAGGAAATTATGCTCTGTAGATTCTAAAACAGGGAATGGTATTGGCCCGGCTACTGACGGTAGCCCCTTTGAGCTAATACTCCCGAAACATACTTTCGACGTCTATCACAGCTTCCTAAGTTTTTTGTCTAGGTCGGTGGCGCGGGGGAAGAGGCGACCTGGCGACCTTCCTGAACTGGAAATCCCTAAGCCCTAGTGACTTTGCTAGTCTGGGGCCTTTAAAAGGGACTGCACCTGCCCTTGGTTCTGGAGATCAGCGTCTCCCTTCTACACACTCCAAGATGAACGCTTCGGATCCAATTGACTTGGCAGAAGAAGCCAAGTCCAGGGCTATTGCGAAGGATCCCACCATCAGTGAGAAGCGTGCCGAGATTGAGCCCGCTCCTGTCCACAGTGTGTCCTCTGTACACGATGATGATGATGCCCTTCACAAGAACTATCCCAATGAAGAAGACTTGAAGAACCTGCGGCGTGTCGCAGGCAAAATTCCATGGACTACTTTTACCGTCGCATTTGTCGAGCTCTGCGAACGATTCTCGTACTATGGCACAACGGCCGTCTGTATGTTCATTCGTCTGTTCGTTCTGCTATCTGTCTAATGTCATATAGTCGTCAACTTCATTCAGCGTCCTCTACCGGCCAATTCAACCACCGGAGCCCTCGTGGCCGGCGCTGACTTCAACAATGATGTTCCCGGTGCCCTGGGCATGGGACAGCGTGCCTCAACTGGCCTGACCTTGTGTGAGTATTCCTGAAATACCTGCTGCATTGACTTCTGACACTTTTGCACAGTCAACCAGTTCTGGTCCTACATCATGCCCTTAATGGGTGCATACGTGGCCGACCAGTATTGGGGCCGTTTCCGCACTATCTTTGCCTCGATTGCTGTTGCTCTCGTGGGTCACTCTATCTTAATCATATCTGCCATTCCCAGCGTCATTTCAAGCCCCGGAGGCTCAATCGCCTGCTTCTCTGTTGGCTTGGTCATCATGGGTGTGGGTACAGGTGGTTTCAAGTAAGTATTCCCTTTTTGTTCTCGGAAACCGTAACTCATCTCCACGCAGGTCCAACATCTCTCCACTGATCGCAGAGCAATACGGCGATGACAAGCCCTACATTCGAATTGAGAAGAATGGTGAGCGCGTCATTGTCGATCCCGCTGCCACGGTCTCCCGCATCTATCTATACTTTTATTTGATGATCAACATTGGGTCCTTGACCGGTCAGATCAGTATGGTCTATGCTGAACGCTACGTCGGTTTCTGGCTCTCCTTCCTCCTTCCCACCCTCATGTTCTGCCTCTGCCCGACAGTCCTCTTCTTGTGCAAATCGAAATACAAGCTTCACCCGCCCACGGGCTCTGTGTACTCAAAGGCCTTCCGTTTGTGGAAATTGGCCATGAAGGGTCGATGGTCGCTCAACCCCCTCCGTCTGTTTCAGAGTACAACTGGCTCAGGTGAATTCTGGCATAACGTGAAGCCCAGCCAGTTGGGGGCGGATAAGCCGGAGTGGATGACCTTTGACGATGAGTGGGTGGATGAGGTACGACGTGGACTCAAGGCCTGTAAGGTCTTTTTATGGTATCCGCTTTACTGTATGAAGAATTCGCCTACCTGATGATCCTCTACTGACAAAACCAGGGCTGGCTTATAACCAGATGTTGAATAACTTGACTTCGCAAGCGGCCACCATGCACCTAGGCGGAGTGCCAAACGATGTCATCAACAACCTCAACCCGTTCGCCCTCATCATCTTCATTCCCATTTTCGACAGACTTGTCTATCCAGGCTTGCGTCGGCTCGGGTTCAACTTCACCCCTCTCAAGCGCATCACAGCCGGGTTCTTCGTGGCTGGCTGCTCCATGATCGTCGCAACCGTCACCCAATACTACATTTATAAGCTGGGCCCTTGCGGCAACCAGGCAAACTACTGCCTGGAAGTTGAAGGAAAGCAAACCAATATCTCCGTCTGGGTCCAGACGCTGACCTACGTACTGGGCGGTATCTCGGAGATTTTCGCCTCGATTACCTCGTTGGAGTACGCCTTCACAAAGGCTCCTCGCAACATGCGATCTCTTGTGCAGGCCGTGGCTCTCTTCATGAATGCCATCTCCGCAGCCATCGGTCAGGCATTGGTTGGTTTGTCCGCTGATCCTCTACTAGTTTGGAATTACGGTGTCGTGGCCATCTTAGCCTTTGTCGGCTGTGCAGGATTCTGGCTGACCAACTACAAATTGGACCAGGAGGAGGATGCATTGAACATGCTGCCTCAGAGTGGTTACGAGGGACGACGGACAGCTGATGAGGAGAAGTAGTTTATATAATATTGTGAAAATTGTCTGTCAAAGAAAAAACGGGTTTTTTATGCTCGTTTTAGATTACTTCCATCGTATATTCGTATCACTCTTAGGTATTAGCCTACTATTTCTCATCATTCTCCTCGTCATCATCGCCATCTTCCTCCGCGGCCTCTTTACCTTCATCATACTCCTCATCATCCTCTGGGAGTTCTTCGTCGGGCTCTTGGTCATCCTGACCGTCATCCTTATCATCCTTGCCATCCTTGTCGTCCTCGTCATCCTGGTCGTCTTCGTCTTTGTTCTCCTTGTCATCCTTGTCATTTTTGGCATTCTTGGCGCTCTTGTTATCTTTCCGCTTCTTCACAGACCCATTGGACTGTTTCGAACCACGTTTAGTCCCCGCCACCTGTTCACCCTTTTCCTTGTCGTTGTCGTCGCCATCTGTTCCTCGATCAGCTAAGTCACCGGACTCGAGAGCACGCCTCTTCGCACCTTGCTCCTTTGAGTCCGTCTTGCTACGCGTATTGCGATTGTTGCGCGTGTCTCTTTCCCCATTCTCCTGACTGGCATCCTTCCGTGCCTCTTTGGCTTTAGAAGTATTACCAACGTACTGCTTCCCTTTCTGTGACTCTTTGACCTTTTTCTCATCGGTCTTCTCTTTCTCGCCGTCACTCATCTGCTCCCACGCCTTCTTAGGCAGATATCGTTTCTCAGATCCATCATCTTGGCGCGCAGATCCGGAACCCTCTTTGGTCTGCCAATCTTCTTTGGTCCATTGGTCGAGATGTTTCTGGGACTCGTCTTGGCCTTCTTCCTTATTGGTGTTATAGCCACCGCCGCGTTTCTTATATTCAGCCGCCATCATTTGTGCCTGTAGGACATGAGTCAGCCATTGAAATGTCATTCACAAATAATAGTGGAAAGGGACTACCTTGCGCGCAGACCATTGACCAGGCTTACCGCCCTTGTCACCTTGATGAATTTCCTCTTTGACTTCATCGCGAAGCTTCGGATCGGAATATTTATCTTTGGGTGCCATTTTCACGAAATTTGATTAAGTGCAGGTGAGTGCGACAATTTGCAACAGCAATTGATCAAGTATTAAATATCTGTCGCGCTCAATTGATAAGTCAGCGCGATGACATCTTGATGTCCCAGTGTCGGGTGACATCATCCACGCCGGAATGCGAAGGTCGCATGGGAAAAATCCAGTTTCGCATCACATTTTGTCTCTGAGAATCGCAGTAGTTTCGGATTTCTTGTTTTAAAAGAATTTAGGCTTCTGCAGTAGCCAGGTTCTAATAAGGTACACATATCTTAGATGTCATTCGAGATCGAGATCTCGATCTCGATCCGACCCGATCTGATCTGATCTGCGCGGAAGCGGGGGCCGATGCCACAGACCAACACTTGCGTTCTGTGTTGCGACCTCCAGGCTGGAACCTTTTCGCCAATGCCTTGCGTCAATTGCCTATGATACATTCAGATGTCATCTTATAGCCTGACCAGGTTTTGTATATTCTGCTCAATTCTGGAAATATTTCCTTTCTGCCTTTGTCACCATAGCCGGTGGTTTCATAGCGGTCGTCTCTCATAGCAAGATGAGAGATTTTTTGGGCCTTGACCCAGACAAGGCCTTGCAAAATCTTCTTGATAATTTTCACATATGAAAAAAGTCAAGGGATAAAAGCGAAGAGTATAACAGTGTCCATAATGACATCAATTATCGCATTCATCAATACTTCAAAGTATCCACGAATAACGTACAACATCTAAGCATCTACACTTGCTAATGCAAGATGATCTTTATTTCAGAAGAAGAAAAAAAATGGTCGCCACAATAGTAATAGTGTGAATCAGTTGGCTGAACGGCTTGGTCGTCGCATGAGCCGGGCCACCGAAAGAGCCAGACGCCGCATAAGCCAAGCTTGGAGCCGCTCAAGTCAGATCATTTCTCGCAGTACCCATGCAAACCATGTATTCCAGGTGAAACCTCCTGAAGAATTCCAAGTCTCAGGAGCGCAGATCAATCGATGGATCAATGATCGCGAACAACCAAATTGTCCTATCGACCCATCCACTGTCACCATGTATTACATGGTGATCTCGATCCCAAAAATGGAGCGAACAATAAGGGACTTAGAGCTTGTCAACGAATTTGCAAACTTAGTCGAGCCCATTATTCCTGCATATCGATACCTTGAAATCCAGCGCCAAGCAGACCTAGTATACGTTGGATTGGTAGGACCGGGGATTACTCTCCTTCACATACTCTTCAGAATAACCGGTCCAGAGATATCTGACATTGCCGGGACCTTTTACCGGGATCATTTTTATATCGCCAGTCTACGACATAAACTGTTCAGCGACGTTGTGAAAACGTTGTAAACTTCGGCACTTACGATGGTGAGGTTTTCGTTATACAGCGAGATATCTCTTCTCCAATGGCTATCATTGCAGCCAAGAACTTGGGGCTCTAGCACGCCCGATTTCAATGCTATACCAGGGACGCGCATGGGTAGGTTGGCCGCTAATATCGTGTTGGGCTCTCTCCCGAGAAGTACTCAGCAGATTTGTGGTATTGTGACTTGGGCTGTTCGCGTGGGCGTAGATATGAGGTCTGAAACGGGCCATGATAAGATGAAACGGTGAGTAACCGATAGCTGAGTTCTTTGGCACGACTTTTCTCAAAGTTGAACTCATCTCCTGTCAATACACTTCTTGCATTCAGATTCAGTAGGGAGTTGCCTCTAATTCTTGTTCCGCGCAGCCGACCGCCGTAGCAAAGAATGAATAGGTCAGGAGCTTCTCTAATCTCCTCTGCTTCGTTAAAAGACTACTTTTGCTTCGCATATGCTGGAATACGGCAAACTACCAAGCTTTCTACAGCCCAGGTTCAAGCAAGTCAGTCTGCGGGCCAAAGAATTTCCAGTCAGTAAAGAAAATCCACTCACACATTGTATATCCAACGCCAATATACAAGAAAAGTTCGTCACGTATTTACGGCCTCCACGGGTATATACAGGTATCACATAAAGTCACATAACCGACATTCTCTCTCCCCTATTTACTGTACCACAGGACGAAGACGGAAGCTTGGCCCCTGCACAAATTCGAGCCCGGTGCTGATGTCACCCTTCAGAGCGAACTTGATATCCTTGGCGTAGTGGTCGCGTGGCTGCCAGGGCGCCTGGTCACCAGCCATGGGGAGAGTACGCTGGGCAACGGTGACATAAGTCGAGTTGAGATTGAGTAGCGGTCGTTCCCGAATACTCGATGCCTGGCTAGACTTCAGACGGGGCGTGGCAGCGATAAGCTTGCGTGATTCCATCTCCTTGACAAGACGAGTAATGAACTGAGCGGTCGCGTCTGCGCCGAGGGTCCACGAGGCATTGGTATACCCGATGACAAACGCCGCGTTCGGGAGATCTTGCAGCATAACTCCGTTCCATAGATACTTGGACCCAATATCGATCTTTTCACCGTCCACAGACAGGACCGCGCCACCAGCAATTTGCAACTTCAATCCCGTGGCAGTGACAATGATATCAGCGTCGAGAGTCTCGCCTGAATTCAAGGTGATGCCCTTTTTCGTCACCGTCTTTATGGTATCCGTACGCACATCCGCTTTGCCCTTGCGCAGGCACTGGAAGAAGTCGCCATCAGGAGACACACACAACCGCTGATCCCAGGGATTGTAGCGCGGCTTGAAGTGCGGGTCGTGAGGGATATGGGCCGGAAGTTGGCGACTGACGTTTTTCTGGAGGATCCAACGAGAGAAATTGGGGAAACGCTGACAGAAGAGGAAGAAGAAGCGGGAAGTGAGGATCCAGATGAAACGCTGGAGGCGCTGGTATATCGATGAGGGTAGAATATAAGCCAACCAACGACTGGCGCTGCGGTTGGGGAGTGACAGAATGTAGGTTGGACTGCGCTGGAGCATAGTGACGCGCTCGGCCTTATCGGCCAAATTGGGGAGGAGAGTGATGGCGGTCGCTCCACTGCCGATAATCACGATCTTCTTGTTGGAATAATCGAGATTCTCCGGCCAGAATTGAGGATGGATGACCTGGCCCTGGAAATTCTCTAGGTCAGGGATTTTAGCCTCCAGAGGCTGGTTGTAGTTATAATAGCCCGTGCCGAAGATCACATAGCGCGCAGTGAAGGTCTTTGGATTTCCCTCCGCCTCTACGTTCAGGGCCCAGGTATTCTCCTCACTAGACCAATCGGCGGACTGCAATCTGGTGCGATAGAGAATATGCTGGTCGATACCAAACTTCTCCGCGGTGTGGCGCACATACGACTTTATGGCGGAGCCCTCCGCAATGGGGTTATTGCGATTCCAGGGATTGAAGGCAAAGCCGAAAGTGAAGAGATCCGAGTCGGATCGGATACCAGGGTACTTGAACAGATCCCAAGTTCCGCCTAGATCATCGCGAGCTTCGAGGATGGCATAGCTAACACCGGGTAGCTGCTCCTGTAGACGATAGGCGGCGTTGATGCCGGAAATGCCCGCGCCGACGATGACGACGTCGAAGCGAGTTTCGGACTGCACATTTGCGTGGCCGTTCATGATGTGTGGTATGAAGCTAGACCGGATGATGGAGCAGGAACGCCGTTTACATTGAATCTGTTTTTAAAGGGGGTTCACATGCCTCGGTTTCACATACGATCGGCGGTGGATCACGCCGCATTATGAGATCGTGATTTACGTCTGTGGGTTTTGGCGGGGGCGGCGACATTTTACTGCATAAGGCATATGACGCGGGGTAGCGTGTCCGGAGTATCCTAGAACCATCTATTTTCATGTTCTAGGGCCATACTATAGTACCGAGTATTCTAGTGATTTTTATTATGGTAGCCCCTAGTAAATGTGCGAAGTCTGGTGAGTCCCAGGGTCAGGAACCAAGTTTAGACACACAAACACCTAGGAACACCTAGGAACACCTAGGAATAGCCGAACATGACTAGAGGAATCCCCTATACTCCGAGCTTTCAATGCCCAGCAATGTATCCAGTAGAGTAGTTTTTCCATCACGCAATGTCCACCGTCATGAAACTCGCCAATGATTTCTTCCCCAATGTTCCAGCCGAGGACAAGTTCAGTCTCCACTTTGAAACCGCGGCCCCAACAGAAAATTGAGTCTGTCAATCGCTGCCTCACTAGGATAGCTCTGCGAGATCGCATGTCCGAGGTTCACGCGAATAGCCATAGTCGCCTTTAACAGGCGCACTGCTCGCGCGAATGGCTCGCTCCATATCCAAGGCGTAAGCTGTCGCAATGTCGTTGTCCACAGTGAAATTGACTCTCCAGCAGAAGCTGGACTTTCTGCCTGCGATCGCATCCATTGCGCTCGCTGGCTTCTATGCTCTCCTGACAGGTCTCTGGCGCACCGAGCGCGAAGCTAAGACCCTGTTCCTGCATCTCGGCTATGCCATCTTCCGTCAGGCCACGGCACGGTTGACCCCGTCGCAAATGCAATACATCTTGCCTCCATCCGACAAGATCTATGAGCGGTACGCGAAGGAGAATCGTATTCAAGCTCAGTCTGTAGAGTTGGGCTATGGTGCTCTCGGTCACTGGATTGGCGACCGCAATGCGACCAACGTGCTGGTCTGGTACCACGGTAAGCATCACTCCTCCAAAAATAGTGACAAGAATATCTAACTCACTAATCTGCAGGTGGTGGCTTCGGTCTGCCCGCCAACATGGGCTACTTCAAATTCTACGCGCACGTTATCGGCGACCTCGAACGTGCCGGCAAGAGCATCGCCGTCTTCAGCCTTACCTACACCCTCGCTCCGCAAGCAACATACCCAACCCAACTGAAGCAAGCTGTCGCCGCCATACGGTATATTATTTCCCAACCAAACCGTGACCCGGCCACGGTCTTCCTCGGTGGAGATTCCGCAGGCGGGAACCTGGTCGGCGGCGTCCTCTCCCATGCAGCGCACCCGCACCCACAAATCGAGCCATTGAACTTGAACGCCAACTTCGGCGGCGCGGCCATGATCGCCCCCTGGACTCTTTTGAACACAGAGTTTCCGGACCAGGACATCTATCATGGTGGGGACCTCATCACGCAAGCTGTTGCCCAGCCCTGGGCATCTGCGTACCTGGGCAGTGCCACGCGGGATAATTATACGGATTTATCGAACGCTCCGATCGACTGGTATGAGAACTTCCCAGTGAATCAGGTATTGATCACGGGCGGCGAGAACGAGATCCTGTTACCGATTATTCGAGATTTTGCGGAGAAGTTCAAGAAGGGATTCGAGAAGGTGGAGTTGTTCGTGGGACGTCGCGAGTGTCATGTTGCACCAATCTATAATCTCGAATTGGGCGACAGTACAGAAACGGAGCAAGGAAAGAAGGTCAAGTCGTGGTTGACTGAATTGGCTCTGTGAATATTCCTGATTTCGACGAGATATTATTTTTAAGGAAAGAGTCAAATAAACAAGAATGACGTATGGCTTCATGAATTCAAATTAGGCGTAAATCGAGCTGGCCGATATGAAGTTTGATTCTGCCATGACTTTGCGTCAAATTGACTGTTGCTTGACATCGTCAGGCTTGGAAAACTGGAAGTATGAGACAATTTCGACATTTTTGAAACAGTCTACGTTAGCTTTGTAACCCCGTACACTCTTTAACCGTGCATTCTATTCAAAATTTAGTGTCCCACGCGAAACTACCACATGAGCAAAGTTCGCTATCGCTGAGGTATTATGATGAGAGTCTGGTAATCATATCGCATAGATTTGGGTATAATTCAAATTCCTTCACATGCAGCCTCCCTGCCCCTGCTTCTGCACATCGCGCAGTCTCCGCAGCGATCCCGAGGCAACTGTGCGAATACCCTCCTGCATCCAGGTAGGCATAGCGCGCACGAAGCTAGCCGCCGTCTGGCTCTTGGGCAGGATCACCTGGCCACTGTTCTGAGTAAGGATTTGTTTGCAGATAGCGTCCGAGACAGTCTGAACGGTCATAATGGGTTGACGGAAGTGGGACTCGTGATCGGTCAAAAGCTTGATCATGGGAGTGCGAACCCACATTGGGTGGATGATGCTATATTGGGGTCAGAAATCTACAGTTTTTTCCACGGTATATGGGAGAGTATTTACCTTGTGCGGACGGCGGGGGCATTGTACCAAGCCTTCAATTCCTGGCGCAAACTCTCGTGGAAGGCCAGAGCACTAGCCTTGGAACCGCAGTAATCTGCCATCTCGCCAATTCCGACGAAACTGGCCATACTGGCTATTGTCACGATGTGGCCGTGGTTGGCTTTGATCATGGCAGGGAGGAACTCCTTGACCATGAGGAAGTGGGAGATGGTGTTGACCTCGAAAGTTTGGCGGATCTTGGCCTCGGGTTCTTCGAGGATAGTGCCGTCGTGCCCAACACCGGCATTGTTGATAAGGACGGTGGGATCACCGTGGTCGCTGCGGATGGCCTCTGCGACCTCGGCGATATTGGCGGAGGAGGTGATATCGGCGCGGTAAAAGGAGACGTTGGCGGGGAGCTTGAAGTTGGGCTCGTTGATGTCGAGAATGATCACCCGCACGCCGGTCTTTGCGAGATCTTCCATGACCTGCTTGCCAATGCCGCTGCAGCCACCGGTCAGGAGAATGAGTTCGCGCGCGGGCTGCCAACGCTCGCTGCGAGTCCAGTTGTTCAATGACCGTTGTGACAGGGAGCTGTTGAGGGAGCGCAAAACCCCCAATGCCAACAGGACGACCAGCGCCTTTTGGGTGAGTGGTTTGGCCAGTAGCTCCTGCACCGGGCCGGGGAGCTGCGCGAGGGCAGTCTGTGTATATTGCTTAACAAGTTCAAGGGCGGACATGATGGTGAGGTTTGAATTGAGGACCACGCACTCCTAGGTCTTTTTGAACCCCGTACAACCTGTAACCGTGGAACCATCACCGTACCACACGAGGTGCGGAACCGAGGCTCACCGAGATTGTGGTTCCTGAACCAATAAAGTCAGGATCGTCGAGTTTAACTCGAAGTGGAAAGCTGTGCGAATAGATCCACTGTGGAGTTGGTTCTCCCCCTATTTCACATGTTCGTCTGCACCTTTGTTTCCCCGCAGTCTGCAGCTATTTTCGGTAGTTATTCTCCGGATCTGAAGTATGGATGATGGATGATGGAGAAAAGATTATTATGGATCATGGATTATGTATCAGGGATTAAGAAGATCCATCGTATGCGAGTCTATACTGTACGTGCGCATCGGCCTCGATGATATCACCGCGTCTTCACAAGACATCCTAGAGCCACCCATAGTCGGCACTAATGGTCTGACCGTCTCGCCCAGCCTTAGTCCACGGATCAAGTGCCATACTGATCCTGGACGAGCATCATAGGCAGCCATCAGCCAGACTCTGATTCATATGACGCTAACCGAGGCCGAACATCCCCAACATCTGGAAGGATTGCCTCATGTCGATCACTAGTGGCGGAGGGGGGGCTTTGGGCATTAGCTGCAAAAATGGGTCGCCCTGCACTTCTCTTTCCCTTTCTATCAATATTTTGTCACTTCCAAGTTGACTGTCTCTGACTGCGAAACCGCTATCTTGATTGATATTTTATTATGGCGGTCGGCGACAGTCTACCGGCCCTGTTGGCCTTTTCTCTCTTGGAAGCATACTTCCTCCAGCGCACCGTCTTTGCCGATGAGTCTTTTCGCACGGTGGTATTAGGCGCCTTGGGTGTGAATTTGGTGCTCAAGGGCATCTACAATGGGATAATATGGCCCCTGTTCATGAATCCACTGCGCCATCTTCCCACTATCCCAGTATGCCCAGACCCTTCATTTGCATACGTGCCTATGATCATGATCAGTCTCTGACACCTCTCACAGGGCTATATGAACCATGCCAAAATCATCTTTGATTCCCCGCGTGGTCGCTCACCGTTGCACTGGATGAAGACCATCCCTAATGATGGTCTTATTCATATGCGCGATATGATCAGTCAGAGTTACCTGATCCCAACGAATCACCAGGCCCTATTAGACATCATGAGTACCAACACTTACGACTTCGAGAAGCCCTGGCGTGCGCGCAATTTCCTCGCTCGGATTCTAGGGTTCGGTTTGATTTTGTCTGAGGGTCCCGCGCACAAGAGGCAGCGGAAGGCTCTCACGCCCGCGTTCAATATCAAAAACATCCGCGCTATGTACTCTTTGATGTGGGACAAGACTAATCAGCTCTTGGTGGAGATGGAGAAGGAGCTAAAGTTGAACCCGATGGAAGGTACTAATCCCAAAGATGGTGTTGGCAAGTTAGAAATGGGAGTCTGGGGAAGGTTTGTTCCATTTCAATAACTCCTAGTCAACATGGCCATAACCATGACTGACATTCACAGTCGTCTGACTCTCGATATCATCGGTCCAGCTGCTATGGGTCGAGACTTCCGGTCTCTGCAAAATCTTGATAACAGAGTCGCTGAAAGCTTCCTCAACATCCTCGAACCTACCACCGAGAAAATGGCTTTCTTGGCGATGAATTTCACCTTGCCGCAGTGGATCGCCCAGCGAGTTCCATGGCGTTTGAACCAGGTTGTAGCTAACGAGACCGGTTTCCTGCGTAATCTCTGTACAGACATTGTCATTGAAAAGCGGAAGTTCTTGGCCGATTCCAAGGCGTCTGCCAAGGATCTCGAAGCTGATATTCTCGGCACGATGATGCTGGGTGGTGATTTCTCCGATACCGAGCTAGTGGATCAGATGTTGACTTTCCTGGCTGCCGGAGTGAGTTTCTTTCCCAAATGAATCATTTGAGAAACCAAAACTAAACCCATTCAGCACGAAACCACCGCAAGTGCCCTAACCTGGGCATGTTATCTCATGACCCTTCACCCCGAGTGCCAAGAGAGGCTTCGCGCCGAGATTCGCTCAAAGATCCCAACCGCCGAGAGTTCAATCACATACAGCGATCTCGAATCGCTCCCTTTACTAAACGGCGTCTGCCAAGAGGTTCTCCGCCTGTATCCAACTGTGCCCGCCACGATCCGTGAAGCCGTGCGGGACACAACAATCGCAGGCAAGCACGTGCCCAAAGGGACTCGTCTCATTCTCTGTCCCTACGCCATCAACCGTTGCCCGTTATTCTGGGGCGACAATGGCGAGGAATTTCTTCCTGAGCGCTGGATCGACACAGACAAGAATGGAAACCTGGTTCCTAACAAGAACGGTGGAGCGTCGACTAACTTTGCGGAGATTACTTTCCTGCATGGTCAGAGGTCTTGTATTGGAAAGGACTTTGCTAGAGCAGAGTTACGGTGTGCGGTTGCAGGTGTTGTTGGACGCTTTGCACTGGAGATGCAGGATCCTAAGCAGGAGATTCATATTGCTGGGGCGGTTACTACTAAACCCGTCGAGGGAATGCATTTGAGGATGCGTCGTGTTGAGGGGTGGTAGTTGCCTTATTCTGATGATTGATAACGCGTGATGACCTTTGTTGATAGTATTATATCCTGTTCGAAATGTTTCTTTTTTCTTCAATATGGAATTGGAACTTGGCTTTCACGTTTTCTTGAACATATACCCGTAATAGTAGATCTTAGCCTTTGCATATCTAGTGTAAGACTACAATAGCGGCTGATCATTCGATAGATTTGGACCAAGGAAAATCAACAACATTTGAACAGGATAGAACTCTCAAGTCTATTTCCAAGTCTTAGCGTGGTATCATGTTTCGCTCGGGGAGTTTGTCAACTCTACTACCTCTCAAGAGTCAAGAGTGTAGTTGCAGGTAGGACATGACGACAACAGATCTGGGGTCGCAGGATACATATCCTCCCCCGTATGTCGCATTCAGCGAGACAGATCCCACTATACCGCCCGATTCCAATCGAATCCACGAATCAATCACCTTCTTTTTCAACTTCTCTTCCGACACAAGAACCTGTCTGGATCCACGAATCCAACTTCCATACCCCCCATACCCAGAGTGCTGTCCAAAGCAGAGGTTGACACCATTGCCTTTGACTGTCATCTCAGGAAGCAGACTGTCCCACTTGTAGCACCAGGTATCACCATGATCGTGACCTGAGAACACTGCAAGCACACCCGGCGTGTCGACAAGGGCTTTCATAAATGGCACGTCCTGTCCGCCGTAGGTGCAAATACTGGCATCGCTGCCATCAGCACACCATCCCTCGCCTTGTTGCGCAAGAGTAGAATCGTCGTTGATACCTGGTTCCCGATACTGGTTGATTCCAATCTCGGTCTGTGCAGCCAACGACGCATTCGTGGGGATATGCACGAAAACAAGAGACGGAATGTTCTTGTGATTCTTCTTGACAAGTTCTTCATTCGTCTTCTTGAACCAGTCGACCACACTGACATCGACCCAATTCGGCTGCGCAATCACATCTCCAGCAGAGTCCAGTTCCTGGTAATAATTTCCACCTCTGCTGTCAAAGAACCAAAGGAGTAATTCCGGCGCACCCGTAGAATTCTCATCTAAGGACCCATGAACGGGAAGATAATAATTCGAAACACCAGCCTCACGACCAAAGACCATCTGCTCAGTCCGTGAATTAGGCCAGCGGTGTTCGCGAGCGAGAATCGCCTCGCGAGAGAGATTGTAAGAACTGTCATGGTTGCCGTAGGTAGATGCCCACGTCAAGCCACGATCAACGAGCGGAGCGACAATCTCGTCAATGTAAACTGTGCTGTTCTCCAGGAATGCATTGTCGCCGGTAATCAGGTCGCCGTTGAGAACGACCAGATCGGGTGATTCGGCATTGAGCACTCGGTTAATAACAGCCACGGAGTTGACATCTTGTTCGGGACCCCATGTATCCCAGGCATCTGATTGTTGAATGTGAATACCGCTGACTGCACGCCGACAAGGAGTGGTAAGGGGTGGAGTACTTACTTTCTCCGAAGTGAAGATCTTCTAGAATGGAGATCTGAAAAGTACCATCTTTGGCGAATTTCAGAGGAGCGAACTTTTTAGGGACGGCGCTCTGAATCGAGGGCAGAGCGAAGAAAGATATGGCTACTAGAGCGCGCAACATTGTGTTGTTTATTTTCCTCGGTCGGATTAGGGTCCGTTTGAGAAAACCAAGGAAACATCATTGTTTACATTGCTCATTTCCCTCCATGTCATCGAGATTTTAGATATCGCGTCGGCGAATCCGAGGAGTAACCGAATATCTATGAACAAATGAGGTGTAATTTCCCACGTGCTGGGGATGATCAGATTCTATGGTCCGGGGTTGACGGACAGATACTAAGTGGGGGGGTTAGACCACGTAGGGGCTTATGGCACGGCGTACTATTCTAGATTTTCATTGGACTCTTCCCTTGCATTTAATGTGCATTTTATGCTACTGAGTCTTAGCTTGGTGTCAAGCACTATGTCTTGAAAGACTAGAAGACTAGGGACCATAATGTCTTCTTAGAAGTAAGGTAAGATAGTTCAATGTAACGCAAGCCAGAGTAGCCACGCGCAACCTTATAACGTGCGAAATTGTTCAGTAGCCTTGCGATTATGCAGGTCTCATCACACGTTAAATATAGAAATAAAAGAGACTGCCAACAGCTATTCTTCGGGGAGTGGATCACATCGGCACGGCAAACATCGGCACGGCACGGTGGTTTCAACCGTCCAGTCTCCATTGCCGGCCGATGCTTCTTCCACCACTCCATTCTGGTACCGTGCGATATCGTGTAAATCATTTGATGTGGATACAATTTCTAGTAGTGGCGTTTGGCGAGCTAGCCGACCCCCGATCATGAACGATCAGATCATTCTGTGACCGACAGACTGTCCATTTGCAAGACGTTGCAAGTCTGATAAAGCACTACGGCTTATCGGAGCCGTCAATCGACTTTCATCTAACTGGTTTGAGATAAACTAGACGAGCGACAACTTTGGTGGACAAGATGAAACAGAGTACTCACGTTAAAAAAGCACATAATCCCTGTGTGATGAAACCTTGCCGCACGATTCCTTGTGTGCTATAACTTTGTATGTGCAATTATCCACCTGTCTAGTGATCTACACGAGCAATAGCAACCCCCAATATCAGTTGCAAATTACATTGACATTTCATCATTCAAGACAGTATATTCATTTCATCGTTCAAAGCAGTATATTCATCTCATCATTCAAGACAATATATTCATGTCGTAGGGTTCGTGACATAGAGCCCCTCAGCGCATCACCAAGATGTCTAGGGCCTATGACCCCTACTCAAGGTCGCATGGTTCACAGTCGTGTCAATCAGTTCGGAATAGTCTGTGTTACATGTTCCACAGTGAACAACTTGGCCAGCTCAGCTCTCTTCTCATCCCCATAGGGAAGCTGCTTGATGGCCTCGAGCTTCTTGGCAAATTCCTGCTTCTTTTCTTCCTCCTCTTCATCTTCCTCGTCGTCTTCTCCGATAGTGAGGGCACTTTGAACTGCAATTTCCTCTTCACCCTGGGGGTCTTCCTCCTCAAGTCGCTTCTGCTCTTCCTCGCGAGCCTTCTTCTCAGCCTCTTTATCGATCTTCTCTTCTCCAATGGCGTTTCCATTTTCGTCGAACACGGTTCGGTAGTACTCGACTCCGATTTGGTTGCCCTCGTCGTCGAGGACCATCTTGGCGTACTCGTTTTGCGCAGCAGTTCTGGTCTCGGTTTGCTTGAGTGGCTGGATCCAATCTTTGGGTTAATTCCTGTCGAGTCAATCGATTGGAAGAAGCACTTACGCCTCCTCGGAAGAACTTGGTAAAAGTGGCAAGTCTGAAGCCGGTTCCACCGTATGCGACAACAAGTGACTGGTCAGCCTGGAGACAAGTCAGATTTCCTCAAACATATTCCCAAAAAAATTCACAGAGTGCAGATTTATCTACAAACCTCCGATGCTGTGTATGTCGTCCATCCTTCACTGTTGGTCTTCGCCGATGACGATGCATTGGCACCCCCCTTTGCAATACCAGTAGCTCCAATGTTCAAGCCACCGCTGGTATCCCGGTGATGGGCACTTTCCATAGTGATCTTGCACTCATCGGTAGACCAAGTCTTCGAAATCGCCCACAGTCCGAAATCCGCTATTTCCTTCCTATACGGACCTTTCACAAGAGTTTTGGCATTCGCCTTGATCCAATCCTCAATCGGACCTCGAGGCATACGCCGGAACTTCTCCTCTACAATCACATTCTTTGTGATCAACGCCGCCTTGCCGGTCTTGCCCCATTTGTTCTTCGCCTCGGCCGAGGCGTCAATGGGACCTCCAGCCAGGGCACCGGAAACACCTCCTTCAAGTCCGAAGCTATGTTCAGCTTCACTGCCTGAAGCTCTCGTTTCCCATGAGGATGTCTCGGAAGGCGCCCTGGTCAGGGTGAGTGTAAAGGGAGCGTATCCGTCTTTTTCAGGACGACCAGGCTCAGAGAGATCCGTGATTTGGATGAAGGTTCCATTCTTGTCAAAACACCCAATTGCACCGGGGTGACACTCGCTAAATGGTTGGGGCCGGAACAAATAGTACCCCGGACCATTGGGGTTCATCAGCGCGGCATATTCTTCGAAGACGGTGGGAGCCATCTTGATGTAGTTGAACAGGTAAGTTTGGTGACTGAACAAGATTGTTATTGCTTTTTTTAAGAGGGTGCATCTCGGGTATAAAAGAGATCTGTCATGGATGTGTGGGTCAGTTCAATACATAGGGGTGACGACATTTGAGAATAGATCTCTCCTATTTCGAGTATAGCTTCATGCATGACTTCATGATAGTCCTAAATGAGGACCTGTTCATCGATGCCAAGGCAGATGAGACCCACCAAATGAACGCCGATCACCAGTCCCTCAAGTTCATCGTGCTATTGACGAACGCTGCGGGTCCATATCCGCGACGTGGCCTTGGAACATGCATCCCATGTACAAGGGAGAGAAGAAAGAAGGTAAGATCTACCAATCCAGGACTTTGACATGTGCAGGGTGCAAGGCGAGCTACATTCGGGTGACATGCCGTATGCGCCCATACGTTGGGTATGTTGGCCCTCCAGCTGAGGGGTGTCTTTTCTTCGGACGCGACGATCAGTGGAGAGGTGGGGTCTGGGTTCAGCCCGCGGTGGCTGCCATGACATCGATCGACTCCAATAATTCACCCGGAAGGCTAGTCATCTATGCACTACGAGCCGAAACAGGCAAAGGAGGCTACTGGGTGTGTCGTTTACGACGGTGTCGGCTTCTTAGAGTTCTATGGTCTGTCCATCTGCGGATCCTAGGAGATGGTCCATGGCCTGAGCAACGCGGCACCGAACCCACTTCTCACAGATATTATCTTTCTTGAGATTCAGATTGAACCGACGAGGTAGGCTCATGGTATACAAATCAGTACGGCATGGAGTCAGCTGATAGATTGATTGTAGATTGTAGAGGAAGTGACGAAGCATGGCAGGAAACAGTCAATGTTCCGAGCGTCCATAGAATAAGGCAGCTAAGGTGAGACCCACACTCAACACAGGTTCAATAATACTAGCTGTTGACGAGGATACGAGAAGCCCATGAATGAAATGAACAGAATTAATTAAACACCTTCAGATAGACTATTCATTACAATCTTTGAAAAAATATACATACTAGCTCAGTGACGCCAATTTGAGCCGCGCCACTGCAAGATCATGGTGGGGATGACACTGACGCTCACCATCATCGCCACGGCAATTCCCGCACCGCCGCCCCAGCCGACATTCTCAAACATTTGGGGGAACCAGAAGGGACCAAGGAATCCCCAAGTCTGACGCACAAAAGTAATAAACACACCCACACTGGCTGCATCCGCGCGGTAGCAGTCGACGGCATAGGTGATGTTGATTGTGGTCACGATCTGGTTACCAGCAGCCGCAATGCCCGCTCCGATGATTGGGGTCACGTTCCAATGGCTACTTGCATTACCCAGCTGCACGGCGAAGACCACAAGACCACAAATCGTCAAGGCGTGACCGATATAGCTCAACCATAAACGGTACTCTGGGGCAGGGGGCTCGCCCGCGCGCTTCTGGCGGAGAAGCATCCACCGATCCGAGATCAATCCGCCAATCTGCTCGCCAATGACGGATCCCACGATGAGACCCAGGAATTGGAGACCGACTTGCTGACTGTTGAGGCCGAATTTCTGCGGGAAGACCTGGGGAATCTCAATGGTGAGGCAAATGCTACCGAAGAGGAAGATCATGGCGTAGGCACACGCCGGGATCAGCGCGCAGGGCTTCGCGAAGTAGCTCAGCGGTTGAATAAAGTCCCACAAGCGCAAGGGGGCAGGGTCGATGCGACGGAACTTGTAAATGCTCTCCTTGACGCTGGTGATTTGACGGGGCGCATTATCGGTGCGCAGGTACAATGACTCGGAGCCAAAGAAGAAGTAGACGATGAATTGGACGCCGTTGGTGATGGCTAAGATCCAGTAGATCCAGCGGTATCCCACGCGTAAGACGACAAAGCCGAAGATGAACGGCGCAATGGGGACACCAAGAGTCACCATCAGAGTCCAGTAACCCATGCAGCGAGCGCGATCTTTCTTGAAGAAAGTTTCGGCGACAACTGCACTTCCAATGGCAGCAGCAGGACTAATGAAAAAGGCCGTGATGGCTCGACACAACGCCATGGTTGCATATGAGTGACTCTCGGCACAGCCCACGTTGCCGACGAGGGCGCAGATGAGTGAGATCAGGAATATAGGTCTGCGTCCATAGCGATTGCATAGTGGGCGCCAGAAGAGAGGAGCGCCACCGAGGACGGCGATGAATAGGGAGACCAAGTAACTGGTGCGCTGTAGGCTTACACCTAGGTCGGCAGAGATCTCGACAAAGGCCGACTGGATGGAGGCGGCGGTGAAAAGACCGATCATGGCGTGGAAGACGACGAGGAAGAGATTGACTGATTTCTACCACCACACGAGATTAGAATCAAGTTACCCATGTTTCTCATCCATCGCACAGATCACTTACTCTCCATGTCGGCCAATTATATGGGTCTGCATCATTCATATCTGGAATTGGATCCAGATCAAGGGTGCCATGGCGCGCGAGAAGATACTGGCGATGCTCCTCGGATAGATTAGCGAGGCGATCCTCGACATAAAAGGCTTCATGTTTGCCGGCTTCGATGGCGGAAGGGGTCGTGGAGGCTCCCTCCACGTGTAGGGAATTGCTGTTGACTTTCTCCATAGCGACGAGGCGAGAAGAAGAAGGGATAAGGACGGGGAACACGAGCCAGCGTGGAACAGACAGAAAGTAAAGAAGAAAAAAAAAAGGGAGCCAATGCAGCCACTACTTATAGGCCCCTGCGCGCATTGCAATCAAAAGAGTCTCACAGTCTCGAGCCCGGGGATCAACCCCGGATTCTGCATCCCAACTCTGGGGGTTTTCTGGGGGCGGGGGCAAAAAGATAACAGCTCCACCTGTCTTTCCCCCCGGACCTAACCACAGAATGTCATGGGTTAAGCGATGCAATATTGGTGGAACTGATGCGATGAATGTTGGGTAGAGGTGGTGATTGGTGGTGGTGGAAAAGGGCGGCTATAACTTCATCCCATTGTGGAGAGCTGTGGAGGGATACCGGGGAGGAAAAAGGCCACTCGCTGTCTAATCCCCCCCAATCATGGTCTTGTCGAGGGTTTAAATGGCGATTCTTGATGACTGGGAGACTTTGCATCTCAGAAACTTAGCTTTATTCTTTACACGGAATTCAGGATTCTGAATCTATTGTCTTTCCTTTCCACCGAATCTTGCCTGGCTAACATGAGGGTTGCGGGAATGCTTATTCCCGCTTGGCTTTTCGTGGCTTGTTCGGCTTGCCACGTAACCTACACGGTCGGCTAAGAGATCGGTATTTCTGTTTGAGGCGAGATTCTAGACAACGATGGGCCGAGTGTGTGGACCTGGATAGAGCTCACCTGAGAAGGTCTCATCTCCTCGCTTCGGAGTTGAAACTCCACTATTGTGGGGATGGTCACATGGTTCACCTTATGGATTAACCATCTATAGTTATCATTCAGGAGGGGTTTGGAGTGGAGTTAGCTCAAAAAGAATTCAGTCGCTACACGCGTCGAGAACACATTTATTTTCGGACCACATCTCCATTGCCAAGTCTAGCTCTTTGCCCCCAACTTCAGCTCGAGCTCGATTGGCAACTCACCCCGATATCCCCCTGAATCCCGTCACAGATGATCTCGGCCGGGCTTCCGGCCGGGCTGGTCAGATTAATTTGCGAGAGGTGAATACCCGAGCACACGGCATTAGGCGAACAGGTCAGATCCACCACCACTTTGCCCTGCGCGCCAGACGATGTGCCGTAGATATTGTCAAACACGATATTAGTCACATTCACCTGCGAAGGGTAGGCCGCGCACTCGGTCGCATTCACGTCGAAGTAGCACTGGTCCAGCACAACCGGATGGTCGGTATTCTCGATGCGAATGTTGCGGTAGGTGATGTTGTTGATGCGCCCGTATCCGACGTCTTGGCCGGCCCATGCCTTCAATCGGGCTCCATTCTACACTTGTCAGCTTTGATCCTGGTCTCGAACTGGTCAAGACTTTGCATGCTCATACCTGGCCATTTAGGAGTGTGACGTTCTCGATGTAGGCGTTCTCGATGATGTCTTGGACGCCCGAATACTGACCGATGCTGCCCATACTCACTCCATGAGTATTGTTACACCACAGGTTCTGGACGAAGATGTTGGTTGTGTTGGGCTTTGGTGAGAAGCAGTCATCACCAATGTCCACCCGAGTGTTGGTCACGGTGAGACCGTTCACATTCAGCGAGTCGAATCCGTCGGTGTTCTTGGGTAGAGCCTGTATCGGGTCAGCTCAACTCGCGACTATACTATTATGACTTTTTGGCATATACAGAGGCATTGGTCGAGTAGGCGTTGATAAACACATCGTCAAAGGAGATGTCGTTGGTGCGCACAAAGAAGTTGGTCCAACAGGGCGAGTTCAGCTGCGTAATGCCTTCGACGCTGACCCGAGTCGCGTTATCCGTGAGGAACAAGATGGGCCGGTAGAAGGTGTTGTCAGGATCCTATTTTGATAAGCAAGACTTCTTTCCCCCCCCCCAATGCGGAGGAGATGGCATACCAGGATTTCCTGTCCGGCAAAATCATTATACCACTGCTGACCATTTCCATTCAGGGTACCCTTTCCAAAGATCTTGATGTCCTGACCACCCCAGACCCAGAATGTGATTGACTTTTGAAAATCGTAATAAAAGTGGTTCGCTTGCCAGTACTTGACATCGTCGGTGAACTACACGTCACTCTGGTCAGCACACACTTTCCACACACACAAATTCTCATCAGAGCTATGCTTCATACCTTGATCTCACCTTCCAATTGCACCTCAACATTGTTCAAGAAGCTCAAGTCCAGCTTCTTTCCAATAACATAAGTCTTCCCCTTTTGGAGTAAGAGTCGTCCACCATGATTAGCCCGTTTGATACCCCAGAGAAAATCCATAGACACATCATCGGCGTCGTTTTTCGATGGCCGGATCGTCACAGTTCGACGATCTGGGTATTTCGGATGATGAGCTCCTACGCGTCGTAGCGCAGATGTATCCTTTGCTGGAATGATTTGTGCGCCATGAATGATATGGTCTGCTGCCAGACCACTGACTGCGCCGATGAGAAGCGCGCCAATACTAAGGAACCTCATTATCAGATATTCCTTGAAGCTAGGTTACTTCACTCAGGATGGAGGGGGGAAATCCTAGTATTTGCTGTCTCCGCGATAAAACCATGGCTATCCCGGCTCTTCGTCTCCTCTTATATACTGTCGTCGCTCTCTACATGCATACTAGTAGGAATTGGCATGCGGGGATAGAATGCCCCTTTTCTCCGCCTGTAGGAAAGTCCAATTTGCAGATTTGTAAGAGAAATGATCTACAGGGACATCTCAGCGAGAGACCCCGGATCGTATCGAACGAGACTCGGTGAGTTCTCCGCTTTTCGCCAAGTGCCGAGCGCGGGGATGCGGAGAGCACTCATACAGCCTTAGCTCGTAATCTGCAGGGGTTCTTCTTGGGACGGGGAAGATCCGACCATTTTATGGGTGGTGATTTGTGCACTGTTGCATATGATTCTTCCACCAATCAATCCTTTGTTTACAGATCTAAAGAGGACTACAACTCCATTGATTGCCCTGACAAGTTACTCAAACCCAATATAAATATCAGAATGACTCAAAAACTTCTATTCTACATTAGTCACTTTCTGCATAATTGAAAACATATAATCCATTTCAATAGGTACAAGAACGATAGCATTCACAGCCTCTTGCCAGCCAACACCAAACCAGTGATGCAGCTAATGTTACCAGACCACCAGGTCACCGAGCGAAGGTAGCTCAGATTCCGAGACTCGATATACGAGTAACACAAGCTGTACGCAATGCGAGAAAGACTGTACCACACACCAATGGCATTGATAGTCTTATGGGGAACCCCGGCAACCACTGACAACAGCACTGAATTCCAAGTTAGCATGCGGCCGGACCCAATGGATGAATTCAAAGTCATCATTGATGAAACACAATTCATCAATTGACAGGATTTACTCACTCGCCGCGACAAAAAGAGGATATCCCTCGACAGCATTAGCGTGCGCTGCTTCCTGCCGCTTCAACTTATTCAAAGTACGCTGACTAATTTTGCCCGCCTGAACCGCCGCCTCGCCGTACTTGGACAGATCCTCGCGCGGCGCAACATTATTGTCGAGACCGAGGCGTATTTTCGTGCCGCGCGTGCTCATCAGAGCGTAGGCGAAACCCCAGTTGGCTACCAGGAAGCCGGCGGCATAATTACGGGTTTGTGCGCCTGGAGCGGCGCGGAGGCCGATGGTGCTTAGAATGGAACTGCAATTACTTTAGCGCATTCCTTTTATTCGTGAAATGGGTAACTTACGACATGAATGGAAGGTGAAGGTCTGTATAGGGATGTGGGGAGGATTTGGGGAGCTAGGGGGGGGGGAAAGTAATTTATAATCGGGTCTATCGCATGTGGGTTCGCGCGGCCGAGGATGAATTCATGTTCTTGCCGATCTTCAGCCCCTTTGTATTATCGGGCGTGGTGATGCCGAGTTTCTTGCATGGATATTATTTCCGGTCAATTTTCTGAATTTCAAATTTTTGGTCTTTGGCAGTACTATCTATCGTTTGAGGTTGGAGAACGTGTGTTTTTCGGTGATGAATGTGAGTGGAAGGCGCTGAAATACCAGATGTGTATGGCATTTACAGTGTTCGTGAAACCGAGGTTGTGTGGAGGTCCCAAGTTTTGGGTCAGTAGAGTATACCTTTATATCTTGCGTTTCAATTACTCTTCATCCCATTGGAGGCCAAGGTACAACTATGAATGCAAGGAGACGAAATAGAAGCTTGGATCGCCAATCTATAACAGTTGCAAGTTCTAGATGTCAAACTATATACACGCCCGAAAGTCACAGTCAAACCATTTCCCTCGCTTCACATTCAACTTGGTGTGAGGACCCCTTGATTGACGATCCCGCCGGTGACCCTGGACAGTGTTGACGACCCGGTCGTAACATGATAATATCGGGTTCTTCGTGTCGATGGTGACTTGAAAGGGAGGTTTCAGTCTCATCAGAGTGGCAAGAGAATCGGTTGTTCAGCACCATTGAATGCCCCCGTCGGTTGACCACGCTGTTGTTAGGGACCGGTTCATTTTCAGAGAGAAGCTGGACTTCAACCGGGTGGTCTTGAATGACGGGCACTCTCAGTAATTTGTATATGCAGTTCAAGGCCGGTATTGAGAGGCCGTGAACTACAATCGAGAAGCATACAAGCCAGTATACAACTGTGCAAATTTAGCGATGGTCATTCCCTGTGAGTGCTTGACCCAGAATATCTTACCTGGTATCATCGCTGATGTAAGATGGTTGATTTCCGCATCATCTTCATTCTCTCCAGGATCGGGAAGTAATCGTCGGGCATATTCAACATAAGCAATTGCTCCCACACCTGCCCAGTTAGCAATCGGATCACATATCACAGGATACATGGACATGGGTATGGGTGTACCTACCGATCGGTCCAAAGTATCCCATGAACAAAGCCTCTTTCCAGTCGCTGCAGACTTTGGGCATGAACCGATATCCCAGCATGATGGCAGGGATACGACGAAACAGTAATATCAACAAACCCAACACGACCAGTCGAGATATAGTGATCCCCGATGTCTGTGGCAGATGAAGCTGGTCCCAGGCATACTTGCCCCAACGAAGAGGAATGTGCCGTAATTCAACACGGTTTCGATAGTCGTATTAAACGAGTCATGTCGGGCCTCGGCCTCGGAATGGTATAGTCCATCCCAGTTGAGTGCACATCCAGCAATGAAACAAGCCAGTGTCTCGTCTGATCCAAAACAGCCGCAAGTCCCCACGACAAATAGCTAAGGATGTCAGTATCATTACAGGCCATACAGACCAGATCACATACCCCAATGGCAACCGGACACAAGAAAAAGCTCTCTCTGTCAATCCATCTCCTGCGCCGCTGTCAGTCACTTTGCCCACTCCCGAGTTGACCAGTCTTGCTCACCTTTCTGAAGCCAAGTTTAAGCTCTTCCGACTCACAAAGCCCACAAGCAGCCCGTATCCAGCCCCCATGACTATCATGTATAACACTCCTTCCACTGCCCAATGTGCCAAGGCGCGACCGGCATTTCCTCCGAATCGACCAGTATCCATCGCTCCAATCCAGTCGCGCTTATTTACACTCAGCGCAGGTGCGTCTGCGTATCGCAAAATTGCGATGGAAAGCAATAAGAATGGGAACCCGAAGCCATCGTTTCCTCCCGCCTCGGCAGATATAAATTCTCGCAGGTGTCTTCGGACATACTTATCCGCAAAGGGGCCTTTCGCGATGGCTTGGGACAGGACAGGGTCGATGCAAATGATACAAGATCCGATGATCAAGGCTGTCAGCTATGGAAAGATATCAGCGATCGCAAATACGAGGTTTTTTGGTATGGTGAGAAGGGAGAGACACGCACGAAGGATAGATGAGGCACCATCAGCAGGATACAGGATGATGTCGCTAGCCACTGTATGGTCATAAGAGGAAGCAGACAGATCGTCAACTCGACAAGGCGTCGTCGCAGGTATTGTTTCGGCAATTCGTAGCCCACTTTCACCATTTGGATGCCAATCACCATTCGTGTCAATGCCTAGTAATGTCAGATAGGTTCTCACGGGTCTCAATGGCCATGTCTCACGTAGGCAATGTCCCCGTCTTTATCGGTATCACTCCATCTGCTCGGATTGATCAAGTTCGTACAGAATGGCCCAAGTAGCGCGCCGATCACAAAGGACGGCACTAAAAAGTCAGCACTGATCCAGCAGAAGTGGAAGACCAACTTACATGCTTCGCCAAGGTACCATTTCTGTTTGACCTTGAGCGAAAGGAATCCAAAGACCAGTAAGAAGATGCCTGTCTGAAATTAGATCCATCAACAGAACCGACTGTGGGGAGGCGATGGGGTCCTACCAGAGAATGTAAGAACCACATTGAAGTTGCTGATATCGAGGATCGGATGAAGCATGGTATTCTCGCTACAGGCGAGGTGAAATGATTCACGATGAGTTAAGCATGGGGTGGCAATTCATGGACCGATCTCTAGCAATCTGTCACGAGTAGTCTGTTCGGAAACCATGAAGAGAATACGCAGATGAAATGGCGACATCAGCCGATGTAATTGGACTGGGGTTGGAGAGTGCGAAAGTGAGTTTCCAAGATGCCAGAATGATGTTATTCTGTTGGCAAGAATGCGCCCTTGGTCCAGGTACTGTCAGAAGAGCGATCGCGATCAGAAAGCCACGAACTTGGCAGGCTTGGCTGCATACATTGATGTACTCAGGGGTTAGATAGATCACAGATCACCAAAGATGAACATGATGATAATCTTTCGATTTGAACCATGGTAGATATTACACAGGGAGTGAGATCAACGAGGTTCGACTACGCGTACAAGGGCGGGCACCAAGAAGGCCCTGGACATGGACATCACCAATAATGTCCTAAAACATTGACTCTTTATTTCAAGATGCTGAGCTGTATCAGCAGCCAATCGGATCATCTAATGTCGAGACTTGCGCATAACTCGAGGATCCGCCTGAAGCTGGACGGAAATAGCAACTGATGCAATCAAAAAATGGCCTTTTAGACCAGCCCAGCTCGAGACTTCCATCGACAGACTAACGTAGCTTAGTTATTTTCCAATTTTTTTCCACCGTGCCTTGCGCGACTGACGACGCCTATCCTATCAACAGCCCCCATATCGGCCCTAGCCCATGCCGGGCCTCGCGCCGAATGCACAGATCGACATTGCAGCCGCCCATCGCCCATTATCGGCCCTATCAGCAATCTAGGGCCAGAATGCAGCACACAAGGGGCATCCGAGACGGTGCCGAGTCCATGTTTCAAAAAATTTGTGGCAACGTAAGCGGCCCGAGCTGTGCCAATACTTTCTAGAAAGCTTGGCTTCAGAAAAGAGAGTATAAGCTTTGAGGGACCATGAGAAGAAGGGGAATGCGAATTGTAGATTATGAATATTATCATGAAGAGTGATATATAGTGATTCAAAAGTGGTTAAGAACTGTTAAGAACGGGCTAGCAGTCCATCAGCCCCTTTTCGCGGTTCCAATCCATTGATTTCTTTGCAATCTGGGCCAAAATCCCTCATACTCGTCACATTACTCCTTGTATGAGTGATTTTTGGCAGACTCCGAGGCAGGGGACGTGTGTAGCTAGACGGCCAACATAAAAAGTCATGATTCTGTCGTTACTTCTGGATTTGAATCAATTTCGCAGGTTCTCGATTTCTGTGTTGGTTCATCTTTCTGATTCTTGCATCACAACAATAACTATGTCACCTATGAATCTTTTCTCCGAGAGACTTCCAGAGTCCAACCGAAGTTGCAGCAACGTCTATGGTTCTCGATTTGCGTCAGAACATATGCCATGCAGCAGTTTTCCAGACGAGGAGATGCCGAAAGAAGTGGCCTATCGAATGATCAAGGATGATCTGGTTCTGGATGGCAACCCCATGTTAAAGTGAGTAGCATGCCCATGTCATAGAGCAAATAATCCGCTAACATCAGCGTAGTCTCGCTAGTTTTGTCACTACCTACATGGTTCGCTTCACAAATGCCCAATCTTTTTTCGAGAGAATTCTTCTTATTAAACTAATTTGCTATGTAATAGGAAGACGAAGCCGAAAAACTCATCGCCGAGTCCTCAAACAAAAACGTCATCGACCATGAGGAATATCCCAAGTCGGTCGAAATCGAACATCGCTGTCTCAACATCCTGGCCGACCTCTTTCACACTCCCCAAAAAGATGGGAAAGCTACAGCGGTCGGAACAGCATGCATCGGATCCTCGGAAGCCATCATGCTGGGTGTTCTCGCCATGAAGAAACGCTGGCAAAATGAACGAAAGGCGCAAGGTAAAGACACCTCTCGTCCTAACATCATCATGAGTACGGGTGTCCAGGTCTGCTGGGAGAAAGCAGCCAGATATTTCGACATTGAAGAGAAACTGGTTCCCTGTACGGAAACGCGATTCGTGATCGATCCAGTTGAAGCGGTGAATCTGGTCGACGAGAACACCATTGGCATTGCAGCGATCCTGGGAACAACATACACGGGACAATATGAGGATGTCAAGTCGATCAATGATCTTCTGATTGAAAGGGGCCTCGACACTCCGATTCATGTGGATGCTGCTAGTGGTGGATTTGTCGCGCCCTTTGTGAATCCCGACTTGATATGGGACTTTCAACTGCGAAATGTTGTCTCGATCAACGTTTCCGGTCACAAGTATGGCCTAGTAAGTGATCTCCATGGCCTCATTAGAAAACAGTCCCCCCCCCCCTTTTTTTTTTCAAACGGCTAACCAATTTCTCGCAGGTCTACCCCGGGCATCGGCTGGGCTCTCTGGCGATCCGTCGAGTACCTACCGAAAGAACTCATCTTCAACATCAACTACCTCGGCGCCGATCAATTGAACTTTACCCTCAACTTCTCCAAGCCTGCATCTCACATCATCGCACAGTACTATCAGATGATCCGTCTCAGGACGTCGAGGCTACACCGACATCATGATGAATTTGACCCACACAGCTGATTACCTCGCCGACCAGCTCGAGGATCAAGGGTTCATCGTCATGAGCGATGGCGGCGGTCATGGACTTCCAGTCGTCGCTTTCCGCTTAGCCTCCGCCCACACATTGTCTTCGACGAGTTTGCACTGTCTCACAAACTGCGCGAGCGTGGTTGGATTGTTCCGGCATACACAATGGCGGCAGACTGTGAGAAGATGAGTATGATGCGCGTTGTGGTGCGCGAAGAGTTCAGTCAAAGTCGTTGTGATAGTCTAGTCCATGATATTCAATTTGCTCTTCGGGTGTTGGCTGAGCAGGAAATTCAGAACATGCAACGCTATCAAAAGTGAGTTTTGAATTGTCATGGCTGAAGGAAACCGAAAGAAGTTGAATCTTTGCTAACTTACTTACAGATTGATGCAAGGTCAGCTTGCACTTCCGAAAACACTTTGCGCCGAGACATCATGTCTTCCCATCTCGTTGGCCCCGGAGAAGACTGGAATCACAATCAATACTCGTGAATGCATTGATACATAATTAGATTTAGAACTAGAGACCATAGACTAGACTGTGAAATTTTATGTACTGTGAATTTTGTGAAAAAATGGAAAAACTCCATTCCGGGGGTATAGTTGAGATTATCAGTATTTCCATCAAATGCCTTCCAATTATCCACTGCAAGATTCCATCTCGTGCTTATGGGATGGGAGGAAGGTTTCCAAAGAGGTTGTTATCCCATAATTCCGTGTTTGCGGTATCCAGACCGTCAAACCAGCCTCCCAAATCCATAGACTGTGTCCATTAGCATGGTGTCCATATAGAGAGGGGCGGAGAGGGGAGAGGACAGAGGATAGAGGAGGAAGGAGAAAGGAAAGGGCAAATGGGGAGACTTACTGCTAAATCACCAAAGTCCGTTGACAAAAGAGACGGAAGGTCAAGGTCAAGAGAAGATGCAGAAATCGGGGTTGTTCCGTCAGGGACCACGGGGGTCTTGAACAGATCAGCGAGATTCCATAAGCTCGGATAAGAGTAACGTACCTGTGTGGGCTGGTTCTCTGCAAAAGCGAGCGCATCAGAATATGAAAGGCCATTCAATCTGCCTTTAGAGATTCGAACCGCCTTCTTAGACGCAGCCTCTACCTGGCTCAGGGGATCCTCTCCCTTGATGCGGGACTTAACCGAGGCGAGAATAATACTCAAGAAGAAGTAAGGCTTGGTCCCTGTTCCAGCGGCTCTGATTCGCCGACCAAAGTCGTGAAGGGTACGTTCGACTCCATCTAACATCACAGTCTGTTGAGACTGGACCATGCTCATCAACACGCTAGAGTTCATTCCTTCCATTGCTGAGCCCGGGTGGCTCATTTCTTGAGCTTGAAGGGATAATTCCACGCAGACAGTGCTGGCTGCATGGAAGACTTCGTCACGGAACATACCACTTCCTAGCTGTGTGATGTGCGGATACTGAATGGCATTCGGTGTCAATGGAAGTTCCATCAGAGATAAAATCTCTAAAGACCCTTCTAGGCAGATCTTCCGGGAATAAGAACATTTCGGTAGCCGTACAACGCTAAGCGAGAAGGGGCGGTGAAGCGCAAGGAGATATTTGCGCATGATGAACATGTGAATGGATTGAGCGAATTGATGCCGTGTAGCATCGGAGGGGTTAATGCTCGATGCATTGTCTTCGAATAGTGATGTGGCATGCTTCACAAAGCTGAGCATTTCTTCACCCATTCGCAGGGCATCATCGTATGAGAGATCGAATTTCAATTTGTTGATTTTCTTTGCGATCAGATATCGTAGTGGTAATGACTTTGAGAGAAGGGTCTGGTAGAAGTTTCGAGTGTACGTCGCCGTGCTGAGAGGAGTTGGGTTATTCTCCAGGCTCTCGACTAAATCCGCATCGTCCCAATTGGAGGGTGCATCACAGTCGCATTCATCAAGATCAACTGACGGAGTAACACCTCGGTCCAGAGAGATCTTTAGATCTAGCTCCACGATGGTCGTCCACAGTCGACGACGCATCTCATACCAAAATGGGCGAGCCCCCCTTGCGGAAACGGGTTGGGTCGCGATGTAAACCCATTGTCATTGCAGAACGAATGAGCGACCCTGATGATGCCCAGGCTACATCTCCGTCATTGGCAACCCCAAGACGGGCCACCAGCAAGAGCGTCTGTGTTTGGAGCATCCGAAGATTAATTTCTGGGCTCACAAAGGAGCAGGAGATGTAGGATTGAACGCCCATGATCCATTTCATGGCGGGTGTTTGGTAAGTCTCACGAGCTTCAGCCTCCATGGACATATGAAAACAGCTTCCTGCTGCCAAAACAGCCAGCAGCTGAGCGACAAATGCCATGTCAGGCTTCTGGGGGTAATCCCAGTAATCAGAGTACTGCTTCATGAAGGTCGGAATGTGTAAAACGCGATACGTCGTTTCGAAACTGTCCAAGTAAAGTTGAAGAAGCTCATCCGCGACGTTCCTGGCTGGTACCATCTCGTGCAAGCTGAAGGCCTGGTCTCTGAAGGCTCGTTGATGACTTTGACTTTCGCGAGACCAGAGTTCACATTTGAACTTCTTCATGTCGTGGAGTTCCTTGTCTTTTTGGTTCTTATGGCCACGTCGCAAGAATGAACCAATATCTTGAAACTATATTTCGTTAGCAGTCGTTCCAAATGGGGGACTTGGCTCACTCACAAAAGATACCGTTGTAGTGTAATGGCTGCGCCCGAAATACCGAGTCTTGCCGTTCTTGCCTCGAAAACTAGAGTCGGGAAGAAAGCGCACACGGTCTTCCACACCAGCTGCATCTGAACTGTGTTGGGACGTACAATTTTCTGAAATAAAATCACCCACTGATGTGTCGGGTGTTTGAATAGCATTCGACTTTGATAAGGCATGTTCTAGCGTTCGTAATCGATTCCTGAGTTCATGTAGCTCATCTGAATGGTTGCGTTTAGAAATGCGACTGGAACTTGTCTTGGGGGCCAATTTGGAGTCGAAGACAAACATCCCACCATTCCCAGGTTGGTCTTCCGAGCCACTAGGCATCCGTATTCGAGACACTGGCGGGGACATTTGGCGCGACGACTCTGGAGCAGCTCCGGGCTGTTGCCCAACAAAGACGCATGAGTCTGCTGTTTTGGAACGAACACATTGTCCGCATGGAAGTGAGCGATCGCACTTTAGTTTTCGCCTGCGACACTCGGTGCAGGAGAGTGGGGGCCTTCGCCGTCGCTGGATAACTCTGCTCTCTCCAGTCTCCCCTGGAGACAGCGGTTCTTGATAATCATCCATGTCTCTTCGGTGTTATTTTGTGACTTTTGTTCTTGCACATCGATGCCGCTCGCGGCGTTTAGTCGAAAGGCTCCAAAACGCACACTACTTTGATGACGCAGCTGGGCGCGCAATGTCGGTCTTTTCGCAGAAATGAAGAAATGACTGCTGTCCTCATCCTCATCTGGCAGACGCTCTCACGATGAATCGATCTTCCGCAGTAATTGTCGAAAGAAAAAATAAAAAAAGGCGAAGGATGAGTAGATATGCCACGCGTGGGTGGAGTCAGAAATTCCCCGAGCTCGGAGTTACCTAATGTGGTAATGATGCCAAGATATTTCACGTATCTGATTGATAAGCCTAGAGTCGTGCCCAAATAGGTTTACAAAAAGCTTGTCTCTGACTCAGAAGTTCTAGTGCTATACAGAACGCGGCCTAAATTCCCTACCTATGTTCTCTATGATCAACACTGGCTATCTAGATGACATTGTCTCCTGTAACGTCACTAAAATGATCTCAAATAGAATTGTAATACTGGAAAAGCCCCGTGACTTAAATCTCTAGTGAAAGTGCTTGTGAAAATAATATGAAAAGCAATTTCGATACAGTTCGATAGGTCTTCCAGGACCTGTTATCATCCGAGGCTAACACTGTTGCCACATAGTCCTAGGACTGTTGAGATCTCTCACATTTCTTCAAAATTGAGTGAATTTAACCTGAGAATATCCTGAATTGATTGCGGCAGCAATAGAGTGAGGGTCAGGACAAGGGGATCATCTGTCTGATTTTGCTCGATTATTCATGTTTCTATGTTCCATTATACCCGTTTTACTGCACACCAAGACAACAAGATGTATTTGCTGGACGTGTTGCAATTTATCTGAGACATGGCATTTCCAAGAAAAAGTAGATTTTCAGCCACTGGAGCCTCAATAACCAACCTCCGACCAATAAAAACGCACATCTTGTGCCCGAAAATTTATACAGATCCAGGACGAGAGATCAACTGCATCCATCCAACCCATATCAAGCAGCACTGTCGGAGTGTAGGTGATCTAATGATCGGCATTCGAGACTTTCCATCCATTTCTCCACGGTCTCCCGATTCCGGTCGTCTATGAATTTCTTGAGTCGTGCCTCTACAGACTCGTTCACAGAGCGACGATATCGTGATGCGTCTGCCCCACAGCATCCTAGTACTGCTAACACTTTCTGTCTCGGGGTCAGCATAAAGTTGATCTACAGACAGTCTCGTTACATACATCGTTGTCTTTCTCTGGCTTTAACAGAGTGATCTGCAGTACCAAGGGATATATATCATCTGTTGGAACATAATGGTCAAATGTCTCGCCGTAATGATCAATATCCCTAGACAAGCCCAGGCCAGTCAGTGAAAGATACGTATCAAGTTATTCTGGAAGCTCAGAGCATTGACTCATTCTCTGACTGCATTTATTTGTGTAGACTTGTCTGGCTTGTGAATCGCCTGATACCCATCTGAGATGCTCGTCGCAAACAGCCAGAGCCTCTGAGCTCCTTGGAGGGGGGTCTTTCTGGAAAGTGTATTTATATGCGACTTTGGCCAACTCCAGGCCTACCGGCTGAGGAAATAATGAAAATTCGTTTTCCAGTTCCCACGATGCGTCCGGCATAAGTTGTTGTATTGCGGCGATAGGACCTTCGATTCGTATTCTATATGGTCGGCTTCCAGATGTACGATGCGGCTGGCCATGTTGTGTACAGGGAGAAATGTAGAGCGGGAGCGCCATAGCACGATTATATGTGGAGTTGGATCTGGGTTCAGGGATTTAGAAAGAGAGGATTCCTGGTCAAGGGTCCTTTGTACCAAGTCATAATGGATTTATTAGGTGGGGCAAGTGAGGTGTCGCATACATTTCGAAACGACAAGGGTCCCGACCACTCACAATTGGCTGGAGCGAGTCATCTCCCGATCATGGAATACTATTCTATTCAAATAGACAGCACTGATAAACATTTCCCGTGATTACCTAAATACGGTTCAGAAGATGCGGTTTGTAAGCTATTAGATCCTTGCGTAAGATTATGTTGAGATTGTGGTAAATCAATTATTTACTCTTAAAACTGGAAAAGCTTCGACTCTTTGTTGTACGTTCTGCCAACGAAAGGATCACATTTTAGATGCACCCACAGCTCGTTGTTGTTTACAATATAGAAGAATAAGTCGCCCTTGGCTATACCGATATTGTATTTGAGGTCATCCAGGGTCTTTGCGTTGAGTGCGACTCCAAGAATGGAATGTCCAAAAACCTTTATGCTGCCATTAACATCGTATGTGTCTGTGTCAAAGAATATATCGAGCTTGGAGAGGTATTAAAGCTGTACGGAACAAGTATAACAAAGACCGGATGACTAACCTTAAAAGGACCCAAGTCGCCGCTGAATGTAAGTATATTTTGTAGGGTGATGGAGTCTTTCTTTGAGAATTTTTTGAACGGGGAAATGTCTGAATTGACTAGGTCAAGCGAGTGCGTAATTTTGCCATTGGCGTCCGTCGCCTGTTTCGCGATACCAATTGCCACTGATGGTTTAGCAGTCATTCGCTGACATGAGAACACAAGACGCTCACACGTTTGAAATACTGGTTCGACGTCGGTCATGTTTTCCATGGTGCCTGTAGACTTTGAAACTTTGAGAAAACTTTGTAATTGGAAGAGGAATGGAAGAGAAATTCAGTTTGGAAGCACAATACTTTTATAGCTAGCCGGGAAAATATGATTCAAGTCGAATGGCCTGCTGAGGGTACCAGTAGCTGCAAGCCTGTCGTCATTCTTGCCCGATGAGTATTGTGTTCAGTATTTTGAGACCGTCCGAGGTCACTATGTTGCTCACGCGACCGAAGTTGTGTCATCATTCCTGCTTAATGGTCATTGGGTTTATTATTTTGGGATGACAGAACTGTAAGAGTAGCAGCTTGCAGAAAAAAGAGGGCGCTATAGTTCATGCCGAGAAGATGACGTGTCCGAAGAGATTGTAGTCAGATGGAGACCTCAACATAGTCCAGTTCCGATTCCATAAGACGAGATCCGGACCGCCAAGTGAACCGCCAAGAGGTCCGCCAAGAGAGGGTTCGTACTTTAGGTTTCTTGGCGTTTCCTAGAGCTCGAAGGTTGGAACCGCGAAGACTTGGCTTGGCGGTTCTATGTCGAGGTCTAGGTCTCAAATGGAGTTCAAATTTAAGAAGGGAACAAATTGCGGGCGGATACATCGGACCAAGGTGGTGATGTAAGTCTATTTCCCGAATGAGCAAACTCGCTCAAGCTTAAACGTTCTAGACAGGAAAAGGCTAAGGCTAGATAGCGCGTTGTAGGGGCTGCTGCCACAGTAGCCAGGAGTTGGAGCGTAACCTCAGTTGTGTTCCCAAGGTTATGGGATGTGGGAAGAATGAGGGAGAAGGCAAAACAAAAGAAAAGAGGGAAGCTGGCAGAAGGTCTTATTAGATTGCCACTAGATCTACTTGGCGATTCTAGCTGGTTTTATGCATTCACTTTTTTGCAATATTATGGTACTATACTATTGAACGTCGATGGTGGTTGTTAACTGTTTGATTGTAATTCACAGTAGCGCGGTCACACGGGCAAAACTCCATACTAAATGCGATACATTACGACTTCACAATTCAACCACGAGCTCTGTTCCTGATATTATATAATCTAGATAGTTTTACTAACTACCGGTACAGCATAGGATGATTATACCATGTGCTGACAGAGATATATGTATTCATCTTTCAATTGTCAAATTACGCTGCGTTTTTTGCTCAGTTATCGGAATAACATTTTAAATGGCCTAAAGTCAATATATGTTCTTCTTGTGCTTATAAATATGCATATTTTAAAGATTTAACAGGGGAAACCCCTAGTGCTTCAAATACTGTCGAAGCAAAATATGATATATTAGGATGGTGTTTTGGGGTGGCTGAGCGCCCATGTGGCCGACCCGACCGTATATTACGTTACGTTTTGTTATAACCAAGCAGACATGGAACAAGTAGATACGTCCAATCCATGATACATTTAGTATATCATGTGATTGGGGTTTGAAAGAGTATCTCTCTGTCTCAAACATGGAAGGCAATAACGGTCGCCACTATAGCATGTTCAGAGAATGCACATCCAGATCTAGACACTAGACTCGCATATCAACCTCCAACTACAACAACAAGAATAGCGCAGGCCGCTTCGCGGGTTTGAGTTATGCGGATAGTGATTTGAAATAATAGAAAAAAACCCTCGTTATCATTCATCCGATAAACAAAACGAACATGTGAAATCTCATGGGTTTTCCATTATAGAGTAATCCCTCCTTGGGCTTGGGGTTCAGTCCTTCATGTGATGTGGGCGACCATTGTCGACATAGCTTGAAAAGTCATCTCTCCCGAGTCGCAAAGCCCGCAATATAGTGTCCTGAGATAGAAAACAGTCGAATCCCTTGTATTCAAGAAGGTGGACATCAGCGGTCTTAGTTTCCAGCCACATCATACTTGTCAAATCGCCTACCATACGCTTAAAATCAATGGCGTTCATTCATTGCAAGCTACTTTTCTTGGGATCAAGGGACTTTCCAAGAGGCCTACACACGTAGATTGGTCTCGGCATTCTATTGAATAGCTCAAAGAAACCGGGCACATTGCCGGTAGATGAAGACAGCTAGAAAAAGCAAAAAAATCGAGATGAGCCGGATATGTAGTGCTCAATTCAAGTTTTGTTTCGGCAAGGGGCTCTAGCCCAGGTAAGGTATCATATGGGAGCAGCCAATTTTGACTGGCAATTGGAGATGAAAAGACCAAATGTAGATTAGAGGTAATTGCCCTTGGTGAAGCGAGAGCTATAGTCGCTTGCTTTACTGACCATTTCCCGCCGCTTCGCATTGGAGATCTTGGATGCGACCGCCATGTCCTTTTCACGATCAAATGCACGCGCACTCGGGTCATCGTCCTCCTCTTTGCGAGCTTCGGAACTTTCGAGGCGACTTTTCTTGCCACTCTGTTGCTATAGCAATAATAAGCGCCGGTGCCGCGGCCATGATGGGAAAGTACTTACATTATATTTTTTGATCCTCTCTTCCATAGACTGATCGCGGGCTGTGCTGGAGGCTTTGGGCTGCTTGTCACTAGATGGCGCGCCAACTCCCATCACGGCATCTCCCAAGCGTCGCATCCTTTCCTCTGGTGTTTCCACCCACGATGAATCAAGTTCTTTCGAGCCCCCCCGAGCGGGCAGAGCGGCCTGTATTGAATTTCCGACTCCGAATCTGTGTAGGATCGATTTTGCTAGCCCAGTCGCTTCCGTCAGGCGGTGCCATCATCCAGTCGTCGCGCTTGTTCTCCTTCTTCTCAGGGGCGGACGAAGCTGGTTGAGCGGTTTCCACAGGTGCTACCATCACACCGGCAGGAGGAGGTAGACTGGGTCCGAAGTCGTCGTCGCTTTCACTGTCTGATCCATCCGTGCCACTGAGCGCCCTATCGTGTTCGGGTTGCGCCGATGTCGACGGGGGCATCGAAGGCCCCATTACCCTCCTTTTGGGAGTATTGGAGGCATCGCCATCATCCCCGGCGAATTTGCGCTTTTCAGTCGCTTCCATTGGGGAGTTCAGGGGCGAAGGAGCAAAAAGGTACCCAAGAAAGAAAACCGAGCCGCTATCTCTTATCTCCCTGATGTCATTTGCGGTGAAGGGAGATCTGGAGTCCGAAGCTCCGACTTTGGTGACGCGGGCCCCGTTGCCCCGCCCTCTACCGATTTGCATCTGCGTGGATTTGCTCGGTGACTGCGTTCCGTGCTAGATTGTGCTTCGTTGATTTGGGACTGCTGCATTTGGGATCTCCATATCATGCCATCCGCTTTTTGCGCTCACCGACGATTCTACTAGAGCATGGTGTCTGTTCATTTACGACCACGATTAGAACATGGGTGGCCAGTCTCTTCCAGAGAAGCTTCAACAGCTTCAACAGCTTCAGGGGAAACAATGCAGAGCTTCTGAATGCGATACCTTGAACAATGCCGGATCCTGCTCCTTGTCATCTATCAGTCAACAAGTTACGAGCGATCAACAACAGACCTCACATGCGTCGGAGGACCCTAAACCCTCTCCTCGCCCCGGAGATTCCTGGCACAACCGATCGAAACCTCGTCGCGCAGTTCACAACCCCGACCAACCCCCCAGCGACGCCACAGGGGACCGCGAAGACGCCCCTAATACCTCCGCACAGACGGCGCGGTTGGACGAGAACAAGCCCCGTCGACGCTTTTTGCCACAGCCGATTGAAACAACAACAAAATCAAGCAATGCGGGAAATTCTTCAAAATTACAAACATCGGAGCAGAAATGTTCAGCTGGCCCAAGACGGTTCAAGCCAGACCTGATTGAAACAGACCGTCGTTCAGTTAAAGGAGAGTCAGAAGAGCTTCCCCATGCGTCGAAATCACCAGGGTTGAAACAGGAGGCCTGGAGAAATTCGACTCGACTCAGTCCCAATCGTCCTGTCTACACAGAGCTACCAGAATCCAAGTTTTCATACGCAAGTCTTCTTCGCAGGCAAGAGGGACGAAGGCATTCATTCCGAGTCCCGGAACTGCCGTCAATCGAATCTAGTGGCAGCGAGGACTCTGATGAACAATCCCATTCACCATCTTTATCATCCTCTTACAAATCCAGGTCTTCACAGAAGTTTACTGGCAATCTCAAGCCTGAGAAGTTACGCAGCGATAGTTGCGATGCCGAGTATTCAGAATATCTACTCTCTCTCGCTGCGCGCTCAGCACAGAAGCAACTCAGGGAGCAGGCGCTTGCCGCTTCCCCCAATGAACAGGCCTACGAGCCCGTGGATCATTTCGATTTTGCCGTTGACGACGAAGACAGTCAATCGGAAGATGATCTCAAGTATCCTCAGAAACATCATCTTAAATCGCGGCGACAGTCATCGGCTGATCTATCGTGGGAGCTCGAATACATGCGCCATCACAAGGAAGAAGCTGAAATGCGCCTCCGAGCGATGGTTAACTCGAGGAATCGGAACCGAACCTCTGCTGGGTATCAACCTACACCTCGAGCAGATGGCAAAATTAGTCCACCGATGCTTGGAGAAGACATTGTCCTGCCACAAAGTGCATCTCCAGATGGGACGATGTGTGAAAATTCCACAACCGAAAATGGCTCATCACAGGATCCCTGTCATGACTGCGGCGGTCTCTGGTGCGCCGACAGTCGACCAGATGGCGAACGAGTCGCCGGCCTTTGGATGGGCACTTGTCGTAAAGGCCAAAGCGGAGATGATCACTCACAGCCGTTCTCCGGAATCATGACCCCCAGGCCAACAGACCTGGATAGATTATCGCGCTCCTCCACCTGCACAAACCTCCACGGCATGGCGGGCTCTTCCCCACGACCCGACCTTCTCGCCGTTACATCTAAATCCCTGGAAGACGAATTCCACGACGGCTTCGTCACCCAAATTTACAACTATCTATCCCTGGGCTACCCCTGCATTGCCCGCTACTATGACTACGAATTGAGTAAAATCTCGGGGTTCACAGTCCAAGACCTCCGCCGCGATGACCTACACACAGACGCTAGAGGGTACGTTGTTGCAATGGAAAGTGATGCCAACACGGCATGTACTAGATGGCGAGCTCTTCGTCGATATATTCGGGAATGGGCCCGTCAACAACCAAGCTTGAGGGAAGAAGATACAGGGCTAGAGGCTTGGGGAATGCCAGAGAGGAGAGGAAGTTGGGCAATTTGAATATCATCTTTTTATTTTCTTTTCTTTCTTTTTGTATCTATGACAAAGTATGACATACCCAGCGTGTTAATTATTATGATTGTCCTGCCAAACTCCAGGCTCCATTCCGAGCATTATCATATCGTTTTCGATTCTATCTGGGTCTCGTTTCCTCCGTTAAAACCAAATGTTGACCCTTATTGATGGTCATCCAAAGACATCTGAGAGAGTTTCCTTCCTCGTCGAATTGTTTCATGTACGATTCCGGGGAAGATCTTATGCTGTGGCACTCCGTCGGCTCCCAGGACACTACCACTTGGAGACGAGGAAAGCTCCGGCACAGGCGCCATACGGGGTGTAGTTGCTGCATCAGGACGAAGGCCGTTGGATTTAGCCGCCAAAGGCTGACCTGTCTCGGTGGATCCGGACTGCGAGACGGGGTCTGAGGCTTGCTTGTTTCGTTCGTCGCCAGCGACTTCGGAATATCGTTCAATTCTATGCATGATTAGCATTGCTTTCCCCTGTCGATCGTGTCATTACTTACAGTGACAATTCCGCCTGGAGAGTCTCGTGCCTGAAGGCTTCGCGGATGTCGGGCACATTGCTTTTCGCAACATTGTTGCCAGCCACGCCGCGGGCGCTGCAGTTCGAGCCTAGCCATCTCTGCTTTAAAGATAGCTCAAATCCACTTTGGTCGACGGAGTGCTTGGCCAATTCGCACATGTCGACGGCACTGAATTTGTAAATTTGGGCGGCCACGGAGTACTCCTCAATGAGAGGTTCCTTTGTGAAAGCGAACTGCAGAGGATCGTCGGTGGACAGGGAGACGTTCAGACCACGCTTGAAGAAGCTAGCACAAGGGTTTTTGTCATAAGTGAGGAATAGAGCGTTGTTGCTGAGTGGTGACATGGCAATACCAATCTGATTCAGATAGTAAAGGTACTGAAGAAGAGGAACCTTGCGCAGCAAGATGCCGTGACTGATGCTGTGGCAGCAGAGGAATCCGACAGCCAGATGGTCCGGGTCTCCCGCTTCACCGCAGTGTGGCCGCAGGACAAAGGTATTGAAGCCCCGACGTTGACGCCACTGGTTGAGAGAGGCGATGTTGGCAAACATGAAGTAGAGCCAGTAACTATAAGGCGGGTTCTGCTTGGTGTTCCATTCTCGCGGGATTGGATACTTGCGGTAGAGTCGACGCTCGGCCTTGCTCTCGTCGTCGACACTGTCAAATCCGACAACACGCTGAAGGAAGATGTGAAGTTTAGGGTGGCTTGACGGGTCTCTAGTGACTTCGAACAAAGGCTGGAAGACGTTCGTGATGACCTGTTCGAAGTTCTCCATCATTCCACTCGATTTATACACATCATACAGACGCGGCACTTGGATCAGCCAGCGGACATTGGGTGAGAACAACTTGTTGTCCACCACCCAAGCGGCTAATTTGTCCCATTCCTGCATGGAACGGCCGTAAATCGAGATTCGCCACTCAACCATTTGGTACTTGCTGGATTCCAGATCGGAGATGACTTCCTTGGTGATTTCGGCGAGATAACGGCCCTTGATGTAGTTATCCGTCTTCAGGAAGATCTCACGGAGTCGAGACTCTCCGACCGGGTTGTACTTCAAGTTGAATTTATCAAACCGATGGAAAGAGTCCGTGTGGGCGTGCATATCCAGGGTATCAATGCTAAGATCGTAGGCAGTGAGGTTGATACTCTCAAAGACCTCCCTCAAAGTGAGATGCTTTCCATCACGGAAGAGGACCACCTCGTCGGGAGACTTTCTCATCTTGCTCTTGATGAAGCGAAGCAGATGTTTCTGATTCATGCATGCTGAGTGGTGAACGTGAGTATCCACTTTACGCACGTTGTAGAAATCGCGATGCGGGACTTTCTTGCTGTCGGCGATTTCCTGATATTCATTCAATAGCGTGTACAGCTGGAACTTGCCCTCCAGGTAGGATAGGCGCTTGAACGCAAAGCTCTTGGTCGGACCATCGGTGGAAACATCAACCACGGCGTCCAAGTCCATGTAAAAGTCACGCAGTGAAGGGATATCAACCAGTGGCTCGTTCCGGTCCGCGGCAGCCTCCGATTCGTACACCTGGTAGACACTGTTTCGATCGAATCTGTATACATAGGAGGATTCGCCGGGAATTTTCACCTCGGCCATATCGAAATCTTCGCCTATATCCTCACCCATCTTTCGCTTCTTCTCCGGCACTACATCGGACGGACCTCCAACGTTGCCGGGCTGGTATTCCTTGCCTTCGTCCCAAGCTGGCTCAGGAGGCGGGGGTAAACATCCCAATCAGGATGATCGCGCGGATCATCTCCCGGTCGTTGAAGTGACAGCGCCATGTACTTTGATCGGCTATCCAGGAGACCCTTAATCTTGCGATAGATGGCCCTCAACTCGGATGTCACAGCATCTCCACCCGGCGCAACTCCTGCCCCTTGTGACATGCTAATGCCTAGGCCGGTGTTTTGTAGACTTTCATTTGCCGACATGTACGGTCCCTGGTTCGCCTGAGCAGCTTGATGAGCTCCCAAGGAGATAGCATGAGCCCTCGCGGTGTGATCAGCCAGATGACCGTGGCTATCCTGGACCTGGTGTATCCCATCGGCTCCATGATAAGAAGACGGCCCTAAATTCCATTCAGGTTCCATCGCCATGGAACTCTTGCGGGCTGTCAGGTTCTGCTGATGGGGACTCAGGTCCGCATTCATCGCTCTCTCCTCGTGATCAGTGGCCGAACGCGCAGTGGTCGCCGGACTGGACGGTAGGGTATTATCGCCGCTCTTCGTGGCCAGCTGGTGGTGCTGGTAGAAGAGCTTGGCTTCGGCGTGACTCATAGACTTCTCGTAGGCATAGTCGTAAGTCGCGGTCTTCTGCTGTTGATCGCGCGGCAGGATAGCACCTTCTGTAGGGTCCGGGTCTTCACGAGCAGGAGAACTCGCCGAGCTGTCGATGGAGTCCAGAAATCGGAGGGACTCATGGTTGGAGGTGGCATTGAAATCCAGACTGGGCTCGTCAGGATCGGACCCCATGGCTCTGTTTAATTTTCCGTTGCGCCAGGAAAGGTAAAAAGACGAAATAGGTTTGAAAGAGGACAGAAGAGCGAAGGGCTATCCCATGATGGGACCGAAAGAGAAGGAAGAGGAGATCGAGATCTATATTTTTCTGCCCCTGTATCCACACACCGGTGAGTCTCAGTCTCGGTGGAGCAGGTGACCTGATGAACATGCATACATTCCTTTGCTACATCACATTGACTCATATGGTCATGGGACCTTCTTTAGTACGTATAAGTCTTGGACTTTATCATTCTGGTCTGTACCTCGATTGAGACTTAGCCTATTTGACAAGCTAATGAGATCCAAGCTGCTACCTTGGTAGGGAGCCTTCACACCTGATTCTCTTCATCGCGATTCGAGCATCGCATAAAGTATACAACCTTCGAGCTATCACTCGATGCTATTCTTCAGGTTCTCTTGACTCGTCTCTTGCTGAATTAAAACGCATATCTCCCAAGTACATAGATTTATATTTAGGAGTCACCGCCTGGAAGCTTAGTGATGACGTGAAGCTCCGAGTGGACCCCCTCGGCCAGGCGACCGTCATTCTGGCTTTCTGTCTTTCTATCTTTCTCCAGGCTGTTACTGTCAGTTCTACATCTCCTCTACACATCTCACCATTAAGCCACCTTAACCCTCACTTGGCTACTACCCGTCCCTCTTGTTCCGATCTTGTAAGTAGCCCTTTCCGCCCACGTCAACTCCCCTCCCTTCACCCCCTTTTGTGTACACAGAGCTCCCACGTTGGCCCCTCCACGCCCCTCCACACCCCTCCAAAGCGGCTCTGTACTGACGATATACCTTATAAGGCTGGTTTGGGGCTCTTGATTCTTATACTCTCTTTCAGCCATGGCGTCTCTTAACCTCTCAGCCAATGGTCCCTCTATATCCAAGAGCTACCAATCCGTCGTAAACGCGACGCTCAACCCTACCTCCAAAACATACGCCCAATGGGTCGTCTTTTCAGTTTCGACTCCCTTAGTCAACGCGTTCCAGCAGGATTCCGGAAATAAAGAGAGTGTGCTGAAGGTCCAGACCTCGGGAGGTCAGTGCTCTACATGGCGTGGTGTTGGTGATATTGGTGTTGACAGTGCTTGCAGATGGTGAATTGGATGATCTCATTGAGGAATTTTCAGAAGGCCGTGTCCAATTTGCCTTTGTGAAGGTCATTGATCCGAACTCAGGATTGCCCAAGAACGTCCTCATCGGCTGGTGCGGTGAAGGTGTGCCTGAACGGACCAAAGGTTACTTCACCAGCCATCTCGCCAGCGTGTCCAAGTTCCTACATGTGAGAAAATCCGTCCGATCCATAGTTTGCGGCTATATTGACAATGAATCAATTTTAGGGATATCACGTCCAAATTACAGCCCGCGCGGAAGGCCATCTGACCCCCGAGGGCATTATCCAGCGAGTGGCCGACTCATCAGGTTCGAAGTACTCCGCGGATTCCCAGGAACCCGTCTCCTCCGGCTCGAGATCGTCCGGCCCACCTCCCATTGCAAGCAAACCCGTCTTCACTCCCACCAGGTCGGGTGGCATTGCTTCCAATCTTGCCCCGCGCCCGAAGCCCCCCTACTACCTCTAATGTCGACGATGATGGCTGGGGTGCCGATGCCCCTCCAGTGACTCGCACTCAGCTTGAGAAGGTCCAGCCTGCGTACCAGCCCACCCGGGTCAATCTGCAACAACTGAAGAATGAGAATCAGACTCCAGCTCGTCAATCGATTCCTTCCACCTCCGAGGACCGCGGTGATGTTGTACGGGGCGGTTACCAGCCAATTGGCAAGGTAGACATTGCAGCAATCCGAAGGCAGGCTGCCGAGTCTGGCCGGACGCAAGACGATCGCCCGGCACCAGTGAAGGGATCTTACGAACCCGTTGGCAAGGTTGATATCGCCGCCATTCGCGCCAGGGCTCAGAAGCCCGAAGGCGCAGGTGATGTCTCCCCGGCCCCGCCTAGCCCGGTTGCTCGAAACGAGCCCATTTCTCTTCCTGAACGCCCCGCCATGGCCCCGGAGGCTGAGCGTTTGACCACTCTACCCAAACCCAAGATCGCGAACAAGTTCGGTGGCGGTCCTTCCTTTGGCGGCACGAAGCCGCCTCTCCCCGCTGGCTCCGGCACGCCCGCCGCGGCTGCGCCGATCGTCACCGCCAGCCGAACCTTTGCAAACCAGGGAGGGAAGACCCCGGCTCAGCTGTGGGCAGAGCGTAAAGCCAGAGAGCGTGGCGAAGCTCCTGCCCCTGCTCCAGCTTCTCCGAACGCGCAGCCCATCCAGAGTCAACCCAGCGGACAGGGCGAATGGAAGAGTGGATATGCCGGCAAGTCCTGGGCCACAGTGCAGACCGTTAAGGACAAGGCGGCCCCCCCAGAATGTTGACGCGAGAGCCGCCGAACCCCAGGAGGCAGAGGCTCCGGAACCTTCATCTCATGTGGGAAGCATTCGGGATCAATTCGCTCATTCGATTCCCGCGGAAGTGCCTGCTCCTCCCGTGCCCCAAGCCAGTCGGCCTGTCCCCGTTCCTGGACTGTCTACTGGACCGTCCGAGCCCGAAACTGAGCATGATGCTCAGCAAGTTCTGCCCCCTCCCCCGCCGCAGCCTCGTTCACCTACTCCCCCCTACTCCTTCCGTGCGCGAGAGCTCCCCCATTCAAATAGCTATGCCCGTGGGTCGGGAAGCGGCCGAGGAAGTGGCTGATGCCCATGAAGAATTGAACTCGCCGCCTCCCGCCATGCCCATCCAAAGTCTCCAGGAGGTCGTTCCAGACGAGCGGGATCTGGAAGACGATACTCATGATATCGGTCGTGCCGCCGCAGAGGCCGCCGCAGAGGCCGCTGCTGAGCCGACTGTTGCTGGCCAGTCGCACGGCGGCATTCGCGCTCTGGTGCAGTATGACTATGAGAAGGGAGAGGACAACGAAATTGAACTCCGGGAGGGTGAATTTGTTACCGACATCGACCAAGTTGATGCGGATTGGTGGATGGGCGTGAATGCTCGTGGTGAGCATGGCCTCTTCCCTGCCAACTACGTCGAGATTGTGGAGGATGATCAGCAAGCCCATGGACACTTGCAAGAGGCTGAACCTGAGCCGAAACTCGAGCCTACACCTGCTCCCGCTCCAGTCCTTGCCCCTGCCCCTGCCGCTGCCGCTGCCGCCCCTGCCCCTGCCCCCCAGCTCCGGGGGCCCGACTGCCAAGGCAATTTATGACTATGAGGCTGCGGAGGACAACGAGCTGAGCTTCCCGGAGAATGCAACAATTCTGAATGTGGTAAGTACCTTTTGCTTTCTCTACAAGATTTCATTAAATGGGATGTGGCTAACCCTGGTTTAAGGAATTCCCCGATGACGACTGGTGGCTTGGAGAGTACAACGGCGCACGGGGCTTATTCCCAGCCAACTACGTCGAGTTGAACCAGTAAGAATATTGAAAACCCGTGTGTAAATAGCTTGAGTCGAGACTGCTGCCAATTCCTGTGTATCGATCCTATTTTTTTTTTCACTGTATATCAAGATCCTGAATACCTAGGCATATTTTCTAAGGCAGATTTAAAGGACGTCATGACCCTTATGTAATGATCCCGCATCACGTGCTCCGTAAAGCCATAAACAAGTCCGAGGTCGAGACTCCTGCGCCTGGCCTTGAGGATCTTCGTTTGCCAACTCCACAGGCAATTTTATTCTGCCGGCTTTTGCTTTCTTTTTGTCTACCGGACGCGCTTTCTCACCATGACCTCGTTCGGCGAGGACCTCTTGGTCACTGTGAATAAGCTCCAGGATCTGGTCTTCAACACCATTGGAAATGACTCCCTCGATTTGCCTCAGATTGTGAGTGATTCTGGTTACACTGGACGGAGCCAATGGCGTGAGGAATACTAATGGATGTAGGTGGTCGTCGGTTCTCAATCGTCTGGCAAGTCGTCGGTCCTGGAGAATATCGTCGGTCGAGATTTCCTACCACGCGGCAGCGGCATCGTCACTCGGCGTCCGTTGATTCTACAGCTCATCAACATCCCTAGCGAACGTGACGACAGACCGGATAATGACGAAATTCACGTCCCGCACACAGCCGCCAGCGTGGCCGGCCAACACGACGAATGGGCTGAGTTCCACCACCAGCCGGGCCGCAAGTTTGAGGATTTTCAACAGGTGAAGCAGGAGATCGAGACCGAAACGGCGCGCATTGCGGGTAGCAACAAGGGTATCAACCGACAGCCGATTAACTTGAAAATCTTTTCCCCTCATGTGCTCAACCTTACCTTGGTGGATCTTCCCGGTCTCACTAAGGTGCCTATTGGCGACCAACCCTCCGATATCGAGAAGCAAACTCGCACTTTGATACTTGAATACATCGCGAAGCCGAACAGCATAATTCTTGCGGTCTCTCCGGCCAACGTGGACCTGGTCAACTCGGAGGCTTTGAAGCTCGCCCGCCAGGTGGACCCTATGGGAAGGAGGACGATCGGTGTCCTATCGAAGCTGGACCTCATGGACCATGGTACGAATGCCATGGACATTCTGTCCGGCCGCGTCTATCCTTTGAAGCTGGGATTCATCGGTGTAGTCAATCGATCCCAACAAGACATTCAGTCTGGCAAGGAGTTGGCAGAGGCCCTACGGGCTGAGTCTGACTTCTTCCGTCACCACCCCGCCTATCGCAACATGGCAAACCGCTGTGGAACCCAATTTCTGGCCAAGACTTTAAACTCGACTCTCATGGCCCATATCCGAGACCGGCTCCCGGATATCAAGGCTCGCCTGAACACTCTGATGGGTCAGACCCAGCAGGAATTGGCTAGCTACGGCAACAAGCAGTTCAGTGGTAAGGAACACCGCGGATCATTGATTCTTCAGTTGATGACCCGCTTTGCCTCATCTTTCATCTCGTCCATTGACGGTACATCCTCGGAAATCTCGACCAAGGAGCTCTGTGGTGGTGCAAGAATCTACTACATCTTCAACGAGGTTTTCGGAAACTCCCTGGAAACCATCGATCCTACACATAACCTGACTGTCTCCGACATTCGGACTGCCATCCGCAACTCGACCGGTCCTCGACCAAGCCTCTTCGTGCCAGAGTTGGCTTTCGATTTGCTGGTCAAGCCGCAGATCAAGCTCCTGGAATCTCCTGCCCAACGATGTGTGGAGCTGGTGTACGAGGAACTCATAAAGATTTGTCACACCTGCGGCTCGCAGGAGCTCCTGCGATTCCCTCGTCTCCAGGGTAAGCTCATTGAAGTGGTCTCTGATCTTCTCCGTGAGCGTCTGGGACCTTGCTCAAACTACGTGGAGTCTCTTATCTCTATACAAAGAGCGTATATCAATACGAACCACCCCAACTTTCCCGGTGCCGCTTCCGCCATGCAATCCATCATTCAGAACCGACAGGAGGATGAGCGCAAGGCTGTCCTGGCCGAGGAGAAAAGAAAGCGCGAGAAGCGCCGTATGAAGGAACTCGGTGCGGCCAACGGAACAGCTGGCACGCCCGAGGATGAGGAAGCACAGAATGAGAAGCAAAACCTCCCTATCCGAAGCCAATCTGCCAAGGGCGCTCGAAGCATGTCGCCGAATGTTGGGCGTAACGCGGAGAACGGAATTTCCGCGGCTCTGAACGGCAGTGCGAACCACCCGGCTGGCTTCGGTGCCTCGCATACTACCCGTGATTCCTTCTTGAACTACTTCTTCGGTAAAGAGGGCGGAATTCAGCACTCGCCGTCGCAGGCTGCATTGAACCGGGCAGCTCACGCCAGCGAGCCCAGCATCAGCCAGAGCATTCGTCGTGCCGAGTTACGATCGCCTGTGATGCCCGTGGAGGAATACCCTGCCTCCATGGATTACGGGAGTGACACGACAGTTTTCGTAAGTGATACACCATGACCACACACCTTGAAACCCAGACTAATCCCTTCACAGCCCAATGAGAACGCGGAACCCACCCTTACTGATCGTGAGATGCTCGAGACTGAGCTGATCCGCCGCCTTATCTCATCTTACTTCCACATCGTGCGCGAAACCATTGCGGACCAGGTCCCCAAGGCCATCATGCACCTGCTGGTCAACCACAGCAAAGACGTTGTGCAGAATAGACTTGTTAGCGAACTCTATAAAGAGGATCTCTTCGGCGAGCTGCTTTACGAAGATGACGGCATCAAGGCCGAGCGCGAGAAGTGCGAGCGCCTGCTGGAAACATACAAGGAGGCCGCAAAGATTGTTGGCGAAGTGTTATAGATGCGCAGTTTGACGTGACCCATTTTCATTTTTTCCTTATTTCTGTTTGACTATTTCGAATGTGGGGATTCTTATGTGGATGTACAATTATGGAGGCCTGCACATGCTTGGTAAAATACTCTTTCGAGGTTTTTAAAAAAAAATTTTGCGTATGCTTGAGCTCTTTAGCTTTGTAAGAAAGACGAGGATGCAACCCGAAAGGTAAATACTAGATATATGCTAGGCCTTCTTCGTCGTGTTCCGAAGTCGTGCACCTTCGAACCCGTATAAACCACCGCCAACAAAGACTAGCACTGCGCCGACAAGAATACCCGATCCCAAGTCGTTCCCAAAGAGGTAAATTGACAACAAGAGAGAGACCAACTTGCGGATGTTCAAGACGACTGTCACTGTTAAGGATGAGGATTTCGCAGAGAGCAGGTGGACACCCCGAATACACAGGTATTGCGTCAGAGCATTCATAATCAGAAATGCCACTTGAACAGGGAGTCGATCAAGTGCCGACTGAATAGGCGCATGTTTTTGAACCGTCGCCAGGACAGAAACCGCCGTATTACCCATCGTAGACGCGACTGACCCCTCCGCTCCTCCCTGTGGGAATGTCGAGAGAAGCGATGGAGTCGAAGATACCACCCTCCACTGCGAAGACAACTGCGGATAGCTAGTCAAGAAGAGAGGCAGAGAAAGCGTATGCGAATAGAACAAGGCTTCTTTCCAATGATCTCGGCCGTAAGTCGCATATAATCGATCAGCATAAATCCCCTGGAATGCAGACAGAATCATAGCCAAAGCAAGAATCGTAAAGCCTGTAGCGGTGGCCATCATAGCTGTATCCTCGCCCGAGATCTCGATGGATTTGCCCTTGGCTTGCGCATCTGCTAACGCAGCGGCAACAACGCCCATTGTCAACATTGCGACGGCAAGAATCTGGCCCCGCGAATAGCGTTTACCGTTGAAAATGTATCCAACAATCATAGATGCTACCGGACCGCCGGATCGGAGAATGATATGAAGTGGCACGGAGATCTTATATGCAAATGCCCAATTGTTCAACATATTGACCGTCACAAAGAACGAAGTATAGATGACCCATGATCGGAGGGGAATGACACGTGGGCTGAGAAATAGAGCCCGTGGACCTGCGGAGAAGGACAGGAAATGAGGGAGTGTGAAGATGGCGCATAGGACGAATTGTGCGAAGGTGATTAGGGGACCTGGGTTTGATTAGACTGTCGATATACCAGGCTAGTTTCCAGGCTAGATGGAATTCTTACCAGCTGTAGGCTGTTCTCTGATAGCGTTTTAGCTCAGGTCAATTGATATATAGGAATATGGTAATTGACTCACTTGATAATAGCCTCGAGAGCGAAGACCTGCGCCAGGGTTAGCAGGGACATTACAGACCTCAACTATACACTCACGTTCGCACAGCATCCTCCGAAAATAAGCGACACCATCAATGCCATGTTAGCCCATGTTGGGATCGAGGCGTGTGCAGCCGCAGCAATAAACCCCGGCGCATCTGCCTTCTTCTTCTTCTCTGCCGCGGCCTTCAATTGAGGCGAGGGCGGCGCGGCAGGGACTGTGGTATCACTGGCGCCATTCGGAGAGAGCTTAAGCGCATAACCGTCCGCTTTTCGTTTCGAGGTATCGCTATCGTTAAGCATCGTCTCGGTCGAGGGTCGGGGTCGGTGTCGGTGTCGGTGTCGTTATCAATGTCCGTGTCGAGCGCTAACGGACTCGTGGCTTGACCCTTCGCGGTGGAGATGAACGATTGTGTCCTTTCTCCGATTTTCCCCTTTCCTTTTAAAAGAGAGCGGGCAACGGCCCAAAAGATCGACGTGGTTGGCGAAGTGGTGGTTGGAGGAACTGAAGTGGCGGGCTCCGACTTCGATTCCGCGTCGGAGATGCGGAGTTTCATTCAACTACGTGACTATGTTTACATTGACATTTTATTTACCTCCCACATTTGGAACATTGTATATTTCCATTTCTATACTATATACATGGCAGTAGATTCAATCGTCTACAATGTCATCATCACTGAGAATGTACTTTTCTTCTTCAACTTGCAGACGTGGTCCAAATGCATTGCTGCCCGGTTTGGTAGCGTGCTGGTGCTGCGGAGGATGCAGCGGTGCCAGATCATCCTCTTCAGCATCATCAGCATCATCATCAAGACGACTACCTCGGATCCTAGTGATCTCACTCAATTGCCCGCTGTCAGGTCGAATCTGGGTCATGTATGGTAGCTGATGGAGTAGTGCATCATGGCGCGACATCATGGTAATCGTTGAGGGAGTGTCTGTACTTGACGCGTGTCCGACACGAAGATTTTTCCAAGACTTGACACCTGTGGATTCAGGATCGCTTCCTATGCGTGGGGAAAGACTGGCATTGCTGGGGTCGAGCATGTGCTTCATCCATGCATCTAAGAGCCCTTCAATCTCCTCTGTCTTTCTCCAGAGGCGTAACGATGAAGGATATAGCATCTTGTGGGCATTACAGCGGCTTCGCCCATCACCTTGTGTGAGTTTCCGGTTGACAGGGTATGGAAGGGCAAAAAGAAGCCCGCGCGACGCTACCTGAAAGCTAATCTCATCTTGTCGTAGCATATCAACACCGGCGTTCAAAAGATTGGCGCCGATTCCAGTCCCTGATCGCCTGCCTTGAGGCCTGTGATCGGCGCTGAGAATATCACTGTCGGATAATGCTTCAATGCATTCATTCAAATCATTGGTAAATGTATCTCCATCACACGATGGAGGGTAGTTTTCATGAAGAGCGCAGATGAAAGTGGAGATGTCGGTACCAGTCTCGTCCATCAGGTCATTGACGGCGACTTGCGAAACGTTGGGCCGACGATGGATGTAAAGATGATCAGGTGGCGATGGAGGGATTGTAGCGTCGCTGGACATCAAACTCGGGTCAGGGCGTTTGTTGTAGACAATCTTACCCACGGCATGGAACATTCCCAGACTAGCCTCGCGCTGTGAAATCAACTTTAACGACTCTTCTTCCATTGGCGTCAAAGCTGTGTCACCACGCGCTTTTTTGGTTTTAGCAACACTGCCACTCCATGTCCCTGCTTGATCACCTTTCAGACATAAAAATTCTAGTGATGAGATGGCGCTGCGGATGTCTCCTATTTCAGAGATCTTATTCAGGACTGCTGGGCCTGGAATACGACTTCGTTGAGAAGCCTTGGCCTCTTTGTCGAGGATCGACCGCAGGGCTTTCTGCATGAAGGTTGGTGCAATGACATTGAAGTCAAGAATGGTCGTATTTGGATGGTTGTATAGGGCGGGCCCAGCAACCGATGCACTGTGAAGTTGTCTAGAATGGATGATGCAGAGCTCAATAACGTCTCTGAGACAACCATTACAATGGGCGGATGCAAGCCGCCCGCATTCTCCGCCGCTGACGCCAGATAGCGTTGTAAAGAAGTTCGGAAGGCTGTTAAACTCGACGATGACCGGCTAAGCATAGTTGGAAACTCTTCCACGAGAAGAATGCGTCGATTACCAGGATGGGTATTGCGGGTGCTCTTAGATTCAGAGAAATCTTCCAAGTCGAGTCCTCCGAAGCGATCACCTCGCCCAAGAAACTCTTCAAATTGAGCACTGACCGAGACGAAGTCCTGAGCATTAAACTCAGAGACAGCTGGATTCCTCCATTCGACAACATCGAAACCGGCAGACTCAGAGAGAAGGTTAATGGTTGTAGTCTTTCCAGAACCTGCAGGGCCTCGGAGAACAAGCAATCGCTATATCTATCAGCAAACCAAAGTCGGGAAGGGGCACGACGAAGAAAGATTCACTCACTTCCCTACGTCTCCCAGAAAAGGCATCTTCCAGCCAGTTTTGTACATCAGAGACCTTTCTTTTATGAACAGCGATTTCATCTAGATTCGAAGGAGCGAACCGTTGTGCCCAAGGACGTTTATCTTCTTCCACCGATTGTGCCGGAGAGGGTGAACGGGTGCTGTTCCCGGTGGGCATGAGAAAGCGTTTGGATGTTGGTTTCCTGGGCCGCGAGCTCTGTTTCGAAGCCGGTCGTCGCGCTTTGAGTTCATCCTTCACTTTCGTTTCAACAACACTGTCAGTCTTCGCACTGGCCAGATGCTGTGTAAATATCTCATCGTAGGAATCATAATCGTCCTCGATCACATCTGCATCAAGGGTTGCCTCCGAACCTGTGGGTAGTGATCGTTTAGGCTCAAATTTTTGCGACGACCATCGTTGTCCTTCGGTCGCTGGCTGAAAAAAGCTATGTAATGATTTGGATTTCGTATTCGGTGAAGATCTGGGCTTTTTGGGCGATGGAGAGGAGGAGACTCGTGGAGCGGGAGCTTGACTCGGACGCGCTCTGGGTTTGGGACAGGATGGAAGATTTGTTTGCTTAACTCCGATGGAGGCAGATTGTTCTGAAGTACTCGAATTGACGGACCTGCGTTGGCGCTTGGGGGGACGACCGTCCATGATGGGAGGCGCGGAGTGGAAGTGGGAATGCGCGTCTGATAAAGCAAATGATGCGAAGCACCTCCCCCGCATCTATGGAGTCTACACAACTACTCCAGGAAATAGGAGTATATCCCCATGGATATTATTTTTACCCCGGCATTCAACGAAGGTAAATTGGCGCCGTAGATGGTTTGCCAAAGATGTGATTACGCGCCTCTGTACATGCTGTTGAACAGTTTGGGCGGTGAATGAGATCGGTCCAGCAGAATCTCCTGACCGCCCGGTGCATAGCCGCTTTGAGTCTTTATATTATAGATCCTGAGGAGGAACCAGGTGATCGCAAGTGGATGCAGAGGTCGCTGCAAGAGTCACGTGACTTTTTCGGCAGATTTGGCCCGTGCTCATCGCAAGTATGTAATATTATAGGGTATGCCCTAGTAACCCGGTAATTTACCTATATAAAATATTAGTCTCTTTCTATTATCATCCCAATTACCATAGAACGCGTAATAGATTTGACCTGGCGGGCCTATAAGGATCGTACCCTCACTAAGCTTATACAGATTGATCCTGAACCTAATACGGAATCAGCGAGCGAGTATATCGATGAGTTTAAAGACTGGCAAGAATTCTAAGCAGCAATTCCTGACCCGGATGAGGTGAATATATATATTGATAATAACTAGATCCAAATTAGTTTCAAACTAATTTATTTATAGCCAGTTTATATTCTAACACTATTAACCTTTTATCCGACCTACCCTATATTAGCTACCGTTATTAAGTATATGCCTTTACTTCTAGAGTATCCAGAAACTTATAAGGAAGGGTTTGCCTATATTGTGAATATCGAGAAATCTAGACCAGATAAGCTACGAGCTATAATAAAATCTGTCAGTGAATAACTAATTATTAACTATTAATAAACTACTTACTAACTAGTTATTAGATATAGTACGCTATAGGTAGGTATAGGTCGAGAGAATTTATATATTCCGTATTCCTTAGCTACTAAATAGAGCGAAAACGCTTTAAGTATAATAGCGTTAAGTGCTATAAGTTTCTTGATCCTAGACTCTTATATCTAGCCTATATAAAGGCTAATAAAGATCTATAGACTCTGATTATAAATATACGCGGAGAGATAGCGGAGTCCTCGCTTATAGAGGGCTATAGAGACTTATAATATACTAATATTAGGTAAGCTTATTAATTCTAAACTAGTTCTAAACTAATTATAAACTAATAAAAAATCTCTATATAGGTTATATAACGTAACTAAAAAAAAATTTATTCGAGGTGTAGCTTATAAATCCGCTCGCTAAGGTTATCGACCTATATTCCGCTAATATAATTATAAAGTAAGTCTTATTCCTATTAGTTTCTAACTAGTTACTAACTAGCTATTAGAATATAGCTAGAGTGCTTAGCTATTATATTAGCTACGCAAATTTAATATAAGAGAACTATTAGGAATACTTCTATACTTCTCTTATTTCGAAAGAGAGATTACTTAATATAGAATTTCTACAGAAGCTTCTAGCCTCTACTTATTAGCCTAAACCACTAATATATAGAGTAATTAAATTAGCGAATTTAAGAAGGCCACTATACGATAAGATTTACTTCTTAATTAGTAATTATCTAATTACTAACTAATTCTAAGTATCGTCTATCCTTAAGGTTAGGGTAATATCTAATATTATAATATTTATAATATAATATTCTAGACCTTTATCCCGCTTCTCCTTAAGAGATACCTATATATTATTTTTTACTCTCGCGGAACGTATTCTTATCTACTACCGCCACTAACGAAAGCTCTATAGATAATTATTAGCGAGGTCCTTAATCTAATCTATAAGAATCTAGACCTAGACCTTAAGCTAAGTAAGTTTAAATAAGAACTAATTACTAACTAGTTACTAATTAGTTATAGGTATATTTTTACGTAGTCCTACGCTTCGCGAATTCTATAAGTAATATTAATATAATACGCTATTATAGATCTACTCTAGCTTTGCTAAGATTAATAAGGTTTTAGTATTACTCTAAAAATAATAAGCGCTTAGCTACCCCTTTAGTAAGGGTATAGCTAGCCTATACTATTAAATAGAAGTTAAACCTAAATTAAAGATAAATTAACTAATATAAATCTAGTATTTAATTAGTTACTAACTAGTTATCTCTAGGAATATATTCGCGAGATCTATAAAATTTCGGAAGGGACCTTTATCTTCTGTGCTTTTGCGAAGTAGCTCTAATTTATAGTAACGCTTAATACTATTAAGGTTAATATATCCTATAAGCGAGTGAAGGGGGATATTAATAAGGTAATCTTCGCTATAATACTTACGAACTATAGTAAAAGTAAGTAAGGTTACTATTAACTAATTTATAATTAGTTACTTACTAGTTCGAACTAGTTATAACGCTCTATTATATTTTTACTAACTAAGAGAACTCTGCGGGGTATAAATTTATTTTCCGGATGGTCTTTAAACTTATATTAAGGTTAATAGGGAGACCTATTAGGTTTTACTACCTATATAGTGAAGGTATTAAGGCAATTATTAGCGATATATATCTAAAGTAGATCCTTAGTAAGTTAACTAATTAATTTTTAGTTACGAACTAGTTACTAACTAATATAAAGGCTTAGGTACATTCCTTTAGGACTAAGATACCGAGTATTATAGGCGATCTCTAGCTTAGTACCTCGCGCGGATTATAATCTTTTACGCTATTTACTTTATATAAATAATATTAAAGATCTACCTAAATTAACCTAATAGCTCCTATATAGAACGCCGTAAGCGGCTAAATAGGTTACTACTATATAAGACCGAATATAATTACTATAAGCTACTAGATCTTATTAAAGGTAAATAACTCGCCTAAATTAGTTTATAATTAATTACTAACTAGTTACTAGAGTATAAGCTAGACCTTAAATTTTAGGTTCGATATAAGAGACACCTAATTATTATAGTAAGGCTATACTAGGTATACTTAGGTATTAGCCCTAAATTCTTTTTAGGGTTCTGGCTATATATAAATATAGTTAAGTAAAGCTATAATAAGTCCTATGCCCTTAGAACTTACGATTCGTTATTAGGTGCTATAATAAAGTATATATTAGTTTTAAACTAATTCTAATCTAGTTACTAACTAAATATTATAGATTATTATACCTTAATTAATAGGATTTAGACTAACTTAAGACTTAAGAGAAGTTTAGTATTTATTATCGCTATTAAGCTAATAATATCGAAGCCCACTTTAGAAGGAATCTCTAGCGCGAAGCTAGAAAAAGAGAAAAAGCGGAAAACTAGGCTAGTTAATATAGAGAAGTATAGATATAGTTTAATATTAATAATTAAATCCTCCTTAAGGCCTTATCTTTAGGCTATATAATTAATATTAGATATTAGTTAAGGTTATCTACGCTATAGCGATTAAGCTCTAGAGCGACTATACAGAGCTATTCTTAGTATATATTAAATTAGTTTAAAATTAGCTTAAAACTATTTACTAACTAATTTTATAGAATATCTATAAGCCTTAGTCTCCGGCGTATAGTTATAATAAACTCACAGAATTAAGACTATCTAAATAACCTTTAAGAGCTCGAAATTTGGTAAAAACGCTAAGAGATTAAGGATACTTAAGAAGAAAGATAACTAAGGCGCTAATAATTAGAGCTTAAGACTAAAGAATAAGAAATTAGGCTTATAAAGATAGAACTAAAAAGGTAGCTAGTTAAGATATAGCTAACCCAGATTAAAGGAGAAAATTAGTTTAGAATTAGTTACGCTTTATAAACCTTTATTAAAGAAAAATTTAATTTAGAACTAATTCTAAACTAATATTATTAACTTTATATCCTTAGCCTAAGCTCACTTCCGCTAGAACTAATTTAAGACTAGTTCCTCTACTTAGCTATAGGAGTTCCTTATACCTTATTTTCTCTATCTTTATCTTTATCTTCTTCCTCGATATCGGTAAAGTATTCAAAGAAATTATAGCCCGAACGCTAGGTCTTATAATAATAAACTAAAGATAAAAAGTTAGTTTTAAATTAGTTTAAAGATAGATAAGAGGATCAAAACTTATATTTAACGGCCTTCTTAGCTTTATAAGATTTATATAAGCTAGTTTTGCCTATTTTATAAAGTATCTCGCGTATTCTAGTTATATTAACCTATTCTTAGTATTAGAAACTAGTTCTATATTAGTTTATAAGGGACTCACTTTATTATTACGCTTAAGGGGAAGAGAAGAATAATACTCGATATCACTAGTATACTATTATTTATAATAAATATATAAAGGTTAGTAGAAGTTATCTAAAATAAATTAGTTTAGAATTAGTTTAGAATTAAACTAATTTAGAATTAGATAACTTACTAATAGCTTTAAGTATTATGATAGCAGAAGTTCGACCACCTCGACTACTAGTTATCGAATTATTACTACCTATATATTTTTAGGTAATATAATACTTTAATTTATTAGTGTTTTGGAAGATAACCTAGGAACTAGTTAGAAACTAGTTTTAACGTCCCTTATTTTAACTTATAGGATAGAGGCAGCCCAGGAAGCGACACTAAAGCTCTCCGGGGAAGATAATCCAGTAACTATCTGCCTAAAAAAAGAGTTAGAACTAGTTATAAACTAGTAAATATAATACTTATATCCTTAGTTATATTACGCTAGGCACCAGAAATATTAAGCTTAGTCTTACTTAGGTAGAATTTATAGGCAGGCTATACAGCGTTAGTTTCTATCACTTTTCTATCACTTTTCTATCATTTCTTATCGGGATTTGACCACTTATATTATCTTTGAGGGTTTCTATATTAAATATAGGCTTTAAAAGTGGAAATTTAGTTATGAACCAGTTAGAATAAAGGTTGTGTGGGTAGATGAATTAGTATAGAATGAGCTGAAGGTGAAGAAGTAGTATGGTAAGGTAAGAGATGCGGATGGATTTATGTTTTTCCGAAAAGTGGGGGCCGAAGTTATGTGACACTTGCAGTCACCTAGACACTCCCTTGCGGTCACCTATATGCACGATCCTGAGAGGTTGGGGTAATTCATGCCTGATTCTCAGGGCCTCACAACCAAAGTGGTTAGTCAACCTAAACTGAAGATCACTCGGCGTCCTCCTCAGTCTGAGTCCCTAGATGAAGTCCTTATCATAAGACATGCCATTACCCATGATTCTCGACCTGGTAGTATGAGTAGTCAGATGCCCTTGGACTGAAAGACTAAGTGCATGCTGGCCTTGCCAACATTTCTTACAATCATCCAGGAGAAATCTCAACATCGTACCGAACATTACATCAAGACTCCATTAGTGTATATCTTACACATCCAACCTCATTGGGTATATCGACAGGATTCCAAAGTCAACAAAAAAAAATCATCAACCAACATTATAAGGCGAACCTATGCACCACCAAAGACGTCATAATAATAATCCTCATCCAATCCATTCCGTGACGGCACACCCGGCGTTTCGCCCGCGAACGTAGCATCATCAAACCTCACATTCAAGAGACGAATCTTCAACCCGTAGTTACTAACCAGGTCAATCAGCTTATTCGTCTCCGCCGTGATAGGCTGTTGGTTCAGAAGCATGAGGAGTCCATCCAGCCACTCCGAGGCTTCACTATGGGTGGCGGGTCGAAGGGTGAGAAGGACGATTTCTTTCCCGGTTGATCGACTGGCTGTTCGAGCGTGACTTTTGCTGTGGCTTGAGTTGGTGGGCTGGGCGTAGCCGTGAATCGTGATTTTAGTAGATGCTTGCCGGGGAGCGGTCTTGACAGTTGAAGACGAGGACTGGTCCGGGTTTGCGGAGATGTTTGAGACCACTGAGGAGACGATGGAGAGATCGACTGTGAAAAATGTAAATATGAGAATACGAACAGGATATAATTTGGGGATGGGCTTACTCTTCTCTGGTAGGCTATCAAGCTCAGGAACTCGGTCACCCATCGAGTCAAACTCGCCAAAATGGAGGTATCGTCGGTTGTGCGACAATTGAACGTATTGGCAGATGGACCGAGTTAGTCCATGGTCTTTCTTGGAGCTTGATTCAAGGGAGAACCAAGCACCCTGGAGCAGACATCGGATGCGTTGCTCTTTGACAAACTGTAGAGCCTCGTGCTGCAATTCCTCGCGAACCTGTCGCAAGTGATGCCCCCCAAGCATCTTCATGGGTAAGCTCCAGAAGCTCCATCTGCAGCTCGCGTAGTCGATGGTATTCAAAATTGGCCAAGTCCTCTTCTACATCCTGAACATCCTTGGTGCGGGAAGCACCGCCCACGACGGACTCGATAAGGATGCGAACCAGCTCCACAATCTTGTCTAGATCCTCCAGCTCGGCGGCAGTCGCCTTCCAGAGACGGAAGAAGGCTTGCACACCAGCGACATGCAACCGCGTCCAGTGAAGAAGGAGAGGTCTGAACAGTTTGTCCAGACTAGACCGCGACTCCAGAATCATGTATGTTTTGGAATCATCCATCTCGGACTTGTCCACCTCGAAATGTTCGTACAGGATGGACGTTACAGCTAACGACGCCTGGGCAATCGGACACCGCTGTCGTGCCGGTTTGGTCGACTGCTCGAGGAGCATCTTCTGGAACTCATCCTGATGACTGCGCACATAGTCTGCCAAGTCCATCATGCCCAAGAATCCCACCTCGCGGAACTCGGTGGTAGGGCTCTCCGTTTCGAAACCCAGTCGTCGCCATTTCTCAGAATGGTGTCTTTTCGATCCCTTCTCCTTCTCCTTCTCCTTCTCTTTCTCTTTCTCTTTCTCCTTATCCGTCTCATCCAAAGACTTAGGCATACTAGCCAAATATATTCCCTTCAACGCTCGTCGATGTTCAGGCTTCTCCTGATTCAACGAAATGGCCCTCCACTTCCTCAGAAGCACCTTGGTCAAAGACTGGAACTCAAGAAGCGGATGAGCCAAGTCTTGCAGTGCAGAATCCTGCATGAGCACGTAAACCGCCCGAATGACTCCCAAATCCTGCAATTTTTGGATAAACTTGGGCCACTCTGCCTCCGAGTCATGAGTTATTGAATCGCGCATCAGCGAATTGATCAGCTGCAGCGCATTGGCGCACAGAGCGTGATCCGCCGAGGATAGTCGACTGACGAGCATCTCGAGGAATTGAGGGTAGATGGCAATTGCAGGCTTCAGAGCCCGGAAGCCGAACATCATTTCTGGTTGCTCTGAACCGGTGCCGGCGACTGGGTGTGAGACAACGGATACGAGAATCGACATCGCCCCGCGGAGGATGTTGACGAGAGGGTGCGTAACGATCAGCTCGACGATCTAGCAACAATGGCAATTAGCAGGTGGCACTTGGTGTAGATCGTAGATTGTGTCAATCGTACCCGTTCGACTAGCTCCTGATCGACACATTCCCACCCTTTATCGACCTCGAGTAGACGGGCGAAACTGGTCAAACTGTAGGCGAGAGTATTGCCGCTGGCGTGTAGTGTCAGATATCGCAGGCGAGTTAGCCCGCCCTCTGCGATGAAGAGCTCGGCGAAGGATGGGTCGCCGATGTTGCTTTGCAGCTTGAAGACGGCCATTTTACGCACAGCATCTTCATCGCTGCCTAGACGAGTCACCAAGTCGGCGACGTTGTCGGTCTCCATGTTGCTGAGAAGAGGAAGAGGAGCGTGGAGACGGAGTTCGCAGCGCATCAGGGGGTCGAGGCGCTGTGGGGCACCGATCTTAGGTTGAATTTAGTCCCCTCTTCTATACCTCCCCAGGGAATTTTATTGGTCTGATATTATCTAGGCATGTACACGGAATAAAGACTGTAATTTGGTGTCATTTTTTTTAAAAGTATTAGGTAGATTCGTGTATACATAAAACATGAAAACCAGTCGCATTCCTGGCCTCCGGGAAATCTATACAGGGAATGTCACCATTCAACTCCAGGGATGCAGACCGCCGCTATGTACGGAAAAAGGCTGGGAGACCTGCCCAGTCGAAAAGGTCAGCTATCATCGTCGCCAGCCTACGTTCCAAATCACGTGGGCGATGTCTCGCGCTGTGTTGACGGTGTCGACCACTCGTCCGAGCAGACCATTCTTGGCCGCTTCTCCCCTTCGCCCTCGCCATAGGGCACAAACATACCCGAGGCGGATAGCTTCAGGGGTCGGTCGCCCAGCTCGTCGACATCTTCTGAGACAAACCAGCCTCGGTCTTTATTCGTGTTTTGACCTGTGAAATCCAAACTGGGATCTTCATCATCCTCATCGAGGAGGAAGTTGGCGGATTGAGATGGTGGACGGAGGGTCTCCACGGAGGGAGTGGGTGATAAAGAAGAAGATTGGGGAAGGGCAGACCATCGGTCCAGGATGCATCCGCCTTTGGGTTCGGGGGCGTCCCCGCGGTATTTCAGAGTGGTAGAAGGGAGGGGAGCGATGGTTTTACTATCGCTGCTGAAGCTATTTCGGGGGGGTGCTTCGATTGCTCAGAGAGGATTTGGCCGACATCTGTCGCATCATTACCACTTCGTCATCCGATGAGCTTTCATCTTCAAAGGTCGCAGGCCAGTCCTCATCAGCCTCCTTGATATCTACAGCAATGCACTGCTCGACTTCGTCGTTGAAGTGGATATGACGTCGCTCACTTGGTGATGTTAATCCCGATGAGGTGGCGGTCGTCAAGGTCTTCCCCGTCGAGTAGGTCGAGCTCCCCGTGCGGTGGTGAATATGGTCCAGGTCGGTATTGGACCGGACTAGGGGAGGTCGCGCCCAGCCGTTCACAGCCTCTTGGGCTTTTAGAATCGCTCCTGCATGTTGCAGAAGGGTGTGCTGGGATAGCGACCGTTGCAGCATGGCTTCGGATGCAGTTTTCTTTTTGAGGATTGGTTTTCGGTCCATGTAGGAATTAGGAGTGTCAAGGCGGCTGGGTGGTGGTGAGACATCCGATGCCGAGTCGTCGGTCGAGCTCGAGGTTTTTAGAGGTCCGTAGAGCCAAGTTACATCACAGTCTTTCAGCCTTGAAAGAAAAGAAAAAAGAAAAAAAGTCAGTCAGGGTCTCGGATCGGCGATGTAGAGAGATCTCACCAATTCAACGTCTCTGGAGAGATGGTGCCGAGGTTGTGCTTGGCCTTGGCCCAGGTTCGCCACGACGCGTTCTCGAGTCGCACGCCATTACTATAATCGCTCCTGCGAGAAGTCACGTAGCGCCAGGAAGCCCAAATATCCTCCTCACGCCATTCGTGAGAGAGATAGTCGACATGTCGGGAGGGTTCTTCCTCCACCGAGGTATCGTCTGCAGCCGGGGTGTGACGAGACCGAGGTGTTGCGGAGCCTTCGGACGCATCGCTCATTACATCGGACTCCTTTACTGGGACGCCCTCGTAAACGGGCAAGTCTAGATCGTCATCGAGAGAGAGCGAGAGATCGCTGATGTTGGGGTTGAAAGAGCTGTCGGTCGGGGTAAAGTTGGGGGAAGGCGGAAGGGAAGAAATTGTGGAGGCGACGGGGCTGGAACAGTCCCGTGCCGGATAGACATTTTGCATGGGCTCCGACTTGGTCAGGATCCCCGAGTCGTGGAGAAAATAGCGCTGGGCAGTGGGCGAAAGATCCGGAGACAGTGACTGCCGAGGAAGCAGAATGGCCGTCATAATTCCGGACATCTCAAAGACCAACACCAACGTCCATTACATAGAGTAGAAGGGGGGAAAGCAGAACGGAAGGGAAGGGAAGGGGAGGGAAATAAAGGGCTGAGACGGAATGGGAGCAGCAGCAGGATATATGCGGGGAGGCGAGAGCGGGACTGGAGTCCAACAATCCAAAGCCTAGATCTCAGAAACCCGAATTCCAAAGAGTTCCCTAAATGGTGATGTTTAAATATGGAGGACAAGGAAAACACCCTCAGAAGACGTGGGTAGCACAATGATCTGTCCTACCTTTCTATCTTCCTCTTCCAAGGTGGGGGGGCGTTCATTCTTAGATTCTGCATTTGCCTTCCCTGCGACTTTTTGCTCGAGACCGATCCGATAATACTTTCTCCGCTCGCTAAGGCACGTCGTGCGTTACGAGCAGATCCTCAGTGGAGCTCGAACGTTGGAGGCAAACCTCGGAGCAGCACGGGATCAAGACGGTCTGAGCACTGGACACATTGGAATTGGAATTCATGGAAAGGAAGCTTCCTGTTCATGGGTTGCACAATTGCTGGAACCAGAGCTGGTCAGGTTCTAGAATGACTTCAATTACTTGGAACGTCCCCGATGCGGTGACACTGTTGACCGCATCCGGAACAGGTTATATCTACCTGCCTCATTCTTCTTGAGCATTCCTGATATCTGCTCTTCATTACTGGTTCCCATTGTCCTAACCACTGGCTCACAGATACGACCGTGCGATGCGCCCAGAATGTCTCCCCCCCCCCCGATCCTCGATCGACGGGCCGCTCTGTTGCACGGGCCTTGCTGTGCTGTACTGGCAAGATAAGCGGGATTCCGAAGTATCAATGACTCCGAGGCTTGATGTCCGGGATTCTTGTGGCGTCTGCCCCCGTCTGCCCCGACCACTCGCGGGAATCCAAGAGGAAACTTAGTTTCTTCACTGTGAAAAACATCGCCCGACTGTAGCTCCAGACCGAGATGGACGTCCAGACGGGGGCAAATTCCAATTGCCTTTTGTCTGTGCGCTTGCATCTCTTTTTTTCCATCGTGTCCGCCGAGAGGCCCGTCAAGATTGTGATTGGCCTCAACTAAAACCCTCCCCCCCTAGGAGTGCGTCGCCTGGACCAGTGAATCGCCGCCGACAGCTGCATGTCGCCGCGCACCTAATGAGCGTTCAGGCCTTCTCTGCCCTGCTTGAAACGCTCTTTGCTCCCTTCCGAGCATCCACTGTGACAGAGTTTGAAGGGGGCGAGGGTCCTTCTTTCTCTTCTTCGCCCCCATCTTCCACTTTCTTCCGATCCTGGAGAGATCTTTTGCCGATGTAAGGCGAGGATGATGTGCAAGTTGACGCGAGTCTCCACGGTCCCCACGGGCTCCCCCTGACAGGTTCCATCCCCACAGTCCTCATTGGCCATTCAGATCTATACTCGACAGCACGACATCCCAAGGCCTGGGGTTGGTGCTGCTGACGCGACTTGGGGGCCTGCGCGCCATCGTCTCAGAGATGCCCTCCTGAAGTTTCAGGGCAAGTGGACTGCGAGACTTCTCAACAAGGTTCGGAACTGGACCCCCCCCCCCCGGCGCGGCTATCTTATCGGACCTCAATGGTGATGCGTTTTACCATCAACCGGGCACCAATTGGCACCGTCATGCCGACCTCGCCCCCATGTCGCTCCCGTTCTATCCTCCGATACCATGACTGATGCAGATGCAAGTCAACGGTCCGGCAATTTTTTTGCATGGTCCATTGGCAATCGGACAGGGCTCCCCCGTTCGGCTACCGTGATGATAACAATCCCAGATAATTCCTGCTGTCATCTTACGCCATCATGAGCGGGGTATGTACTATGGACAGGGCAAAGGACCCGGGGGATCTATCAAATTCCCGTAAAGTTTGTCCGGGGTCCCCTCAACCCAGATGTTCTACATAGCGATTGGTGCTTCGCACTCAACCATCAGTATACCATACTTTGATTCTATGCGATTGACTCTGGTACGCGGCCCCGGATTTGGATCGTTCAACTAAATCCAAATAGGGTACTACTGTATACCACTAATCTCTAATCTCATCTCTTCTAGTCTCAGATAGTCCCCTGCTGTTTATCCATCAAGTAAACCTGTTAATCTGCATATCTTATCGGAGGCTATCCGAGAAGGGCGCCATGAATTCCATCTGAAACCATGGAAACCTGAATTAAAAAAACCCCTCGGAGTCTAGACTTTTTGGTTGGCATTGCGAGTCAGCTCCCGCATACTTTAGCGTCCACGGGCGCTTCTACCACATACCCGGCCCCAAAGGCCCTTATGTACGCAAACATCCTACTAGTCCACTAGTCCGTTAGTCGTGGATCCGGCCCGTTGATAGTGCGAATAGTATACTTCTTCTTCCGGGTCTTTTTCGGCGTCGGGCAACTGCGGGATCGAATCATGTGACTTTTGATTTCCTAAATAGGCTAGGCGGCAGTGCCCCTCGTCCCCGCGCGTGCAGTCGAGCTTGAGCTTCGAATCAAAGCAAATCGGAATTTCCATTACTTGATTGACACAAATGGCTGAGGTAGATTCTGGCCCGGCCGAGCCCCAAGCCCGACACATCGTTTACTGCGGAGGTGAGTACCCCGGTGGCGTCTCGTTTCTTTGGCGTCTTTGGACACTTTTGCGTTTGCTAACGGAATCTATTCCGAACAGTGTGCACTTTGCCCCCCGAGTACTGCGAGTTCGGCGGTACCGCTAAGAAATGTGAGGACTGGTTGAAGGAAAAGCACCCGGATCTATGGAATGGATTATACTCCCAAGGTACGAGCCCTCCTCGGTCTGATATGTGGGAAATTTTTCTCCTAACTCGCGTATGGCAGATGCCTTGACGGCCAACTTGTCTACCCTCTCCGTCTCTGCCCAAGAACGTGCCGCAAAGGACGCTGCTAAGAAGGAGGCTAAGGCTGCTCAAAGTGAGGCCCGAGATGCCGAGAAGAAGGCTGCCTCCAAGGTTCAGATAAAGCGGGTCGAACGCAACAAGCGCAAGTACGTCACGGTCATCCTGGGATTGGAGGTTTTCGGTCTCGAGAACAAGAAGATTGCCAAGGATCTCGGCAAGAAGTTCGCCACTGGTTCCTCGATGACCCGATCCCCGGCAGGCGCAGAGGAAATCACCGTGCAGGGAGATGTTAGCGATGATGTGCGCGAATGGTTGCTCGAGGTGCACGGAGACAAGATCCCCGCAGCGAATATCGAGTTGATTGAGGATAAGAAAAAGAAGAAGGCTGAAGGCGCTGTTTAGATTGGGGAGGGGAGAAAAAAAAAACATAACTATCTCTAATGACGACAACGAAGCGTGCGGAAAAGGGTATCATGACATGACCAGATTAAAAAATTATACAAATGCACTACAGCCTGCTAGATGGTACCTTATAACTCATCCAGTATTCGGAAGGGATCGAAGGGATCCTCTGTGGCCGCTGCAATGGGACCTGCCCGGGTAGTGCTGACCGTGACGCTCGAGGCTTGGAGGCTTTGTAGGCGGTCTTTCAGACTCGATGGGTAGCGTGAAGGACCGGCCTCACCATCATCATCTACTGTGAGGGTAGATCTCCACATATCAGTCGGATATGAAGCGCCGAGTGAGGACTGATTTGTTGCCTCTGTCGACAACGGATGCTTCTCACCTGCAACGATGGCAGGCCAGTTCTGGATCACGATGGCGAGCACGAGCACAAGCAACGCACTTCCTAGGCCAGCCCAGAAGATACGCAATCGACGGCTCACGCGCGACTGCCACTCTGACTCCCTCCGCTCCCAGCTGTCAATTTGGCCTCGGACAGCGTCCAGGCGACTACCCAGATCCTCCACGCGCTTGCCTCCTCGCTTCATTCGCTCCTCCAGCGCATCGGCCATTTGGATCTGGGGTTTGAATCCCTTGAGGTCATTGATCTGTTTACGAACTTCTTGATCCAGCCCGGCCGTCTCGCGTTCAAAATCGCTGAGTAACGTAGACGCAGACTCCGAGAGATCCTGGAACGACCCAATTGTTGAGTTGAGAGCTGTTATCTTCTCCAACAAATTGTAATACGTGTAGTCGAGTCGACGCGTGACGTCAGTCGCTTGGGTTCCTATGGAGGAGAGAGCAGACCGAAGATATCTATATAGCGATGAATCATCAGCTCATTGCTCCCCTCTGTAGTAGTCACGTAGTGTTCACTTACTCCTCGCCCTGCTTCCTCCGCTTCCTTACCAGCTCCAAATCCTCCATAGACTGAATCTCCTGTCTCCGAATCGGTCCCAATCGTTCATGCTGCTCAGGGACATCCAGCAGGCTCCCCTTCCGACTCCGACTCGTCGACTCGGAACCCCATCGGGTACGCGTAGTCTCCCTCGTCATCGGTCTCAATAACCCGTCATCATTCTCGCGCTCCTTCTCCCTAGACCACGTAGGGAGTAGGCCCCGCGCACTGGCAGAAGACGCAAGATGGCTCATTTGTCGCGAAAGACGAAGTTCTCGTGACTTGCTATGCTTGTGTTTCGGCTGTTTGGCTCCGGGCCCGTCGATGCCTAGCTCTCGTGTACGGCGCGTTTCTTGGGCGTCGGGAGTGTATTCCTCAGTCGTACGACGGACATGTCGGCGGGAACGCCCGTGGGCTGAAAACGGCTCCTCGGAGCGAGGGTCATTGGGTCGTGGGCCGAGGGAGCCATGGGTCAACGGAAATGTGGCTGATACGGATCTAGTAGGCGATAAGGGAGACGTGAGGTGGGCATCCATGTCAAAACTACCACATGTTTTTTGGTCGGGTTTGAAAGTTGAGTTTTGGAGCTTGATGGTGGAGTGTCTCCCAATGTGAGACTTAAGGAGGTGTCATGCCAAGCCGTGCCGATCTGTGAGTTTCGATCGACATGACATGTTTCAAATGTTGACATGATACATTGATACTCTTTATGTACCACATTTCCTCTGACAGTTCTAGGCTTCCCTTTCTGTTCTAGTGCTCACCCGTTCTCGCCACTTTTGCTCACTGAGTAGATCTGAGCAGAATCTGAGAGTAAGCGAGAGCGCAGCCTACGAAACGACCGTTACGAAAGGCACTACGCTAGTCCTTTTTACGTGCCACCTTGCCCCACTAAATTGCCCTAACCTTGTACCATTAACATAACGGGCATCATCAAGGTAGCTATTGTAACCTACTAAAGTTGCTGCAGAAACTTGCGCCTCAATGGAGCCTCTTCTTTGACCGGCCAGTCAGGTCCATATTTACACTATTTACTTCTGGGAACACTCCTTCGACTTTGAATAGCTTTAATCATTCCAAATATAATGCCTTATGCCTCTACAAAGGAGTCACAGCTCAAACATCTCTTGAGGTTTTTTGTGAGACCTCAAACGGATCGTGCGAGAGAGCAGACTTGGAAGAAATGAGGATCAAAAGGAGAATAATGAAATTTTTTGTAGTTCAAGTGCTGCCGACAAACTGGATATAATGCTAACGTACGGATAGAAGAGAAAAACAAGATGTAAATACAGAAGAAGCTTTAAAGGCCTTGCCAACGCCATGCAGCACTCGCGATCAACTCCAGGGAAGACACAGGAATCTGCAGGTCGATCTCTCCGGGGTTAGGGGGGCGGCAGAGCAGCTCTGCTACGGTAATGCGGAGCGAGACAATAGGCACCGTGGTAATTGGTTGACCCGCGCCACCCGGTGTGCGGGAGACTACAATTGACTGACGGGTCTCTATATATGTGGGTGGTTGCTGGAGCACAATGGATTCAAATGTGACCACAGCCACAGTTTGATTGACCGATATCAATATCACCACTTGGACTTGCCCATTGGAGTTCGCTAGCCACCAGGCGGCGTCCGCTCGTAGTTTCTTTTTCGACTCCGAGACTCCGACTTCTAGAACAATTGAAGGCCAAGTGTCGCTTCGACCCGGCGGAAGTTGTTCTGGGGCCCATGCTCCATCCGGTTCTTTAGAGCAAAGGGTGCCTTGTATTCTTCCACGTGCAAGCGACCAAAACTTTCTGACTAAATTTGCATGATATGCAGCTATCGCGAATTCCGTATAGAACTCACCCGCGATCGAATCATGGGGTTTGCCCGGAATCGTAACAATCATGCCTCGGGTGTCCGGATTGTACATCTGGCGGCAACCCTTTTGGAGCGTCAGCTTTGCCACATCCGGCGGCACGTTGGTGAACTTAGCATATAGTGTCACGATATTTGGAGTACTTCGGAGACGATTCAGAATAGTCCGAATGGCCCGGGCTGATGATCCGATCGCCTCCACCACACACTCCACATCAAAACAGTCAAGATCAGTCGTGTCCATGTCTCCGACAAGAGGTGAAGGAAGACTAATTTGTGTCTCTGACGAGAAGACAAGTTCTGAAGTAACCACAGACATTCGGGGCCGATCTACATCGCGCTAGCCCTGATTAGTCTCTTGAAAGTTTTTGGGTAATCGGTCAACAAGTCATGGTTACCTCACTGGTCTCAGGGGTTTTGGGATGGTGTTATGCCCGCACACTGTGCTGGACGAGAAAAAGTAACCTTTCTCACAAGCAGCAGAGGGGATGATGATGGCGAGTTGGAAAGGATGAGAAGGAGAGAACACAGAGGATGTTGAGGGCGAGGGTGGCAGAAGGTAAGAGAGAGAAGGAAAAGAAGGAAATGAAGACGAAGTGAGGAAGGAGCGACTTTCCACGATCCTCTTACTCAATTACTCGTGTTTATTTACCTCAGTACGCTTTTACCCAGCCTGAGTCTTGGTCATTGAAGATTAGAGGCCTTCAGTCCATGCCGTGAGATAATCCAAGATATGCATGATATACGCAGAGTAAGATTTATGTTTATGTCAAACATTAGACTCGCAACATTGAAGAGATATCTTTTGTAAAACCAATCCCAGAAACGCCAACCAGCCTTTTCTCAGACAGAGATGGTGGCCGTGCATGCAGTATGATCCTAGACAGGGACAAGCTCATGAGTTGAGCAGCTTGTTGCGCTTCTCGCGACGCTTGAGGCGCTCGACCCGCTTCTTGTGCATCTTCTCAGCCATCTTCTCGTAACGAGCCTTCTCCTCCTTGGCGGCTCTACGGTCCTTGATGCGCTGGATACGGGCCTGTGATGGGTCAGCAATTGCCTTGTTCTAAGAGAGTGTATTGAATGCTCTAGACGAGCGTAAAAGCTAGACAATCGGTATCGGGTAACTCACCTGACGCTCAGCCTCAGCCTCGGCCTTCATTTCGCGTTCACGCTCTTTCACGGCATCGTTGAGCTTACGAGCTTCCACCCGCTTGGCGTAAGAGGTAAGGCCCGCTTTAGGGCGGAAGGCTTTTTTTGCTGGCATCATGCCAGTTTTTTCCTGTTTCGGGTCAGTCGGGAGAAAGAGCAGTGGGGTCGCGACCTCGGCCTCGGGGACTGACCGTTCTTGCGCATTCCAACGGACGCGGCACCCGCAGGCGCGGTCACCGGACTTGTGGCAGTCTCAGTAGACATGGCGTGTAAGGAGTTTGATCGACACAAATCGACACGAACTTCCAGGGTAGAGGAAGGAAGCGTAGAGGTCGGGGGCAGAAAGATGAAGCCGCGCGCCGCCCGTCCCCAAATGAAATTTTCACGCAGAGATTATCTGATCGAGATAACCGGCCTTGGCGGACGCTAACAGAGAAAAATTGAACTTGGGCACTCTCCCAACTCCACTTCGGGCGTTTCCCTCATCATCTTTGTCCATCTGGACTCCAACTTTCGCAATCCTTGTCGCTTCTGAAGGTCTTGGCGTCATCTACTGTCGACGAATCCCTCGTCGATTGTGCCACACCGCCCCCTTTCCCCCCCCTGGTGCCTTGCCAAATCCTCTGCGCGGCCCCCACCTCACGTCAGACCTAAGGGCTCCGAAGAAATCACTCAACTCAAATAACCGCCCCTCTCCCGCCCTCGTTTCCTTGTTCTTTATTTCGAATCATGTCCCGATAGCCCAATACTTTGGGTGACTGTTGGAAGCCTTGATGGCGGCGACCGAGCATGCGATCCCCGTCCGTGAACCGATGGAACTCCCATCTCTCCCGCCCAACCAAGGGTTGGAGGCGATGAAGGATATTGTGTTCGGCTCCGTGAGTGGTGCCATACCCCTGGACTAGTGAATATCTGCTGACCGACTTAGACTGCTGGCATGGCAGGCAAGCTGATCGAATACCCCTTTGACACCGTCAAGGTTCGCCTTCAATCTCAACCCGCACATCTTCCTCTCCGATATACCGGTCCTCTGGACTGTTTCCGCCAGTCGTTCCGGGCAGATGGCTTCAAAGGACTGTACCGCGGCATCAGTGCCCCCATGATGGGTGCCGCTGTGGAAACCAGCTGTCTGTTCTTCAGCTACCGCCTCATCCAGGATGCAATGCGCGCCACGGTGTTCCCCGAGAAAGAACAATTGCCTTTCCTAGCTCTTATTGCTGCCGGTGCTGCATCTGGATCTGTGACTTCGTTGGCACTCACGCCAATTGAGCTCATCAAGTGCAAGATGCAAGTCCCGGTCGAGGCGGGACATCCACCCCCTCGTCCCGCTATACTCATCGCAACCGTTTTCCGACAGGAGGGACTGATTGGTTTCTGGCACGGTCAAATGGGAACTCTGATCCGAGAGACCGGAGGTAGTGCCGCCTGGTTCGGCGGCTACGAGGGTGTTTCTTCTCTCTTCCGGAAATACAATTCGTCTAGCTCCCACATCGAGTCTCTAGCTGTCTGGCAGCAATTGGTCGCTGGAGCGACGGCGGGTATTAGCTACAACTTCTTATTTTTACCCGGCCGATACCATCAAGTCACGCATGCAGACGGAAGATGTCTCGCGCCTCCCGGCTAACGGCGCGCGACAGACCTTTTGGAATGTCACTCGGTCCTTGTGGAGGCAGCAGGGCTTGAAGGGCATGTATCGCGGGTGCGGGATCACCTGCATGCGCTCGGCTCCCAGTTCGGCCTTTATCTTCTCTGTTTACGAAGGATTGCGATCATATTTTGGATGAGTTGAGATGATCCGTCTCGATATAATGCCTGGATCCGGTGCTATTCAGCTTGATACCCTTTCCCGATATACCAAACCGCCTTGCTCCTGACACGACGTGCTGTTTATGGTCCCTCGCACCTTCTGCCCTCCATCAAACTACTCAAACTTACCCTCTCGCCCTCTCGCTCCATGGTCCATTAGCCCTGCAACCTGGACTCATCCGGTGTCTAATGCCTTGCTCAAAGTTTTAAAATTTCTTGATCACATAGAGCTCTCTAGTCGATTCTCATATGCGAATTTACGGGTTTCTACCTGGGGTCTCGTTACTTGGTATGGATATAGATCATTTTCTCTTGAACATAGAATACAAATGCACATTGACTTTCTCCTGATCATCACTGCGAGTCCTTTCCCGCGACGGCCACGAGGCTCATTTCGCCAAATCCTCCTGCAGCTGCAGCATCTAGAAAGTCCTGCACCGTCAAGGCCAGCCCTCGCTCACTCAATAGATCCTCTTCGAGGTTTCCTCGCAACAACGGTCCATTCATGCCCCCATTCAACTCCCACACTTGATCACCCTTCTGTACGAATGCTATGAAATGATGATGATTCTCATCATGTGGTGACGGCGCCCTCGAAGAACCCGAAACAGCAGCCTTCATGTGCGCTTCCTCCAAGAAAGTCGAGGTGTAAAGCAACTCTGCCCGCTCAGCCGGAGCAAGCTCAACGGCGCTTTTCCTCAAAACGTCCAGCTCCGATCCCGGCACAACATAATTGTCATCCAAATTGAACACACTATGCAGCAATGCCATTAGGCCACACGCATGACCGATCGTCTGCTTCATCCATAACACAGGTTCATCGCCCGACCCCTGATACTCCGGTATCGTGGGTATCACAGCCTCCCGAGCAGCGAGATAAATCGGCTTATCCGCAAGCAGAATCAGAGCATGAACTGGACGAGGAATCCATGCAAGTAGCTCGGGAGAAGTGGATAGCACATCGTGGAATGTGAGGCCCGATGCAAGATTCAGGTTCGCGCAGAGATGGGATAGCACTTCAGGGTTATTCTCTACGCTGGGTCAGTGGGTCACCATAGGACTTTGCAAGTGTAGAGAGATTACCGAGAGGAATGAAAGTCTTGCAGCCGTTGACAATCTCGGCTTTGGGGATAGACATAATATCCTGGAAGCTTAAAGCTGGAGCTGATGCTGAGCGGGGTTGCGTAGGGCTGAAATTGGCTGAAATTCCCCTCACGTCTCTTTCTCTTTCTCTTTCTCTTTCTCCTTTTCTGTTTCCTTTTCCCTTTCCTTTTCCTTTTTCTTTTCTTGTCCCTTCGGACAAAAAGGATAATCACAGGTAAAATGGTCAGCAAAACCTCTAGGAAGAGGTTACAAAGGATTGATAAAATAGCAAAACTATAATCTCTTTAGCTTCTTACAGTGTCTGCTTGGTCAGGCGGTATTTTCCCAATGGAAAGACATTACTACACTGGAAAATGCTAATGACGGATAGGTCTTATCCTAATATGTTCTCCGTGACCTCCGTGACAATCTCCCTGGAAATTGAGCTCCTGAAAGCTCTTCGAGCTCGCGAAATCTGGAAAATAAATGTTGACATATCAAAAACTCGAGAGTCAAGCACTAACCTCTAGGGCCTTCGAGACACCCGGAACTGCGAAGCGAGCGTACCCGCCTTCGTCCTTGCCTATGAAAACGAATAGTCATGCATTGAGTGCCTCTCCACTCTTCTCAACCCTATGGTTCCTCACTAATTGCGTGTCATGGCCTCAGTAAGCTCAACGACTGTCACTAGCCCTATGAGATTCATCTCAAATACCTGAATGCCGTGGATAGTCCAGGCAGCAGTATCAGACTTCACGATATCTTTCGCAAGGATCAAGCTAACGAGATATCGTACAGCCCAAGGTCCTCACGCACTGCTCTATAAGAAAACTTGCAAGGATCTTTCTCGTCATGGAACTCCATTCCTTTGACCTGCAAGTCGCTGTCTTGCAAAGATGTCGACCTTCGATCCTACCCATGTCAACCTGAACACGGCCAGCATGGAAGATGTCCTGTGTTGTATGGAAGTCTCCTCCAATGACTACAATGGACATCTCGGTGGTCGTTTCTCCTCTATCTTTGTGATTTTCTTCGTTTCCTCCGCCTTTACTATCTTCCCAGTCGTCTCCAAGCGCATGACAAGGTGGAAAGTCCCTTTTAGCGTGTATATATTCGCTCGCCACCTTGGAACCGGTATCATCGTAGCCACAGCATTCATCCATCTTCTTGACCCGGCCTATGGACGAATCGGTCCAAAGACATGCGTTGGGGGATTGGGGTACTGGATTGAATATCCTTGGTGTGCAGCGATTGTACTGATTGTACTGGCTTACATTGTGATCATATTCTTGCTCGACCTGGCCGTCAGTCGCGACGTTTTCTCGCGCTTGGGAAAAGGTCTTTGGTCGATCTACGGCGTCTGAAATGCGCGCCATTGACCAGCCGTCTCACAACAGACTCCAACATGGGCGCATAATGTAAACGGGCGATCCAGATCAAGAGACCTGGCATACTTTGAGCTTCTGACGACAGCGCCTCTGACATGCACTGCCCACTTTAGCCTGTTTTCTGACACCACTACGTATATTGGTAGGTAGCTGCAAAGTCAAGGAATATAACATTGAGCTGATGAGCCGATGACGGCGGTTTTCAAGCCCATACAGGAAAAAATGGGGAGCTGTTGAGGAGGAGAGTTCCCTTTTTGCCGGTGGGAGCAACCTCCTCTCATAACTTCAAGATACGCTACAACATGTGGGTCATTTTCCCCCTTGGAAACTCTTTTCGGCATTTTGGGAGTTATCATCCCGAGTATCTTGGTATTTGTCTTCCCACCGACCGAGTATGTCACCAAGCTCTGATCCCTCGTAATCATCAAGTGCTTCCGCCGAACTTACATAACTAGCCAGACTAAAGCTAGGGCCATTGACCATATTTCCAAAGTTGCCTTCATCTTCCCTTGCCTGGCCCTTGACTCGAGCCATGGCATTGTTCTTCATGAACCATTTCCCTTTCTCGCCAGTGCCAAGGCATTGACCTGTCTGCTGCCATGCTCGGCGTGGCTCGTAAGACTGGCGTCAATAGAACTGTTGTAAAAACAATATAATTACATCTGTCGTCTAGCCTAAGTTCTAAATTAATTCCCTAGTATGTTCCGATGATCGATCTGAAGTGTGGTACTGAGGACCTTGTGTGGTGTGGGGCAGCAATGGACCATTAATTGATCTCACACTAGAGGTGTATACTTCTATGTCACTATACACTGATCTAGATAAATGATGATTGAACTAACCATACAGCTCGAACACATTGGGGGAGTGTACTGTCTCCGCCAGATGTAGCACTACTGATAGCTGATATCTAGCTGATATCGCGATAAGCACCCCGCTTCAAACATGAACATCGAACTTCACCCCGCAGACTCCTCCAACTCCCCCTACCATGCCGCCGATCACCAACCCAGTCACAGCCCAAGAGCTGCAGATTCTCTCCACAAAGGCCATTGAGGCCAAGAGCCGCGCCTACTGTAAGTACTCGCCTAGAGACTCTCACATCGCTAATCGCTAATCGCTAACCCGACTAGGCCCGTACTCCAAGTTCCGTGTCGGCGCGTGCATCCTCACCACGTCTGGCGAGTTTGTGGTTGGTGCAAATGTTGAGAATGCTGCGTACCCCGTTGGAACCTGTGCGGAGCGTGTCGCCTTCGGTACGGCTGTTGTATGTTGCCTGGCCTCTACGTCTCTCTATGTCTCGGGGGATAAGTATGGCTAAAGGTTTCTAGGTGGCGGGTCACAAGGATTTCAAGGCTCTTGCTGTTGCTACAGATATCAAGCCTGCTGCATCGCCCTGTGGAATGTGTCGCCAGTAGTATGTTCTCTTGAATCCTTGTTTTCTTTCTTTCCCATAACATGTTCGATCTGGACTGACGGGCTTAGTATTCGCGAGTTCACGACCCCTTCGTTCCCTGTCTACATGTATGACGCCGATGGTGCGTACAAGGTCATGACGATGAGCGAGGTGAGTAAACAGTATGATTTTCGATCTTGTTGCACGGCTAATTGTCTTCTAGCTATTGCCCGACTCATTTGGACCGGAGGACCTGCCTAAATGAGGTCGATCTTCAGAATTTAGGTGATAGGATTTAGTATGGACAAAGAATGAAATCAGGAGATCTCGCTGTTCAGCATGATCCAAAGCAAAAGAAATAGAACCTTGTCTCTTTATCCCCGTTCTTATCTGAAAATTCGAGACTAGCCAGGAGTGAGGCAATTCTGCTCCAGCCAAATATGCAATACATAAAAGAAAGAGATCAAAAGACACGCACTCGTAATGTCACATCAATATTCCCAATCACATCATATAACATTCCAAGTCTTTGAAATATTCAATCGATGGGCATCTACGCCTCATCCTCCTCCTCGAATTCATCCGCACCGAGCAATTCATCCTCATCGTCCACCACATGTGTGTAGTCGCCTCGACGGGCAGCAAAAGAGCCCCGAGTGTTATAAGGTCGCTGGTAGCCACGGCCACGACCGCGCACCATTCCACTAACACTACGCCATAGACTGGTAGCTAGCAGTGGAAGTGACTGGGCAACTGCAACGATACCAGCAATGACAGCAACCGGAATTGCGACCAGCGCAGACTCGCGACCGAACAGGCCTTCGGTCGTGACCGATCCACCCTCACCCAGGCGAATCTGTCCGAACTTGCCGTCCCATCTAGTGAAGACGTAGTAGCCGATTCCGGCTGCCACGGCGATGGGTATCACAATGGCGAAGAATAGACCAACGCCGCTGATGCCGTGTTTCTTCTCGAACTCTTGTTCCTTGTCGGGGCACGGTCGAGGCTCGACCTGGTCATAACGACGACCACCCTCGCAGGTTGATTGCGGGATCTTGCGGTAACCCGTGGGTTCCCAGTATTCAACCAACTCGGGATCGTTTTTGCACTGCTCACTGTGATCGGGCTTGGGAAGCCCAGCCACAAGACCACAGCTGCCGTCACTCTGCATCTCGTAGTTGAAATCGCTAATACTTGTTAGTTCACGGGAATGCTTGTCGTATGTGTTGATTGGAACTTTACCATTCAAAGTCTGCACGGGTGCACTCGCAATTTGAGCCGACTCGGTGAATGTGCGGCTCTCGCCAATTAATCCAGCACTGGGCTTCGGGCTTCTTGCGGTAATACTGCTCGACATGTCCGAACAGGCAAACGTCGTCTCCCTGTGCCTCCAGAGCTGGATGCTTAGGAGCCCACAAATAGTAGTCTTTGCTTTCACCCGCATCTTCATCCAATTCGCACTCACGATCCCAAATACCGCTAAAGTCAAGACTAATTGTGGCGAACTTGTTGTCAGAGGATTTGGCATCCTTACCCCACAACAGGAAGCGCTTGGATGTGTCGGAAGGTACAGTCGAGATATCATCGATGATCATTTCCTTATCCGCGAATTGGAATTCGCTCCAAGTGGCGCCCTCGTCTAGACTGTAGTGAACAACCTTAGTCGGTTGCAGCTCGCGGACAAGCACGATCAGAGACCCGGCGTCTCCATACTCGAACATGTACCGTCCCTTCTTGACATTCCTCCAGGTGACACCGCCATCTCGGCTCAGGAAAGTATCGGCGTCCTCGGAACTGCCAAGATATTCACCTACGTTACCCACGCCGATGAGCATGCCGATAGCGGATCCTGAATAGAAGGTATCACGGGCATCGCGGCGTTCTGTGTAACCGTGGAGGTGCAAAGCGCATTTCTCGGTGCCCTGGCCCTTGGTGACGGAGCAATCGAATTTCTTGCCCTCAGCGTCCTCCAAGGGCGGGGCCAATAGCGCCCACTGACCACCGTCATTGTGCGTGATCATAGAACGCAGCTTCTTGCTTGCGCCCTTGTCCTGCACATCCTTGATGTTTCCGACAACATTGGCGAGAGCGACGCCCTCGAGGCCAGCCATCTTCTCGAAATCCACGTAGCCAAAATCGTTGACATTCAGCCCCTGGAGACTGAGGGTGAAATATGTACCATTGCTGTTACTCTTGACCAAGGAACCGTAGCTGCGACCCTTCTCCGTGTTGATCACCACCTGCAGGAACAAAGCGTAGTTGGAGCCAGGCAACGCGGTGTATTGATTGACATCGACATTGATGGGGAAGTGGGCCTGGGCAAAGGTCTGGCCATCCATGCTGGTGCTGACATTCAGGAATTTATGCTTTTCAGTCGGGAAGGTAGCCACAACGAAGAACTCATTCATTGTAACGAAGTGGGCGATGTTGTCGTTAATAACATTGGGGTTTGCGAACCAGTCGTCCTTGGTGTTGCTGGAAACCAGCTGACGGTTGTTCTTCCGATCTTCTTCGAAGTACTGCTCGCAAAGAATGAGTGTTTCGCTGTTCTCCCGACCATCATGGTATCCGAATTGACACTGGTCGACACCACGGAGCATCTTGTGCCATTCATCACCTCGATTCTTGGTATACCACGCAGTGTAAGTGCAGGAACTGCCCTCGCACTCATCGTTGCCGACCCACATCATCCAGTCGATGTGCTTTTCATGGAAAGACAAGGGAGAAGTGTACATCGACATAGACTTAGTGGGCTTCTTGAATTTGTCAAAACTGGCTCCACGATTGACAGTTGACCAGCCATCTAAGCCGCTGGTCAGGAAGTAAGCACCATCAACATAGTGCGGATGAGGGGCGATCGCTACAATGTTCTCGTCCTTGAGCGCTTTGGGCTGTTCCCAAGTCTTGCCGTGATCTTGTGTCATGTAAAGTTCCTTCTCGTTCGTGAGCATGAAGATGGTCTCATCGTCTCCTTGGTTACTCGTCTGTCGCTCAAGATAGAAGTATTCCTTGTAGTTGTGGGTACTCATGCCTGTGACGGAGAAGTAATGCGGCTCACCGGCGCGAACCTTGCCATCAGCGATGGGAGGTGGAGAGCCAGTGGAGTCTCCACACGATCGTTCAACCTCTTTGTCAAGGTTCTCTCCACCGTCGCGGATACAGACATTTCCAGGGATGAGTCGCCAGCCCGAGGGTCCCTTGTAGGTATCGCTGGGGTCTTTGCATTGGCCCGTCGGAGGAGTCAAAGGAACGGCTGGAACGCATTCTTTGCCATCTTCACTAAGCTTGAAGTTGTAGTCACATTCAAAGTCCTCAGCAGAGCACTTGCATCGCTCAAAGGCAGGAGGTTTCATCTTAAACTCCTTCTTCATGAAGCAGTCCGCATCGGGGTCGCGTCGCTGGTAGACTTGCTTGTGACCCATAAGACAATCGGCTTCTCCATTCTCATTCTTGCGAGCGATCCAAGGCTTGATGTCGTCGTCGGTGCATTTGCGCTCGTGAAGACCATCGAAATCAATCGAGTATACCACGACGCCTTTAGCAGCGGCACCGACTAGCATAAATTTAAGGCTTGTCGCGTCTGGGGTAGTTGTGAGATACAGTGGCTTGATAGCCTCCTTCAGCTCAAGGGGCGTCTCCCACTCTTTGCCATGGTTGAGAGAGTATTGAACCTCCTTAGTCTTGCCTTCGCTGGTGACAGCGACAATCACACCACCCTGGTCACCGAATTCGAAATGATGCGGGCCCTTCAGAGCATGACGCCAAGTGAGACCGGCGTCGTCCGAAACATAAAGATCGCCGTCCTTGTAGTCCTTCAGATACTCGCCTGTGTTGCCCACGCCCATGACCAGGCCCGGAGCTGGGCTGGAAAACATTCGGCGCAAAACTGGCAACTCACGGAGTGCATCGTAGGTGGTCATTGAATGGAGATGCAATCTGTCGTCGCCAACCTTGAGATGCTGGAAAGTTCTGCCGTCATCGAAACTGATATCAGTCACAACCTTCTTCTCTGTCCCGTCTGAGCCAAGGGCTTCTTTCCAGTTGTCGACAGTGTTGACAATGACAATGCCTTGGATATCGGTGACCTTCTCAAAATCCACAAATCCTTCCTTGTCCCGGTTTGTATGCTCGATATTGGGCGTGAAGTAGGTTCCGTTGGAGTTGGAAGTGTAGAGTACACCCATGCGATTCGAGTCCCATGTTGTCTGCACATCCACTTGGAGACTGTAATTAGTGCTTTCCAGTAGAGTATACGCGTCCTCTTCAATTCGGTGGCCACCAAATTCAACGCGATGCCATTCGTGAGAGTCATCGCTGACGTAAAGAGCTTGTTCGATGGTGCTTGCTGACTGAAGTCCAACAACCAGATACTTCTTAACTGATCGAATCAGGATCTGTCTGCCACTGACAGGCCGTCCCCGATCCAAGTTGATTTCGGTGCCGTGCGCATCGTCGCGGAAGTAGCTGTCGGAGTAGACCAAACGTTCCGTCATATCGAAAGGACTCCGCAATCCGGGGGTCACACAGATGACCCGATCCCCAATTGTGTCGGGCATGTTGACATCATGCCCGAACTCCGGAGTACCCGCAGCCCAAAGGCATGATAAGAACGCGCCCTCCAAGGTGTTATGAGTTTTGAAGTCATCCGTTGTATAGATAGTGACCCTCACACATGGGAAAGAAGAGCAATCCTTGCCGTGAAAGATCACCTTTTTGGGATCCCAGCCACTGAACATCAAAGGAGCAGACCGTCCGAGCTTCAAGCTCGGCTGAACGCCTGTCTCAAACGGTTTCCAAGTCTTTCCTTGGTCCGTAGTAACCCAGTGAGTGGTGCCCTCGCTAAGAGCGTACGCGCGGTGTTCCTTATCATGCGGGTGTCTCCAGATTACGGCGACCTGACCTTCCATATCTCCATCAGCACCCTTGATGACCTCCCATTCTTTGCCTCCATCGAATGAGATGAGAGCATTCTGCTTGAGAGGGTCTCGCCAGACTATCGTGTTGCTGCTGTCGAAGTAGAACAAGTCGGAGGGCGGGCTATCGAATTCGGTAGAGGACACCTTGGGATTATCCCCCTTTGCCGCGGCCGGGCCAGCGGCAAATGCCAGCAAGAGCCCGACCACGAGCAACAGCCACCTCGGAATCATGACCGCTGATCCTTAGGCATCTGAATGGGTAGTGACGTGGTTTGGAGGAACCGCCTTCAAGAAGCGGGCCGAGCCGGGGCGATGAACGGGGATGAGGTGAGAGGGAGGAGTGAATCGAGTGATTGTCAAAAGAAGCAGGGTTGTGTCTAAAACACTAGATTCGCAAAGCGCAAAGAAATCCAGATGACGCGAAAGAGATGACGGAGCTGCGTGGCCTCTGCTTGGGGAGCTCCCCTGTCACGTGCAACTTATCGGCTATCGCATAGTTCGCGCGTTCCACGGTTCTTTACGCTGTATCCGGAGATCAATTGACGCTAACATGGAAGATATAGATGTGTAAAAGGTATTGAAATCAAGGCCTCCAATGCACTATTTTAAAAGATTATGCAGCAAAAATGGTTCTATATACAGAGCGCTGCGAATTGATAGATACAAGAATGTGGTGAAGTTCCATGATCCGACACCAAAATCACGCTTCAATGCAGAGACCGTCTTCCGCCAAAAGACGCCGTTTAGAAACAAATGTTCGCGCGCTAAAAAGCGAGAAAAGTATGCCAACCCCAGACGAGGGAGAGAGAGTCAGAGATGCCAACGTGTAAGAAGTTTTAGGCTCGTCGAAGGAGCTTGCGCCACATCTTCTTCATTGTGCCTGATTCGTGTAGATCTGAATCCCAAATATGTTGGCTGCGGTCTGCTGGTGGAAGTGCTGCCAATTGCAATGGATCTTCCTGAGGTGACTTCTGTGATGAAGCGGGAGACTCGGTGCGAAGGTCGGGTCGGGTCAAGGTCATCTTCAGGGTCATCTCGCGATTCCCCAGTAGTCGTTGCGGACTAGCTTTCGACCCGGGGAGTGACGATTGACGCCGCTGCAGTAACGACTGGTGGTCCACGGATGTTTGAGAACTTTCTCGTATCTGTGGCTGGAGTTGTGGCGTGGGTGGATCATTCAACGACCCTCCTGGGCTACCAATCATAGTCCCGTCTTCATCTTCAAAAAAAGTTCCACAGAAGTCATGAGACTCGCTCGCCGGCTCTGGGGTAGCAGGTAGCTCCGGTGGGATGTTTTCCTTATCCTGGTCCAACGAGGGGAAGCCGAACTCAATAGCCTCATCGAATTTCTGTGGAGATGCGAGGTAGACCCGCAGTTTGAGACGAGCATCAGGGTCCTGATAGTACTGCGCCTCAGGGTCAATACTCGAGGTTGATGACCTCGGTGCATGTGATGGTTGACGACGAGATCCTGGGCGCGAAATCGAGCGATCAGTACTGGCGATCGGACTCAGGGGCGGTATAGAAGGACTGGAAGGCAATGGACGAGGGGGCAATGAGGCTGTTGGTCGGTGCCTCAGAGCATGTTTAGAAATGGAGAGGGACCGCCGGAAGGAGGGACGACGGCGAGACTTCAACCTCGCTGCAGCTGATTCGGCCACATGTGCATGGTATTCGTCCAGTGACAGGTCCAAATCACCATCCTCATCGAGCCAGCGAAAGCTGTCGTAAAGTGACTGATCCATTCTGGGATCAAGATCGTCCTCGGAGTCCAAATCCGAGTCAGAGTCGTAAAAGACGGATGATAGCTGCGCGACAGGTAAAGTGGCTTCTGACGGGTGGCTGTCGTTGGAGTGGCGACCCCGAGTATTAGGTCTACGATAGAACGCCTCGTCGGCAGCGTCGAGGATGACACTCTCCCGATAGGCGCTGCGCAAACGGATCCGTTCCTCCGGAGAGAAGAGCTTCTGTTGGAGTTTAGCGGGGAGAGAATGGAAGCATTGCGAGTCCGCCTCGGCGACCAAGTAGGCCAGTTGTAATGAGCCGGGTTTGCGAAGATTCTGAGGTCTATTTTTCTCCAGACGATGCCTCCTCAGGGATGTCGAGGGGTTCCTCGGGTGGAGAGGGCCAGGCCCAGGGCGAGTCCGATGGGAGCCATAGTTGGAGAAGGAACTGGGATCGCTCTGGGCTAGCCTGATGCGCATGCGCTCGACATTCGAGAAGAACTGGGCCGAGTCAGCGGAATGAACGATCAAGTGGGTAAAACAAAGCGGCGTTGGCCAATGTGCAGAGTCGAGGGTAGCGCCATGGTATAATAGTGCGAGTGTTGGTGATCTCCACTTGCGTTTCCGACTTTCCGACTTTCCATTCAGGGGTAACCCGAAGCCACTCGACAAGGAAGTGATGTACAAGGGTGTTCAACAAAGAAAGTGGCTCATCGTGCCGTCCAGAAATTGATGTTCTCCGACACTATCGAGCGGACTATCGATTCACCAGGCAAGGAGGGGGAAACCAGTGACGATCGAAAAAGAGAAATGCCCACACAGGTGTCTGTGTGCATGTGTGTGCGTGCTATGTACATACCTTTCTTCTCACTGCTGGAGGTAATGACTCAAAGTCCTCACTGGCCGGAAGTTGCATGGATGCGATGTCAAATGTCGATCTCAATGCCAAGTTCAATGACCCTAACGGTATGTACGGATCAGACGCATCGATGGTGGCGTCCAATGTTCAATAGAAAAGGGTATTGTATATTCTAGGGGAACAGAGAAAGAGAGCGAGGCTTCCTGGATATAAAGATGCAGGAAGGAGAGGGGCTCCTGCAAGCGCCGAGGGTCTTACAAGTCCTACATGGATGGATTTCGATATCATGAACCGGTGCACAGACCGTGATGTGACAAGATCTATTTGGAGACCTGTCACCTTGACGCCCCCTCAGTGGAGATGTGCGTTGGCCCTTTCTCTTTCTACGAGGAACCCTTTTCCCCTCTCCAAAAGTACGAGTTATTGCTTTTGCATATCGTTATGACGAGTCATGAACCCTGCGATGGAACGGTTCACGTCTGCGTTTGCGTGCCGTGTTGTCACTTGTAGCCGAGCACACGAAAGGTACGTTTTCCGCGAGGAAATTAGCTCCTGGAGAATCAAACTATGAGACTGGTCATCCCAGAAACGGCCGCCTTCGTATCCCGGCCCGGCCCAGGATGTTTGGATCCAGGTTTCTCACAGTTTCCCTAGGATCCGGTCATCGCTGCCGATGCAAGGGCATAATGGTTTGTGACTGGTCAACTGCATGGATCGTCGCGGATGAAGAGCCTAAAATTATTATGAAGTCCACGAGGATGCGCTGAAACGGCTTGGAGATATTCAGGATCGAGTCGTCAGATCGATTTCAAATGCCAGTCAGAAAAAGCAAAGAACGGAAACGAAGGACAAAGAAGAAGAAGGACGAGGAACTAAGGCAGACAGGCAAACGAGGAAACGGGGGCTCCACCCGGATCGGTACGCTAATGCGTCTGAGAAATATGGAATCGATGAGATTTAGAACGAACGGGGAAAGCATACGAGTCACAAAACTATACCTAGGTAAACTGGCCTACTTCTAGGCTTCTATTCTACCTACTTCGTAACTACTATGACCCTAATTGGGGTTCACACAAGAGACTGCGGACGAAAACTAGAGTCTCCACTCGTCTATTACAGTGCATTCAGCACTTGCTGCATCGCTGGCGTGTTCGAGTCCTCGCGCCGCGAGACATACGCCCGTACCTCCTGCACACTCAATTTGGCTTCGGGCCCAGCTCTGCTTGACCCGCCAGACCCGGTCGCTCCACTGGCGGCTCCCCCCACGGATGCGCTCGCGTAGTGCCTCTGCACCGATAACAAATAGGCTACCCACCTCCAATAACACGTCCAGCGCGCCACCGGGGCCTTTGGTCTCCTCGTCAATGTCCCACGACTTGAGTAAGTCCGCATATTGCGTCATGTCCTTGGTCACCATTAAGCCACCGGGTCCGCTGACGGCGAACCGTTTGAAATGCTCCAGGAGCAATGCGCGCGTCCCAAGGGCGATTTCCGTGAGTACCTGACGAACGTTGGCCCCGCTGGCCGGTAACGACGTGCGGGCGATGTTGTGCACCTTCGTCAGGAACGTACAAATCGAGGCGCAGGTCTAGACTCGAAGTTAGCTTTGGGCGCGGAAACTTGTTTGATACAAGTCAGATCCGGAGAATATGACCTACCGGGGTTTGTAACATCTCCAGCCATGAGGCGTTGTCACTCTCGCGTGGTCGGAAGTCATTTTTCTTCTGTCCGGAGAGTAGTCGACTCACCCACGCGAGCGAGGCGTCGATCGTCTTCTGTTCGATTGTATTGATTTTCTCTTCGATTCGTGACGTCGTCTGGCTCGTGCGCTTTTCCATGTCACGGCGGGTGGTGATGCTCCCGGTCGCTAAGGGTAACAACACGGCATTCACACACATGATCATCAACGTGGTGATACTGATAGTCGTTCGGACCGACAGAAGATAGCTGAAGTCTGGCTCGGTCTTGCTGGACTCCTGTTGCGTGGCCGCCTCCAGGGCGGCATCGAGGCAAACATCCACGTATCCGTCACCCATTGTCACGAGTAGAAGAGTCAAAAGAGCCGACACGTCTTTGTGGGTATCCGAGTTGACACTCAGCTCGAGCCCACGACCTACCGCTTCCGCAAGCCACTTGAGCATGCGCTTGGCGTCACTCAGGTTGGGCTGCCCGTCTTCGTCGGTCAGCTTGACTTCGGTTAGCTTCGTTTCCGGGACATCGTCTATCTTGGCTATATGCATCAGAATCCGTCGTTGAACAGGCGAGACGTCGTACGAGTCCAGTCGATTGATGAAAGTATCTCGAGTCGTGGAGAGCAATTCAGTTCCAGGTCTAGACAGTGACGCCATGAACGTGGTAGCAGCCTTCTTCCGGCGAGCGTGGAAGCAAGTGAATCGGAATAGTATCGCATTGAATAGTTCCTCCAAGGTGCGCTTCTCGCGTTCGATATAGGATGACCCGACAAAATAGGGAACAAACAGCTCTTCCAGCTGTTGGTCCAGCAGCAGTGCGGTCTGCGAGGAGATGGGATCCGGGTGCTCGGTCAATCCGTGCGCTTTTAAGTCATCAATCAACGAGCCGATATAGCCCCGTGAGCTCTGTAGACATCGTAGAAAAGCTAGTGACGAAACTCCACTGGCCTTTTCTAGGACCATCTCGAGTCGCTGCTGAATCGATTGTTGGAAGACTCGCTGCAGGAATTTGCCCAGGACCTGCTCGTAGTAGGGAAAGGCCCTCTTAATAATTGTGGATTCTTCCTGCACCACTACCTTCACTTCGTCGAGCAAAGACTGAAGGCTAGAATCGATACTAGGAAGTTCGGCATCCGGATCGGCCAACTTCTCCCATGATTCAGCATCACCGCCCACTTCCTCGGTCACCAATTGACTTCGGTCAATGAAGAACTGATGCTGGTTCACGAACAACGCAATCACACTACTGCCGCCGTTGAAATCTTGCAACACGGTAGCACAGTCCTTCATGCCGTCGAAGTTGGCCTTGCGGTAGAATTCGTCGAATTGTTTCAGCAGGTCCTTCTCCAGAGTTTCCGAAAACTTCTCAATAATCTCTCGTGTGTTCCGCCGCGGTGTAGGGCTCTCATTTACCGATTCTGATGAGGAACTCGGCGTGTGTCCGCCATTGGCAGCTGATAGGTTCTCCTGCCAACTCTGCGGATCCAATCGTTGACTGATACGCAGCAGCTGTCGTGCGAACTGTGCCGAGCGCACTTTGGCCTCTCCCGTGCCAGACCGCCGTAGGTTCTCTCAGGAGCGAGATCTCGCCCCGATTACATACCCCGTCCCGACACTCCAACAGGAAATGGGCATCTAGCGCCCGGCGACGCTGTCGATCTAGCTCCTCCAATCTTCTTCCGGTTTCTACTGCCATGTTTCCCGTACCCCCGGCATTCTCTAGACCGGCGCCATTGAGTGACGTGTCCAGCTGCTGAAACGACTCAATGGTCTGTCGCAATTTCCGGCCCAGCGTGGTGAGGTTTTGCGAATGCTGAGCTTCGGCGCGTCGCACTGCTGCTGAAAGCTCATTCTCGCGTATCTCCAGATCCCCCGATAGCTCGCCTAGTCTTCGTTGGGCATGTTCAAACGTGCGGATGAGGGGCTTGGGGTCAAAGGCTTGGTTGGCAACACCGGTGGTTCCGACGGCTGAGCGGCGACCGGAGATGGCACTGTCGGAGAGCGTTTCGATAAACTCCTTGACGATAAAGTCGCGACTAGAGAAATCCTCGAGTGTGAAGCTAGGGCCTCTAGGGAAGACGGAGCGGGCGGGGTTCGAGGAGATTATAGATGCATTGTCGGGCATCATGGCGATTGTAGAATGAAATTCATGGGCCGCCTTGTGACCAGGCACAGTATGTGAGGATCGACCAGCTCAGGTATTGATGTGGTAGGATCGCGAGAATCCGGGGAAAGCTGAGATGCGCGCAGTCGGAGGTGCGCGTAAATCCACCGGAATGCGATCAAAGTCACCGCCTGGTCTTGATCGTTTGATGCTACGAAAATCATTACCTTATACACTATGTGCACAAAGCATGGATAAACCAGGCAGTAGAATTGTTTTGAATTAAATCTTATTTAATATGACACAATTGGCCGAGTTGCCTTGCAGTTTTACCTTAAGTTACCCGTGTAGAAAGGAATACCTTGGCCTCAACGCAGAGGCAGTCCAAATGATTCAGTTGGCAGCAAAAATAAGATCTAGACGGAGTTGTCCATGTGTGACTCTACGAAATATTACCAGTAGCACGAACAACGACTAGCGTGAACCTGGGCTGTGAATTAAGTTGTACAATCCACTGTGACTTGCATGTGGACAAGTAGAGGACATCTCAAAGTTCCCGCTGTTTTTCACCAACAACCGGCCACCATGGTCTCCCAAAAAGATCGCGAGATCCTGCGCGCAGAAATCCGCTCAAGAAACAACCAACTCAATGCCACTGATCGAGCGAATCTGTTGAAGCCATACCTGCCAGATCCTGCCGAACTGTCGACGCCGCAACGATCCCGAGCCTCGACCTCTGCATCCCAGCGACGCCAGAAGGCTCGAAAGACGCCCATCCGCTCTTTCATCAAGTCTCAAATCCACCACCTGACTTATGCTATCACACACATCATTTTCGGTATCATCGTACGATTGCTACAGGCCTACCATGCCGTTGTCGACCGTGTCTTTGCCGTCGTCTACCACCACCACCGCACGCCCGAGCTGATCCGCAAAGATGTTCGTGGCTTGAAACGACTGCCGCAGCATCTGAGCGTCATTCTGACACTGCGCACCGAAGATGATGCCCTGGCGGTGCTAATGGACGAGGTGGCCGAATTGACTGCCTGGAGTTCATGCGCGGGAATCCAACAGCTCAGCGTATATGAAAAGACAGGTATGATAATCTCTTCCCACTTGCTTGACGTATACTAATTTCACTGGATAGGCGCCCTCAAATCCTGCATCCCAGCCTTGCATCAAATCGTCACCACCAAATTGGCTTCCTACTACGGCACACCCTCTCAGCAGCCTTCTCTCCAACTCTTCGCCCCCCACCACCCCGTGCACGGCGACGCCCCTGACCCACACTCTGAGAACCCTGCTCTCGCACTTCTTCTTCTGTCCTCCACCGACGGTCGTGAGACACTTGTTGATTTGACCAAGACCCTGGCGGAGATGGCACAGAACGGCAAGCTGTCACCGGAGGATATTACGCCTGAACTGGTGGATGCGGAGATCAGCGAGATCACTACTCAGCCCCTCCAAACCGACTTTGCCTCTGGTACTGCGAAGATCCTCAAGCCTGAGCCGGATCTCTTGTTGATATTCGGGTCTTTCTTGAAACTGGATGGCTATCCTCCATGGCAGATTCGTCTGACAGAGATGTACTGCACTGGCGATCGCAACCACGCTCTAACTACTGGGTATGGAGAAGCCGTTGAGTACCAAGGATTCATGCGGGGCTTGTGGCATTATGCTGGGGCTCAGATGCGCTTTGGTCGGTGAGCAGAGAGAACGAAAAGAAGGCGGAGGTTTCAGTGTATCTCCTTGCTGACAATATTTGTTATACCCCGTCGGCGTGGAAGCCGAGGTCTATTCATCTCTAAACCATAGATACTGCATCTATCATAATCGAAAGCATTGTTGGAGCATCTTGACTTCTCATTGACTATAAAGTCGATTGGTATCACAATGTATTATTAAATAATGCTATGCTAGAATATCCGCATCGAAATGCCGCGGGTGATGCTATCTCCTAAAAGACAAGTTGTGAATGTGAAAGAGTAGTGAAATGCAGAGTTTCAGTGCACGCGCTATCCAACTCCATGACCGCCAAAAAAAGTATTATAGAAGAGGTGTGTTCGTGATCCACTCCGAGAAAGAGATTCATGCGGTCGTATCGTTATTCATGTGAGCGATAGAAGTGCAAAGTCATCCGCCCATGCCATCATGATTCATCTCATTCAATGTCCACGGCGAGGCAGTGGGCCCCGCGGACCATGGGGTATGACCGCGAACACAGTCGAGACATCTCACGATTTCTGTGCCGGTCTCAGTGATGCCTTCGACTGCACAGCTAGAGCAGATCTTCCTCCGTCCATCGAAATCTTCTTCCTGACTGAACAGATCTCCGTTGGGTGCTGTTACTGGTACATTGATGGTGCCGGGACAATCGACGGCATCGCACTGGCGCAAACAGATGAAACAGGCTCTTTCTCCACATAGGTCACAGTCTGCATATGCATCTAGGACGTGGCGAGTTGTGGGGCGTCTGTGACAGATGTGACACGGACGTAGCGCTGAGGCTGAATTTGATGGATAGGAGAGCGGCACGAGGGTCTTGGGAGAGACGGGCGGCGAGTAAGGGTCTAGCGGTGCAACGTAGGCGTTCGGTGAGAAGAGAGAGGTTTGCTGAGGGGTTGAAAATGAGAGGAAGGGGGTCTGGAGGTGTCGGCGTTTGCGAGGAAGGCACCGGGGTTGAAATGAACAGTCACCTCCTTCTGGGTGATGGGCCAGGGGTGAAGAGAAACCGACGTCACAGTTTGGATGGCCTACTCTAAATGGCACAAAAGATGACCTATGAAGCAAAATTAGTGAACTGATGTTGAGTGAACACCGACTAAAATTATAGGGTCAGAGGAATCAACAACGTACGGACGGGGCAAGGTTGCGGAGTCTTCATGGTCACGCTTGCGTTTTCTCCAGCAGGCAATGGAGTTTTGAGGCTCCGAGAAGCTAGGCATGAAGGAGACTGTAGAGGAAACCGGCCAATGTAGCAAAGGATCCTGCGCGAGGTGAATTGCAAGTAAATGAAAATAAAGCTCCTCCGCAGAGGCCGGGCACGGTACTCACCGCCCGCAGGCCATTGATGATTATGAGACGAGTGATTTACCCTTTTCTATCTGAGATAATGGGTTGCCTTGGTATCATGTGTCTTTAAAATTGAAAATGTGCACTTTATGTCTATATCTCTTTGCCATCATATCTTTCCTGATCTTGTTAGTTGAGGATGTCCACTGAAAAGTGTGTTAGCCCCGTTCTTGATGTGTTGTAATGGGACCATGACAATTTAAAGACTATATTTGGAAAGAGTAAGACAAGCTTACCTTTTAGTGTCTCGAATTAAAATCGGGTCTGAGGTTTTATACTTCAAAATACTTCAAAATTCGGTTCGACTTGAATGATCCCAACGACAGGTCTTGTGTTTAGATATGAAAGCCGTCGGCAAAGAATTTATCCTCTTTTTCAAACTTAGTCAGACACGTAATTCCGAGTGGATTTTTTTATCCTTCCCGACGAAGTCGTGAAATATCTTGCCCGATTGCTCCGAAGCAAAAACTCGCGATGACCCCGATACATTCACGGGTCTTGCGCAACCCTTTTCGGATAATTTTTTTATTACCTCGGGACAGACCACGAGGTATTATAGTCAGGTCGATCAGGAAGGATCTGGGTGATCGGTGATCCAGCTCGGGGCTCGGGATGCCGTAGCTGATACGGCACGGTCTCCAATGAACAGCCTCGTAGATCCTCTGAGAATCAGATCAATAGTGAATCAATCATCTTGGATCCAAGGGGATTCTCGACATGTGGGGCAGAGCAAAGTCAAATTGCCGATGGTCGGCAGTTGTCATTTCACAGGGAAGCAGTGTATATGACATACAGATTCCGAAGATAAAAGATCGATGATGGGGGGCGCTTGGCTATATGATGTGGTCTATTCTAGCTAGGTTCAATGCGTGTTGTAGACTTTTTATAGAAGACCTATAAGACCTAGAAAAGAAGTGCACTAGGGCATCAGTGCAGATGACTAGACAAGTCACCCATATCGGATCGTGGGGACGTGGGGAAGCCCGAGAGCCGGGCACAGCTCCCGATATTTGCTCCGAGCCTCAGCGCTGTTTATGATTCAAAACCCCCGAGCCATGGGTCCCTCACCGTAAGGGTAACAAGTTCTTGGTCGACATTTTTTGCGTAATCGGTTCCGATTGCGTCTCGCTGCTTTAATACTGCGCGACCCTCCGCCTTTGGTTCTCGGAGATAACCGAGATACCTTTTGAGATATCTTGGATGATTTTGGACGGAACTGGACTCCTGATCTCTTGGAACTTTCTGGGGCAATTCTGATCAGCGCTCATCGATCGCGCTTCCGCTCTGCAGTTCATTCGCATTTCCCTTGCATGACATGACTGCTGCCCTGTCCAACCCTCTTCATGGATGAGGGCTCCGACAAGGCCCCTCGGCGGAAGAGGGTCTCAAGAGCCTGCGACCGCTGTCGTAGTAAAAAGGTAAGTTGTCGCTCGATGCACTCATCAATGTCAGGCTAATCCGCGTTGTCCGAACCTAGGATAAATGTGATGGCGCGCGTCCCACTTGCTCCGCCTGTCAGGCTTCGGGCCAGCCCTGCTCCTACGACCCTCATGCGAAGAAGCGAGGTCTACCCGAAGGATACGTGCGCGGCTTAGAGAAGTTGTGGGCACTGTCCATATGTAACATCGACGGATTAGAAGAGGCCATGCTAGCCATGCTGGGAACAACCGCGGAATCGGCTGGGCGCCGCGACAAGCTGATGGCGGCTTGGACGGATGATGGGTCTTCGGAGAGCTTGCACGAAACTTGGAAGGCGAGCCGCTTGAACAGCGCGCTGGAGAAGATGCTTACCAATTCCGAGGTAACATCTACAACAGGGAAACGATCCCGGGACCCTGATGATCCCCAGGAAGGCCAGTGGCCAATCCGAGTTGGCAGAGAATCGACGCCCCTAGGTCCCGACGCGCCGCGGGTCGTCGGATCATCCGCTGTCTCTCCAGCTACCAAACGAGCTCGACTGGCACAGCAATCTGCAAGTCGCGATGCCACGACTAACGGCCGTCAGTCCGCGCTGCAGCTACCGCCTCAGACGTCTCAGTTGCTTGACATGTATTTCGCCGCCACTCACTCATGGTTCCCCATCGTCGCCAAACACAACATTCTCCGCGCTTCATACCTCTATGCCAATGCGCCCATCTCCGTCCAGACAAACTCACCTGGGTCTGGGGATCACGCTGCCCTCTGGGCAATCCTCAGCTACACTATCACGCAGTCCCGAAATGAACCGCGCACCGGCCCCGCTAGAACACCAACACTGTCTCTTGCCAAAGAATACTATTCGGTGGCTCGGAGTCTCATACCGTCCGAGAATGAACGCTACGAACTCGGCCATATCCAAGCATTACTTTTACTGACATTGGTGAACATGGGCTTGGAAGACTGGACGGCCGCCTGGCTGCTGAGTGGACAAGCAGTACGTATGGCTGTGGCCATGGGGTTGGGCTCTTTCAGTGATACGCGAAGGTCTGAAGAAGTTAAGCAGGGTAAAGCAGTCTTTTTGGGGTGCTTTGTCGCTGATTCCATGTTATCGTTTCGCCTCTCACGATGCCCTGCCATGTCTTCAAGTGATCTGGCCACGGTGGGCCTTTTGGAAGAGGATGGACTGGAGGAATGGAACTCATGGGTCGATGTTCTTCCCCCAACTGGGGCGTCGCAAGGAAAGAATCCCCCTCGGAGAGGGCCACTGCTGGCTTTGAGCTGCTTCAATCGTTTGGTGGAATTGGCAAGTGTTCTCAACAAAACAGCACGAAATCTGTCGATGGGGTATAAAGCGGACACGTTCGCGCAGCAATTGGTGATAGACCTGAAGCAGTGGGATGACAACCTTCCACTTGGATGTCGTTTGGTCGGACCAGAGAGTATCTACCCAGAACGACACTCGGCTCTATTACCGCATCAGAGCTACCTTGGCCTGACCTACGTTTCCACTCTGCTTTGGCTGTATTTACGCCTCATTCCTGGAGAACAAAGGCTGCATCGATCTCAGCGACCGGCAACGGAAGGGGCCAAGAAGCTTCTTTATCGAGGGTTGTCGATGATCACGCAGCATCTGGAGAATTTTCCCTTGTGTGGATTTCCTCCTTTGTTTGAAAATGCCCTCCGCATGATTTCTGAGCAAGCCTTCGCGCTGCGCCACATGGTTGATTCATCGGATAATTTCCCATTTGTGAAATGGGCCGAGGAGTTCAGACAGAAGGCAGCGGTGCTGATCCCTACATGGCCTGTATACGGATCGTTAGTGTCGGCGATGGAGCGCTCACAGCAGCCTAACGGTTTCTCTGGTGGTCAGCCTTCCTCCTATGCTCGAAGCCTGCCTGTCCCCACCATGCCAGCAGCAAGCTCTTCAGCGACGGCTATGCAAATCGGTGGTCCTCATGGGCTGGCCCCGCATGAACAAGAAAATTATATCCCCTCCATCAGGGGCATTAGTATTCCAGTGGACACACAATCCCTCACACCGCAGGACACAGTCATGGAAAATGCAGACCTCGGGGTGATGGATGTTCCCATGCAGCAGTCGATCATTTCAGAGAAAGGTATGCCGCGCAGGGCACCCGATGCAATTTATACCTCGGGACCTGGCCAACCACAACCTCGCACCCCTGACCCTTCCACTCCCAATACCATGATGTCTGGCATGGCTCCCGCCAGTGATCGTTCCGTTCCAGCTGGAGATCTCATGGGATTCAATCCTGCCGGTACAGGTGATCTCGATATGATCTTCAAAGATTTGGCATATTTGGACACCACTGAGTGGTCCAACAACCGTGAGGCTGGCCTTAGAGACTTTGGTTTCCTAGACGATAGTACCTTCCAGGCATTCTGTCATGACCCGGATCGATTAGTCGATTCTCAAACTTTGGTCCACCCGCCGTCGATCGCGGATATTTGGCCACCTCCGGGGTTTTTCCCGGAGACCTTCCAGCAGTCTTCCGACAAGTCGATGAATGTCTGAGGGCCCCTGACTTGAATTGAGCCTTGCTCCGATCAGTACAAGAAATTCAAGCTTACTCGCTCCAAGACTCTTCCACAGTCTTGTTCGGGTTCTGATTGGGCTGACCTCTCTTGACACTTTCTCGCCATTGAAATGGCTAATGCGACTCATTCCTCCACCTGGGCAAGATGGCCAGCAACATTTGTCTCGTCTGAGATAAGTACCAAGCTACTGTCTTAGTGTCCAAGCTTGGCTTTGCCAGACAATGTAGAGACATGATATCTTCGAATTTTCTTTTTTGGCCTATACAATGTATTTATATACCCGCACTGACGCTGTCATGCATCCTGGGGCGCCAATAATCGACAATTTATATATCAATATCTAGGGATCGAAATGATAATCTCTAGTACTGCCAGAAGAAGAGCAAACGTACTGTCATACTATCTTCAAGACTTCTATGAAGAGGTCCACATGAGATGAGAATGAATCATTAGAACTACAATGTACAGATCATTGTCGCTGCACATGCTTCTTAGTAAAGCTCAAGCCCACTTGCTGGCCACTGGTAGACACTCGTGGGACGCGTGCCACCCTCGCTACATCGAGAGGAGCACTGATCCTTCTACTTCTCACATATGTCTCCGTGGCTTCATCGGGGCGAGATAGATAGACACCTCTGTGGATGTGGCTTGCGGAGCGCGATCTTTGCCTGTAGGGACTCTATCGGTGCTGCAGTGGCCCCTCGCCGAAGGACGAGCGATCCGCGTAAGGTGCGACTTTCATCACTGGAATCACGGGAAGAAGCATCGAGCTGAAAGGAAACCCCTCAGTCCAGCCCCAGCCCCTGTCAAATCCAGGACTTTTGTTTACTCGGAGCTTATTCATACTCATTGTTCGAGCTATGTCTCAGTGCACGGGCAGCATCATCCTAGTCAGTGAAGGCGCTAATGATCTGTGTTTTACTGGAACATATATAGTCTTCGTCACGATGTAGAAGGCACATTGAGAGTTTCTTTCGTGTAGCTCCCAGGCCAGCTAGGATCTCAAAAAGCCAGACACAAAAAGGGACACTTGAGGGACATTCTGCAAAATTTTGTGCTGTCTCATTTCTTCCGTCAAACTAAGCAGGCCGATGCACGGCCACATCAAACTACACGGGTGTTGCAGGTAGAGTCTGTCTGCAGCCACGGCGTCAAGAGCACACAACTGTCCAATAGCTGGTGTAAGCAACGCTATTAAATAGATTGCGGCCTTCTCATCGACTTATTGTATTCATGATATCCAGTCTGGAGAATATAACTCCATGACACCGTGAACCAGGACTCGCGCCTTGCACATGACATTATTGCCTGAGGCGACAATCCTATGATCGTCAATCCACGGTTCGTGGACCACTTTTTTAACATTGCAAAACTCGAACTTGGAGCGGCTTGGCCTGGAAAGCTTCGCAAAAATGGCGCTATCTCGGCTTCGCAGGGTCTCTGAACCCCTGGCGATCGCTGGATCACCTCCTGAAACTTGACCGACTTCCCCCATCGATTCCCCATTTGCCACCCCACTCGTTGTCACTTCTGGCAGCCGATCCCTGGCATGCGCCTCGTCAAAAACCCGTAATCGATGACGCCGACCGTGGGGCGACGGGTACTCCTGAGCTCCTGTGCAGGCCTCGTTGGCTCCTGTCCCGCGTGCTTGATGATCCATCCTCAGTCAACGGAATCATCGGCCTATCGTTCTGATTCTCCCTGCACTGCGACCGAATCAACGTTGGCGCCTGCTTTGCCAGACCCATGGATCATCATGCTCCGCACGACCGTGGAAAAAGGGCGGTCGTCGTACCTGTTTGTCTCGATGATCGCTGTCCCTTTTTTCACGTTTCATCTAGGCGCTGCTGCCTTTTGATTTCCCATGGATTCCTGTCAATGTCGCTCTCCTAGCTCTGCTCTCTCTTTCCATTCTCCTAATACTCACATTCCTTATACTTATTTACTACGACCATGTTCAATTCTCCACGACGATGGGTCTTCGTCGTCTCTCCATTCCTTACCCTCATTCTAGTGTACTACATCCTCCTAGTCCCAAATACAACCCCAGCCGCCGTGCAGGCGGACACGAATACCGAGCAATCGTCACAGGCCGAATCAAGCACAATTGTCCTCGAAGGAGGTCAGCCAGTCCCCGAGATTGAGGAGCAGGGCAAAGGATCAAAGGCATTGGACCAGGACGAGAACCCCTGCGGGAAGCTGCGTCATGATATGGAGGATGTATTTGTAGTCTTGAAGACTGGTGCCACCGAGGCCCTCCAGAAGGTCCCTGTCCAGCTGCGTACCAGCTTCAAATGTGTCCCGAACTTTGCCGTCTTCTCCGATTACGAAGAGACTATCAATGGCGTCCGCACCTATGACGTCCTGAGCAATGTGACCGCGAAAACAATTCAAAATGAGCCTGAATTCGAGGTTTACGAACACCTTCAAAAGGTCGGCCGGCCAGGCCTGACCGATGCGGACTTTGGCGATGACGAAAATGGACCTTTCGGCAAAATGAACAACCCTGGGTGGAAGTTGGACAAATGGAAGTTCCTCCCCATGATTGATGGGGCGCTAGAAGCGATGCCCGATGCCAAGTGGTACATCTTCATGGAGGCGGATACCTACATTGTCTGGCAGAATCTGGTCAATTGGCTGGCCCACCTTGACCACACGCGCAGCTACTATCTTGGTAGTCCGATGCAGATTGGCGACGTCTTATTTGGATATGGTGGGGCAGGTATCATTCTCTCGCAGAGGGCGATGCAGCGTCTGCATAGCTACCGGTCCCAAAATCTGGAGGAGCTGGAGATCATGACTGCCAGTGAATGGGCTGGAGACTGTGTCCTCGCCCGAGCGCTACAAAACATTCACATCCCTCTGACGTGGGCCTGGCCCATGATGATGACCTCCCGCCCGTGGGAGATTGACCATTTCTCCGAGGGTTACGGTCGTCAGCCCTGGTGCTACCCGGTCATCTCGTACCACCATATGGACCCTCGAGATATTGAGGAGATGTGGCGGTTCGAGCGTGGCTTCTTCAAGAGTGGCAAGAATGCTCTTCTGCTTCACGCCGATGTTTATCGGACGTTCATCCACAACGGATCGCTCGCCGAGCGCGAGGACTGGGATAATTTGTCTCCGGCCAATATCGACTTTGATCCCCCCACGAGTCCCTCGGCTGAGGCATGTGCTGATGCTTGTTCCCAAAATTCAGATTGTCTCCAGTTTTCTTTCAACCACGAGGAGCAGACCTGCAAACACGCGTCCACCACGCTTGCCGGTGTCGCCACCAATGGCACCTACTCTGGCTGGATGACCCACCGTGTCCAGAAGCTCCTGAACACCTTCCAATCATCATGTCCCCAGGTCGAATATGTCTTTGACTGAGCATTTTCCTTTCCTCTTCAATTCTTCGAGCGTATTTTATATTGGGGTTGTATAAATATCATTCAGTCTTTGTACATATCTGTTTTCATTCTTTTACTGGGCATGGGGCGATCATCGGCGAGGCGTTATCTCGAGACTGCTTCATTTCAGTTACATGCTGTGCAGCCACTGACCATATGGACCGTTCACTTGCATTTCGCTCACACTTTCTTTGCTGGACTCAACCCAAACAGCCGAGAAGCTACCGGGATCCTATTAGAACAACAAATCAAACCTACAAATGAGCAACATTCATGTGCTACTCGAGAATTAAACAAGTGCTTAAGAATAGCTTAATACGCACTATGAAGATACTCAGAAGAAATAGTTACAGAAGTACGAGCCAGTCGCCGGAGCCATCTTATCAGTGACGCATCTTATCTGCGGGTTCTCACGCAGCGCTCGATGTTTGTAGTTGCTTGCGTCGCTCGACCAGCAACACTGGAGTGATGGTGAGGACGACCGCCGTGCAGAGGACGATGACTTGGATACCAAATACTAGACCAAGGCCATTGCGCACAATCCACTGGGGCTGGAAATATCCTACAGCGAAGCCGCCGCATGTGCGCCACATGTTCAGGATGGCGGACACGCAAGTGGACTGATTGGGGTACTTTTCCAGCGCGTAGGCCGTGATTGCTCTGTCAGTCGGGTTAGATGACTGATGAAACTTGATAGCCAAAGATTGAGACACTTACACGATGGTGGCGACCATACCGATGTTCACCATGATCCAGCCAAAAGCCAGTCCGATCCAGTGTTTGCCAAAATTTATGGTCAGGCCATAAATGAGTAGACCACAGGCCATGCTCCCAATTGGGACCCACACGCCGTGTAGACGGAGCTCGGTGCGCCAGTTGGCACTATGACGACGGTATATCCACTCATTGAAGAAGTGACCGAAAGCCCAGCCTGGAAAGAGAGTGAGATTTGGACTGACAGAACATCATGTTCCGACTTACCACAAAGTGCCCCGATCACACCAGCGAACCGCATAGACGACGCCTCGATCGTGTCGAAGAGATAGGGCGGGCTATGCAGGAAAGTGTCGATTGTTGTCGTGATGCCTGCGGCCTGTCAGCATGAGAGAATTGAAGGTGAATTGTCAACTGGACTTACCAATTGGCCAGGTAAATGCCACCAGGACAGTGAAACCTGCACATGTTTGTGATTAGTGGCTACAATCGCATGACAACCGAATTTTGCGAGCTCACCTGTCATCAGCAAGGGAAATTTGAACACATAGACAACAAGCTTCTGGCACCAAAATCCGAGCGTGGACAGCTTGGGCACGTTGGTGTTTCCGATGCCAAAGTACGAGCCAAGACGTGAGCCAGACGTCTTATCCGGTGCATAGTATGTCTCTCGGCCAAAAGCGAGAACCATACATGTAGACAGCCCATAAGCGGCAGTCAGGACCCCGAAAGAGTCGCGCCAATTTGTGCCAGCACCAATATAGCCTGCGAGCGCAGGCCCCAGGAACGGACCAACCAAGAACGTGGTGCCCCTGCTCCGGGTCAGTCGAGAATACGAGTCTGCAAGCATACTCCCTTGAAACTCACCATATGTTGATCATACGCGGCCATTCTAGGAAACGTCAGCATCAAAATATCCACCGCGCGAGAGAGAAATCACGTACCATGCGGCCTATACATATCATGAATTATAGGCAGTCCAATGACCTGTGGCACGGTACCGAATAAGCCCTGCAGCGAGCGAAAGACTGTAAAGGTTGAATAGTCATTGGAGAGAGTGGCGCCCAGCACCATGAACATCGCGATCACCTGAGGCCAGAGCCAGACGGGATAACTAGGGAGACGACAGCAGTCAACGCGCGTGTCCGGCCATTGACGTTAGCCCGAAAAGTGGTACCTACCGACCATAGGCTTCGATGAGTGGGACGGCGAAGACCCCACCGAAGCCCTGCAGCAGAATACCATAATTCATGCTTGTGGCCGAGTGGTCAATGGTGATCTTCCAGTCCATCGCCTGCTGGGTGATGAGCGTTGAGCCCCAGACCATTGCACTGGATAAGTCAATTTCCAACAATCCGTCAAGTTTACAGGGCACGTGCGTCTTACCCATCGGCGAGCAGGGAGCTTGACATGAGCGAGATGAAGAGTAAAGTCTTGCGTGTTGAGCTCCAATTCTGCGGGTTCCGAGGATCCATGCCACCGTCCTTGGCATCTTGAGTCTCATCGGACTGGGATAGACTGGCGGCGCTGTCCATCTCACGGAGTTCTTCGCACAAGTTTGGTTTTTCCATGACGAGCGTTTCTCTAGAGAACAAGATAGGCAAGGGGAATTGGTAGACAAAGGAGACTATTGAAACCGGGCAGAGATCGGATTTATGCAAAAAGGGACAACGTTCTAGATCGCACACATAGTTTCAGGAGAATATACAGCTCGCGTGGCTTTTGTCGCGCAGAGCCGAGAATTCTGGAAGATCAGATCTCTCCGATAGACCTGTCTTGAGGTCCCACACTCTCGGGGGATCCGAGAATAGACTGTCACCTAGCGTGGATTTTTAGATTTCGGGGAACATCACTAAGACCCGTCTCCACCGAACTCCATCTCCACTTTTGGTTCCAAATCTTGCATTGATCTCTCGGATATCCCTGCTCAACACGATGATGGTTGTGATAGTCCTACCCAAATCCCGCCCTCTCGTCCACAACTAGCTTCCAGGTGAAGTGTTTGGCGCTATGACTCGTTCTGTCTGCCGGCGATCAGCGCTACAGTGTAGGATAGCCCCCAGATCACCCTTGCGGGTGCATGCCCCATGTGATAGATTCGAATATGGGCTGTCGAGAGGGTTTGTGACCACTCACATATACCGAATCCCGAGTGAAAGCCTCATGGTGCCTTCCAATTCCGTGAAATCGTGCATGGTGGTGATGTGGTTACATGATCCTTGGTCATATTTACCTCGTAGATGACGCGAAGGAGGATTCCCGGCATCCCCCCTTCCATCTAGCATAGAGAGCAGACAAATAAAAAACGCATTGCTCCGGAGTTCAGCTACAAAAATCGTGCCTCTCCATTATTTATTCCCGATGTCTTTGCTGGAACGCTTGGTCAATCTATTGGGCCTTTCAAAGCCTGCCCCGACGTTGCCACCGGGGGCAGCATTGGCGGCGACGCTCACTGTGGTACGTGTAGCCTGATTGGGGAATGGAACATGCATTGAAAGATATGATAGCCGGCCTCGCTGGGATTTGTCCCTGTCGCAGTGCACTTTAAGCTCTTCGACGTGCTAGTACGGCATGGCGGACCGGCGACCGCGGAAGAAGTGGCCAACGAAGCCAACACGCTCATTACCGGAGATGAGGATAGAATCAGTTCGTGTCTATGCAGGATGATAGTGCATATTGCTAACGGTACCAGGTACTCTACTTGCCGGTATGCCGCAGCCTTGCAAAATGGGGAGACAATTCATTGCGATACTGACTGACTGTAGCGGATACCCTTTACATCATGGCCGGGCTGGGCCTACTTGATCGCGTGGACGAGAACGTTTTCCAGGCCAATGCCATCACCCGGCATATGGTGGCCATGCCCTCGGCTCAGCACGGAGCGGTGCATTTGTGGGTGGCTCTATTCTGTTCCCATCTTGTCCGATCGGCCACTGACCGTGACTGTAGCACGACCGAAGGGATGATGGCGGGCGCATTCTTCATGAAGAAGCTCCAGGCCACCCACTTTACATATCCCTTCCAGGAGGCGAATGGCCCCATTCAATATGCCTACGAACTGATGGGGAGAAGGAGTTGGCGCGACAGCATACGTACTCGATCATGGAGGCCCAGGGGCGGATGGATAGCTTCAACCAGTTTATGGTTGGCAAATTTCTCAATTCGGCACTTTTCCCGAACGCGTCGCGTCGTGGGGATACGATTTGCGCGATGCCCTGAGTCAACCGGGGACGGTGGCCATGGTCGACATTGGCGGTGGTCGAGGGGAGCTCCTCCTCGAGGTCCAAGCTGCCTATCCGCATCTGAGCGCGGAAAATTTGGTCGTGCAGGAGTTCAACACCGAGATCGATGATGTGCCCGGAGTGCGGCTAATGGAGTGGAACTACAAGGTGAGCGCGGAACAACCGATCCAAGGCGCGCGGATTTACTCGCTTCAGCACATTCTCCACAACCTGCCCGATCTGGACGCGGTGGCTTTGCTCCAGAAGATCTCCCGAGCCATGGCACCTACATCCCGACTGCTGATTATTGAGTACGCGAAGAACATGACCTATACCTCGCTGCACGCCAGTATGATTGCCCTGTTCGGGGGCCGTGAGCGCAGCGCGTCCGAATGGCGGCAACTTGCCAGTATCTCGGGTCTGCGAGTGACATTTGAAAAATATGTACGCGCGGGCGAGTCTCTGGTGGAGATGCGTCGGGCGGAGTAGAGATGGGGTTCTGGGTGGTTATTTTTTCTCGATGTATACCTCGGTAAATATTAGATACGAGGTACTAGATACCGAGATACGAGATACGAGATACTGGAGACTCATCAATAATCATTTGATATTTCATATTGAATACTAGGTGCTGAATAACTACCAAATACTCAAATACCTAGATCCTATATCCTAGATCCTCCCAAAATCAAATGCTCAATAATCAAGGCGAGAACCCCACGTACGAACTATAAATGAATCTTTCATGAGGGGAATGGTTCGTAAATGATCGACGCCTGATCGGTCACATCCGAGAATGCAATATATGCAAGCCATCGCCTTTGACTTTCCCCCATCTACGCCCTGTCGGATCTCGTCCGTTTTCCGCTCATCACATCACGACCCACGCTGTGAGCTCCAATTTGTGACACCAATCCTCGGTCTGCAAGAGACCCTCGAAGGGTGCTCTTCGTAACTTTTTTTTCTGCTTTTGGCTTCGAGTATTGCAGGTCTTCGGGTTTCCGCTGTTGAAGCGAGTCTGTGCCCCCTTGCATGATGCCGCATGGGCATTGCTTGGAGATGATTGCCACATTGGAAAGGAATGAGAACCACACATGGAAATAGGGCCTGGGGATGACCGGGGCCTTTTCAGCCGACCACTTTCAGGGCCCCAATTTTCACGCCAGGGCCTGCCAACATCCAGGAACAGCTCCATCGGGATCACAGAGAGACCTGCCGTTCGCGATATTGAGTTTTACTTCCTCGACCTCGCGGACGACTTGACCCGATTACTCGTTCTGCATCCCTTGTTCGCTTGTTCGCGTCTTTTCTTCTCTCCCCTGTTTGCTCCGGAGTCTGACCTGTACATTGCTCGTCTCTTGGGTCTCTAGAGTTTATCGGTGTTAGACTCCTTTCCGGTCACGGATGATCTGATGGATCTGTGCACTTAGATGTGTACATCAAGATTGTTCGTCACTTCGGTTCGTACCCAAATGTCATCCTTCTATTTGAATTGAACGCTCCCCCCGGTGTACTTCCCAAGATTCCAGCCCTCTTCTCCCCCCCCCCTTTCTTTCTTTTAAGCCCTTGCATTCCTCTATTATGGAAATCCCAAGGCCCAAGGAAGGAGATGTCGACATCGGTGAGTCTCGTGCGACTCCACTAATGTTCATACCATTGACAGCTTCTTCCAGGCACAGCCACATTCGATGCCTGCTGGGTAGGTCAAGATCCAATCTCCTGTGGCTGTAGCTGCTGATCATCTCATATCTAGGTTCTGACAGCGATCGTGGGTGTTGCACTGCTGTTTCGGTATGCAGTCAAGGCCTGGGTACGATGGGCTCTACCTCAAGTCACTGCCCCCGGCCGAGTCTGGGGGTATTGAAGATCTTTTCTTTCTGATAGCCTACGGCTTTGATCTGACCCATATGACCATGATCCAGATGAGGTAAGTGTTAATCGCCCTTCTTGCTTGTCTGCCATGTTCTGCGCTAACTGCCTCAAGTTCCAACTGGGGCTTGGGCCGTCATTACTTCTACTTGAATGCCACGGAACGATTCCATGCCATGAAATGGGATTTCATGTCCCAGCCCATCGCCGTGAGCTCGGCCATGGTGTCTCGCACCGGAATGATGTGGTTCTTGTTGACCTGCTTCGCCGCGAGCGATAAGAAGATCCGAATCTCCATCATTGTTTGTGCCATTGTCCAAATTGTCGTCAACATGGTCACGGTGGTGCAGATCATTGTCCAGTGTGGACCGAACCCGTATCGTACAGTATGTGCCGCTCTTCTTGTAATTCCCTCAGAGACTGACCGTTTAGGCCAATCGTGTTCTATTCTTCCACTATATGTGGACTCCTCTGCCTGAGGACGGCTCAGTTGTGTGCCAGTCACCCTTAGTCCAGACTACCGTGGGCTTCGTGCAAGGAGGTATGTTCCTAGAACATCTTGAATGTGAGCAAGACTTAACTCAACGTAGGTTTCAACAGCGTCATTGATTTCTTCTTGGGGTTTCTCGCTGCCATGGAGCTATGGCAATTCTTCCTTCGGACTCTAAACCGTGACCATCATGTGTCATTCTGGTCTCAATTCCGCAAGATCAACAGCACCGTTCGGTCCCGTCGGATCTGGCAGACTCTCACGTTGTGTGGTCCACTGATCCTTTCGGGCGCTGCCTCCATAGTCAAGACCTATGTGGGTTGTTCCGTGCTTTGCTGTCGATTATTGTTGCTAACTTAAAGGTTGCCTAGAAACTGAAGTCTTTGGGTGACCGTCTAGACTTTACTTATAACATTGTCTCTTTCGTCCTTTGGGTGAAGTGAGTTCTGCCCCTTCTTGGTACTCTGGATTCTTGTCTGACTCGTTGCAGAATCGAAAACTATAGCATCCTCATCGCCTCATGTGCGCCTGTGGCTCGGCTCTTCCTCCGTGCATTTGTCGACTCCCGCCGTGACGGTCGATTGGCTGGGTACTGGTCCAAGTCACGGTCCAACAATGGCGAGAATACGAATCACTCCAACGACACGGAGTTAAAGCGCCGCCGCAAAGACCACTGGATGGATTCGGCGACGGTGACCAATTGGGACGAAGAAAGTCCTATTCCAAACTGGAGTAACAACGAACGCTCCGAGAGCCGGATTTCAAGGGCTCAACCTCCTGAGAATCCTAGTGATGGCGTTACGGTTAAGACTGATATAACCGTACAGGTGGATGACGACCGGTCCGTCTCTTCTGGTGGCGCGCGGCTTTTGCCAGATGGTGGTGAGCCTCCTCGCAGGCATGAGAACCGAAGATCCGGTTGAAAGAATGCATACCGTGATGTGACATGTGTAGCTCAAAGCGAGCGTAAATAATGTAAAAAGTCATTTGTCGAGGTTTTGTTGATCAGTCGACACCCCTCTGCCGGGGTTTATTTTCCCACAGTATATGGCCACACTGAAACGGCTTCTCTAATAAAATCGATCTACAATGAATAATATCCATTCTCCGTATCTCCACTCTCCTCTTCCTAAAGGCCTGTACTTTTATCTCCAGTCTGCAGTGAAATGACATAATCCCAATCTCCACGTGATGATAACCCGGCTCAGTCTGTCAACGAAAGCCGATCAAGTCCATTGCACCATGGCTCTGCCGACGATCAGGAGCAAGGCATTCCCCTACCGAAGGGGCTCCAATGCCTCCGAAAATGACTTCTTCGATATTGACGACGAGCCCATTGTGGCCCTGGTCAAGCGCCAATTTCGGCGTATCCGCACCTGGGTGATACTTGCATTGTTCGTCCTATTTATTATGTGGCGTCATCGTGAAAAACCGCCGTCTTCTCTGCTACCACATATTCATTATGATGAGATCGACTGGTCACGTTATGCCTATACTACGTACGCCACCTCCGAGACCTACTTGTGCAATGCCGTGATGGTCTTTGAGGCCTTGCAGCGATTTGGATCTCGGGCGGAGCGTGTGCTGTTCTACCCGCAGGATTGGGATTTGGTAGTGGAGAATGAGTTTGATCGCATAAGCCAGCTACTCCTCATGGCAAGGGACGATTATGATGTGCTGTTGCACCCAGTGTTTATAGAGGGAATCAAGACGGGGGAGAAGGTGCGCGAAACTCGCAATACTGCGTGGAATGGATCAATGCTTAACTTTTCGCTTGAACAGGAGCCTCGCAAGCCTCGTGGGACACGAGCACTGCCAAATTATCTGCCTTTGGTGCCGTCGAGTACGAACGCGTCATCCACCTCGACTCGGATATCACCCTGCTGCAACACATGGACGAGCTGTTCTTTCTCCCTCCCACCACCATCGCCATGCCTCGCGCATACTGGTTATTGCCGCATACGAAAACTCTCTCGTCCCTGTTGGCCGTCATCCAACCATCCTACCGCGAATACACTGCTCTGACCGATTACCTCAAACCGGTCCAAGCCGGCCAAATTGAAGTGAACTTGACAGATATTCGGTATGACATGGAATTGCTGAATGACCGGTATGGTGACAATGCATTGGTGCTCCCCACCGACCGTATGGTCTCATTTCGGGTGAATTTCGCACCAAGAATCACAGAACATACCTCGGCAATGATCACGAGGCGTGGAATCCCGATCTTGCCCTGGCTGAGGCAAAATTCGTGCACTTTTCCGACTGGCCGCTGCCCAAACCATGGATCATGTGGCCACAGGAGATCCTGGCAAAGGTGCAGCCAGCCTGTGACAAAGATCCAGGGACGCCTAATGAAAGCGGCTGTCGTGATCGGGAGTTGTGGAGGAAGCTGTACGATGATTTCCGGCGGCAAAGAAAGGTATGAGTCGTACACACAGCTCCTTTCGATTTACTGATTCGTTGTAGGATATTTGCAAGCTGTTGAGTTATCCGGCCCCCGTTTAGACTGCGGATTTTTGGGTCCGCTCCGGGATTGTATAGTATTGATGGACTAGAATACCAAGGCATGGCGTCTTAAGCGTTTCATTATGGGGCATTTTCAAAAAACTTAGCATCTAGTATATCGACCTAGATACAATTGTACATTAAATGAGCTTGATCCATGAAATGATCAGATACGAGGTGAAACTTGACTCACAAGATGGGTATAGAGCAGTAGACAGTATCAAGTCGAATCATCCAGATATCGTGAACAGTGGATCATTTCAATCGAGAAATGCTCAAACATCAATCTTTGTACATTCATTAGGCATACCCCATGCCCTTCCTCCACCACATCCATACGCCTTTCTTCTCCATGCAATTCCCAAACTCTTTTACACTCTCAACCTCTGACAATCCTGCGTCGTCATCTTCCGCGGGCTGATCTGTTGCCTCATGCGCCAGAGGACCTGGTCTATTCACCAACTGGAAATCCTTATAGCGCAGCTTGCGAACTTCCCCGACCCATGACTCGACTTGAGCCTGGTCCCGGCCCTCGACGTACATGATGCCTGGGCAGCCACCGGAGCGGAGGAGCACATAACATTGGTGTAAGTCGGCCGCGCGCTTCAAGGCAGCCACCTTTTTGCGAGAAGTGATATGGTGCGTGCGAATTAGAGCATTGTAGAGCATTCTGGGGTGAAGGCTAGAATACCTTCACGTGGACATGTATGGGAATTATATGAAGGACTGCTCCACGCGATTCTGGTACGAACCCGGCAAAATTTAGCTTGACTTGGCTGTTTCACCGCCTGACCCTCGAGATGATTAAACTTCCTTCTCGAGCTCTTTCCGCTGATATTGCTATATGTATTTTCAGGCACCGCCTGAGGCGGATCTCAGATGTGAATATGGTGCAAAGCTCTCTCGCGAAAGCTGAGCAAGACCTTTTGGTCCATTTTCTTGGATCGGCTTTAAATGTTTGTGTTCTCCCTATAATAAGTTACTGGATCTTCAATTCTACATTTGATTTATTCTAAATTTGATTCAATCCCCTAAGTGATAGCTTCATAGCGGGATGAATTCGTTCTCGGTCTTTTGCTTTGATTTTTATCTTGACAGATCGCACCGAGATATGATCTTTTCGGCCTCTGGGAAAACTCATAAGAGGAAGTCGCACGAAACGTTTCCAGTCCTTTCTATGATATCAGAGTGACGGTTGACATTGACAAGAGGGTTTTGCGAATTTCAGCCGTCGACTCGACCTAAGTATGGTTATTTCCGCCTGTTATATTAGATCTTTCATGTCTAACTTGCTGATTCATCTATATTGTTCACGCTGATCTCAGGCAGTATATTGTACTACCCATTATTCTTAGATAGTCGGTTTGGTTGGTGTAGTGAATATATTTACTGATCCTTGGACTATCTATAACGGTCCATAGAGTCATATAAAAGTTCAGGTGTATCTTGATCGAGCGAATTATATACCTTCCAAGGTAGTGTTCCTTGCTGGTGCATAATATCCCCAAGACGCCGTCAAACTCCACTAGGTTTTTGTAGACATCCCTAGACTCTTTTCTAATAACATCATTTCAATACATATTCTTGGTGAGGTTACAGAAGGCCGAAGAATATTCGGCATATACACAGAACATATTGTTCTGCCTAAGGTGTCCAGGTGTCATATGCGTCTTTTGCTTTTCTTGGCCCCAATCTATCGGAGAAAAAGAGTGACAGCTTTTGCGTCAGAGTCCATCTACCAGATCAGGCTTCTGTCGACGCCCCACCCTGAAATTTCACCCTATCGCATCTCTGCATTTACCATTGAATCTGACGAGATAACCGCCCAACTCGTCAACGCAGAGCAACCTGGGATCGTGTTGGGTAAAGCATGGCTTACGAGTGGGCATAGTGGTGGAGTCAGTCTCCTCTTGGCTTCCCTTTTGTGTCGAACCGTGTCCGCGGATTCCGCGGGGAGCGCCCACTGTTGCCTCTGTTTCGCGGTCGGGGTTCCATCGACTTTCCAGACTTGGTCAAAGTACCGCGATTTCCGACTCCACCTGTTCGGGCCCCTCATGGCCCCGTTCAATACGTGCTTCTGATTGGGATTGTCCTCCGCCGTGTCGACTACGGCTCTTTATTTCTTGCAGGCCTAGACTGGGTCCTAGCAAAAGATTGGCCGAAATGACGGGGGATCCATCCTAGGGCTTGGCTTCCTCGTGCGGTCTCGATCTGGGTTTGTATAAAAGACGGCCCTCGCTCGTCTTCGTCTTTCCCAGGCAAAAATATGCAGTAGATCTCCTGCATATCATCGCACAGTTAATAGCGTTGGAACATGCCCGGTCCGCTTCACGCGCGTACTCATCCCTCATTTGTTTCTGGCCAGGAAGCCTCGACCGAAAAACATGGCCCGAGGGTGCAGATTTCCCACGAGGATGAGGATGCTCTCGCCGATATTCACCGCACACTAACGGAGGGAAGTCTTTCGGGCGTGCATCTGAATTATCCAGAACCTCATTCGTCATTTGACAAATTCCTAGAGGAACAGGTTCGCGGGGGCAAGAAACGCTCTAATTTAGGTGTCTGCTTCCAATCAGTCTCGACCTGGGGCGAGGGTGATGGCCACACCAGAATAAAGACCCTTGGCATGGCTTTATGGCGTACGTTCACCCTGCAGGATATCTATGAGTGGACCATTCAGCCTTGGCTTTCATCAAAGAAGCCCCAGCAAGGACGCCCTATCATTCGAGACTTCTCGGGCGTAGTCGAGAGCGGAGAGATGATGCTGTAAGTAGAAGTAGCCTTTTTAGCGGAATGATACATGTTTACCTTATGCCTCAGCGTTTTAGGTTGTCCCGGAGCTGGATGCTCGACCTTCCTGCGCACCGTTGCTGGCCACCACTCTTCCTTTCTGCGGGTGACGGGATCAATTGAGTATTCCGGTCTGAGCCCAGATGAAGTTCGAAAACACTACCGCAGTGTAGTAGCCTACGTTCCCGAAGACGATGTGCATTTCCCGACCCTTAATGTGCGACAGACCCTTGAGTTTGCATTGAGGAGCAAGACTCCCAAGCGCTTCCAAGACCGAATTCCCAAGTATCTCGAGATCTACGGTCGAGTTTTCGGTATGACCCACACAATGAACACCCTCGTGGGCAACGAGTACATTCGAGGTGTCTCGGGTGGTGAGCGCAAACGAATCTCCATCATTGAATCCCTCGCCACGGATTCATCCGTGACATGCTGGGATAATTCGACTCGTGGGCTGGACGCCTCCTCTGCCCTGGACTATGTGCGCAGCTTGCGCATCATGACAGACACTTGTGGTAAGGCCACCTTGCTCACTTTGTACCAAGCCTCTGATGCAATCTACGAACTGGTGGACAAGGTACTTCTGATCGACGAGGACGAATGCTGTTCCAGGGCCCAGCCGGCGAGGCCAAGCGGTATTTTGAGGACCTCGGATACGAAAGTGCCGAAATGCAGACCATTTCGGATTTTCTGACCAGTATCACGGTCCCGGAGAGACGACGCTTCCGCGCAGGCTGGGAAGACCGTGCTCCGAAGGGGGCAATTGAGCTGGAGACTGCATTCCGACAGAGTGCGGCATTCAAGAACCTCGAAACATCGGTTGAAAAGTACGATGATCAGCGAAATAGCGACAAACCCAATGGAGCTTGCACATCCGACTCAGAGTCTAACAGTGTGGATGACTTCAAGCGTACTATGCAGAGCGAAAAATCTCGCTTTGTCTCATCCAAGTCTCCTTACACCATATCGCTCTTCCGTCAGATCGTTCTTTGCGCCCAGCGACAAATGTGGCAGCTCCGGGGCCACATGGGCCCACTCTACATCAAGTTGATATCTGCGGTAGTCTATGGCCTCCTGATTGGGTCCATGTTTTATGATCAGCCCCAGACTACCGACGGCATGTATTCGCGTGGTGGTGTGCTCTTTTACTCTTCTATCTTACTCGCCTGGCTACAGATGTCCGAGCTTGAAGAAGCGATGCAGGGCCGAGATATTATTAGTCGACAGAAAAAGTTTGCCTTTGTGCGGCCTAGTGCCGTTTGTATGGCTCGAGTCGCACAGGATATGGTGGTAACTGCATTGCTGACCTTGCTATATCTTATTGTCATGTACTTCCTGTCGGGGCTGCGATCCGATGTGAGTTGAGATCATATCTTTCCCTCCTTCAAGATTCTTACGCAGTGACAGGCTGGTCCATTCTTTATCGACTTCCTCTTCATCTACATGTGTACAATTTGTTTGACAGCGCAGTTCCGAGTCCTTGCGGCCTTGTCTAATAATTTCGAAGTTGCTTTGCGATACTGCGGAGTGTCTGTGCTTTTTTGCGTCGTGTTTGGTGGCTATGTCTTGTCTCTTGACAAAATGATTCAGGACGTTCCTTGGGTTGGATGGATAGCCGTAAGTCGTCCCGTCTTGATGGCAATATATGATGCTCAAACTAAGCTTTTCAGTACACAACACCCGCTTTGTACACCTATGAATCGGTCATGGCCGCCGAGTTCCACAATGTCAATTTTACTTGTGCAACCGGATCGATCATTCCAGCCGGATCCAATTACACCGATGTCGCTTACCAGACCTGTGCATACGCTGGCAGTCAGATAGGCAGCACAGTGATCAATGGAGATGACTATTTAGCAGCACAATTTGGATTTTATTATAGCCATGTGTGGCGCAATTTTGGCATTCTCTGCCTGTTTACAGTCGCTTTCATCGGGCTCACGTGTTGGCTGAGTGAAGTGATGGAATGGGAATTGACTGGTGCTGGCCCGATTCAGTATAAGAGTAATTGTCACTTACTCAAGCGGAAGCATGGAACCTGTAGCGACGAGGAGAACAGTCCTGTCCCTGTGGACCCCAGATCTCCCCGTGCCGAGAGTTCTTTCGGTCCTTCCGGACAATCTCTATCTGGTACTGATTCCACATTCACCTGGTCGGACCTTGGGCTCGATGTACAGGTTGGAAAAGAGACGCGAAAGTTATTGGACAATGTGTGTGGCTATTGCAAGCCAGGAAGTCTTACGGCTCTTGTTGGAGCATCGGGTGCAGGGAAGTCGACTTGTAAGCGATAAAAATCCTCTGGAAATCCACCAGAAGCTGACTCAATTTTCTAGTGTTGACTGCGCTTACCCAAAGACAAAGTGCCGGTACCTTGACCGGCTCAATGTATGTGGACAGTGAACCGATCAATAAGTCTTTCAATCGGCAGATTGGATACTGCCAGCAAATGGACATCCACGATGAAAGCAGTACTATTCGTGCGGCTTTTGAATTCTCTGCTCTTCTCCGACAGCGCCATGAAACTCCCATAAATGAGAAGCTGGCCTACGTGGAGACAGTCCTGCACACTTTGGATCTGATTGAATTGCAAAACGCGATGATTGGGTCATTGGATATTGAGAAGAGAAAGCGGGTTACGATCGGAGTCGAGCTATGTGCCCGCCCTCGGCTGCTTTTATTCCTGGACGAACCGACCAGTGGACTTGATAGTCAGGGTGCGACCAACATTGTGGCCCTGCTTCGTCGTCTTGCGAACCAAGGATTGGCCATTCTTTGCACCATACACCAGGCCAATCAGCAACAATTTGAAGAGGTAAATCCCAGTTCGTACAGGTGCTAGTCAGAGACTGACATAGGTAGTTCGATCGCGTCCTTGCCTTGAGCCCTGGTGGAAGCACTTACTATTTCGGACCGGTCGGCCAGTCTGGGAAAGCTATCTTTGATTATTTCAAAAAGAACGGCCATTGCCCCCAGATGGTCACAAATGCTGCAGACTTCCTCATCGAAGTGGTTGTTGGGGGCACTAAAGTTGATTCAGAGAGCCAGGTCAATTGGGCCTCGATCTGGCGAGACTCCGAAGAGGCTGAGCATATCATTAAAGAGATCTCCGCTATTCGAGCTCACCATGACAAAAGCCGAGGAAACTTGGCTACACCATCTTTGCCCCCTCTTCACCAGCAGGTTATGTTACTTACACAGCGAACTTGTCGTCAATTCTGGCGTACGGCTGAGTACCCATACTCGAGAGTTTACGCATCATTCCTCCACGCACTCGTCAACGGCCTTACTTATCTCCAAATCGGAAATAGTAAGACCGATCTTCAGTCGAAGGCTTTCTCCGCATTCTTGGTCTTGATGCTGGTTCCCGAATTCATCAACGCCATTTCCATGCGTTTCATCTTGAATCGTGATATCTGGCTGGCACGAGAAGGACCCAGTGGAGTGTACAGCTGGGTCGCGTTCAGCACTGCACAAATCATCACAGAGATCCCTTATGCTATTGTCAGCGGGGTGATTTTTTATGTAATGTACTATTTCATGGTCGGACTTCCTCTCGGATTTGCAGCAGGATACAGTTTCCTGATGTTCTTTCTCTTCTTCCTATTTGCTACTTCATGGGGCCAGTGGATTGCTGCTTTGAGGTGAGTGCTGAATAATTATTTAGCCTCGATCTTCCTAACCTTGTCTTAGTGCTGATTCAATGGTGGCGGCTACTCTCATGCCCTTCTTCATTATCATGTGCGAGCTCTTCAATGGCATCTTGCGTCCTCACGAGCAGATGCCTGCGTTTTGGAAGTACACCATGTACTATATCACGCCTTTCACATACTGGATTGGAGGTGTTTTGACCTCAGTCCTTCGCGGAACTCCAGTAGTTTGTAATGAGAGCGAATTGACCCTCTTCGAAAGCCCACCGCACATGACTTGTGGTGATTATGCCAGTCCTTGGCTCACTTCCACGGGGGTCGGGTATCTTTCGAACCCGGAAAGCAGCGGAATTTGTGGATATTGCGAGTACAGCTATGGTGATGATGTAAGCTTTGGCCTGAAACTATTACGAGATCTGAAGCTAATTTGAGAAGTATCTTTCTGGAATTGGGCTAGATGACTCGGTCATCTGGCCGTACTTTGGCATTTTTCTTGCCTTTACTATTGCTAACTACTTGATGGTGTATCTCCTAGTGTACTTACGATCCGTCGCAAAATGGCGGTCAAAGTGATGTACGAAATTCGAATATAGAATTTGCGTTCTTTCAATTCTTAAAAAAGTATTCATTGTGCCAGATAATGACACCATTTATGACAGCTGCCATTGGGAACTATGTGCATCTGTAAGCCTCGTTCATTCGGGGTCATGTGCTAGCATTACCTTTTATTTTCTTATCGATGAGCTATCGTCTTGTGTTATTGCGCTGCCCTGTAGACATGAGTTGACTCTATAGAATGAAAGCTTCACGTCCATTCTATGATGTTAGTCGGCATGTCCATAGTACATCAGGGTGCTCGATGATCTCTTGCCCTTGAAATGAGATTCCACAGTGTACTTTGAAGACCTAATTATCCCCTCTTTCGACTTTTCTGTGCTTCTTATATTCCTATCTGGTTAGATAAGCGAAAAAAAGATGATGCCACCCAAGACGTCTAGACTTACGAATAACTCACTTATCCGATTGAAATATCTGACATAATATTGCGTTGAGGCTCAGGGACCGCGAAGAGACCGGATATAAATCTAGAATTAGATACGGAAGTCTGAGTAATTAATTGTAGTAAATTGATAGTCCTTCTTTGTAAAGGAATACCAAGGACTAGCGGTGAAGATTTACCCCGTAGTGTAATAAGTAAGTCTCGGACCCGATTTGTACTCAAGTCGAGAGGGTATCCGAATAACTTAGACTTAGCAAGGATCAGTCTTGCTTCTATTAATACCAAACTCTAGTCTAGACATCCTTCCTTACTTAACCACAGGCCTTCTACCCTGAACACGTAGATTCTTTACATTTTTGGAATAAAAGAATTATGTGGAAGACATAGACACATTTATCGCCAAGAATCAATAAATCCCTTAGTATGTGATCAATTGTGTATAATAATAATTGTATTTGGATACATATAAGCCAACAATAGATCTACGAAGAGAGATAATATTAATGATCAGTAAAAGGTAATATTTCTATATTATTATGATAAGTGTAAAGAATCTACGTGTTCAGGGTAGAAGGCCTATCAGTTAGGTAAGGAAGGATATCTGGGTTTAAGTCTAGTATTAAAAGAAGTAAGACTGATTCTTACTAAGTCTAAGTTATTTAGAAACCCTCTTATTTTAAGTACGAACCGGGTCTGAGACTCGCTTATTATATTATAGAGTAAACCTTTATTATTAGTCCTTAGTATTCCTTTATAACTATCTCCCCTTTTAGAGGCGACGGGCCCCAGAGGTAATTGCTAAAAAAAAAAAAAGTTTTTTAATATATTGTTATCTAGATTATATAATCTTTTAGGGTTCAGGATTATATAATAGATATAAGCCCTGTATTATTATACTTAGGGTAAGTTACGTAGAAGTTATAAATAATATTAGGCTCTGTCAAGGAATAATATGTGCTTATTCCTTATTATGCAGGTGTGGGTATATATATGGATTTGAGGATGTCGACCTTAAGGGTCGACATAAATGGTCTTTTGGCTAAGCGGAAGGATGTTGCCCTCAAACAACCTCCTTTACAGGCTCTCCTTAGTTTCGCGATAGTCTTAGCTATAATATAGCGATAGTATCTTTATTTTAAGCTAATAATAATATATAGCTATATTAATAAAATGTATTGATATATATTCTTTTTAGTTATATATTAGTGCTTATTTAGTATATTATTATTATTATTATTATTATTATTATTATTATTATTATTATTATTATTATTATTATTATTATTATTATTATTATTATTATTATTATTATTATTATTATTATTATTATTATTATTATTATTATTATTATTTTTATTTATTAATATTAATATTTTTATTTATTTTTATTCTTGTTTCTTTTTTCTTACTTTTTTTTACTTTTTTTTTTAATATCTTCTTAATTTTTTTTAATTTTTATATTTAGCTTTATTTAGCTTTATTTAGCTTTATTTTAATTTATTCTTTAGCTATAACTTATTATTAATTTAGCTTTCTCTTTATTTATTTATTTTATCTCTATTTTTGTCTCTATTTTAATTATAAATTAATATATATTTTTTTATATCTTTTAGCTATTACCCTTTATAGAATATATCTCTAATTTTAGAACTTATTTAATATGTTTTTTATATTTATTATTCCCTCTAAGACTAAGATAGGCTAAGTGCCTTCTTAATTATTTATATATATAATATACTAAGTTCTATTTTATATTAAGTTTATTTTTATTAATTATTCTTACCCTTTAATTTGTTTATCTTTTTTATTCGCTTTTATTTTATTACTAACTTATTTAGGTTTCTTTTAGTATATAAGATAACTTAATTAATATAATTAATTTAATTAAATATATCGCTAATATCTAAGATTTTATTATTAAAATTATAGTGGAAAACAAATAAATCTAAAATACTTATTATTAATAACTATATTTAATTAGATATTATTTATATTTATATTAAGGAGATAATTTATATCTTTATTATTAATATTTATATCTAATATCTTATTATTATAATATTTATAACTTAGATATTATATATATTACTAAGCCTATAAGTTAGAAGCCTATTTTATATAAGTTTCGCTAATAATTCTATAAGTTAATTTCACTATTTACTAAATATATTTAGTTAGTTATCTCTTTATTCCTATCAATAATCTTAGCTTTAATACTAATAATATTTATTACTTTTATAAGAGACTTTATTAATATTATATCGATTTTTTATAGATATTATATTTATTTTAGAGTAGGTTATAAAGTAAATCTTCCATAATAATATTTTAGCTATACTTTATCTTTGATTTATAAATAAAGATATTATTAATAAAATAATTATTAATAATATTGTAGCCTATTTTTTTATTATATTTTAATCTTTTAGTCTTATTCTCTTAATGTATTAATATATCTTTATAGAGATTTTATATTTAAAATCTATTGGAATATAGACCAATGCTACATAGAAAGATCTATCCTTATATTCAACATATAAGATCAGCATTGCATTAATCACGTGACCAGATTTTTTCTTCTATCAAAATAATATTTTGACCACTTCTGATTCTGGTCCGCGGCCCTCTCCCGAATGATAGGCAGGACCATTTTCCCTTCAGAGGTAAATGGTCCGCCTTCAGGCATGAATGGTCCGTTCCTTCGGAGGTGCCTTCGGGCATATCTTGCCTGCGGACTTCGACTATGGTCTTCGAACCTCGGTGAACAGACTTCGACCCTCAGTCCCCTCAAGGATAGGCGGACCACTTTCCCTTAGGGATAAAATGGTCCACCTTTGGGTATGCATAACCAGATACTGCGGGGAAGCTTTCGGGGTGGCTGAAACCGTCGATTCTTGACATCATTCTTTTGGCTTTTCTTCGGTTCCCTTCTTTGCCACCTTTATTATGTTGCTGTCTAGTATTTGTATGTTATTCTAGACGTCATTTCTAGGCTACTTTAGCCTATAAATATGTCCTTCTTTTCTAGCAGAAAGAATCAAGTCATTTTCCACTTTCCAAAGTCAGTTCTACTTTCTTCCTTTGATCCTCAGGACTGTGGTTCTGCCTTCGTTTAGGCTATATCTGCTTATAGTCTATCCTACGACCTTTGACCTTCTTCCTTTGTCTGGCACCGACTGACCTGGCCGGACTAAGGTTGATCCCACGGACTTAAGGGGCCACGATCTGCTTCGTGGTAGCTTTCCCCTTATGCTCCAACAATAGCTAATATATTAGTATATCTAAATAATATTATTATATATTTATAATAGCTATATTATATTTAGAAGGCTATCTTTTACTCTTTACTCTCTTTTATCTAGATTTAATAATAAGTATTCTATATATTAATTTTACTAAAGTATTTATTAAAATATAGACTAATATTATATAGAAAAATCTTTCCTTATATTTAATCTATAAGACCTAAAATATTAATTATATAATCTAATCTTTTTATATTAAAATAATATTTTAATTACTTTTAATTCTAGGCTATAACCCCCTAAACGATAGGCGGGACTATTTTTCTTTAGGGGTAAATAGTCCGCCTTTAGGTATAAATAGTCTATTCCTTTGGGGGTACCTTTAAGTATATCTTACTCGCGGACTTTAACTATAGTCTTCGGACCTTAATAAATAGACTTTAGCCTTTAGTCCCTTAAGGATAGGCGGATCTCTTTCCCTTAGGGGCAAAATAGTCTACCTTTACGTATATATAGCCTAATTATACAGGGGTGCCTTTAGGGTAGCTTAGACTATTAATCCTTAATATTATTCTTTTCGCTTCTCTTTAGTTCCCTTCTTTATTACCTTTATTATATTATTTCTTAGTATTTATACGTTATTTATATATTATTCTAGATATTATTTCTAGGCTATATTAGCCTATAAATATATCCTTCTTTCCTAGCAGATAGAATTAAGCTATTTTTTACTTTCTAAAGTTATCTCTATCCTTCTTCCTTTAATCCTTAGGACTATAGTTCTGCCTTCGTTTAGGCTATATCTGCTTATAGCCTATCCTAGGACCTTTAACCTTCTACCTTTATCTGGCACTAACTGACCTAGCCGGACTAAGGTTAATCCCACGGACTTAAGGGGCCACGATCTGCTTCGTGGTAGCTTTACCCTTATAGCCCGACACTATCCTTTTTAGGTATAAAGAGGATTAGTGGTAGGACCTATCCCAGGACGAACAATAGTCGTTGCCTGAGGCATCAGGACGCCTCAGGAATAATGGCATAAAGGGGACCTTTACTGCCTTCGGCAGGGGCAGTCCATGTATTTAATCTATCCGCGCTGGTCTAGGAGGGACTAGTGTTCAGTCTTTATCCCACAATACCACCATATTGTGCACACGCACGAGAAGGCTTCTACCTCGCTTACCTACCTACCCTAGAGACTCCTGCGTGGTCTCACAATTACCGCCCCTATAGGGCTCTTAGAGGGTCGAATATATCTATTTATAAGGTTCTTATTAAGATATTTTCGGTTTACGAGAGGGAATAAATTAGTTTATAAGAGGGTAATA